ACATTATTTAATAAATATACGTGTTTCCCACTTCATAAATCATTACAAAAATCAGATCGTGAATATATTACTAGGCCAAATCCGCGACTAGATCCAGTAATTTACCATGACAGAGAGATCTTACCAGCGAAGTCACTGATGGCCTGGGAGACATTGCTCAACATGGAGCTATCGAGAAATTTAGAGACGCTTTGTCAAATTAGGATTACATCTGTGCTGCATGCGTCTATACAAAAGTTTTTTTTTCAAAAAATCCCTAGGCGACTGATTAAGAGGTGGTACTAGCCACATACAGTAATTAGGGTTTTATTTGGGGACTAGTTTTTGATAATTATTTATTTAATATAAAAACTGTATATACACGATGTTATTATTATATGGTAAATCCCAATATGTACTATCATAAAATCTTGTCATCATAAGATACTCCCTAAATCCTAATAAACAAAAGTACTGAACCATGTCTCACGTGTATCATCCTCACAGGGCCGGTGTAAGCGCCGGTAAGATCCCTCTTTGTCTTGCTCGAAATTGTTTGGTCTCTAGCTATATTTTGATAGTAAAAGATTTCATCTGAATTTTTGATCTGTCATATAGTAAAAATAATTTAATGGATTGTTTTCCGGTGGCAGAGCGTAACACAGGTGTGTTCTGGGACGTGGTGGATTTCCCAATCCCTGAATGTGATCCTTCTTTGATTTCTAAGAAAATCAAATCAGCTCTTGAGGATAAGGGTTGTTATGATGGTCATGTCTCAATCCGGTTGTACCAAGATGAGAAAAACCTCCTCCCCAAAGAATTGATAGATAAATATGAGTCTGCCGGAATCAGTATCAATTTCGTACCCGAAGGTGAATGAATTCCTTTACCTAATCTATATATATATATATCTCTTTTATGTCTCTTATGTGATCTAGATCTTGGTTGATATGTAGTTGCTGAGGCGTATGGATATGCGAGAGTTCATAAGATGTTAGTGGACATTCTTTTGTGGGTACTGGACAGTCCTGACTTCAAAGAAGAGGAGGCCACGAACGTCCTACATGGTTTGCATGTGAGCGGTATTAAAGTTCTCTCAGCAGAGCGTCTATCAGAATGGATACCTTTTACTGAAAGCTCAGCTTGGCTTTGGAGTAGGCTTTGTGAAAGCCTATCATCAGATGCAGGCGGAAGCTCACAAGATACTACTGTTGCTGTTGCCGATTCCGAGGACTAACAACTAGGATCGGAAGCAAATCTGAAGAGGAGACTAATGTATTTTTCATGTTTTAATGATGCACACTCTATACATGATTCTCTTTGATTTGATCATTTTAATATTTTCTTCACATAAAAAAAAAAATCAACAAAAATACTGTTTTATCGACTAAGAGAAAATGCATGTATGTGTAGAAAGATTGGTGCTGACCACGGTAGCAAGAGAGGCATTCTGATGTTGTTTTATAAATATGTGAACTGATATGGTGAAAGCAAAAGGGGTAATTATTGCTCGGATCCTGGGATTCACTTTAAGTACAGTGCGCGCGGTTGCTGCAATAACTGGTCAAACAGAACAAGTGGAGCGTGTGATATTAATTGCAATAACTGCAATAACTGGTCAAACAGAAAATTATCAACTTTCTTATTTGTATATCGCATAAATAATACAAATATTCTACTATATATTAATTGGCTGCTCTAGATCAATGAAAAGTGCTGAATTGAGAGATGTATGTTGGGTTGTTGTTTTCCACTTTTCCTAGTGGACTTCTCGTTTGGTTATCTATCAGTGACATAGAAAACACTGGTTTATTAGGTTTTGTTCATGGTTAATATATCCATAATGAATCGTAACAATTGTGTTGTTGCTGTTTTTGTCTTCTAGATCCAGATTTTCTTTGTTTGGGAATGGAGGACATGACTAAGGTTGTGCAGAAAAAAAGGCAATAGATGAAGTGTTCTAGAGTGCAAAGAGAGAAATGATGTCTCTTGGAGGAAGCCAAAGTGAGCTCATTATTGTAGAGATTTTAAGATTTTTTTTTGTCAAAATGGTTGCAACTCGTGCTAACATCTCAGGCAAGTAATCTACATATGTTATTGTTGATATTCTATTAGGGGTTTCTGTAAAAAAGCTTCGGTATTGTAAAAGAGTTAGTTAGCAATGCTAGCTTTATTCCATTAGCACACTTTATTTTTCCTCGTATCCATTACTTATAACAAGCTACGTATAACACTTGTCATTTTTAGTCATTTTGATTTTATCAAACTTAATGATGAATATTTATTTTTATCGAACTTAATGATGAAGATTTATGACAAAAATCTTGTGAAATTTATATGTCCAGAGACTTAAAATTTTCCTTAGCAAATAGCATTAACTCTGTGGAATTAATTTCATCATAAATGATGTGTAGAAATTGTTTTATTTGGTTGAGAAACTTTGGATTATATTTTCCAAAAATCATGTCCGCAAACCCTAAAAGCTCAGCTCCCTATTACAAGTTCGTCTCCCTCCTCAGAATATCAAAACATCTCTTTTAATTAAGTCAAAAGTCAATGATCAAGTTTAAATAAATTGTTGCCAAAGTGGAGCTATATATATTACGAAGCAAGCTTGCAAGAACACCCAGACATCACTAACTGATCTACTCACTGTCCTTTCACTGAGATTCGATCGCTAGACTCTCTCAACCTTGATCTTAAGAAGAAGTTTTTTTTTTTTTTTATCGAAATCGACAAATCAAACTCTTGAATCCCAGATATCATTAAACCACAAACTATAAACACGCTTGGCAAAGAAAAGCCATGACAAAACCGGCAGGCGAAGGATACGGGACATCATAATTAAACGAGTTGATATTATATAATTTATCAAGGTTTAGTGAGGTCAGAATGTAAACACTAACTGATAAAAGCAAGGCCCAGCCCATAATAAGATACTCTCGGAGAAGAGATATATATGTAACCCTAATAACCAAAAGTTTCTCTAGTTTGTTTTTGAGACAAGTCTCTAATTTTCTCAAAACGACGGAACCATGTCTCAAGTGTATGATGCTTACTGGGCCGAGATATACACCAGTAATTCTCGCTATATCTCTCGAAGTTGTTTTGTGTATATATTTTGATAAGATCTTCGTCTGATTGTTAACTAATATTTGATATGTCGTACTTGATAGTAAATTTTTTTAATGGATTGTATTGAAATTTGATTTTCGGTGGCAGAGTGTAACACAGGTGTGTTCTGGGACGTGGTGGATTTCCCAATCCCTGAATGTGATCCTTATTTGATCTCTAAGAAAATCAGATCAGCTCTTGAGGATAAGGGTTGTTATAATTATTGGGCCACATATGGGCCTCGCAATGTCTTTCTTAGCCCATACGTTTATATTGTATATCGTCGTTTAGGTTAAACGTGTTCTCATACTCTGTTTTGTATATAAGCCGTTTGGCTACGATCAATGAAAGCAAGCAAACCTTTTATCACTTCTATAGGTTTCTTGACATGGTATCAGAGCCTAGATCTGACCTCTCTTGATCTAGGTTTCAATTAATTTCCGCTTATTTACTTCGTTCTTTGACCTAATCTTTGTTAAAATCTCTGTTAACAAAGAAATTTCTAAAAAAGATAATGAGTGCATCATCATCTTCTTCTTCAACGAGCTCTGCTCTTTCTTCTACATCCGTTGACACCAAAAGGAAGACAATTTCTCCATATGACTTGTCTTCCAGTGATAATCCGGGCATCATAATCTCGAGACCTTTACTGCGCGGTCCGAATTATGAAGCTTGGGCAACAAACATAAGATTGGCTTTAACTGCTCGCAAGAAATTTGGATTTGCTGATGGATCCATTCCAAAACCAGGAGAAGATTCTGAAAATTTCGAAGATTGGGTTGCAAACAACGCTTTGGTGGTCTCGTGGATGAAGCTGACCATTGAAGAAAATATCTCAGACTCTATCTCTCACTTGGATGATTCACACGAACTCTGGACACACATACAAAAACGTTATGGCGTGAAGAATGGGCAGAGAGTTCAAAGATTGAAGACTGAATTGGCAACATGTCGCCAAAGAGGAACGAGTCTCGATGAGTATTACGGCAAACTCTCGAGTCTGTGGAAGAGCTTGTCAGATTATCAACAAGCAAAAACAATGGAGGATGTTCGAAAGGAGAGAGAAGAGGACAAGCTGCATCAACTATTGATGGGTCTTGACGAGTCGATTTATGGCACGGTAAAATCATCACTTCTCTCTCGTGTTCCTTTGCCATCGTTGGAAGAGGCATATAATGTGTTGCAGCAAGAAGATGAATCAAAATCGGCGAGTCGTTTTCACGCTGAGAGGACTGATGGCGTGAGCTTTGCGGTCCAAACACAGTCACGACAAGTTTCATATGAGGACCACCGAAATCACACTTGCAAAATCTGTGGGAAAATTGGCCATTTCGATGAAAACTGTTTCAAAAAGATTGGATATCCACCATGGTGGGTAGAGAAGCCAAGAAACAAATCGAATCAAGCATCCAACGGTGGTCGCGTGACAACTTCAGCTCCATTACAATCCTCACGTGGTCGTGGATCTGCGGACGTTTCTCGCGGCGGCCAAGCTAATGCCATGGTGGTTTCTCGTCCTTCGGTCTCAGCATTAAACACCACCGTGATAACTGATTCTGATAGAGTGGGATTAAGCGGGCTGAATGACCACCAATGGAAGTCGTTGGTTCAGATGCTTGAAGAGAGACAACCCACATCGACAGATCGTCTTAACGGTACGTGGTTTCTTGAATCTTGGATTATAGACACTGGGGCTTCTAACCACATGACAGGTTCATTAGATTTTTTGAATGAAGTTTGCGACATGCCTCCAGTCTTAATTAAACTTCCGGATGGTCGATTTACTACTTCGACACGTCAAGGAACAGTTCAGTTGGGCTCTTCTCTGCGGTTGTCTGCAGTGTATTTAGTTGATGAGCTGAAATGTCATTTAATCTCCGTATCACAGCTGACTCGTGATAGTGGTTGTGTGTTTCAGATCACTGATCGTCTATGTGTGGTCCAGGAGCGCATTTCGAGGACGGTGATTGGTGCGGGTGAGCAGAGAAACGGGTTATATTTTTTTCGCGGTGTTGCGGTTGCGTCGGCAGTACAAAGGATGGCTTTACAACCTTTGGAGTTATGGCACAAGCGTTTAGGACATCCTTCTTCTAAAGTTTTGAATTTGTTGGAGTTTTCTAGTAGTTGTAGTTCTTTCGATTCACACTCTTGTGAGATTTGTATTCGCGCAAAACATTCAAGAGATTCTTTTCCATTAAGCAATACTACTTCTCACAAGGCTTTTGATCTAATTCACTGTGATCTTTGGGGACCATATCGAACTACGGCACTATGTGGATCCCGATTTTTCTTAACCATTGTTGACGACTACTCACGTGCGGTTTGGATTTATCTTCTCACGTCTAAACAAGAAGCTCCAACGCATCTTAAAAATTTTTTGGCTCTCGTTGAACGTCAATTCTCAACACAAGTTCGCACGGTACGTAGTGACAATGGGTCCGAATTCATTTGTCTCCGAGATTTCTTTGCAGAAAAGGGAATTATTCATGAGACCTCTTGTGTTGGCACGCCACAACAAAACGGTCGTGTCGAACGCAAACACCAACACATATTGAATGTTGCCCGTGCACTTCGTTTTCAAGCAAATTTACCCATTGAATTTTGGGGATATTGTGCTCTCACTGCGGGGTACCTTATTAATAGAACTCCGACGAAGCTTTTACATGGGAAAACACCGTTTGAGTTGGTATATGGACGGCCTCCTCCGCTTGATCACCTACGGGTTCTCGGGTGTCTCTGTTTTGTCCATAACCAGAAACATGGAGGAGATAAATTCGCCTCAAGAAGTACAAGGTCTGTGTTTTTGGGATATCCTTTTGCGAAAAAAGGTTGGAGAGTATATAATTTGGATACTGGAGTTGTGTCAGTTTCACGTGATGTCATATTTAAGGAAGATGAATTTCCTTTTGATATACTGGAAAATAATGAGATTAAAGATTCACAGTTATCACCAGTTGTTCAAGCTCATGACGATGATCCCCTAGCTGCAGATATCATTTCGTCTCCTCCGGATTCAACGTTACCACCACACGTTGTCACTACCGGCGAGCTTTGTGAGACTGATGAACCCGTGACTCCAACATCAAACGTTGCACCATCAGCTCTCACGTCGGATCCGTCGACTCCAAATTCTGCAACTCCGATATCTCCTGTCCCGTCACTTACACCTCTGTCCCCTGTTTTGAGTTCACCGGAAAAATCAATGGAATCACCAACTGCATCGATTTCATCTTCTTCTCCGGCTGCAACTGATTCTCCCGCTGTCACTGATTCTCCGGATGCAAATGACTCTCCGGCATCACATGATTCTCCGGCTCCGCCAATTCCCAGCCCTGAAAAGTTAGGACCAGGCCTCCGTAAAAAGAATCCACCGGTGAAGTTAGCAGATTACGTCACCATGTTGCTCCACCAACCGCATCCTTCGGTAACTCCATATCCCATTGATAATTTCTTGTCAAGTTCACGATTTACAGAACCATACCAAGCATTTCTTTTGGCTATCACTTCTGGAGTTGAGCCGCAGTTCTATAAAGATGCAATACTTGATGAAAAATGGAGAGATGCGGTACAAGATGAGATAGTTGCTCTTGAAGATAATGGCACATGGACTGTTGAAACACTTCCAAAGGGAAAGAAAGCATTGGGTTGTAAATGGGTTTTCAAATTAAAGTATCATGCAGATGGTACGTTGGAACGTCATAAAGCTCGGCTTGTCGTCCTTGGCAATAACCAAACAGAGGGTATTGATTTTAACGAGACGTACGCTCCGGTCGCAAAAATGGTCACTGTCCGAGCATTCTTACAACAAGCCGCATCCAATGATTGGGAAGTTCATCAAATGGATGTCCACAATGCTTTCTTACACGGTGATCTTGATGAGGAGGTATATATGCAATTTCCTCCGGGTTTTCGCACCGAGGATAAATCACAGGTTTGTCGTCTTAGAAAATCATTATACGGTTTAAAGCAGGCCCCCCGTTGTTGGTTTGCAAAATTGGGAGCAGCCTTGAAGGAATATGGTTTTATTCAAAACGTGTCCGACTACTCCTTATTCACGTTTGAAGATTCTGTCTCCACGCTCAACGTCCTTGTTTACGTCGACGACATTATTATCTCCGGCAGTTCACTTGACATCATTGAAAAGTTTAAATGCTATGTAAGTGATTGTTTTCACATGAAGAATCTTGGTCTCCTTCGCTATTTCCTTGGTATTGAGGTCGCTCGCAATTCAACGGGTTTCTACTTATGTCAGCGAAAGTATACACTTGACATACTCACCACAACCGGTGTGTTAGGTGCTAAGCCGGTTGCTTTTCCCATGGTGCAAAACCACAAACTTGCATTGGCCAAGGGAAAGCCACTCATTGACCCTACTCGTTACCGTCGTCTCATCGGGAAGTTGATTTACCTTGGCGTTACGCGGCCTGAACTATCCTATGCGATTCACATTTTATCGCAGTTTATGAGCCAGCCCAAAGAAGAGCATTGGACAGCTGCCTTGCGAGTCCTTTGTTACTTGAAAAATACTCCGGGACAAGGAATCTTTCTACAAGCCAAAACACCACTTGTTCTCACTGCTTGGTGTGATTCGGATTGGAGCTCATGTCCTACTACACGTCGTTCTCTCACGGGTTGGTTCATTCAGTTAGGAGGATCCCCGATTTCATGGAAGACGAAAAAGCATGATGTTGTTTCACGTTCTTCAGCCGAGGCTGAATATAGAGCTATGGCCGATACAGTTTGTGAAATATTGTGGCTTCGTCAATTGTTACCAGCTTTGGGCATTGATTGCTCTGCTCCTACGGTTCTTCATTCCGATAGTCTATCTGCGATCAGCTTGGCCAAGAATCCGGTCTATCATGCACGCACCAAACATATCGAGAATGATAAACACTTCATTCGTGACGAGATCATCCGTGGCGCCATTGTTCCTAAACATGTCTCCACGACTTCGCAGCTCGCAGATGTTATGACTAAAGCTTTGGGAAAGACAGCTTTTGAAGCATTTCTTCTCAAGATGGGTGTTCGAAATCTCCACACTCCACCTTGAGGGGGGGTATTGGGCCACATATGGGCCTCGCAATGTCTTTCTTAGCCCATACGTTTATATTGTATATCGTCGTTTAGGTTAAACGTGTTCTCATACTCTGTTTTGTATATAAGCCGTTTGGCTACGATCAATGAAAGCAAGCAAACCTTTTATCACTTCTATAGGTTTCTTGACAATAATGGTCCTGTCTCAATCCGGTTGTACCAAGATGAGAAAAACATCATCCCCAAAGAATTGATTGACAAATATGAGGCTGCCGGAATCAGTATCAATTTCGTACCCGAAGGTGAATGAATTCCTCCTTTACCTAATATATATATACACACATATATGTCTCTTATGTAATCTAGATCTCTGTTGATATGTAGTTGCCGAGGCGTATATTCATGCGAGAGTTCATAAGATGTTAGTGGACATTCTTTTCTGGGCACTGGACAATCCTGCACACTCCAATTTGATTATACTCTCAAAAAACCTCAAAGACAAGGAGACGGTCAGTAATCTTCAGGGTTTGCATTCGAGAGGTACCAATGTTCTCTTAGCCGAGCCTGTATCTGAAGATCTACCTTTTACTGAAAGCTCAGCTTGGCTTTGGGAAAGCCTATCATCAGATGGAGGCGGAAGCTCACAAGATACTGTTGCTGTTTACAAGCTAGAAAGCAAATCTGAAGAGGAGGCTAGTGTTTAGGGACTGTTTAAGGTTATAATGGTGCACTCTGTGATTGATTATCTTAGGTTTGATCATTTACGGGACTAAGAGTAAACGCATGTATGTGTCGTTTTGTTATTCTGATGCTGTTTTATAACTATATATGTGAAGTGATATATGTAGTCAGTGTAGTTGATTGCTCGATATGGCAGTATTTATTGCAAGGATCCTGAGATTCACTAAAGAATTATAGTATATAATTACTTTGGCCCTGTTTTATTAAAGAGTTGCATTTTCCGTAGGCTCTCTTCCGCTTTGGTGGAAAGGGTTTACAAGACATTGATGTAATAGGCTCGCAGGATCTTGGAAGACAATATTGTAATTACCTTTCTCTCTCAAAGCTTGAACAACACTTGCGACCTGCTTCTCTTCTTTGATGTTGTTACTTGAGAGTATAAACAAATTGGATGGTCTACCACAGGTGCGCAGTGCCCAATCAAGAATTCTCAGTATCATTACTTGAACAATCGCACATTCATTTCCTGCAATAGTACGTATACCAATCAATCAAGACGTAAAAAAAAAAAAACAAGAAAGAGGACAGAGAAAAGAGCACATTCATTCACACCTTTGGGTAAGGGAATGGGCCGGATTAGGTTGACCATATACTTATCTATCAAATCTTTGGAGAGGGCATTCCCATCACCAACGAAGAATGCAAGTATTTGCCAATGACCTTGATAACCCTTTTCCCAAAGAGCGGATTTGATACTCCGATAAATCAAAACAGGATCGTGTTCATAAAGGATTGACGAATCCTTCAAGTCCCAGAAGATGTCTGTGTCCTTACCAGCGAATTTACTCTGGGAGATATTGCTGAACATGTTTTCAGCGGAGCTATTGACAAATTTAGAGACGCCGGATGAGAGACGACGACGCCTTTGTCCGCGGTATCCATGCTTATAATTGCTTTTGTCGACAGGGATTTCGTCAACACAGTTATTGGTTTTGTCGACAGGGACTCCAACACATTTATCTAATAGGCTCCTAGGATCTTGGAAGACAATATTGTAATTACCTTTCTTTTTAATCGCTTCAACAACACTTGTGAGCTGCTTGTCTTCTTTCATGTTTTCTGAGAGTATAATCAAAGTTGATCGGTTATTTTGCTCTCTCACGGCCCAGGTAAGACTTGACACTGGCATTTTGTGAACTCTCGCATGTTTATTTCCTGGAATATATAACGGAGATCATTATTTAGATCAAATTTGAGCAAACAAAAAAAAGAATTCAACCTTGGGGAACGAGTGTCATAGAGATTCCGGCGCTTCTATATATATCTGTCAAAGTTTTGGGGATATTATCATCAACGACCGCCCAGATTTTCGATAAACCACTATCAAAACCCTGATCATCAAGATCGGACATGATATTCTTCTCAACCAATTCAGGATCTAGACCATTAAGGATTGATAAATCCTCTACGTCCCACATGACCATTACCCATCCGCCTGCCAGGTTTAACATAACAAAATTCGGATTTGATTAAAATTATAGTTGGAAAATTAATTAGATCCAAATTTATGGTGGTTGAATAGAGAGACAATATAGACGAACAATTTCAAGCAAAACTGAGAGAGATCTTACGGTCGAATGTAGAGCTATCCATTGAGACGCCGGATGAATGAAAAATTAGGGCGGCGCTGCATGCCATGCATCTATAATAAACACAGACAGAGAGTGTCTTATTGGGCTGTTGACAAAAAAAAAAACAAAAAATCTTATCATTGCGGCATAATCTGTGTCTTTTTTTTTTTTAAAATACTGATTTTATAACAATACTCAAGATTCAAGAACATGCTACATGTTTCTCATTTTCAATATTTGGGATAAGCCAAATAGGTGGACAAGAATCTAAAAATGCATGATTAAATAGGGAAAGAGGAAGATTTGGCTGCAATAAGATCTGCACAACCATTAACTGAACCCAAGGGGAACACTTCAAACATTTTCTACTCTGACAAAACAAACAACACAAATTACCAACTTTTGGCCTCTCTTCACTCTTCCTAAATTGACACATCTTCTTAAAGCTTGAAAATCTCAGAAAATCGATTACAATTTACACAACTTACAATATCGTCAAATTTTGGGATTTTTCGGGTTAAACTAGTAAAAATTATTAGTTGAAGTTGAAGCTAGCAGTGCGGCTCCATCGCCCTTTCAAGTATTCCTCAACAGAGATACTGCTAGCTTCAGGGCTGCTATCAGAAGCCGCATCATCTTCCAAATCAAGCAATGCAAGGTTTATGTGTGATTCTATATTTGTCATATATGCGCTTTCGTCCTCTGAGGCTCTCACTTGTTGCTTTCCCCACTCTGTTGCTTCTTCGTCCCCTTGTAAGATCTTTAGGACCTGAGGTTGAAATAATGATATATCCCCAAAAGAAAGAGCAATGAGAAGCAAAGCATAAGGATCCATAGCAAACCAAGGATATAAATGATACGTATGCTTACGAGGCCAATTTGCGGACGGTCATGAGGTGTGCGTTTGATGCATAGCGTGGCAGCTAACAATAGTTTCTCGACTAGATCGTTACTGTTATCATTTTCTAGACTGGGATCCAGTAACTGAGCAAACTTTCCACTCTCTAGAATTGGGTTTGCCTGGGAAAAAGGAAGTCATTTCATATCATTTGATTGCAATAGACATGGAAGAGTAACATTGCTTCCTATAATTTGATCGCAATGGCAAATTGGCAGAATAACAGTATGAAGTAGAAAATGTGGACTATTATGCTTACCCACAAGACAAGGCTCTCCTGGCCTTTAGACTGGTCGACGCAGATTGGTTTTCTACCCGATAGGAGCTCGAGCAATACAACACCAAAAGCATAGACATCGATCTTGTCGGTTACTTTACCGTGCATGAAGTACTCTGGTGCTAGGTAACTGTCAAAGAAGGAAAGTTAAGAGGCAGATTCATGGAATGATGATAGTTTTAAGGAAAGGTGTAAATAAGCAAGTTAAATACCCAAATGTCCCAGCAATATCCCCACCCGCCACGTGCTGCGAAGTACTTGAAGCCAAGCTGGCGAATCCGAAATCTGAGAGCTGAACCAGTATAATTCAATGTCAATCAGGAAGCTTTGGTAATTGCATCTGTGAATGAACTCAGATTAAGAATGAGATGTCGCAGTACCTGTGGCTCAAAATCATCTGCCAAAAGAACATTAGAAGATTTCACATCCCGGTGAATCACTTCTGGCTCATGAGTATTATGTAGATAGTCTAACGCCTCGGCAACACCCACTGCCACCTTATATCTTTCCAGCCAGCCAAAATTTTTTGCATCCTTTCTATTACCTGATTCAAGAAATGAGAACAATCACGATGGATATTTATCTAGTATGACTGTATAAGAATCCAGCGGGAATATCAAATGTAGTTTATTTACCATGAAGGTTCTCTTCAAGGCTTCCTCGTGGTAGATAATCGTACACCAGCATCAAATTATTATTCTCAAAACAGAAACCAAAGAGAGATACTATATTTTTGTGATGTACACTGGTAATGACTTCAATTTCCAGTATAAATTCCTTCAACACATCCAGACAAGGCTTTAATATTTTGACAGCTAATTCCCTCCCATCTGGTAGATCTCCTCTATAAACATAACTATTACCACCTTCTCCAACCAAGTTCTCTGGAAACAGAAAACATAAGCAAAAGGATGAAAATCAAGTCAGACCAAAACTTATACTCATGTTAGAATATGGAAAGGGGCATACCGGATGCAAAGTTTGAGGTAATTGACAAAACTTCATCGTATGTGAATAATCTACATGTGGAAGAGTATTTTTCGTGTAGACCCTCCAGCTCTTCTGGAATGTTGTTTGATCCAATGCAGGGAGAAAGAGGAGACTGCATAAGCTCAGAACCAAATCGTGAAATGGAAACATCTTCACCGTCAATACTAGAAGAGCAATCTTCATCACAACCAGAGTCACTCCGTTTCCTATCCAGATAGATTACAGTTTCTGAATGCCGACCTCGCAGCCTCGAAACCCACTGAAGTACAGCCTTCTTAGCAGAAACTTTGGTCCAGCTTTTCCGATTACCGTAAATCCCGCGAAGAAAATGCCAACCTGGTCCTGACTCAAGGGAACCAGAATCGGTCTCATTTGTTTGTACTGGCACTAAAGCCAACGAATTGTCTACACCTAAGCTTTCAGAAGACTGCAATGATGAACTACGACTAGTTCTTGTCCAGCGTGAGCTCGTTCTTGCAGGGCTAAAACTGTTTCCAATCTTTGCCGCTTCAATAGCAATGTCAGGTGATCCACAAACTAAAGAGGGAAGATTCATCTGTGGACCATCTGAACCTGCAAAGCCCAAACCTTTACTTTAAGAACTAACAGAGAACAAACCAGAGTAGACATCACCACTTGACAAATCAGAAAAACTTGAACCACCACCATTAATATGAGAAAGTAATGGGGTAACATACCACTGGTATTAGGTACTCTGCGGAACATAATTTTGCCACTCTTGACAGCAAAAACAGAGACATCCTTGGCAAGATTCCTGGCACAATACTTGGCTAAAGAAGCTGAAGAACGGATAGTGTGATGTTTCCTAGAGGAACCAACGATTAAACTTGTCGCTCCACACGATTTCACTTCTTGTACAAGAACTTTCCTAGCTGACTTCCCTCTGAAAACCTTTAGCTTCAAATCTACCTGTTACACAACATCAATCAATTTCAGTAAAAAACAAAAAAACTTAATCCCATCCTAAAGCAGCTTAGAATCGTCAGAAAAAATCATAAAGTGAAAAACTTTAACCTGTTTTAAGTTGCAGAAGCTTTCATAAACACCAAGCATAGTATCAAAATTCCTAACCAACGAAATAAGCGACGTTGAGCCCTCTTCACAAACCAAAACCAAACCAAAGAAAATCAAAATTAGAAACAAAAATCTCAGATCGAATAAGAAAATCGAGGGTTTAGAACAAACCTAGAGAGTAATCGAGAACATGAAGAGCAACGATTCGATCTCCAGGACGCGCTACATTCACCAAAGACCATGTAAGAACCTCTCGACTCCATTCATCTGGCTTTACACCCACAATTAACAACGCTGAACCTTCCGCCACCGTTTCTTCGACTCCGGCGACTTTGCCTCCTCCTTCTCCGGCCGGATTCATCTTAAGCAAAGACGAATCCTCCTCACACACACACTCTCTGAATGTATCAACTATCTCTCTCAGTAGCAGCAAGTCTCTTCTCTCTCTCTCTCTCTCCGTCTCTCGTGTGTGTGTGGTATTGTCGTATAGCTCTTGGGCAAAGGGAAAAGAGCGAATCACGTTAACTGTCTCCGGGAGGAAAAAGTGGGAGAGAGAAGAGAGAAGAGATGTTTTGTGTCCTCTGGTTTGAATGAATCTCAGCCGTTGATTTATCCTATTGATCCGATTTTTACTACTATTTAATTCTTTTTTGTTAGTGAATTAATTTTTAATTAAAGAGGAAAACTAGTTAAATTAAGCACGAGGAGGAGAGAATAATAATGGACATCGTTATCATTCATTCTCTTTTACGGGACAAAAGAATCTCTTTTCTCTTTATTTTTATTTTTCCAACTTCTTCTTCACTTTGGATTCTTATTTATTATCGCCTGATTTTTCATGTTTTATCATTATATATATATATATATATATATGTCATTATCATATATATTTCTCATCCCAAAAAAAAAAAAAAAAAATATGCATGCATGTTTCATTTTTCAATAAAGTGTAGCTAACTCTCTCATTTTTTTCATTTATTTTTTCTTAAAAAATGGCTAAAAGTAGAGGACAAAAATAGATCCGTCGGTGAAGAGACCTAATGTTTTAACATAAGAAAGAAGAGACCTAATGTTTCTTGTTGTATATGTGGTTTTAATTTGCATTTGTTTTGATTCTTTAATTTATACTTTGTTACATAACGTATCAATCGTCAGAGTAGCTAACTCTTCTTTATGTTTAAACGATTCCTTTGAACACATTACATTCATTTATGAAAAAAAAAACAGCGAGATTATATAAATACCAATAAAAAATAACATTATTAATTTGTGAAAAGTATGTTTGGATGTGTTGAAACAGATAATTTCTAAATTAGACTACTAGGAATTATCTTATGAGGTAATTAGATATCTTATTTACATTGGGATTTGAGAACGACAAAGCAAAAACAGAAACTAAAATCATTCTCTAGATTTCGTCTTATAAAGCATTGATTAGTTATTACTAAAACTATATTAGATGTTTCTAGCACATACATTAAAGAGTATGATCGAGTTAGGTAATAAATATACCCCTACCAATAAAGATCTCGTAATGATTTGAGTATTTTTAACGAATCTCAATTCTAACCATCATGATATTATCACTAAGATATTTATTCACATTTTTTTTGTTAAAGATATATTTATTCACATTTACTGTCGCAAAACGAGTCATCATCCATTCTTAAAGATGATCTTCTCTTTTAACAAAAAAAAAAATAAAGATGATCTTCTCGATTATTCATATCCTATCCTTTCTTTTTGAATTTTCAGTTTGAAGAAAAGCAACAAAAAAAAAACCTTTCAAACTTTCATGGCGTACGAATAAGTCTTAGTATGACTCGAATCTTTAGTCTGATTTAAAATCATATCCCTAGAGAAGTGAAGACCAAGAGGACTAATTATTTAACAAAATTAATATTGAACAAAAACAGATCCACATTAACTCACTACCACATAGCTAAAATTAAAAACTACAAAGAGATTAGATGATATAATTTGGTGGGCACGATTCAGAATAGCACGGGAAATATTTTATTTAATAAAATCCAGCTAACCGTGATCTACGCTAATTATGATTTCCAGAGCAAAAGTGACCGTATATTATTGGTGTGTTCATTAAATTAAATATAATTATAGACCTAATCACTATGAAATAGTATCAAGTACTAATTAACAATACATGGATAACTTTCTTACTTAAATGTTCCAATGTGTTGAGAGAACTATTTACCTGTTCATATTAAAAAGTTGGTTCCACTAAAGACAACGGTAATTACCGTTTTGAGTCCCATGGATCATGATTAGATTAACACTAATTAATTAAACCTAACGGTAACTTGTAGATATAGCTACTGCTTATATCTTTTGATATAGCTGCGTATAGAATTTACAATAATTATTCGCCATGGTTACATAGAAGAATGATCTCGTGTAAAAATAGAAGATACAACAACAATGTATCGAGTCATGGGGTAGTTGTTTGTGTCAATTCTTCTGTATCCAAGTGTTCTTCTTCTCCTCCCGATCTCTCAGACTCAATAAGCATGAGAACAACTTGTCGCATCGATGGCCTTGCGACGGGAGATACACTTGTGCAAAGCAGTGCAATCTTCAATACAGTGAGCATATGAGAGACGATTCTCTCGTCTTCTAACGTTAACCGAGGATCAAGAACTCCAGAGGATAATGCATCTCTTCTTATGTAACTCCTCACCCAGTTCACCACATCTCCTCCTTGATCTATTGGCTGAACCGGGGCTTTTCCGGTTAGCAGCTCCAGTAGAACCACCCCGTAGCTATAGATGTCAGACTTCTCTGTCACTTTCATGGTGTATGCATATTCTGCAAAGTTGTTAAACAGTTCTTAATTCAGTCCCCTCACTGGATATACCTAATTGCACAAACAAAAGCAAAGACTTTACCTGGGGCAATGTAGCCATAGGAGCCAGCAATGGCAGACATGGATTTAGAATGTGGCATGTCAATCACTTTTGCTAATCCAAAATCTCCCACATGAGCTTCAAACTTGTCGTCAAGCAGGATATTGTTTGATTTTATGTCCGGTGGAAGATTCTCGGCTTGCAATCATGGTGCAAATAGGCGAGGCCCTGAGCCGCACCCAGAGCGATTTTAAATCTTTTAGACCAATCCAAGTTGCCTGAAGGATCATGGAGTATTTCTCCAAGGCTTCCCTTGGGCATGTACTCGTACAGAAGCAGATTTGATCCTTGGTGATTGCAGAATCCATGTAGCTTGACGATGTTACGGTGCCTAATATTCCCAAGAGTTAGAATCTCTGCTCTAAAGCTATTATCCACATTGTTGTTGTTGCCGCCTTCGTGGTTTGATGCCAGCTTCTTGACAGCTAGAGTGTACCCGGCCGGAAGAACCGCCTTGTAGACGGTTCCACAAGCTCCTCTCCCAACTACAAAGCTCTCATCGAAATTATCAGTGGCTGCAACTAAATCTTGGAACGTGAATCCTTCCTTCGGAGGGAAGTATATGTCTAAAGACATTTCCGGCTGTTGGCCATCTTGAGCGGAAGAAGATACTGTCCTCACCGGGCGTCTCATGAGGTAGACAATGAGAGCAATCAGCATGAGAGATACCCCGCCAATCGCCGCTGCAGTGATGGCTATGATTTTACTGGAACGCATTCCTCCGGGCTTCCCGGTTGACTGAGAAGGGGCGGAAGGCTGTGTTTGGATACACTGGTTGAGCGGCGGGCCGCAAAGCCCTTCATTACCGATGAAGCTAGAAATGGATATGTTACGGAGAAGAGGAATAGGACCAGTCAAGCTGTTGTATGAGAAGTTGTAACCAAGCAAGCTGGAGAGATTAGCAAAAGAGCTTGGTATTTCCCCAGACAAATTGTTGTTGTTGAGGAGGAGGAACTCAAGCATAACAAGATTACTGAGCTCAGGTGGTATTTCTCCGGTAAGCTTGTTGTAACTGAGGTTCAATGCTATTTGCAAACCGGTCAGACTGCCCAACTCCCGTGGAATGCTACCGTTGAACAAGTTTCCGCCCATTTGTAGCTCGGTCAAGCGAGATAAGTTCCCTAGAGCCACAGGTATTGTACCCGAAAGATTATTGTTTGAGAGCTTCAGAAGCTCAAGCTGGTAGAGGGAACCTACCTCACTTGGTAAGGTTCCAGAGAAATTGTTGCAGCACATGTCTAGTCGTTGAAGCATCTTGCAGTTGAAGATTTCAGAAGGGACCTCTCCAGTAAGCTTATTGGATGATATATTCAAGGTCCCAAGCTGTGAAAGTGTGCCAATCTCTCTAGGAAGCTCCCCCGTGAAGTCATTGTCTGCTAGCTGCAGCCTTTGTAGGACACTGCAGTTACCGACCTCCCTAGGAATGGAACCACGGAATCTGTTTTGTCCCAGCTCAATGGCTGTGAGATTAACAAGTTTACAAAGGTTGGACTGGGAACCGACCAACGAGGTTGTTTCTGGCTAGACGAAGTTGGACCAGAGTTTTGCAAGTGGTGATTCCAGTAGGAATGTTGCCAGAGAGGTTATTTGTACCCAAGTTCAAGATGATCATATTGGAGTGAAGGCAAAGGTAGCTTGGAATTCTTCCTCTGAGATGGTTATCGGACAGATCAAGTACCCAGAGATCGCTATACCAGCCAAGTTTTGGAGGTATGGTCCCGCTAAGGGAGTTCTGAAACAGCTGCAGCATGAAGAGTCCTCTTAGATACTGAAATCCCAAGGGAATAGGACCCGTTAAACCATTGATGGAGAGATCAAGCTTTGACAGATTCTTCAAAGTAGAAAGCTCCACAGGGATGGTACCTGTGAGTTGGTTCTCAAAAAGATGAAGAAGCTCAAGCCCCTCTATGTTCCCTAACTCCAAAGGTATCTCTCCGGTCAAAGCATTTCTCGAGAAATCTATCTCAATTGCATTTGAGAGATTCCCAATCTCTCTCGGAATCGTTCCATTCAACCCATTTCTGTAAAGGTAGAGATACTCCAGCGACTGAAGGTCCCCGAGCTCTTTCGGGATTGGCCCGACAAGCTGGTTCTTGTAGAGAGCAAGGGTTTCTAAACTTGTGCAGTTGCTAATCTCCCTGGGGATAAACCCTGAGAACTCATTTTCCCAAAGAATCATCTGTGAAAGTTTCTTGAGCATTCCAATTTCTTTTGGTAATTCACCACTTCAACTGGTTCTGTGCAAGACCAAGCATGACCAAGCTCTCACATCCACCAATCTCAGAAGGCAAACTTCCAGAGATCATGTTTTGACCGGCTCGGAAGCTTGTCAGTCTCTTGAGGTTGCCAATGGAACGTGGCAATTGTCCACTGATGTTGTTACTGTAAGTCACCAGTTGAGAGAGAGACAAAAGGTTCCCAATCTCCACAGGGAGAGACCCTGAGATTCTGTTGTTGTAAATGATCAGATTCTCCAAAGACACAAGCTTTCCTATTTCCAAAGGTATCTCACCATCAAACTGGTTATTGTTTAGTTTCAGAATCTCCAAGCTTGAACAGTTCCCAATCTCCTTAGGAATACTCCCTGACAACCCATTATATGACAGATCCAGCTGCTTGAGATGAACCAATCCACCTATGCTTGGTGATAGCTTACCTGAGAGAACCATCGACGAGAGATTCAAGGACAAAACCTCTGGATCACTCGAATAATTGCTGCACATGACGCCGGTCCATCCACAAGGTATAGAATCACTTGAATTCCAGTTTCTCAAATTCTGCATATCATCCACAAACTTGCTCTTGATGTCAAGAAGATATTGACCTTCTAAGTTCAAGCCTGTTGTCTCAGAGATCAAAAGGATAAGAAGAAGAGATATGAAAAAAACAGCAAGCTTCATCATTTCCTTTACCATTCATCCATACATAGAATCCCTTAAACCTTCCTTCGAAGACATCAAACAAGATGTAATCATGTCTGCAAAAACCTCTCTTTGCATATCTCTTAAAGACTAAATACCATAAAACCATCTAAAAAACTCAATTCATCTTGCATAACAAGCATATTTGAAAGAAGAACACAGGCTCTAAACTATGGATCTGGATCCAAGACACATACCTCTGAAAATTCTAGGCAAGAAAACAACCTTTGAAACTGGTTTCAGGAAAGGAAAAAGAGAAATAGAAGAAGAGGTGCAGACCTTTTTTTCTCCTTTCCAAGAAAACAATATTAAAAGGAAATGGTCAAGCTATGATTAGTTTTTTGATCATTGAAAGCTTTGAAGTTTGAAATTTGCTCATTAAAAAAATCTTCTATTCGTACTGGCCTGTCTTTTAATATTAGTTTCAGAAGCCTATCAGCTTTGCTTTTGTTTATTTCAAGTAAAAAAGAAACTCAATATTCGTTTTGCCTTTGAAGCAACAAATAAAGAAAGCCAAAAATATATGAATTAGTCAAAGTGAGAACTAGAAGGCTTAAAAATGATGGTCCTTTTTGTAACTTTGAAGGTATAAAACTCAAGTACTCAAATCAACAAGATAGAGATGGCCGACATGGCATGGGAACTTGGCTTTCCTCATTCGCTCACGATCTCATTTTCGTGCATTATTCTAATGTAAAGTATCAATTATAGTCCAAGCAAAACAGTTGTTTTAATCTTCTATATACAGATAACAACCAAGATAACAACTGGAGAAGGGACAACAAGCTCGACTATCAGTTATAGTCCAAGAACAACAAATACTTCGAGAAGCTTGTCAATTTTGAGACCAAACTCTACTCTTGTAATGAGACTACTAAGAAGAGGCAATGACAAGTACCCACTTGATCATGCACAGAAATAAACCTAATTGACTGTTCTCGGCTACCAATATACCGAACCAAGCTATGCATATTCCAAGATTGGTATGAGAAGTACCTGAAGTGGCTCCAACAATTCCTTCGATGAGGAATGTAAGAAGAAACGCGTTCTCGTTCCACAGGAGACGGTCTAATCATTTTATCACCTCTCTCTCTTTCTATTGTTTTTCCCTTTCATGGTTGTCGCACTTGGTTTCTTGGACGAAGAAGATGACCCGAATACTACGCCGGAGGAGCTCGCCGGATCCGCTGTATCTCAGTTTCGATTTTTAAATCGTTTTATGTACTAAATGGACTGGAAATGGTGTGCCGTTTTCTAAACAACAAAACGGCGTTTAATCTGGTTGTTATATCGTTTTTTTACAGAACAAAACGACTGTGTTTTGCGTCGTGTCTAAATTTTTTAACAGATCTATCTTCTATTATTAATAGTACAATTAAGGACTAAACTTTGTAGCTTAAGCATTTTGTTAATATCTATTACTTGACCATCTAGACTCAAATCTATGGCATATACATATAGTGATGTATGAATTATGAAACAGAACAAATTGGAAAATGATGAAAAATGGATCCACATTAGCTCACTAACAACATAACTAAAAATTAAAAACGACTATTAGATATAAATTGGTGGGCACTATTCAGTGAGTCAGAATAGCACGTGAAACATTATATTTCAAAAATCCAGCTTACAGTGATCTACGCAAATTATGATGAATTCCAGAGCAAAAGTGATCACTAAATAAAATACAAATTATAAACCCAAATCAAGTTATTAACACTAATTAATCAGGCTAAATACATAGTGAGTAGACTTAGTAATAGTTACCGTTCGAGTTATTACGATTAGGACAAGCGTTAGCAAAATGTGAAGGATCACCACATGAGAAGCACCTTATACCACTCACTGGCTCTCCAGTTGCAGAGACAAAGCTTGTTCCAGAGTTACGTCGTCCTCCACCGCTTTGGCCGCCTCTACCTCCACGGCCACGACCACGGCTTCCACGTCTACCGCTTCCGCCGCTATTAGACCCTGTTGTTGCATTCCCACTACTGTTGTTAATGCTATCTTCCCATCTGTTTACAAGCAGTGCAAACAAAAAGCTGATGTGTTGAGTTCGATGGAAGAGATTTTTTGAGTGATGTGAAAGGGAAAAAAAAGGATTTCTGCTAAGAAATTGTGGTAAAACCCGACACTTACGCAAAGAAACTGCAGCCCTGTGTTGGACATGAGAAGAATTGTCTTCCCTGTTAGCTTCTGTGTTGGCTGTACGAATAACACATTGTGTTCCACAAGTGTTACATGAAACTGTACTTTCATCTGCAATATCACCAACGATATTCGAATGTGATTACATGTCAATAAGGAAGACTTAATCTGGAAAATTTGCTTGAAATTTGACTAGTTTATAGTACATACTAGCAAAGGCTAATTGATGATCTTTTTTTGCTAAAATATTATACAAGGATCAGTACCGTTTCTCGGATTTGTTGCAGTAGGACGAGAATTTCGAGATGCTGTAACCCGTGAGGGACAATTAGCAGAAGCATGTCCTCGTTGCTGGCAATGTATGCAGACATTACTCTGTCTTGTGTTGCTTCCTTGGATATTGTTTGACGGTACAGTACCTGGAGCTCTCCTTGCTGCAAGAACAAATCATTGATATTTTTTAGAGTAAATGTTCTCTATTGGCAAGACACTTTACTAAAGGTCTTGCGTTCTCATTTAGGACAGAAGATGATGAAAGAAAGTTTGTATGATGTCTTAATACAAAAGTATATGTATTGTGGAACTACAAAGCACTAACCTTGAGAACGGGATCCAGTTCCACATATGTCTATCAACTGTTTAAGAATGTCATCACAGCCACCGATGCAACCTGATCACAAAATTACCATAGGACATATTAGAAGAAGTCACGATGAAATTGTTACCGTGAGCCATTAAAAACAAGACAACAAAATGGCTGCAAATATTTTACCTAAGTGATTAACATCAAAGCCTGGTGGAATTCCAATTTGACGGAACTTGAAAAGTATCTTGTAGACTGGGCCTACAGGAAAAAATTGCACCATTAGACAAATGTTTCACATGTAAATGCTGTGTCATCCAAGTGTAATATAGTTTTTGGATTTTAGTTCACTGTTATACTGGAGAATCTGTGGCCATACCTGGACCACAGGTTTGACAAACATCAGTAGTGACAGATGCTTCCAGTGTTGGTCCAGGAAGCCAGACTGCATTTCGACACTGAAGAAAGGCAAATGTGTTAACTTAATAGGTGCAAGCAAGGATAGCATAAACGAAGAAATACTGAAATGTCAAATTATTGGATCCTATTTCTCGGAAATAAGGTTATACAGAGAGCAAAAAGTATAAATTTGCAACAATTTATACAGTATGTAAAGAGCGGTGAAATTCTGACCTGAGGATAATTCATGCACCCAACCATGAAATTGCCATCCTGCAAAGACAGGGCATAGACCGTTTAACCTTTGCTTCCCATTATCAATAGGGAGAAGAGCAATTCATATACCACATAGAAAATATTGTTCAGACAGAATATCTATATTACCCGGTTCTTCCTGAGTGCCATATGTGATTCATTGCAGAGATTGCATCGTCGGACAACTTCACCAGCTGTCTGGCTTTCACTTTCATCAGTGTTATTAGATCTGCACATGCAGTATCATATTATATCACAAAAAAATAGACTTCAGCTACACAGTACTGAACAAAGTAACGAGACTACCTTTCAAAGAAAATTGTCATTGCTTCTAGGAGCTTTGATTTTTTTACTCTTGCCTGCGAGAATTAATTTTGTGAATAACAAATAGAAAAACACGGCATTCAGTTTCAGCCTACTGTGCTGGCAACAGCTTCAGAAATAACAGATTTGGCCACAGAGTGAAGGCAAAAATCTATAAAAAACAGCTGACTCACATCTAAGAAACAAGCTTTCATTTGCTGCAAACATGATTCAAGAACCTCAGCTTTGGTCTTCCTGCCAACACTAACTTCATTCATATCATTTTCCATAAGGGCTCTGAGATTTGGTTTCCAAAGTTCATACCTGAGAGAAAAACGTCAAAAGATTGGCAACAAGAAGACTGACACACAACAGAGTCTTAGGGGGCTCTTCAAAAGGGGCTTGATACAAAGGAGATCTCTCCAAATAGATAGGCTCTTAACATAAAAAATATAAATTCTTTAATCAGTTTCCTCTTATTAGAAGGGAAATATGATTGAAAGCCACAAATATATAATGATATATGAAGGAGCCTCCAAATTGTTTGGAACGTAAGGAAAATTTGTATTACATCACATGCAGTCTTATTCTTATACATACCCCATGTCATCATATCCCATCACAAGCGCCTCACCCTGAAATGAAATCAGTACAGTAAGCTAACTTCAGAAACGCTGAACAGACATATAAAGGGCTAAGAACATATAAATCAAATTATCCCAGCTAGAGTAGTCTTGCAATAACTCCAGTAAATAAAGTTAATTCAGATGTTTTACAAAATACTTTAGAGTTCAGACACTATATATAGATACACAGTTTTGCTATAACCAAATAAAGTTCATAAAGATGTTTTTATAGTTTAGAGACCAGAAAACAGTAACCAATATATGTCTAGGCTGAAGTTTGACATTAAAGTATATTTTTCAAGATAATCATTATGTTTTGCAATGCAAACTTAAAGCCTATGAAATATCCTAGGAACTTATATATGGTCACCAGCAGTTCCTGATTCTAAAGTGTAGGCGTTATTAACACCCAAAAGCAGTTGTAACCCTAATCTTCATGCTGCCATAATTCTCACTCTAAAGGGTTGAAATAAATATACATAGTATAGAAATAAAAAAGACAAAAGGGGAAAATTCATTAAGTTTTTAGTATCATATCAGCTACCAGGTTGGTTGGAGAAAACCGCGTATTAGCATCCTTTGTTGCATAACCCCGATCAAGGAGTTTCTTTATGTGGTCGTGCATTGTCGCATCGGTGCCAATGCCTGCCTAACATTCACAAAAGGTAGGATAATAAAGAGTTACAAACATAATCGGAAGAATTTTGGGGATAGGTGAACAAGAGTATGCAAATACCACCACGAAAGGAAGGGGAAACAAAAAAAATTTACATCACCTTGTCCATACAACTCAGTAAGTCAGCTTCACACAATAGCGGTGGTGGCCTCGTTACAGCTGAATCAAGAGTCAAAGTTGTTGGGATAAACTGCACATTACCAAGAAATTCAGAAATGTCATCGATTGTCCAGGCTGTAAGAACTAAGAAGTAGGGTAAAACAAAACAAATCCAAGAAGCGAATGTTAATCAGAAATTTCAGTAGTTAGACAGCCTCCTGTTTTGGGAAAAAAATGTAAGCCTCATTATGTCTCAGGGAGAGTCCAGTAGATTTAAATATAGAAGACTGTCAGAATTTGGCTAGAAAACCAGCTCCCTGGGCACAGTTTTATGCCAATAAACAATCAGTCTCATCCATATAGATAAAGCAAACTGTGTTTGGTTTTCCACATTTGTAGCAATTACTATTTGTTTTGGGACACTTAAATAATAATAATGACAGCAGTTTTTGGACTAGAAACTACAATGCAAAGTTATGCCGTTCAATTGCATTGTAGTTAGTAGTTAAGTAATGTAACTTATAAGCAAGGACAAAGTAGTTTATTCAAATGAGACTTAGCTTATTTTTTATTTATTTATTTCTTTTTTTTGTCAAAGTTCAAAAGAGACTTAGCTGAGATATAGAAATAAACAACCTGCTGCCCTTTTTCATACCCGGGAATCACTGAACCACCCCATGATTCAAAGCGGTACACCTCAAGGTAATTTTTCTAGTCACACAAAGAAAATTAAGGTCAGTATCAAATTAATTAGTGAAGGGACAAGTAGGGAATAAATATGCTTGCAACAAATAGCAGCTTTACATTTTATTTTACTACCAAAACAGGAAACATCTTAACAAGCAAATTAGCTTCATATTTTATTCCACAGAAATTACGACTAAAAAGTAGTGAGTGAAGAGTCTTACAGCTGATATTACTCTCCCAGATGCAGAAAAGCGTTCACCAGCAATATCAATCTCGACTGTAGTTTCAGCAGCAACTGCTGGCTGGGAAACACATGCTAGGTAATGGCGGACAACTAGCTCATATACATTCTGAAATAGTGAAAAAAAAAACGTTGGCTCCAATGGAGAAAAAGATCATACCTATGCTTGGGTATGTTGACCAAACTGACAGCCATACTTACAAGGTGATCTCTACTCCAGTTAGACTCTCCGCTAGAAAACTTTGTCGGGTGAATGGGTGGGTGAGCCTTGTCATCATGACCACCATTACCAGGGTTTCTCCAGAGGTCCCCCTCAGGCTCTAATAGTCTTTGTGCATATGAACCCCAGGCAGGATGTCTTGTTTGTTCCTCCACCATAGCCTAGACAAAACTAGAGATCCTAAGAGACTATCAAAGGAAATCATAAACTCCAAATTAACCATACTAGCTCATAAGGAAAATTTACTCACACGTAAATCTGTCCTGCTAGAAAAAGAATCAGTCTCTGTACGAGGATAGCTGATGAAACCAGCCTGGTATAATTCTTCTGCCACCTATCCAGACATTTTTTATGTTATTAAACAGAGAGCTGTAATTGTGATTCAAAGACATATCAGCCTATACGACAGCAGAAAACTCTACCAAGATATAATATAATTTAGATTATGTTGAAACATGCACTCCAAATAGGCCAAAGAATCATAGGAACGTATCTGAACCAATCTAATACTCATTCAGACCTTCATGGTGTGCTCTGAACTCAGGCGGAAGTATCTTGAAGCACGTTTTTCAAGTTCAATGGTGTTCAAAGGATAAGGAGGATATTTGAATCGTTCCCTTGGATGTGGGACATTCATTACCTGGATGTAGATGATAAGGTAAATACATAATATCAACTAGAAAGACTTAGTGTCAGATAATAAAATTCCGTCTGATAAGATGTATCCTTTTTTACTCACAGTGGCAGTAGGTTCCTCAACGCACATCTCATATAATATGACAGCTGAAGCGTAATCGAAAAGATGACCACGCCTGCAATAGAAATTATATCAATGCAGCTTTCAAGAAGAATAGATTTGTGAAAGCAATAAGCAAGGCAGTTGAAAATAGTACATCCAATTAAAGGTGGCAAGGCCTTCTTCTGATTGGTGCGAACAGTTGATTGTCCAAAACTCTTCTGGTTCATGTGCCTGGATCTCCCAGTATCGCTCTACAATAAAGCCAAGTGTAGGAAACTGCAGTTGAAGCAGAAAAAGATCAAACCTAGCTGCATAAACTGGATCTGATGCGTATAATGGGACAGATAGTTCAGAAAATTATCGATACTGGTTTCACATTACCTGACAAGGACCATAACTTATAACACGACTCCTCTCCTCACCCGTGGAGTCAATAGCAAACCTATCTCTCAGCAGCATAGTCTGAAATCTAGTGAAAGAAGCACCAATGCGTAGGTCTATTTCCTAAAGTATTCAAAAAAAAAAACATTATACAAATCTGTAGAAAATACTGCTAACACATAAACAGAACAGGGATTTCAGGAGAAACTCACTTGTCTAGCATCTACAGCCTCAGCAAACAATTGATTAGGATCTCTAAGATTCTGAACTGCTTCATGAATATCCCTAGCAATTCCAATGCCAACGAATCATTAAACTTGGTTCAATCGTTTGAAATAGAGTGATCAGTTAAAATAGTGTGTTAAGCAATCTCTACCTGTCAATTAACGCAGAGAAATGAGCCCTGCGTATAAAAAGATTATGTTTGACAGCTCTGCAAACATCTACAACTTCAAATGCAATGTTTTCACCTTCCCTATCACAATCAAGCCACAGCACAAGCCAGTCGCTTTTCCTTGCTTCCTCCTCCAATGTCTTCTTAATATCCTTTTTGTCCTAACTCGCTCAAAACCAGAATTAAACAAAACTTGAAAATCAGAAAACCCCAACTTCATTATAAAGGCGAATCAAAGATCCTAGTCCCATTTTCAGCAGTTGCAATTACCAAAACAAATCAGACCCAATCAACAATTCCTAGTTAGAGAATCAAATACCCAAAATTACACAGAATTATACCATTAGGCGTGCACACACATAAAAGTACAATGGGACATCAAATACCTCGGGAACGTGTTTCATGACCGGAGCTTGGTACAGATCTGCCGGGTCACAGGAGTGCCATTTGCGGTAACGATCGGCGAACTCAAGCTCCATCAGGTGGCCAATGACGGAGGTCATTAGCATACGACATGGCTGGCCATTGATGGCGTAATCGAACTCGAAGATTTTGTTGTACCGAGACCTACCCTCCCGAGTCCGGAAAGTTCCACGGGATAGAATCCCCGCCACTGACTTCGCCACGGACGGCTTCTCCGCCACGTTCAGCACCGTCACGGGGCCACCGCCTCGTCGCGACATCGCCGGAAAAGAAAAACCCTAACGGTTAGTAATTTCGACTTTTTTCAGCAGGCGAAGTTTCCCGCTCTTGTGAGGCTTCTTTCCCACTGGAGTCTCTTCGACCGAAAAGCAAGGGTTTAATTTAATTCTGATTTATTTTTTTGTTCGAAATCTTGAGGAAACTATAAATAGATCCATTTGTTCTGCTTTATTTTCTTGTGGGCCGGCCCAACGTTTCTTCTTTAAAAACTGAGGGCAAAGTTACCCATACTTTTTTATATACTACTAGGTTGTGTGACATAGGAAACTGTATGTGTCTGTATAATTCACAATTTTGTGAATGTAGTAGTGATCTTAAGCATTGTTGTGTCATATATGTGTCTCTATGGTTCTTGCATATATTTTCAAATACTAGGCCGAGTTAGTATTAGTATACCAAGGAAACACACTACAACTACTATGCATCTAGGGTAAGGACCCGCTGACCAAGAGAGTTAGAATTAGTCTTTAAATAAAAGTTGATATATTCAAAAGAAATTTGAAGCCCTTAAAATTTTAGAAACTAAATTCTTCTATCTCATCTTTTTGCCAAAACATTTCTAAAAACTTACACATCTTCCAGGAGCGTTGTACACTAAACAACCAATCACAGCAGAATTCACAATAATAGTCACGCGGAGAGCACAAGATTAATCTGTAGACGACCTTCTGATTAACCGTTTCGAAGGAGTGATCAAACTCGTAGAGCTTTCGAAAGTGGAGCTTGGGGAAAGTGTCTACGACTATAGAGTGTGAGAGGTTAAGGATCTCGAGGTTTTTGAGGCCATTGAGGAGGAGGCGTGAAAGTCCACGCTGGTAGAGGAAAGAGCATCGCAAACTCAGTATCTTCAGGGACTGGAGGTGAAGCACGATTTGATCAGCTAAGTGTTCGTCCAATAAACCCACAAATTTCAAGTTGGTGAGGTTTGTGCAGTTCTCTCCCACGGCTTGGAGCTCGAGTGTCCCTGTGTTCAAAGGGTTTTTAATGATGACCAGTGTTCGGAGATTCTTCCATTGACTGAATGCAACCGGAATGAATTCTCGCTTAGACTGCTCCACATCGGTAAGACAAGTTTTTCAACGTTTGGCATCCTGAGGAAAAAAAAAAAAAAAAACAACGTACTATGTATGCATGGGATGGTTTGATTTTTTTTCTTTCAAAAACAACATGTAATTATAACGTTTTAAAAGACGACCGAGATTCACCTCTCGGCAGCTAGCACAAGTTCCTTGTCTTGTATATAGGAATACAAGTTAAAGAACAAATTCCTTGGGGCCGTGCAGCTCAACTTAGTGATCTCAATCAATAGATTGCGGAGGTTGTTTTGGCCTTCTTTTATTTGACGATATTGAGGGGCATAGGGACTGAAGTACAAGCCTATGTTGAGAGCGTTTTGCCTCTCGCGCTTCCGAATATCTATACCGAGATCCAGAGGGTCGACCCGGGGATTGTAGAAGAAAGAATTTTCATGACTAACGACGAGGTTGATGGTGTTCCACAGCGTACTGTTCTGTGCGGCAAGGAACCAAGAGGTGCACACACGCGAAGCTCCCATGGTAACATCCATCATCTCGAGCTTGCCGAAGATAACGCCAAGTATGTCTCCGCTCAGATTTTCCCACTTGGGATCTTGTTCTGACTTGATTTCCATCGATCGCTAGCTAGATTGCAACTACAAAATATGTAGCAACATTTTAGATAGTCGTAGATTCTTGAAATTCACATAAGAGAAAAAGATAACGTTCAATAATAAGTAATAAGAAACCAACATGAAAACTTTTACATCCAAACTTTAACTAATATCGTATACAAACTCTGCCTTTGCAGCACACAATTCCAGCAGACAAAGACAAGCAAAGGATGGTCCTTTTTAGTGTAGATTTCTTACGACTTGTAAATTATTTGTATTTTTATGGGCAATCCTAATTAAGTGAAGAATCCATTTATTACTATTCTTTGACCGCAAGTTCATATTTTTCCTTTTCGGTTTCCTACTTTCTTTAAATTTCTTAGATAATCAATCTCCTTAAATATTTTGATGGCAATCCTTAGTCAAATAGACTTTTACCGCAAGTTACGTACTATAACCCGTTTTCTATTTACTTTATTATTTTTAAAGATAATTTCCTTAAAGTTCTATGTTCTTGTGAATCACGACGACCGGTTCATGGTCCCTCAGCCGGATAGTTTAGAAATTCGGTTAAAGTTCATCTCGCAATTGAAATTGAATAAAAACCGGACCCGGATCCGGTTAGCTTCTTAATGAGATATTGAGATCATTTCAATTTCTAAGTACACTTGCAAAATAAAGATTTTTCCATTATGCACTATAGACTATAGTCCTATAGGATCAGGGTCTAATAAAGCCTCCTGATAATTTACAATCGGTAAGAAAGAGATAAAGTCAACGAGTTGACTAAAATGAAAACTTCTCCGATAGCAATCTCCCTTCTCTTCGCCCTCCTATCGCCGGTTCTTCTACCTTGCTCCGGCGATTTCACCGGCGGCGTCGAGTTAGAATCTCCTCCGACCGTATGTATCGTCGGGAGTGGAATCGGAGGCTCATCCGTAGCTCACTTCCTCCGTAACTACTCTGTTTCCACCGGCTTAAATCGAGCCAAGATTCTGATGTTTGAGCGTCACGAGATAGTCGGTGGGCGCATGAGGACAGTTACTGTATCCGGTGATACCTTCGAGGCCGGTGGTTCGATTCTGCACCCGAAGAACTATCACGTTAAGGATTTCGTCGAGAGGTTCAATTTGACGGTTCGATTGCCGACGCCGATTGAAGAATCCTCAGCGATTGGAATCTGGGATGGGAAGAGATTTGTCGTCAAGACATTCGGTTCCGGTACCAAGTTTCCGTTTTTGGATACGATCGTCTCTTGGGTGAATGATCTCTACTTGTTCTTGCGTTACGGGTTCTCACTGTTAAGAATGAGCAGCTTCATTGAGGTATTTAAATGTAGAACCTTTTGATTTCAGAATTGGTTATTAATTGTTGAATCTGTAGCAAGGAGGAATTAGTTGTTGTAAAGTGATTTTACTTGGGAATGATTTCTTACTTCTGTGTGTTTTTTGAGGATGTTTTCGTAACAGTGACTTGATTTTGCATCTAGGTGTGTGTGTGGATCCTTTTCTGTGTTGTTGACTGATGTAGATTTTTGTGTATGTAGAATACAGTTGATAATTTCTTGAAGTACTATGAAAGCCTAGAATCAAGACCTATCTTCGACAATGTTGAAGGGATGCTTAAATGGTCAGGCTTGTACAATCTCACAAAGCTCACTCTACAGGATAAATTGTCTGAAGCTCAGCTTTCTCCTTTATTAGTCAACGAGCTAGTTACCGTAAGCTTTCTCACATTTGCAGCTAAAACTGTCCTTTCAAGCCATTTTAATCTCTTTTTGCTATATGGTGTAACATATAACTCTTCTCTTTTAACAACTTTTGCCAATTATCCTCCTATTACAATTTTGTGTGTGTTTATGTTTATTTTCTCTCCAGGTTATTACAAGGATAAACTATGGACAGAGTGTACTCATCAGTGGGCTAGCAGGTGCAGTTTCTTTAGCTGGTTCAGGTGGAGGATTATGGTCTGTTGAAGGTGGAAACTGGCAGATGGCTGCAAAGCTGATTAATCATTCAGATGTTATGTTACACCTGAACGAGAAAATTGAATCCATTTCACATCTCGGTAACTATTACGAGCTTAACTCCACAAAAGGAAACAGCTACAAGTGTGATGTCACAGTAGTTGCCACACATTAGACGAGGTGGATATTCAGTTCTCACCCGCGATCTCAATTCCCAAGAGGGAACTACAACACACGCACACAACATTCGTGAGGGGACTTTTTAAACCCAGTAAGTATCAATCACTGTCTGGAGTTTTAACTTTATTCCTGATCATGATTTCTGACTCCCAAATAATGTGTGTTGTTTTCTCTATGAAAAGGAATACTTTGGGATGAAATCGCTTTCGGATGTTCCAGCTTTGGTGGGAACCCTGAAGATCCTCTAATCCATTCTCATGCATCTCAATTCTAAGGAAATATAGTAAAACAGATATGACATACAAGATTTTTACGCGACAACCTGCATCAGATTCGTTGCTTGATGAGCTCTTCAGGTAGTTACAACACAACCTCTGTCAGATTTCATTATTGAAGCACATCTGTGCAGTTTCATTAAAACTTGTTTCTCTTCTTCTTTAACAGTAAGAGAATCGAAACCGTTCGAATAGACTGGGGTGCATATCCCAAGTACCATGCGCCTGAAGTTTTCGCACCTTTCATATTGGATGACCATCATTTGTACTATGTGAATGCTTTTTGAAAACGCAGCGAGCACAATGGAGACAAGTGCAGTGGCTGGTGAGAACATTGCGAGACTCATAATTTCCAGATTCATGACAAAGGAATCATCATCTTCCTCGGACAAAAGAAGCTGTAGTTCTGGTCTGCACTCAGACTTATAAGCAACTTTGGTCCCCACATGAACAAGGACTTTGACTGTGTGTTTTGAAGAGGAACATGATGTTTATGTATGTATATAGACACAGAAAACTTTGAACACTGTAATTGTTTTGAGTTACTCTGATTGTGTTTGTTCCTCGTAACCTAATTGAAAGCTTCTTTTTTTTTTTTTTTTTTTTTTCAGTTCTTGAATCAGACTAATCAGAGAAAGTTGAGAATCTTTAGTACCAGCCCATAAACAGCTACAAAGTTGATTCAATTAAATTTTTATAAAAAATATTTTTATTTAGTAATGCATAAATGATAAAGCAAATTTTCTAATTAGCTTTGTTGATAAATCGGGTAAATATTAATGTAAATATTTTAATAAGATTAAAATAAGAATCCTCCTAAAAGAGCTAAATTATTCTGCAGAAGACGCGTCTTCTTCTTTGGTAGAAATCAGAAGCGAAGAAGAGATCAAATCAATCCGATCGGAGATGGGTTGCTTCAGTTGCTTCGACGGAACCCAAAAGGAACAGCGTAAGGAAGAAGAGAGACAAGCCTCCGCCGAAGCTCGCGCCAGAGCCGCCGAAGCTGCGCAGCGACGGTTTTTATCTCTTTTCTCTTCGCCTCTATTGAAAAATTGATCCTTTAGGGTCGTTTTAGAATCTTAAATTCCTCTAAAATCTTAAAATTTTGAAATTGTAGAAAATGGATTTTGATTTTGGTATTGGTAACGCAGGAAAGAGCAGTTTGATAAGTCTGCAGCTGGAAGAGCTGCACAAGCTCAATTACAACAAATGGCTAAACAATCTGCAAATACTAACAAAGGAGAGCCTGTTCTTAAGGTTTCTTTTTTAATAACTTTCCTCTGCTTTTTCCTCAATTTAGTGTATCATCATCAAGTTAAAGTTTGCTCATTTAACTTTATCTTTGCTATGAATTGCAGTGGCAAATGACGTAGTGATGAGACCGGGTTTTGAAGGAATCGAATTGTGAGATTGGTTCATTGTAAATTGTGTGCTTTCTCAATGTTTGCAAGACCTTTTAATAAGAATGGAATGCTTATTTTCTTCTTATTATCTGATTATCATTTTACTTTGCAAAAAAACAAAAACAGGGTACAATGTTAAGATCACCTCTCTGTTTTATTGTGAGCTCTGGACTAACTATACACTGTATGTCTGTATCCAATAAAGAGTTGTTTAGAGCAATGTTAGAATCTCAAGTCAAATGAGCTGATAGCTTTAGTTTCTGCCGCATGAGCCTAAGATTCATTTATGCATGTGTGATTTATGGCAATGTTCTTTAGTTCAATGATGGATCTTTTTGCTATTGGGGACATGTTTCTGCGTCTGACACACATATAGAAAGGAAATTGGTACCTCAGATTGAGCAAGTTTGAGCAGAGTTTCAGCATCATCCAGACGAATACTCTTTGTAGTGCATTGTCTTGGTTTCTCTAAAGATTCATATACAATCCTTTAAAAACTGATGAGAATATGAATCCAATTATTTGATTTGATTTAACTCACATTTAGTAGTAGACAAACACATTTAAAGACAAAGATGAACCAAGTTATAAGTGGACATCAAGAGTGTTACTACACATTTTCTCCCAAATATGTAAGATCAATCTAATTACATGAGAAAAAACCAGGAGAGTGTTATTTGTGAGACTTGACTCTTCTGCAGAATCATTTTCTGCTCTTTCCTTCACAAGAAACTTATGGCACATGACGGTACCAACAAAATCAAGCATTCCATGTTTCACAAGCTCCAGCCGCTCGGAACTTTCCATTACCGAGAACCCAAACCGCTGTGTCCAAGTGGTCACAACCTCTTTTGCAGCCGGTAAGACCAGTCTACAAACTCCCATCTGAGACATTTGCTTCTCCAACTCATCCATCAACACTCTGCACATCCCACTTCTCCTGTAGTTAGACAATGTCGCCACCAAAGGGATCTCGACTACATCTTTGTCAACTCTCACTGCAGCCACCGTAATAGGCTCGTTCTTTCTCTCGATCAAGACTGTGTAAAACCCGCGTCCCACTCCTGTTCTGTCTTTCCTGAATATCAGTTCCTCAACAAGGTCTCTCCCAGAGAAAACATCTTTGGTAGGCTCAAACCCTTGGTGAAGTATCTCAACAGCAGATTCTAGCTTGGAGATTTGTTCATCATCATAGTGTTCACCTTCGTTCGGAGCTCTCATCAACGTCCAGACCAAATCACCGTTGTCGCCTACTGCAATCTTACATCCTATGAGATTCTGAAGGGCGGAAGAGACTCTGTTGCATTGACTACTACAGAACCAGCCTCTACTGGAAACGTTACAAGGCTCTTCTTTCAAACACTTGAGATGGAATCTTCTTTGGCACTGCTCACAAGCCATCAACTTGCTGTTTGCCGGTGAATCCATTGATCCACAAATATCACAGCAGCAACAAGGACAGAACCAGTGGTCTTCCTCGGGAAGACTCGACAAACCGAGGCAAGTATGATGAAAAGCTGAAGGACAACCATCACATAGAAGCAAATCTCCACCCCAGTGACAAACACAACACACATCACAGTTCATGTCCGGACTACAATCTTTTCTACAGAATCTTAGAGACTCTTTTTCTTGCTTGTTCTTCTGCTGCTTCTTTTCCATCACTTGTAAGACCTTCTTCAGAGATTTCTCTATCTTCGGCCTTCTTATCTCTTCACCCGCCGTCTTCCTTCTCTTCTTTTGTTGTTCATGTATTACATCAACGTTGAGAACGATTCTGATCTTCTCTTGGTCCCCATTAAACGCAGCCGTATCACAATCCTCCACTCTATTCATTAGCTTCTTCTGTTGTTGTTTCAATACATCAAAATTTGGAACGATTTTGATAAAATCAGAGGAATGACTCTCTTTTTCCGGAGCTGTGCTATTGATATCCAAATCCTCAACCCTACTCCTTTTCTTACTCTTCTTCTGTTTTTGATTCGATACATCAAAACTAGACTCCGAGGACAGATTTCTTGGAGAGCAAGACAAGTCATATTTGGGAACAATTTGTTGTTGTTGTTGTTGAGAGTCTTGGTCGACACAACTCATACAAGCCTTAGCTAAAGAGTAAAACCACCTTCCCTTGGGAGACTTATAACGCATCTCTCGCTTGTTCCCTTTGTTAAAGTAAGAGATTACCCAACCAAGAGCCGAGAGATGTCTCTTCACCTTGATCGCCAAATCCGATCGTCGTTTTCCTTTCTCGATCATCTTTCCATTCTTTACCGTCGAAATCCACTGTTCGATGGCTCCTGGACTTAGCTCCGCTTCCATCTGAACAATATTACACGTCTCCATTCTTCAAGGAAACACGACTTTCGCTAATCGACTAGGGTTTAGCTTATATATAAGGTTCGAGAAAAATAAGGAAATTTTCCTTAAAACAAATCTTATAGAATCTTTTATCGATTTAAAAATATGCTGATATTTTTTCCAAATAGTTTCACATGATAAATTTAAAAAATGGAAAACGTAAGGCTAAAGTATTTGGAAAAATAAAAACTTGATTGGTGGAGAGAGTCCTAAATTCCTATGAGTATTAAGAACCAGTTAGTATATATATAGTTATATACATAATCTCTTTAGTAAAATAATAATTTTTTTAAAAAAGAGATTTGGAAATCAGAACGGCCTTAATACACTTGCGTGTTTTTTTTGTTTTGTTTTGTTTTTGTTTCACATGCACTTTATCTAGGTTTACCTCGTTTTCTAGTATGTATCATCAAAATCAAAACCAAAAACATATGATATTAAAAAAAAAAAGAAAAAAAAAAACAAAAACATATGATTAATAATCTATACATACCGAAAAAATAGGGGATCATTGAATTTGGATCTTTGGATGGAGTAGATAAAGGCGGTTGAGATACTATGATGATGAACAAATCTCCAAGCTGTTGTTGAGATATTATTTCACCAAGGATCTAAGCCTACCAAAATATTTTCTATGGGAGAGATCTTGTTGAGAAATTGATATTCAAGAGGGACGGAATTGGCGTGGGCACCAGGTTTTACACGGTCTTGATCGAGAGAAAGAACGAGTCTGATACAGTGGCTACAATTATAAGAATGGATAAAGATGTAGCCGAGATCCCTTTGGTGGCGACATTCTCTAGTTATAGGAGAAGTGGGATGTGCAGAGTGATGATTGATGAGTTGGATAAGCAAATGTCTCGAATGGGAGTTTGTATACTTGGACTCTGCGGTTGGGGTTTTGGTACTCTGAGAGGCTGGAGTTATTAAAACATGGGAAGATATGCCATAATTTTCTTCCGATAAAAGGAGGAGAAGATCATGTAAGCTTAATTTGCATGAAATCTAAGATCGTTTAACCAACATAACTAATCACCTACTATAAAACTATAAAAGAGAGTTAGCGGAGTACTTTTTTCATTGTACTGGAGATTTCTTGATGAACTGTTTTTCATTGTATTTGAGATATTTTTTTGATAGACTAAAGATATATATTTATATGCAGAGAGATGACCTAATACATCTTTAGGGTTTTCTATTTTAAATATACCGTCCATCAAAGCAGTCGAGGCCCAAAGAGGTAGGATAGAAGTACGTGGGTTGGAGGCCCATCAAATTTTTTTAAAAAATCTTATGTTTTCCAAGGATTGTATATGAAATAAACCAAGAAAATGTACTAGCACATAGAGTATTTGTCTCAACGATGCTGAAACTAAAACTGGTCTCAATCTGAGATACCAAGTTTATCTGATGACCTTGTTCCTCTCTCTCTCTACTCTATGAATACGATTAAAGTCTAAACAATTTTATTGGATATATTGTAAGCCCAAGAAGATCTATGACAAAAGAAAAAAAAAGAAGGTTAGGACAATAGGATTTGGGAGATAATTACTTCCTCTTCTTTGGCGGTTGCACCGAATGGGCTTTATGGGCCTTAATTGATTTTGTAAACCTTACGTTTCAAGGCTTTTTTTGTTGTCTTATATTTTTGGTAGGAAGCTTTTGTTCTCTGTCGCCGGCGACACTGAAACTCAAACGAACACTGTCCTAATTTGAAGGAAGCCGGTGAATCCAAATGTCCATCAATCTGTCTCGTCTTTCGCTTCTCTCGTCCCCACGTATCTCGATTTCAACTCACGCTCCTCACAAAGGTCACTCTCTCTTTTTCTTCCACTCTCTGTTTTGCTCTTTCTCGGGTTTTAGTTAATCTCAGCTAATTGACTTTGTATTCGATTACAAGTTTCAATTTTTAACGAGATTTTTGGTTTAATCAAGCAAGCTGTGAAAGATAGATAAACGAATTTGTTCTCCAATTGCGTTATACAGGATACGTTTGTTGTTCGATGAAGTCTTACCGATTATCTGAACTTAGTTCTTCCCAAGTTGATAGTTTGAAGTCACGCCCTCGCATTGACTTCTCTTCTATTTTCGCCACTGTAACTTTCAAACTCTTCTTCTTCTTCTTCGTTGACAACTTTCCATTTCTCTCATCTTTGACATGAGCTTGGTCATATTTTACCATCAGGTGAACCCGATTATCGACGCTGTTCGTAGCAATGGGGATACTGCTGTCAAAGAGTAAGTGACTCATTCTCTGTCTTTCATTTTCATTCTTCTTATTTCCCCAAATGAGATGGAAATGAGGATTCTTTTTTTTGTTTCAGATACACTGAAAGATTTGACAAAGTCCAACTGAATAAAGTTGTAGAAGATATGTCTGAGCTTTCTGTTCCTGAGGTAGTTGATTAACTTTTTTATATAAATGTTTTGAATGCTCTTTCATTTGTATGTTAAATTCATTTCCTTTCTTTGTATCAATGCTTTTTGTGTTCAGCTCGAATCCAATGTGAAAGAAGCGTTTGATGTTGCGTATGACAACATATATGCGTTTCACTTGGCCCAAAAGTCAACTGAGAAAAGCGTTGAGAATATGAAAGTAAGTCTATTCATTTATACATTACGTTCTTAAGTCTTCTTCACACTAATCTTTGGTTGTGAACTCTTTGGTAGGGTGTCAGATGTAAAAGGGTGTCGAGATCTATTGGTTCTGTAGGTCTTTATGTGCCTGGTGGAACAGCTGTTTTGCCATCAACTGCTTTGATGCTTGCAATTGTATGCTCTCATGTTTATTCTCTTGCTTGTTAATTACTCTTGTAATTCTGTAATAATCTTGTCTTCGTTTTCCTTACCCTATACTTCTCTCTCAGCCTGCTCAAATTGCTGGATGTAAAACAGTTGTTCTTGCAACTCCACCTAGTAAGGATGGAAGCATTTGTAAGGTAGTACCCGAGCTGTCTTTTTTTCCTGGGAATATTATTCATTAGTACTCACTTTTTTTTGTCTATCTTGCTGCTGAGCTCATGAGTTTTTTATCTTGTTTCAGGAGGTTCTGTATTGTGCCAAGAGAGCTGGTGTAACTCACATACTCAAAGCTGGTGGAGCGCAGGTGTGGTTGTGTTGGTTTTTTCCGCTTATGTTTTCATGCTGGTGATTATTTTTTTCTCTCTATGATTGTAGTCATTTCGATTTTGATTTGCAGGCTATAGCTGCCATGGCCTGGGGGACAGATTCTTGTCCAAAGGTTGAGAAGATTTTTGGTCCTGGGAACCAGTATGTTACAGCTGCTAAGATGATTCTTCAAGTACAGATACCGTTCCTCAGTTACTTATGGTCTCAACTTGTGTAAACTACTCTTTAACCTTTTGTTTTCCTCTTACTGCAGAACAGCGAGGCAATGGTCTCAATTGATATGCCTGCTGGTCCTTCAGAAGTCCTAGTTATTGCTGATGAACATGCTAGTCCAGTTTACATTGCAGCAGACTTACTTTCTCAGGTATTTCCATGAAAAAAATTACAATCTTCAATATAACACATTGGGATGAGTTTGTGTCGTTTTCTTCAGACCTACACAAGGAGCGGCTAACTTATACATTTCTTTTATTGGTTTCTCTACAGGCTGAGCATGGTCCAGATAGTCAAGTTGTTCTTGTGGTTGTTGGCGATGGTGTAGATCTCAACGCCATAGAAGAAGAAATTGCCAAGCAGTGCAACAGCCTTCCTAGAGGGGAGTTTGCTTCAAAAGCACTAAGCCACAGTTTCACAGTGTTTGCTCGAGATATGATTGAGGTACCCTTCTCTCTTTACGTTTCACCTTACTTTTACTATCTCAAAACAACATCTGTAACATCACTGTTTGCTCTTTAATTCTCCAGGCAATATCTTTCTCAAATCTGTATGCACCAGAACATTTGATCATCAATGTCAAAGACGCTGAGAAATGGGAGGGACTGATTGAGAACGCAGGCTCAGTTTTCATAGGGCCATGGACTCCAGAGAGTGTCGGGGATTATGCGAGCGGGACAAACCACGTTCTTCCAACATATGGATATGCAAGAATGTACAGTGGCGTCTCTCTCGACTCTTTCTTAAAGTTCATGACTGTACAATCTTTGACAGAGGAAGGTCTGAGAAACCTTGGTCCTTATGTGGCGACTATGGCTGAAATCGAAGGTTTAGATGCACACAAGAGAGCTGTCACTCTCAGACTGAAGGATATCGAAGCCAAACAGCTTGCCCAAACAAATTGAAAATTCAGATTCAGACAAAAGAGGCAAAAATTCTTTTTGTATTGTATGAACATATTTTGGTTTCCTGAGATTGGATAATAATAAAATAAGAGATGTTGGAAAACTCTTATTACCATCTGGTTTTTCATTATTTGAATCTAAACCCTTCGATAACATTGAACCTTTGACGAAGCACACAATGGGATTCCAAATATATCTTGTTCTTTACAAATGGATTATACAGAAAACTTCAAAGAGCAACAAAGAAAAAATCTGCTAAAGGAATGATAAAATCGTCTTGTTGATCAAATTTTAACAGACCAAACAAAACATGACTTAGTTTTAGTTCTTGCAGTTTTTAATTATTAATACAAGGAGAAGAAGAAGACGAAAGACCTTGTCTTTGTAGCAGATTCAGCGGATGATCTTGAGATGATGATGACATGGACCATGCTTTTGGTGCAATGTCCGGTCTCGGTGGGTACATATCCGTCTACATCAAAAACCACAGCAACTTTCTCCTCCTCGTCAATGAAAAAGCTCCCAGCTCCAACGCGAAACTGAACATGACCAACACTAGTGACTGACTGGTCTCTTATCCAGTTTCAAATACTTCATCCAGAACACAGCGCTCGGCTCAATCATGGTCGTAACCCAAATCTTTAGCGTGTCACACGGATCCTCACCCTGCTGATACAGCACTGCGAGCTGTTCATCTCTAACACAAGAGAGAGCCACAGTCTCTTCATTGTAAGAGTGAAACGGAAGAGGCAGACGCGGTCCAAATCTCTCCGTCGTAAAATCAAAACAGAGTAAGAAATCTTCAATCTCTTCAATGCATAGACTCTCTCCTTGAGGACACTCTATCTTCTCTTGAGCGAAAAAGTTAGGTAAACGTGATTCGTGTTCTCATCGTAATCATCCACAAACCTCAAGATTTTGTGGGTACGGTTGTTCTTATCATATCCGAGAGCATACCTGTCTAGTCTATGGAAACTTGTTCTGGGTCCGATCCACCTTGTTAGACCCAAATTAGGGTAAACACCAAACGGCTCTTTCAAACTTGGTTTCCTTAGATTGGTCGACGTGAAATCATAATTTTTTTTTTTTTGTGTGCAAAAGAAATCATAATCATAATTTGGATTTTTCACTAGGAAAACCTAAATACTTTACTGCTCGAGATCATTGAACCAAAGAGTAGTTAGTGAATGTTGACTTTCGACTAACACAAAAATAGGATTCCAAATATACAAGTTTGACAGTAACTTCAAGATTATACATGATACTTCAAGAGCAATAAAGAAAGAAAAAAAGTGCTAAAAGAATGATAAAATCGTCTTGTTGATCAGTTTCTTCTAGCTCAAGCCGGCAAAGGTTCTTCCAGAACTGCAGCGGGAAAGTAACAGAGCAAACGTTTAGTTCTTGCAAGTCTAACAAGGAGAAGAAGAAGAAGAAGACGAAAGGAAAAACCTTTTGTTTTTGTGATGGATTCAGCTGGTGTGATTTCTGCATTGGATGCGACGGGAGTTTTTGTTGGCACATCCGGAAGATCCAGCTTGTCAGATTCTTCGGACTCCTTCGTAGGCACTTCAGGCATCTCAGCAACAATAAGCTTTAAGCAAAACATACATCACCATGAGTCTCTTTATATAATAAAGATAATAATACACAATTTTGGTTTTTGTAGACCCATACCTGACTTTCTAGGTTGTCAAATTCTGCTAATACATCTTCTTCATCCTCTGCTGATAGTTTCTCTCCCAGTATAGCATTCAGCTCCTGACATTCGGAAATGTAAATAGAGTCATCAAACAAAGAAGCTCGACTAAAAGATTATAGAAGATTCAATCTAGACGAGCTCAGAACAAAATGTGCCACGCAAAGCAGTGATCAACTATGAAGATATTTACATTCTGACAAAGCGGATAACGTAATAATGAAAAACAAATGATAAGAAACCCAAAAGTATTTAGACTCACATCTTGATAAGCTTTAGCATCAGCAGTATCATCCATAAGTTTTTGAACATCATCAAGGTCCAACTCGCTTTGAATGGCTTTAATAGCACTATTACCCTGCTTTAAGCTCTCAAACACAGCCTTTTGTTTGCTCGTAAGTTCAATATCTGCTAACTGAGAGAGTTCACATAAAAGTTTTGAGAATATGTCTCTTTCAAAAGCTATAATGATGCATCAAAAGAGATGATGCTGGGTACAAAACATACACAAAAGGAGAAAGATTTACTTGTTGTTCAACATTGATGACCCACTGATCAACTTGCTTCAATAACTCTTCTTGAGTTCGTTTCTTCCTCAATGCTAACAAAGCTCTGTCCTTTCGCTTTTCGCGGATTAAGTCTCTTGCAGCTTGCTTTTCGGCTTCAATTACTTTCTCAAGCTAAATTAGCAAAATTTGAGAAGATGGGTTAACAAAGAGACGAGCCAAAGAACTCAAAAGCTGGAATTTGTTTTCATCACTATTAACAATCAAAAGACACATATTGTAAAACGAATCAAATCCAATCTCCAATTTACCAATTAGGATTTTGGATGAATCAAAACTACATGATAATCTATTTGATTTGAGATTCCAAAAGAAAGCCCTAAAAATTTGTATCAAAATGAATTAAGAGATAACAAGGGAGAATCAAAAACCTTCTGCTGATATTGACCAAGCTTGCGTCTTTGGGTTTTGAGAGAGAGAATCGCTCGATCAACCTCCGTGATCTGTGGTTTCTTCACGAACAAATTTCCCATCTTTTCTTCACTTTTAACGACTCCAAAAATCAAACAATTCGACGAGCAGAAATAGCAAGATCGAGACGAAATCGATTAAGTTTCTAGATTCCCGAAAAATGTTGGTCGTCAATTTCAAACCAAGTCCCCAATTTTCTCCTTTTCAGTTGGATCAATAGTCTCTGCATATATCTCAAGAGGAAAACACGAACCGGACCGAGAAATTCTAATTCGAGATCGAACCGATTCAATTGGTTTGCTTTCATCCACACTCAACAATCAAAAACCGAAATTGAACTAAGCGAACCGTAATTCTTGCAAAGCGCGGTTAGGTTTGTTCGTTTTATAAATCGGTCGGTCGGATTCTAATAAAACCGACCGGTTTGGGATCATGAGTCTGATTTGAATCCTTTGGCTGGTTCAAAACGTCGTCGTTTGAGCATATGAATCTAAAGCCAGACAGATCCTAAATCTCGTTCTCGACGACGGAACTCAAGGAATAGAGAAAGCAAAGTAGCTAGCTAGGTCCAAGATCGAAGCTTGGAATTTGTAAAACTGTCTCCACATCTTACCCGGTGACTCTCACTCTATTCCTAATCGTTCTTTGTTGGTATTTCGATTTTGGTTGTTATAACTACTTGGGGGCATGATTCGATTTTGTACTTTTTGCTCTTCTCTTGAGTTTAAACATGTATAGATTCGATTTATCTTTCTTATGGATTGAAAGATTAACGGATATGCTGCTTTGATTCGATTTTTATATCCTAGTGAGCTATCTTCTGCTGTCTTTGATCGTTAAAAAGTGGAAATTTGGTCTCTCTCCTTTTACTTGTTTCTCTGGTTTCATCATATTGGTTTTGAATTGGTTATATATTAGTATTAAAGACTTGCTTTACCAGTCCTTATAGATTGTGTTTTACAGTTTTAGCTTCATTTAGTTCCAATGGAACCTGTTCCACCATCTCCCATTACATGGCCAGATGGGGGAAGTCTCACCAACGAGTGGGTACATGGGCTTATGTCTTCTTTCCAATGGTCTTCATGGAATCTACCTCCTTCCCAGTTACCTTCACTATTGCCAGTCAGCGTCTTTGATTCCCTCGTCCTCACCGCTTCCAAAATCCTCCACAAAGAGCGCAACTGCGTTCATATCGATGGCCTTGATTCTGAGTCCAACGTTGTTGTGGTTGGTGACATTCATGGTCAGCTCCATGACCTTCTCTTCCTATTGAAAGATACTGGCTTTCCTTGTCAAAACCGGTTTTATGTATTCAACGGCGACTATGTGGATCGTGGTGCTTGGGGACTTGAAACCTTCCTTGTTCTCTTGTCCTGGAAGGTAGATTCTTAACTAGCTGTTTTGCTATTGGCTCAAGTCTTAGTTTTTCTTAAAGCCCATATCTTTTTGGTTGTTTAGGTTTTGATGCCGGACAGAGTCTACCTACTCCGTGGTAATCATGAGTCAAAGTATTGTACATCTATGTATGGTTTCGAAAAGGAGGTGCTCACAAAATACGGAGACAAGGGAAAACATGTTTACCGCAAATGCTTGGGTTGCTTTGAAGGTCTTCCTTTGGCTTCCATAATTTCTGGACGTGTTTATACAGCACATGGAGGGCTTTTCCGCAGCCCAGTCTTACCTAAGAGAACAACAAGGGGGAAAAAGAACCGTCGGGTAGTTCTTCTGGAACCTGAGCCGAGCTCGTTGAAACTCGGTACCTTAGATGAGTTGATGCAAGCTCGAAGATCAGTTCTTGATCCTCCTTGGGAAGGTTCAAACTTGATTCCCGGGGTCGTTTTATGGTCTGATCCTTCAATGACTCCGGGCCTTTCACCAAATGAACAGAGAGGCATTGGTCTTCTCTGGGGTCCCGATTGTACAGAGGATTTTTTGAAGAAATATGAACTAAAGGTGACACCAAAGTAGATATTGATGCTTGTTTGATTCCCAAATACTGATTCGGATGATTGGATCAAATATTTCATTTTTATCGGTGCAGTTGATCATCAGATCACATGAAGGTCCAGATGCTAGAGAGAAGAGAACTGGTCTTGGTGGAATGGACAAAGGATATACAATAGACCACAATGTCGAATCCGGAAAGCTTATCACTATTTTCAGTGCACCAGACTATCCGCAATTCCAAGTTTGTATATTTACGCCTTCCATAATTGCATTTTCTTAAGATATACGTTAAAAATCATTTTTCTGTGTGGTGTGTAGGCCACAGAAGAGAGGTACAAAAACAAAGGAGCATATATTATTTTGCAGGGGCCTGATTTCTCCGATCCTCAATTTCATAGTTTCGAAGCTGTTAAACCGCGACCAAAGGTAACTAACCCACCACGCTTCTAATGAACCAATGAGTTGTTTTACGTTTTTGATACACATACACAGCGACATTCGGTTTTTTAATGTGCAGGCGCATCCATATTATGACTTTGAAAATGTGATTGATTCTGACGATGAGATGGATAAGTCGGCACTGGACACCATTGACGAACAACCAAATCGCTGACCGATCTTGGAAATAGCTGAAAAGGAGAAAGCTTGAAGTGAAGTGTTTTTACAGTTCATTATTTACAAAATGAAAATGAAACCAAATGTAAAGAAAAGAGATGAAGAAAACCATTTGTAGAATTAACATTTATTTATGGATGGAAGATGAAGAAATACGAACCATCTTCAGTCTCGTTTAGTTCTTAGTTACTTGGTTCTACCACTTTTTGTTTAAACCGAAAAATTCAATACAACACCGAAGTAAACCTCCCCTTTTAACCACTAAAAGCCTTCTTTGTTCTATAAGCCGGTTTAAGAAAATTACAGAAAACCTAAAGTCTCCTTGAAGATCGACGCTGGTGTCGATACCTCGCCGGAATTTTCTTGGTACATGTATCAGTGGTGAGTCTACTCTATTTCTACTTTGATAAAATAGTTGGAGAATCCATAGAATCAGTATTGATTGATTTGAGAATGATCACAGAAGTGAAGAGATGCCTCACAGACCACGACCATTGATGGGACTGTTGGTTTTCACTGGAGCAAATGCGGTTTTGGTGCAGACCGTTTCTCCAGTTTATGACTTTGTCTGCTTCTTGTTTACCAGAAAAGACAGGTAAGGCAATGTGGTAGATTAACTTGGACTTACTTCTTCTTCCTCCTCTATTTTTCATTTGTTCCTAGTACGTAATGCCTTTGCAAGGTGGGTAATGTTCTCTTTAACTTAAGATCTTGTGGTAAGCCGGTAAGATTTTGTTCTGTTTTGTATGTTAGCCTAAATCTTGAGGGTCTTTAGAGAGGTCAAACTTGCAGTAACGTTCTTTGTATAGAATTGCTTTTAAGTGAATGCTAAATCGAGTAGTAGATTAGTCCAATGGAAGTTTGTGGGTCAAGTTATGTGTCTGTCGGCATATTAGTTTTCCTTTGGGATTTTGACACATTACTAGAATCTTATCCAAGACAAATTTCTGTGGTTATGAATTCCTAAGTAACAAGACAGCTTATTAAATGCCGCATTTGGTAGCAATTTGTTCAGATGAATGTATGTCTTCTTGTGAAAGACAGTATGAAGTGGAGGTTGATGCTAACTATCTTATGGTTCCTTATTTCACTTTGAAGCATTTATTGCAATTGTTTTCGGGTTTTTCTCTTGAGTGGGCTAAACTAATAATGGTCTTTTCTTTCTCGAAAGAGAGAACGAATCCGACAGGAGCCGTGAAGCATCTTCATTCTCAAATGGCACAAACTCAACACATTAAAGCTACTCAAGCATCTTCTGGATGATTCTCTCCAAGGTCATTCCTTGTCTGTCACGGGGCATCTCAAGTAATAAAGCTTAAAGTTAACTGTCCTTTCAGCCAAATAGTTTGTTACTCATCTAAATTTTCACATGATCGTTCCCCATTTCTTCACCGATATGGTTACAACATTTTTGCAAACCCTGAAATGTATGTTAATTCCAAACTTGAGTCCTTATATTCGGAACCCATGTGGGTGGGTGTTGGTTTCTACTGTTGTGTAATTTGTTCATCGACAATCATCGACATGTACTCACCACAATGTTTTTTCTTTTCTATTTTCATGTGCATAAATGTCTCTAAACAGTAATTGTTTAGCACTTCATGTCAAGCCTAAATTATTATAGGTTTCTTATCTTGTCTCCCTAATAAAACTTTTCCAACTGTTTAAGTCATGTGCCTTGAATTGTAGATAGTAGTACTTCCAATGATTTTTTCATATAATTTACATGTGTCCACAAATCGTTAGTAATGATGTTTATTTCACAAGATTATAAAAGATAATGCAACAAATATGTGTGATGGATGATGAGAAAACCCATTTGAAAGAGGTCGCAACAAATGTCAACATTAGAGACCATCTTGATCTAGAGTTTTGTCTCGTTGACTTTAATGCCAAAATTGGACAATACATATAATGCATGATACATGCAATGCAAAAATATCTTCATTCATTTAATTTTCTTACTATAATAGATGTCACAACTTCTCTCACTGACAAGCATATAATGTTGGTTTTATTTCAATCTAAACCTTTTAATTAGTTTCACATAAATGTTAAGTCGAGCGAGGTGATATATTCGGTCCAGATCGGATGAAACAAGAAATTCATCGATGTTATCTTTATCCATATATATTTAAGATCATGGGATTTAGGTATTCGATTACAAATCTAGTATCCGTATGTGATTTCTTTGGCCGTTAGTTTCCCCAAAAATCTATATTTTGAAATAGTTATTTGGATGTTTTAGATCGTGAATTGATATATTTTTATTTATATATTTTGAATCTATATTTGACCATGTATTTAATTTGATATGAATATTTCGCTGGATAGTAGAATCTTTTGAACCGGATGTTTCAGTTTGTAACTATTGAAGACCGTATATATATTTCAATATCTGTGTGTTTCAGTATGTTCGTAGAAGCATGCATTTAGCAAGAGGGATATCTTCATATGATAATCAAAATAATAAGAAAAGACATATATATATACAATTGTTTGACCTCTTCGAAAATCTAAAATAGCTGAACTGAATATTTATAACGAAAGGACAAATTGGATATGTCATTTTAGACTATGAAACTCACGAAAATGTTGACTAGTTTGTATACATTCACACGTGTGCATGACTTAAACATATGATTAGGATCTTACGATCTATGCGCCTTACACGTGTGAATGAGTAAAACACATAAACACAAGTTACGATCTACATGTGATATCCTTGCATGTAAAACGTAAGTAATAAGGAAACCGTTTAATGAACGATTCATACACTCTTTAAAAATAGACATTTCAAATGCATACGATTCACTTAATGCAGAATAATATCTCAGTGACAATTAAACATTCGATCATTTTATATTTACTAGCCAAATCTACTTACACTTCTGAAAAATATAACGTAAAATTTAAAATAAAATAGTAAATGAATCAAAAGAAAAAAAATAAAATAAAAGTACCTTAATGCGAAGAGGTGTAAATGAAACGGTCAATTATTAAAGTATGTAAAACTTTACCGGTGAGGTCCGTATTTGGTTGGATTTATTATGTGAGTGAAGAGGGAGGGACCTATATGCAATTAAAGCCTGTACGACAAAAAAGATTTACTGTACGGTTAAAAAAAATAAAAAAATCACCAAATGTAAAAAAGTCAAAAAGCAGATATATGACATGTGCAAATCTCCATCGCGCCTTTATTACCATCTACCGCTTTCTCTCTCTCTCTTTCCTTGTTCAACCCTCGAGGTTTCGGATAGTGAAAGAGAAGCTGCAAATTTCCCAATTTTATCAAAAAATAGAAATTTCATATTTTTTCAAATTGATTCTCTCCGAAACCAAAAAAATATCTTCTGAGAACTGCTACTGCTACTGTGATCCATGGCGGAGGAGATGGCTGCCGATGAAGTTACAGCTCCTCCTCGTACGGTTCTTATCATCTCCGCTGGTGCTAGCCACTCCGTCGCTCTTCTCTGTACGTCTCTCTATCTCTTCTTCTTCTTCGCTGTTTTTTTCTGTTACGGACACAAATAATCACCGGAATTGTGAAATCGGCTACGAATTCTCTTGATCTGACCTTTAATCGAGTTTCTATTACTTTCGTCGTCTACTAGTGGCTATGAGATAGTTTGATGTTTTGATTTTGAACATTTTGATTTGATTTTGTAGCTGGTGACATTGTTTGTTCTTGGGGTCGAGGAGAGGATGGACAGTTAGGTCATGGAGATGCAGAGGATCGACCTTCTCCCACGCAACTTAGCGCGTTAGATGGCCACCAAATTGTTTCCGTTACCTGTGGTGCTGATCACACTGTTGCTTATTCACAATCTGGCATGGAGGTCTACAGTTGGGGATGGTTTGTTTCTCATCTTCTATGCTGTGTAGATTTTGTTGACCACAAGTTCCTGTCTAGATTTTTGTGTAGAAAACAGTAACTAATACACTCATTTGCACACATTTTAAGCCTCGTGTTCTCTACCTCCATGTGTTTTATGCAGGGGTGATTTTGGGAGATTAGGCCATGGTAACTCAAGCGACTTGTTTACTCCCCTACCAATCAAAGCATTGCACGGTATTCGGATCAAGCAGATTGCTTGTGGGGATAGTCATTGTTTGGCTGTCACTATGGAAGGAGAGGTCCAGAGGTATTTTCTCTTAGTTATTCTTCTTCTCCTTATGTGCAAACAATTAAAGTTGACATCTCAGCTCAACCATGTCACTTTTACTGATTTTCACTGGAATTTGATTTTGTACATTGCCTTTTAAACGTTTTATCCGTCTTGTCTTGTTTTCCAACATATCTCTTTGACTTCTGCATATAAAGTTGGGGGCGCAACCAGAATGGCCAACTTGGTCTGGGGGACACCGAAGATTCTCTAGTGCCTCAGAAGATTCAAGCCTTTGAGGTTTGTGTCGCCAAATATTCTTCTGATGGCGTAATGTTAACATCTTTTTTCGTTGTAGTTTCCTCAACTTGCCAAATACTATGCTTAGAATTGGGTCAATGTTGGGTCCATTTCTGCTACTTGATCTTCTTAAACATATGACTGTTACTAATTAAGGGTCCACATCTGGTGAAGATGTCTTCAGCATCATAATTTAAGTTACAGAATGTAGGAGTGGTAAATACTAAATTGGCTGTCTAAAAAATAGCTGCAACTATGTGTTATACTATCTGCAAACACAGATAGAAGGTAGGATCTATTGATAATTGCTCTGACTAGGGAAACTAGAAGATTAAGTGATTAGAGACCCTGACTTTATGTTGTTAGTTTCGCTGATCTCCAGTGTTACATCAACACTTTAAACTTGTAATGGGTGCAGGGAATACGAATCAAAATGGTTGCTGCTGGTGCAGAACACACTGCTGCAGTTACAGAAGATGGTGACCTATATGGATGGGGGTGGGGAAGATATGGAAATTTGGGTTTAGGTGACCGGACTGACCGCTTGGTTCCTGAAAGAGTTACATCTGCTGGTGTAAGCTAGAAGACTCTTGTTCTATACTTTTTTTAAAGCACCTGCTACTTGTTTAAACTTGCATTTGAAGTTCATTATACGTGAAATAAATTAAGGATAGCTCAATATGCACTGCACTATTCTGGATTAGCTGTATATATTGATGGAGTCACAAATATATGCAGTCTAATTTCAGTCGGTGGGTGTCAGGGAAGTGACCATAAAACTTTTAGAATGATCAAAGAACATCTTAATTTTGTGTATTATCAGGGCTTTGGTATCCTGAATCTGCACAGTTCGTGAAATGAAATTTAGTTCATGGATCATTGATATCACACAACCTCGCCTTTTTACCAACTTCTATATATTGATTTTATTCCTTCAATTTTTCCTTAAGTCTCTTTATATTTCGACTCACTTGACTCTCGTTTCCCTGGTTGCAACTACAATTTTAGGGTGAGAAGATGTCAATGGTTGCTTGTGGATGGCGGCACACAATATCAGTTTCCTACTCTGGTGCATTATATACTTATGGATGGAGCAAATATGGACAGCTAGGACATGGAGACTTGGAGGATCACCTTATTCCTCACAAACTGGAAGCACTGAGCAACAGTTTTATCTCCCAGGTTTCACTTAGGCCCTATAAATCTGTCCTGAAATTCATATTTGTACATCTGAAATATCCAACATATGGGATAGCAATAATATGTTTTTCTAAAACGTTCTGACCACTATTACCTGCCGAGGAAGACTGGCTTCATTGTATAGCTGGTTGTCTTCTTCTGTTAACATCTTTTGGACTTACTGTTCAGTTTTTTTCCAGATTTCGGGAGGTTGGAGACATACAATGGCATTGACTTCAGATGGAAAACTATATGGATGGGGTTGGAATAAGGTCTAGAATGTCTTACCTTTTGTTTTTATCTGGACTGTATTTCGTAGAAATGTATAGAACACCTGTTTTCACCTACTCATTCACTGATATTTGCATTCAGTTGCTTTATGCATGCACTTAGATGTTATTTTAAGAAAACAACAAAGCAGATATTGGGTAACTTTAGTAACTCATCTTGAATAAAACAAACTTCTAATTGTCTCTCTTTTAGCCTGCAGTTTGGACAATTAGGAGTCGGCAACAATTTAGATCAGTGTTCTCCTGTGCAAGTGCGATTTCCCGATGATCAGGCATGTTATCTTACTATGACCCCTAAAAAGTTTAACGAGAAAGCTCGTCGCATTGTTTTACTAGCTATATACTCATAATAATCAGTTCATGTCTCAATTCGTTGTTTTCTTTTCCAATGCACACATATCGTTGTGGAATTTGACAGAAAGTAGTTCAAGTCTCATGTGGATGGAGACATACCTTGGCTGTCACTGAAAGAAATAATGTGTTTGCTTGGGGTAGAGGTACAAATGGACAGCTCGGCATTGGAGAGTCAGTTGACAGGTAAAAGTGTGATCTCTTAATCGCTCATAAATTTATGTTTTCCGCTTTGCATATCTTGGTGTTATGAACAGAAATATGAAAATTGGCCATTACGATCGTTGTTTTCCACCAAAATCATTGCTATTCAATCCCATTCACTACACATCATTGATAATGTGAAATGGATATTTGGTTTCGTGTTTATAGGAACTTTCCCAAGATTATAGAGGCACTGAGCGTCGATGGAGCGAGTGGACAACATATAGAATCTTCTAATATCGATCCATCTTCAGGTATTTAAAAATACCACTTTAAACTATTCTGTTAACGGCACAACAAGTGGTTAAATGATTCAATTTTTCCATTGCCTTATTGCCAGGGAAAAGCTGGGTGTCGCCTGCAGAGAGATATGCAGTTGTTCCTGATGAAACGGTAAGCCTTTATTTTGTTAATTCTACTAAACTTTAACTACAATGAAAGCAAATTGCACAATTATACCGGCTTAGAACCAGAGTTTACTGATTAACTGTTGCTGCTCATGAACTGAAATCTGATACCTTGCGCTGTCAAGATCTTGGATTGTTTTCAAGGATGAAGTATATGAGTGTGATTTTGAATTTGGTTTTGTGTATTAGGGCCTAACTGATGGTTCAAACAAAGGTAATGGAGGTGATATCAGTGTTCCACAAACTGATGTCAAGCGTGTACGAATTTGAGCTTGAGACAATTTCGTTTTTTTTTTCTTCCGGTTATGGATTCGAAGGTTTTTCAGTGATCTCTTTGGGTTGAGGTTTGTAGTAAGAGTACGTCTGTCTAGTTTGGGATTGTAATTTTGTTGTTGTTGTTGTTGTTAGTTTGTAACTTGTGATGCTTCCTTCTCTTGGCTCTCTTATTACATGGGCGTTTTAAACTGTCAACTGTGTGTGTACTACTTACTACTAGTCTCTAGGGTATGTACCTTTTTTTTTTCCTCACCATAATAATGCCTTCTTGTTCTATATCTTTCATTTCTTAAAAAGCTTCTGTTTTTCTCTTCAGAATACACCTTTATGTTTTAACTTTTAAGAGATTTTCTTTTTGTCTTTTTTTTTTTTTTTCCGTATGTTTGAATTAAAATATGATAAGATAGAGTAGTGACCCGCTAACTTTTTGAGTATGTGAAAATTTACGGAGAAAATCAAATCATTGATGGTACTAAAATTTTTTTTTAACTGAGAGCACATGAACAATTGATTGACTTTTCATTTTTGTGATTGTTGATTTGATGATCGAATGTCGCAAATAAGAAGTAAAAGGGAAAAGAATTATCAATTTTATTTTATCAATCAATATCAAAACTAAAAAAGAAATGTGATCACAGATTAACAAGAACTAATTTTTTTTTTAATCTTAAGTGTGAAACGCAATCAAGGACGAGAGTAAGGTATGTATTTAGCGTTTTAGTTTACAACTTTCGGGTAGGTTTTAGCCTGTGGGCACAACATGTCAACATACACACACATGCATGTTTCGTATTTCTATATTTTCTAGTCTCAATCCGAAGAGTAGAGAATATGAAGAATTCTAATGGACTAAGTGATGGATATTTCACCATCCGATGTCAAAAAGAAAAAAGATTTCTCCATTATCCGCCAACCTAGTTAGCTGCCTAATACTTTTGGCGTATAGTGAAAATTTTCTATTGGGTAAAACTTATGTGGGTGATTCTCTTTAAGGCAAAACCATCCAAATTGCTCTTTTAGTGTTTCTCTTTATGTGTCGGGTTTCTTTCCCTTAACTATTCGAAGTCGATGTCACTTAGATTCGATTCCATGTTATTACCTTTTTCAGTTCCAAGTCGCCATCTTTCAAACTTTCTAATGATTCTTGATATCTCATCCACGAATTTTCCACTCCCAACATTTTCTTGCTTTTTTTTTCCCCCAATTTCCGTAAAATATATCATCACTAGTGTAATGACCCGTGCCTTGCACGGCCTAAATACCAAACTTTACAGATGGTAAAAACTATAATGTAATAGCACAACAGAGCTCTATATCAGTCTCATCACTTATCCTTCCTCTAAGTAAATCTTAACATAGATCATGAAATCACAGATTTTAATGAGACTTTAGAAAGACCCACAAAATTGTACCTTATCATCCACAAGAAGAAAATTCATTCCTGTGAATTCCTCTGGTTTATCTTTTTGTGGAAATCCCCAAAGACAAACACTTCTCACCTTGATTTTACATAGATCAGTTACTGGAGTTATTTGAGAGATATGTGTAATATTGAGCGGCATAATTGGAGATTGGAATTTGGAATATGAACCTGCAAATAAAAAGTTGTTTTTGTTAAATAGAGAGAATTTTATGAGCAGAGAAACTTATGAAATTTGGATAAGAGAATAGACCATGTGGGTGAGTGGGTTGACACAGTAATGCCAAAAGTCTAAAATTTGCAGACACAATAACACCAAATCACTTGAGAGAAGATAATTGAACTATAACGAAATTTATAAACGTGAGAAATCCGAAAACTTGCATAGAGGAAGAGACATGTGATTGATGATGAACCCTAAAAGTAAATCATGTAACGACATCATACCCAATAGATGAATTGGAATCCAAGAAGGAAATGATGTGAAGAGGGGAGGCAAAGTAAGAGGCGGAAGAAATAATGTTTTTTTTTTCATGGTTGAAGAGGAAAGGTGATGAAGTGGGGAATATAGATCGTGGAAAAAAGCGAGCAGTTGAATTTTTTTTTGTCGTAATTTTTTTTCAACTTAATAATAAGGTTTTTTCTGTTACAATCCTGAAAGGTGAAAAAATGGGACTTATGACAGGTGTCAGAAGGAGAATGTGACAGTTTTTTGTGAATTGACTTGTGACTTATTAGATAGAGATTTCGCAATCTTCTTTTATTCACATACACTTATTATATACATACGATCATCTCATAGCCATAATAATTCTTTATATTCATTTTAAGAGAAGCCAATAAATCTTCGATTTTGAATCTTTAAAACATGCAACTTTGAAAGAAAGAAAAGTCATTATTTTAATTTTTAACTAGCACCGACATACAACTAGTTTTGTTTTCTCTATGTGTAAAACTGTATAATAGATGTCTGTTCTAAACCTTAGCTTATATTCAAGTTGTTTTTTCTTAAAACATATTTGTCATAAATCTATGTTAATCTATAATTCATTTGATACATAAATCTATGTTACTATTTGCAAAGCCACATTAATTTATTGTTTTTAAATCCATATATAGTTAACAACATATCAAGTTAACGAACTTTTCACTAAACAGCACGTCGATTATAGATTGAGAACACATGATATATATAAATTACGAAAGATAATTATTATACGAAACGAAGAAACTTTTACATTATTCACATTTCCCCAAATGAAATATATTAAAATTAGCAACCAAATTTGTATCTTTTGTTTTTTCCTCCAACACCTTCTTCATCATCATCATCATCATCATCATCATCATCATCATCATCATCATCATGATTTTCTTTAGTAAGTAGTCTTGAACGGCTTGTAAACCTTAAGGTCAAGCATTACTCCGGCGATGGAGCCAACTCCGGCAACCAATGTGATCATCAAACAACCACAGCTCAACATCTGTAGACAAACCCACTTCATACTCCATCTCTCAACCTTCCTCTGCCTTATATACATCTCAACCGGAAAGTAAACCGTCAAAGGCCAAAACCCTAACGCTCCTAAAATCCCCACGACGTCGTTGAAAAACGGCATAAGCATCGATATCACAGTGGTCAAAACCACAAACCCGCTCCGGTAAACTGCTCTGAAAACGTTGACTTTGTAAGGTGACCTAATACCAGGGATTCGGATTTCGTATTCCTTGGTGACCAAGTCACTGTCAGGAAACCTAGCGGCAGCTTGTTTTTCAATAAAGGCGAAGATGGGCTGAGCAAAGACTTGGTAAGCTCCTACGAGGTGGACTACTATGGCAGCGTTAGCCACGTCAAGGAGCCAAAACGGATTGTAGAAACCAAAACCGGTTAAGAGGTTTCCCGGTGCTGCATCTCCAAAGGCTGCATAGCCCATACAACCACATAGCATGTAAAATGTCGTTGTAACGGCGATGCTGATTCTTGTGGCGATCTTCATCGTTTTTGATTCTGCCGGTGGAGATCTTACAGTGTCCTAATCAAAAACCCCACCCCCAAAAAGGTCAGAAATTTTGTAAACTCTTATAGAAAAACAGATGATATATATAATCGACTCCATATTTGTTAGTTTCTATATTTTACCTGAATTTCTATAAGAACAACAGAGTATGAATAAGCAAAGGCAATGTCTCCAAGTGCTTGAAATGTTCTCCATATCTTTTCGGTCTGAGTCACTGCCCCGATGCTAATTCCGGTGAGACTTCCCTTGACAACCCCATTTGCTGAAACACAGAGTTAGTTAAACCCTCTGCTTAGTTGATTATTGCATAGAATCTTTAAAGTAATTTTCTTTCACCTGCGACTTGAATGATTCCGAGAGCTAAACCGATTGCTGAGTATGTGAAGGACATGATCGCGGCAACTATGGAGAGCCACCAAATCTGGTCAAAATCTTTGATCTGAGAGAGCAAGATCTCGGTTACACCAAACATGATCATGTATGGATTGCTCGACATGTGACACGGGTTTTTCCCTCCGCTCTCGTGGAAACAGTTGGACCTCTTGATCGCCCTGCAAGATCGATCCGATACAACCAAATTTTAAAGGCTTGTATCTCATTATATAGTTCCAAAAACAAACTACTTTGTGAGAAAGAGAGACTCACATCATACTTATAGATGCTGCGATTGTGTACCCGACCGTGATACCAAAGAGATTCAAATACTGAATCAGCCCACAAATCTTGAACCTAAAGCCACCTGTCAGAAACAGAGCATTTCAGAACACAAAACAGGGCGAAACAGAGTAAAACAGAGAGAAACAACCTAAAAACAGAGCAATCAAAGCATATGCAGAGGAAAGCAGAGAGTTGATACCAAGGATTGATCGGACAGCGTCCATGTAAGTATAGTTTCTCTTCCCAGAGACAGGATCTCCGGTTCTGTAGCAGTCGCTAAGAAGAGTCGAAGAGTAGTAAGTGACAAAAGAGAACAAGAGCATCACTGTAGGACCTGCGATCCAACCGAGTTGACCTATAGCCCACGCAAGCGATAGAACACCAGAACCAATCACAGCGGTTATAATATGCGCACTCGCGGTCCAAACCGTCCCTGAAGCAAAAGAAAATCGCGGTTCATCTCTTTGAATCATCCATTTCATAGGTGTAAAGTAACTAAGAAGGGGATTTTAAAATTTTACCAGAGCGTTTAAGCCGGCCATCGTCATCGAAACATTTGAAAGCTGGCCGTGGAACATCCATCTGGTTTTTAGAGAGAAATCAAAGTTATGAGGATTCACTAGTTTCGAAAAAACGGTTAGGACTAACGGATAATGGCGGTTATAGTTTTCTATAAACCAAAAAGAAAAAACTTGAAAGAGGGAGAGAGTAGTTATAGTACCTTCTCTTATTGAGCTCTTAGAAATTAGACAAAGGTATGCACAAAATTAAACCCCTCAAAGCAATGCTATGCAGAAACAAAGAAAGAAATGCAAAAGAGAAATAATGAGATGGGTGGTGAGAGAGCAGTTGCTGCTGCATTTTGAGTGTTTTTGGGTCATCATCTTTTATAAGCCATCAAAAGTGGAGAGGAATCTTTTCCTAATTTCTTTGATAAATATTTAGTATTCTTCTCCTACCTTCTTTCATTCTTTGTGTGTGAGTGATTTTACGTGTACTCTTCTTCTCTAGTGTTTTATTCTTTTCGCATCCACTAATGCCAAGATCATGCCTGGCTCAATAGATCAAACATCTTGATTGATAACCTGAATCAAGATTTTGAATACTTTGTCCTCTACTATAAGTTAATAGTGGTGTATATATGATTTCATTATCCGAATCCGAAGATCCCAAACATCCTCAGATCTTAAACATCTGTAGTTATTTTGTCTTTCAGTTGATTATGTATTTAGTTTAAAGAATATGTACTAGCTAGGAATAAATACTGATATAAACATCAAAAATGAATAATATTGACTATTTGTTTAAACGTTCAATATATAGTTTTGAGAGGTTTTAAATGGTTTCGTTTTCTCTATATTCTTTAGTGAAAGATACGTAAAATGGAAGAGAACCAAATGCTTGTTCTACGCCTCCATACCTTTTGGATTCGATCTAATCACCATATTATTAATTAATATCTAACAAAATGCTTCCGAGACCTAGGCTATATTAAGAATTAATGAATATTTAGATAGATACTAAGGCATATGGCCAATTAGGTTTATATAATTATATATATATAAAGAATATATTCTGCATCAGCGCATTATAATTTTGATATGTTCATTGATTTCAAATTAGTATGGTTGGAAATTTCTTCGAACATGCATACTATATATAGTATTTGATACGGTTCATAAAGGGAGGAACAACCTTTTTATGAAGAATAACTGAATAATAATAAAAAAGAATGAATGATTTGATAATGAGAATATATAGTATTTTCTCTATATTTCGGTAAAAACAAAATTTGTTTGATAGTCGGAGAATTCACAATCGAATTCCAAATTAATCTCTAAGACTAATTACAAGTCTTATTACACAGTGACAAACAATAATTGAAATCATATTGGAATCATTTAAATTCTAATCCCCTAACCCCATAATGAATTTTTTTAATCATTAGACTATCATGAGTTGGTATAGAAGATTAATTTTCTGTTTACGATAAAACTGAAATTTATAAAGACCAGTTCCATAATATCTTTATTTCAGTAATTAAGAAGTTTTATTTGTAATCATAGAGATATGCGTATACGGAAATTTGTTAGTTCTATCAGTTTAGGTTCCGACAATAAAAAAGAGCAGAAAAAAAAGAGTTAATTGTCAATTGTAGATTTCAGATATGTTTGGTTTTTCTTTTAGGTGAGTCAAAATATTCTTGGTTTAAAGGAACAAAATGTAAAGCAAAAATGCATGATGAGAAGAGAGAATCGAATTTGTCATTCAAGTGCTATTATCTACCATTATAATTTCTAAAGAGTATCTTTGAACACATTCAAAATCTCGTTTTCAATTCCAAGATTCTTAATTTTGAGTGTGTTTTTCTTATATTCCACTACATTCTAAAATGTGTAATATTTTAGTTTTATTTCGAGACGAGATTCATGAACGGAATATTGTTTGGGAAACATGAGGTTTTAATTTAAAGTGAAGATGGTCTTTAGACCTACAAGAGTTAGGTAGTTACGTGACTCTTTTTACACAGAATTTTGGCATCTTATCTCACCTACACGGATCTAACATTATCTAATAAAGGCAAACTTTACATACTTAGATTTCTTAAACATTAAACACTAAACAGTATAAGCTGTCCAAAAAAATCAAAATCTAGCCCACAGGATCTGATTGATTGTTCGACTATTTTGATATTCATGACTCTTAAAACGTGTAATCCTAGATTTTTCATGGGTTGATTAGGTAAAAAAGTAAAAGGATTTGAAAATAATTAGGCAGCAATGTCAGGAAAGATTATTTGACCGGTCTAACTATTATTCCCTATCAAAATTGTATTAATTACGATACCACGAATTCTGAAATTATCAAAATCTAAACTCTTTATATGAAGATAAACAACAATGCAAAGTGGCTTTCAAACTGTTAGCTCTTACAACTATTTAAGTCTAAAACTCCAAATATATATTAAAAAGTGTGATATTCCGTCGCCTGAAAAGCAGATATCGGCCACTCTAACGGCCATGAGCGAGAATGGTTCAATCACAGAATCTTTACGGTCCAGTCTTGGTCCACTTGAACACCCGGTTTGCGGATAGTCAGCACCTTTGTACCCGAAGAAGCTACAAGCCCACCCATTCGCAGCGGTCCCATCTCGATCTCTGCCTTTTGATTCAACGGTTCGACCAATGCAGATTTCGGTCCTGAGCTGTGTCCCAAGAGGATTATTCTGTCGATCAAGCATTGGGAAGAGAGACGAGCTTGTGGAGGAGCTAAGTTCGTTGATGTAAGAACACCATTCGAGAAGACGAAGCGGCGATGGATGTAAGAGCCTCGCCTGAATTCAAAGCTTTTGCCGTCGTCGATGTAAAGTTCACCTTCTGCTTCTTGAGAACTGTTCAAAGCTACCACCTGAAGGACTTCAGATGTTAGATCACATGGTTTATCATCGGAATTTCACTTTCAGAGATAAATCTTTTTACCAAGCGATTTTACTTTGTTCATTGTGCTGATAGCAGATGAGAAAACAGAGTGATGCAAGTGTGGTACGTACCAAAGTATAAGGATCATTGTCCATTTGAGAGGAACTTCGCCTAAACCGGTCCTTCCTTGGGATGATGGTTCCTGCCTTCTGAAACGCAGGAATACTCTCCTCTGGAGCGTCCATCTTGTGAGTCTTGCCTCCAACGTAAGTCTTACCGTTTCTCAGGTCATACCATGATTCTTTGCCAGGCAAATACACGGAAGCTTGTGTTGTTCCCTAATTTTGCATAAAGACGAGAAGAGAGTATGTGGCAGGGTTTGATCATTTCTCTGGAGTATATGATTAATTAAAGAGACACAAAGGCAAAAGTTTAAATAAGTAGGAAGTTGTACTTAAGCGCTCAAGTACCTTAGTGTAAACTCCTTGAACCAGTAGACCATTACCGACCATGAAGGCTTCATCGTTGCTAAAAGTAGCTTCATCTTGCGGGAATTCCATCCATAATGGGCGTACAACAGGAACACCCGTGACGTTTGCTTCTCTGAACAACGTGTAGAAGTATGGGAGCAGCGTGTAACGAGTGTGTATGGCATCTCTCATGAGTTCTGTGTTCCGTTCACTGAAACAAGAGAACAATGGTTTGATTTGAATGAGAAAGTGCAAAATGTATGAGCCAGCGAAACAAAGGCAAAGAGACCATCTTGAAAACCGTTGCAATGCCTACTTTATGAAACTAATGGCCTAACTATTCAGACAATCAAATGACTAGAGTGTAACACCAAGTTCTATTTTCCGGAATTGTATTCACTTCTCAATAACCATTATCACTGCATTTCAATCTGCTTAATAAAGTACAACTGAATCCTTTTTCTATTAGTCATCCATCAAGAAAATATTCATAGACTAGACCCGGACCGCTTATACTGAAATAATACTTCTTTTACAAGAAAAAATTAAAGCACTAAATCACATCTTACCCGAACAACCAAGGCTCTCGTCTTTTGGTATCATGATGAGCATGACCCCTGAAAAATGGATAGTAAGCACCCACTTGGTACCACCTAACTAGAAGTTCTGGTTCAGGATTTCCAAAAAACCCACCAATATCAGCTCCTGCAAAAGAAAAGAAAGCTTCCATTAGATTTGAGAAAGAAAAAAAAACGCCAGCAAAATTTGAACAGTAAATTTTCTTGTACCCGAGAATGTAATTCCAGTAAGACCAAGTGTCAATATCATTGGAATGGAGACTCTAAGGTGTTCCCATTCGGCTGTGTTATCTCCAGTCCAAATTGCTCCGTATCTTTGAGTGCCGGGAAAGATTGCTCTTGACAATACGAAAGGCCTATCCTTTCCTTCTTCACGCATAACAAGCCCATCGGAAGTCGCCATGTGAAAGTAATATCCATATGCGTTATGAACTTCTCTGTGTTCAACACCCCCAACATGTAATGCATCTCTTGGCATAGTAACCTATGCCAAAAAAAAAAAAAAACGAGTGTCAGTCTTCATCTCAGTAATAGACTTTTACATATATGATAAAGTTTCTACGATAACTTATAAGCAAATCAATGGTGGAGATATGCAACTATAGCTTACACTCCACTCTTAACGAAGTCACAGAAATAAATATCCAATGTAAGACCACATAAACATAAAATGGATCTTAAAATACTTGCTTTAGTAGTGCAATATTTGATAAAAGGTGTCATCGTATGCAAGATAAGGGATAATATAAAATAACCAATCAGAGTTCAAACGTATCCATAATTGCGCAATAGAAAAACAATGGATTGCTATTTTTGACCGCAATCCCAAAAATGAATATGAGAAAACGAGCTATACAGATTATAGAAAAACAATAACGGAACAAGCAAAAAAGACCAATCAGACAGAAATTTATACCTCAGGACCATTGAATACGGAAGGCTCATTCATATCATTCCAGGTGTATAATGATGGAGTTGAACCAACATAGTTCTTATATGAGAACCTCCCACCCCACCATTTTCTAATCTCTGGGCTCAACATATCAATGTAAGATGATGAACCAGGCCAGCACCAACCATCAAAGTCTTTTCCAGATGAATCCTTAACATAGTATCCCATCTGAGTAGCCTCCTTGTGTAAGAAGTATGAGTCATCCCTCTTGATATGAGGATCCACAATGGTCACCATCTTCCTTCCCTTTGCAGCCAATTTCTTTTGCATCTCCTCTGGATGAGGAAACAACACACTGTCCCATGTAAAGTATCTCTTCCCATCTGTATGCTCAATGTCAAGCCAGAGAACATCATAAGGAATATCGTGCTCATCGAATTTCGCGTCCACCTGTGCCACATCCTCCTCATCTTTGTAGTTCCACCTACATTGGTGATAACCAGTGGCAAACAACTGAGGCATTGCTGAAGTACCTGTCACACTTGCATACTGCTTTACAACATCCTTTGGCTCAGGCCCGACGAAAAAGAAAGTATCCACGATCCCTGCCTCGCTCATCCAGAATGTGTCAATCCTACTCTGACTAGAAGGCAAAGATATACCACTCTCTGCATCCCAACCATTAGCCAACACATCAATCTGCATTTCCGCAGCATTCAACCAGAAAAATCCTGAAGTTTTACCAGATTTCCCATGTGAAACCATGAACGGAATCGACCCGTAAAGCCCAAATGGTGATTCATGATCGTATTCAAAAACATCTAGATTAAACAGCCTGTAGGGTTCAGATTCCTCAACTCCAGGACCCTTGGTAGGCTTCAACGCGAAGCTAGTAGCGTGTTCAGGAATTCCGTAAACGAAACTGGAATCATAAAACGAAACATCGAAGCTAATGGATTGAGGACCAGATGGTCTAGAATCCGTATGAGTCCTAAATTTCTCTTCCCAGTTATCTCCTTCAGTTTTCCTCCCCAACTGCTCAAAATCAAATAATCCATGAGAATTCAATGACACGACGCGACGGCGATCACCTGATTTCTCACGCACATACACTTCAAACGGATCGTGCCGCACCACTGCCTCATAGCCATCGGATACATAAACTACTGAAGAAGGACTAGTGTCTCCAGAGATCGTCTCCGTCGCTACTTTCTGCAGCCAGATCTTCTTCTCCTCGAACTCAGACACTACCACATCAGGAACTTGAAACCTCTTCTTCGGCGGGTTCAACGAATGGTCCTCATCGATTTTGAGCCGCACGATCCCATCCTTGTAAACCGAGAGAGATAGAATCAACGGCTTGATCTGATCTCCATCGCCATGATTAGGCGTTTTCGGTAGAAGCTTCGCTACGAGATCTCCATCAGAAATGGAAACATCGCCGACAATCAGAGAACACGCGCCGGGAGTACGAGATCGAGCGCGTTTACAAAATGGAGTTTGTTCACAGCTGCGAAACTCTTCCTTCTTCCATGAAAGTGCTGTTTGAGAGCAGAAGCAAATGAGTGATAGTACAAAGAGAAGAGATCTCATTTTGGTTCCTTGTTCATGGAAATCCTTAGATTGATGAAGAAATGAAGGAAGCCAAAATACAACAGTGAGGATTGAGGAAGACGATCTTTCCGGGTCAAGTAAATATATCCGACCCGTTTAATAAAATTAAGGCCCATAGCCCAAAGTACGGTCCATAAATCCGGCCCAAACTCGATTTAAAAATGGTGTATGTGAATTTCTTCTAGATCTGCTTTCTTCAATCGAAAACCCTAATTTTAGAATCACTTTCTGAAGATGATGCCGGAGAAGACGATAATTACGTCGGAGAGTTCAAATTCGTCTCCGTTAAACCCTTCTTCTTCGCGGATTATCTGCCATGTGTGTAATAAGCAGTTCTCGCAGTACACTTGTCCTCGCTGCAACTTCCGGTACTGCTCTCTTCCTTGTTACAAATCTCACAGTGTCCAATGTACTGAATCATTCATGAGAGAGAATGTAAATGATGAGCTGAAGCAAGTTCGATCTGATGATCAAACGAAAACGAAGATGCTCGAAATTTTGAAAAGGTTTCACGAAGAAGAGGAAGAAGATGGGGGAATTGATAGCATCACGGATGATGAAGGTTCGATCTTACCGGAAGAGATTATTGAGAAGATAATGAACGGAGATGAAGTAAGTCTTGATGATTTGAGCTTAGAAGAGAGAAAAGGGTTCCAAAGAGCCTTAGCTTCTGGAGAATTAAGCAAAATGATTCAACCATGGGATCCCTGGTGGTTACGTGCTTCAGCTCGAACAATCAATCTTGGACTCGGAGGTACACAACTCGTTCAATGTGTTGAAGAAGAAGAAGAAGAAGAAGAAGAAGAAGAAGAAGAAGCCATTGTTGTGAGTGAAGTCCCACGAGGGCCTGATACACCTCTGATTTCACTAAGCAAGCTCAGCTCAACGAATCCATCTCCTCTCTTACCAATCCATTTGATTGATATCGTATATAGCTATTGTTTTACTCTCCGTATCTATAATGGAGAGTGGCAATCTGATTCGTTAGGTGCAGCAACAATGGTGTTGACTGTTTCATCAGTTTTGGGTCAGAATGCACAACCTGAGACCATTAAGGAAGTGTTGGCGTTTTGCTTGGAACAGACATGCTCTTCTGCTTATAAGAACCTTGGCGGCGGTCTGAAGTTCGGATTGAATCTGGTCGATGATGTGATTTGTTTGCTTTCTCTTGGCTCTGGAGCTATGGTATGTCTGCTCTGTGATCTCCAAAGGTTGATTATTGGTGCAATAAAGGAAGTAAAATCCTCATCAGGGCGTGATCTGAAGAAGAAACTTAAGCTTGCAGAAAGGAAAGTGTTCTTCATGATGTGTTGGGTCAATGAGCAGAGTTCTGAAGTGTGGCAAGTTCTGGAATCATCAGTAAGGGCAGAGAAGAACTCGGTGGTTGAGCTCAACGATTGCAAAGGGGTTCCGAAAATGAAGAAGAAAGATCAATTCCGAAAAGGTGGTGGTGTGGTGATTGAGGAGATAGAATGAGTTCTAATGTTGTAGTTTTAGCTTGATAATGTAAGGTGTGTTAACAAATGAATATCTTGTTTATCATTTTGGAGTTGCAATAAAGAAGTACAAACAAACAAAAAATCTCTTCCTTGGCTTCCTTTGGTAGCATATGAATCCCAAATCTTCATGATCGTGTAACACGATACCTAAGCCAAAAAAAACATCCAGTGAGGCATTTATCCGGCATGAATTTTGTCTCCGTGATCGCATTCTTTAACACATTCGTCATTCGGGGAGTTCTTTCTAGCAATCATGGGCCAATATCGTCCAATCACTTCACCATTTAACCATGCCATGCCTTTCCTCATACTGATCATATCAAGCCCAACCGGCTCACTCCCATACTATCCAAAGATATATTTAGGTCAATAGACAACTCACCTCCATGGTTTGGTACAGCTTGTTTGATTGATTATCATACAAATTACTAGTATGCATTGCAAACATATAGCCCACAGCGAAGGCTAATATACATATATAGATCCCACTCGTTCTAGTCCCTAGAGTTGTAGACATTAACACAAAGTCAATCACAAACATCTGATTCTTGTCCTATACTTACAATCGCTTTGTGATCACCCGTGTTCAGAAGCAACTTCAAGACTCATATGTTCTGTTATCCCATCCATGGTTTTCCTTATGATAGCTTTGTGATCACCAGCGAGACCGCTTGACGAAACACCTGTATACTTGTAACTAATGTAAAATATTGCATTCTCTGCGTGGAGCTTCTCGCGCGCCTCAGTTATGTAATCTTCTTTAGTTTCTACAACTACCTTGTTGATCTCCACCAATTCCTTGAGTCACATTGGCAAGAGTAAGAGGAAAGAGACAACAAGTAAAAAAGAGAAAGAAAAAAGCTTTATTTTTCTGGCAAACTCAAGGACTTACAGGATTTGTTTTGGCTTTGGAGTAGAATGCGATCTCGATGAATAGATGCAGCCATTCATTCTCATGCAGCTCTGATTCTTGCACCTGTAGTGATGATGCAGAAACAAAAATGCATTTACTTACAAATTTTAGTGCTTCTCAAACTAAAAGAAGATTAAACTCCACTCTGGACATCTTACCACGTAATACTTTTTATTGTCATTGGTCAAGGCCTCATCAGACAACCATTTGGGCATTTCACCTGTGTAGAAAGGATCTATTTCTTCATCACGATCCCAATAATCATCCACAGACTTGTTACCTTTAAAAAGTGATGATCTCTATAAACAGTTAGTCCTCTCTAGTGATTGATCTCTAAAGAAAAGACAGTGGGTAAAAAAGAAAATGGTACGTACGTACATGTGGGTCTGCAGGCAAAGATCCTCCAGGTATCTACAACATAGGTGTCCTCGTCTATACATCCAGCATCGCTGAACAAAATCTGAAAAGAGAAGACAGAGTTGGAGGCCGGATCCATTGCCTCCAGAGTTATGTAGTAGTCCAAGTCACAAGTGTACATAGTATTATACTTTTCCCAGCGCACAAACTTAAAGTCTGTCCCCTGACAACAAAAAATATGAACAGAGAGAATCAAGACAGGGTTCTTTTATAAAACTTCATGACCAAGGAAGGTCATATGATGAGAAACAAGGAGGAGATTACAAGACATATAAATAAATAAAGAGAATATTATCATTGAGAGTTACCTTGTGAAAATTGTAGCAGTAGAGACCAAGCCTAGCATAAAGGGTGAGATGATCATAATCATCGCGCAAACGAGGCCTAACTATTTTAAATTCAGAGGAAGAGCATCCAAAATCAAAACCCTACAAAACGACAACGGTAACAACATATTCAAATGTAAAATCAAAATCAATAAAAAAAAAAAAACCATCGCTGATCCCTGAGAACCTCTAATTGAGAGATCAGAATCAAGAATTTTACATAGGCCAGTTGGTGATTTTTCTTAAGCCAAGCCCTTAACTTTTTCATTCTTTGCCTTGACGTCGATGATCTTGCAATTTCAAGCCTCCCGAATTCACTTATCGCCACCACATCCATATCTTCTAGCCAAGCCCTAAATATCTCAAATCCTCATCTCATCTCATGTCCCTCGCTTTTCTTAGTTTTATACAAAGAAAAAAAAAACCAGTTCAAAGCCCACAAACCGTAAAAAACCAGTCGGTGGCCCATATTAAAGGGATAGAATGAAGAACGTAACTGCGGCTTATCAAGATTCAATTTGCCTAAATTCAATTTGGATGAACAATATTCATATTTTTGGCTGCTTCTTTGGAAGTATACTTGTCTGAATGGTGTGTTTATGACTGTTATGTGGAAGAAAAAGATGTGACATTGTGATGTGGATTTTAATTATTTAGCGTCGTGATGTGGGTTTTTTCGCATAACATATTTCGTTTTAATTAGGTCAATAGACATATATATTTAAATGGTGCGATCACCGGCGTTTAGAAGCAATTTCAAGACTCATATGTTCTGGTATCCCATCCATGGTTTTCCTTATTATAGCTTTGTGATCACTTGAAGAAAGACCTATATGCTTGTAACTTATGTAGAAGATTGCATTCTCTGCGTGGAGCTTCTCACGCGCCTCAGTTATGTAATCTTCTTTAGTTTCTACAACTACCTTGATGATCTCCAAGGGTGGGGCAGCCTCCAATTCCTAGAGTCACATTGGCAAGCTTAAGACAAGAAGAAGAAGAAGAAGAAGAAAACTTTCTTAATTTTGCTGGACTTACAGGATTTTCTTTCAAGAATGCGATTTCGATGAATAGATGCAGCCAGTCATTCTCATGCAGCTCTGATTCTTGCACCTGTGACAAAAATGCACTTACCTTTAACTGCTTCTCAAACTAAAAAGAAGATTAAACATCCAGTTCTGGACATCGATCTTACCACGTAATACTTTTTGTTGTCAGTGGCAAAGGCCTCATCAGACAACCATTTGGGCATTTCACCTGTGTAGAAGGGATCTATTTCTTTCTCCCGGTCCCAATAATCATTCACAGGCTTGTTACCTGATGATCTCTATAAACAGTTAGTCCTCTAGTGATCTCTAAAGACAGTGCTAAGAAGATGCGGTAAAGAAAATGATACGTACATGTGGGTCTGCAGGCCAAGATCCTCCAGGTATGTATAACATAGGTACCTTCCCTAGTACACCCAGAAGCACTGAACAAAGTTTGAAAAGAGAAGGCAGATTTGGAGGTCGGATCCATTGCCTCCAAAGTGATGTAGTAGTCAAGGTAAGAAGTGTACATAGTATTATACTTTTCCCAACTCTTAAACTTAATGTTTGTTCCCTGACAAGGGATATATGAAGAGAGGAATCAAAGCAGGGTTCTTTTATAAAACTCATGGCCAAGGAAGAGAAACAACAAGGAGACTGATTACAAGACCCCATGGATAAAGAGATTATTGAGGGTTACCTTTTGAAAATTGTAGCAGTAGAGTCCAAGCCTAGCATAAAGGGTGAGATCATAATCACCGTACACAGGAGGCTTAATTATTCTAAAGTCAGATCCAAAATCAAAACCCTGGAAAATCAAAACCGAAATCATCCCTGATAGGAAAGTAGTAATATTCCTGAGACAAGAACGAAACCTAATAAGAGATCAAAATTCAATACACAAACAAACATGAGAAAGAGGGTTTTACATACATAGGCCAGTTGGGAATTTCTCTTACGCCAAGCCCTTAACTTTTTCACTCTTTGCCTTGCCGTTGATACTTTTGGAATTTCAAGCCTCCCGAATTCACTTACCGTTATCACCTCAACCTCCTCCATATCTCTAGCCAAGCCCTAACTAAATCTTTAGATCTCTCGAATTAAGACTAAGGTAAAAAATAACACAAATCAATAAATTAATAATATAATAATTTTTTTTTGAAAATTGTATGTAAAATATGATTTTATTAATATCATAAATTAATAATTGTATAAATATATCAACTATATAATTATTATATGTAAGAAACTTCAATCAAATATAAGTATTTTTTTTATATCCTACCTGTAACATGATGATGAAACTTCAATCAAATATAATTCTAGTATTTTTTTTATATCCTACCTGTAACATGATGATACCTTAGCCAAAAAACAATGATCAAATTTGAGAACTCTAAATGGCTTTCTAGTTTATCATCTCTGAGATGGCTCTCCACATCCAGTGGCATGAATTTGCATGTCTCTCTAATCGCATTCTTTAACATATTCGTCATTTTGGGAGTTCTTTCTAGAACTCATGGGCCAATATCTTCCAATCTCTTTACCATTTATTTAACCATGCCATGCCATGCCCTTTCCACATACTGATCATATCAATAACCTCCATGGTTTGGTACAGCTTGTGTTATTGGTTATCATACAAATTACTATTATGCATTGCAAACAAATAGCCAGCACTTGGCGAAGGTTAAAATACATATAGATCCCAACTCGTTATAGTCCCTAGAGTTGTAGACATAAAGACAAGCCAAACACAACATCGTGCATAGTCATATAACATGATAAAAGTTAAATACCGATTAATAATTGATAGCAACAGACCAGATGCATACAGGAGGTGTCTGTCTATTATTCTTCTTCTTCTTGTTCTCGACTTACTTACCATCGCTTTGTGATCACCGGCGTTCAGAAGCAATTTCAAGACTCATGTGTCCTGGTATCCCATCCATGGTTTTCCTTATGATAGCTTTGTGATCACCAACGAAACCACTTTTCCATGTGATAGCTATGTGATCACCAGGGAAACCTGTGCACTTGTAACTTATATAGAAGATTGCATTCTCTGCGTGGAGCTTCTCACACGCCTCAGTTATGTAATCTTCTTTAGTTTCTACAACTACCTTGATGATCTCCAAGGGTGGGGCAGCCTCCAATTCCTGGAGTCACATTGGCAAGCATAAGAGGAAAGAGACAACAGCAAGAAGAAACAAAAAAGCTTTATTTTTCTGGATTGCAAATTCAAGGACTTACAGGATTTGCTTGTAAGAATGCCATTTCCATGAATACATGCAGCCAGTCATTCTCATGCAGCTCTGATTCTTGCACCTGTCGACAAAAATGCATTCACCTTTAACTGCTTCTCAAACTAAAAAGAAGATTAAACTCCAGTTCTGGACATCTTACCACGTAATACTTTTTGTTGTCAGTGGCCAAGGCCTCATCAGACAACCATTTGGGCATTAGACCTGTGTAGAAGGGATCTATTTCTTTCTCCCGGTCCCAATATTCATTCACAGGCTTGCCACCTGATCTCTATAAACAGTTAGTCCTCTCTATTGATTGATCTCTAAAGGAAAGACAGTGGTAAAGAAGAAAAGCATACGTACATGTGGGTCTGCAGGCCAAGACCCTCCAGGTTTTTACAAGATAAGTATCTTCGGTAGAACATCCAGCAGCACTGAACACAGTCTGAAAAGAGAAGACAGAGTTGCAGGACGGATCCCTTGCCGCCAAAGTGATGTAGTGGTCAAAGTAAGAAGTGAACTCAGTATTATACTTTTCCCAGCGCACAAACTTTAAGTTTGTCCCCTGACAAGCAATATATGAAGAGCGGAATCAAAGCTAGGAGATTGATTACAAGACCCCATGAATAAATAAAGAGATTATTGAGGGTTACCTTTTGAAAATTGTAGCAGTAGAGTCCAAGCCTAGCATAAATGGTGACATCATAATCATTGCTCACAGGAGGCTCAACTATGCAAAAGTCAGATCCATAATCAAAACCCTGGCAAATCGAAATCAAATTCAATATCAAAACCAAAATCAAAACCAAAACCATGCATCCCTGATAGGAAAACAGTAATATTCCTGAGACGAAAACGAAACCTAATAAGAGATCAAAATCGGATTTTACATACATAGGCCAGTTGGGAATTTCTCTTACGCAAACAAGCCCTTAACTTTTTCCCTCTTTTCCTTGCCGCTGCTGCTCTTGCAATTTCAAGCCTCCCCAATTCACTTACAATTATCACATCAACCTCCTCCTCCATATCTAGCCAACCCCTAAATCTCTCTCGTATTTCTTTGTTTTGTACAAAGGAAAAAAAAACAGTTGAATCGTAACAAATATCAGCGGTCGGTGGCCCAGTTATAGCTTGTGATGATGAAAACTGTGTTAAGTTAAATAAATGGGCATTTTGTTTTATCGTTTTGGACTTTGTAACAAAAAGAAATACAAAATATATCTTCCTTGGAATCCCAGATCTCACATGTTTTGCATCATCATCTTTAACTTGTTCTTGCTTACACCACCGAAACTTTCCTTTTGGATAACTTTATATTCATGGGATTGCCTCCTTTCTCCTCGAAGATCACCAGCTCATTCCCGGAAGACTTGAACCATGATCTTGGAACATGATACCTAATAAGCCATTAAAAAACAGACAATAACCAAAGAGAGACATGTAAAAACGAAGATGACAACTCTCTAATGGCTTTCTAGTTTTACCATCTCTGAGATGGCTCTCCACATCCAGTTAGGCATTTATCCGGCATGAATTTGCCTCTGTAATCGCATTCTTTTACGCATTCGTCATTCGGGGTGCTCTTTCTTGCTATCCTGGGCCAATATCTTCCTATCTCTTCCCCGTTTAACCATGCCATGCCTTTTCCCATACTCATCATATCAAGCCCCACCGGCTCACTCCCAGAAGGTGGGTCTATCACAACCTACCATAAGATCAGATTTTAAGATAACTTTATCTTCTACAATCTTGCTTCTTTTCCAAGAGTTACTACTACATTTTTACCTTATACCAAGTCAAAGGCTGTTTCTTTGGAGGTTTCGTAGTCACCGTCCATTTCACATCCACGGAGTTACCTGGCTTGAACAGTTCTAGATGCTCTCCTTGCACGCCGAGCTGCAAGATTTCATGGTAATATATGTTGTTGAGAAACAGAGAATCACTCGGAGCACATGAGAGGTCTCTAGGCACAGAATTATATAACCTTGTAGGACCATTTGCTATTTGTCAAATTTAATGTGCCCTTGTTGAAACCTTTGATTGAGACGCTTGTAAGTCCAGCTCCAACCCATTCATAAAAGGATCCTGCATTCTGTGGCAGAGGAAAGTAACCGAATGTATGAGTGCGGATGATGAAGCAACACCGCTATGATATTTGGATTTCTGTTTATATAATTACCGAAAGACCAACAGTCATGCTAAGCAAATCAATATTGTTTTCGCCCGCTTTGAGAGCAACTGATTTCTTGAGTTTGAAAGGCACATGAGTCCCATTCCCTGTCGCAGTTCCTAGAAACCAGTAGTCATATATACGCCCAATCAATTAGAAAATCGAGTTCGAGAAATAACAAAAGAGTCACAGAGAGATTTTTAGAGTACCTAAGTACTCTTTGTTTATGAAAACATGAAGAGTATGTCCCTTTGATTCAATAAACAGAACAGGAGGACTTCCTTTCTTTAGGAACTCTTCATTATCACTGACTGTTATACTGCAACAGATTAAATACATCTGCTTCAGGTTCTTTCAGATTTCAAGTAATTAACAGTAACAGTATTCATGTACTGACCTTGTTGTGTACCAAAGATAGTCAGTTGTGTCCTTGGTGGTGTTGATATGATCGACAAGTTCGTTTTTCACAAAGTCTGCTTCTCCCCAAATACCCGGTTTCTCGGAGAACACTTCCCATTTAAGACCTGATGAAGATCTCAAATCTTCAGGTAACATTTCAACCTTGGAGAACTTCGAAGTTACCTGTTGCAAAATGTAAAATCAGCCTTTTGCTAGTTGTGTTTTCGTTATGTCATTGTCCAAACCAGTTACTCTTACCTTTGCTGTGTTGAAAACCTCGTTCTTGCAGTCAGGTAGAATGCTAACTGACCAAGCAGGCAAGTGGTATGACGTGTTTCGAAACATCACCGTCTTGTCATTTTTATCATCCAAGTTTGACAGAAACGCAGCACAAGTTCCCGAAGAGTCTGTGTACACATCAGCCTGAAAATCAAAAACAAACCATCAGAAAGAACATTCTGACAGAAACAGAAGTCTTTCGTGGGAAAAAATAGAAAGTGTACCTCGAGTGAATGGCCTAATGTAAAATTTTGATGCTCGCCATTGATCAGCAAGTTTTCAGAGAGCATTATAGCTTTGTGGAGATCCTTAAGGTGTCCCCATTTTGGTAATCTAGGCAATCCTGATAAATGAATTGAACATAAACGTTAGTTATAACCATTGAAGAGTTATCTCACTACATACTGATCTCCTTTGTTACAAACTCACCATACTCATCGATCGGAGCTTCATAGTCATAGCTTGTAGTGATAAAAGGTCCTCCTGAAGTACGTCCAAAATTCGTTCCTCCGTGATACTACACCAAATTCAGACAAAACATACAACCAAAATCCATTTAGATCACAAACTGATACAGAGCTAACTAACTTCCTCGTCTTGAAGAAACTGACAAATATTACCATGTAGTAATTGTGAACACTTCCACCTTTCCCGAAAAACCGAGCAACAGAGTAAGCTACATCCTCTGCTGGTCTGTGAGGGTCTCTGCCTCCAAAAGTTTTAAACCTGGAAGAAAAGAAAAACTCTTTTCAGACCGCGAAATTCAGATTCACTTGCTAATGAACAAGAAGCTCCGAAAGACTCTTGTATGAAACTGGATTCAAGGAAATGTTAGCGGAAACAGAAATCAATCTACTTACCATCCAGGCCAGTTCTCAGTCCAAATCTTGGGTTTATCTGGTGTATTAGGTGTGAACTGGTCACAGTAAAAGCCATTGCAGGTACTAATCTGCAAAGGGAAATAAGCGAAATCCATCATAACCTGGCAACAGTTGATGCAAGAAAGTATGCAATGAATCAAAAAGATGAAGGTGTGCATAGATCTTGTGTTTCGGACACGATATAGACTTACCACAGTCGGAGGGGCATCCCACTGCTGGCACATCATCCATGGAACACCAATGTTCTGTGAAACAGCCATAGAAGCAGACCATTGAGCATACCTTTTCCCTCCTTCTCCGTAATCCTTTTCATAATACCCGTACTCGTTTTCCACCTAATGAATCACAATATCAAGAAAAACATTCTAAAAGGAAACAAATCGATGCTGAAATTTTATATGTTGTCGTTTGTCTTGCCTGAGACAAGATTATTGGACCGCCCTGTGGTGCGAATAGCTTCTCTTTTTTCAACAGGTTTACCATATACGTCGTGAAACTCTCCATGTAATGCTGAAACAAAAAAATCCACAGAGCAAATGAAGTTTCAGTTGCAGAGGGAAAAAAAAAACAAATTCCACAATATTTTCCTGTCTAACCTTCCATGGCTCATTATCCGCCCTGAAGACTGTTCCTGGCACGTAATGCAGCCAAACCGGGACTCCCCTATAACCACAAGATTCAATTAGAAAAACTACAAATGGGGCACTAGTTAGTGACAAAGGAAGGATTGTATAGAAAGGGCATTACCCGTAGTTCCACTCAGCCGCAACAAAAGGACCGATGCGCAGAATCATATGCATTCCAGCTTGCTGAACAATCTTGATGAACTTCACTATATTATACCGGCCACCAAAATAATACTACAAGCCAACAAGATGATTATTCAGCAATGTTTCAACAAACATGTGGGAGATTTCTACCAGTGCAAACTCGTTGAAATTTAAACCTTTCCAGGAGATGGCTCATGGCCATTCCAAAACACATAAGATTCGATTGCGTTGCAGCCTCCTTCTTTAGCTGTTTGAACAAGTGATGGCCACATCTGCAACAAAAATCAATTTGATGATGAAATTGAGCATAAAGCACAATTTAAGAACAGAGGCCTAAATCATTAAGCGAACCCAAACTCATAACTAAAGAACATAATCATTTATCCCCAGAAAGTAAGAACCCAGGACGAAAAACACACTTTGACAAGAGGATGGAAATGGAAGACATTTAGAAATTCCCAAATCATTTCCCATGATTTTAAATGTCTCTTAGAGACTGATTCCAGAATTTCCCTCTAAAAGAATGAACTAAACCCTCTTAAGCTCGAAACTTTGTTCGATTCAATGTGAGCATAAAGCACAAATCCAAAAAGCTTCCAACTTTAACGGAAAAACAAAGACTAAAAGAAAGAGAAAAGGAAGAAGAAGACACTAACAGCTGGAACGCTTCTGGGATAGTGAATGGCGGCGGAGATAATGAGCTGACGGCGATTGCCGATGGAGAGAGAACGGTGGTCGTAGGATACATTCGCGGCGTCGATAGATCTCCACGAAAAGAGAAACACCAACGCCACCAGAATCGCCGTAGACGCAATGCTTTCAGTAACCCGATTCATAATTGTTAGCTCTGCTTCGTCGTAGTTAGTTCCCTCTGAGTGTTCGTTCTTCTAAAAGTCTAAATCACTCTTTTTTCATTTAGGAGGGAAACAAGATTTATCCTTTTAGAACTTCCAAATATCTTTCTTGTTTTGTGTGCTTGGTGTGTGAGAGAGAGTGTGACCAAATCACTCTTGAGTGTGGATTATCATTATTTTATAAGATTAGAAGATTGTCTCTTATTTTAGTATATGCTTCTTCTTTTTTTATTGAAATCATTTTTTTGTTAATTAATAGTAGATGTATCCTCTCATATGATACACATATATGGCACTTTTAATTTACCGAAAATGTGTTTACAAAATATGTTGGAGACAGCAAAAACTTATGGACAGGAAGTTCTAGAAATACTAGGAAAATATTCTTTTTTAACCTTAACAAGCCATTACTAGAAAATCTCCAAGATCAATGAGAAAACTGACTTTTACCATTTAGAATGTGCAAACAATTCAAATCGCAGTGGAATGACATGAACCCTAGTCTAAACCCTATGATAAATCGTTTAACAACTAGACCACTATGGATTTGTTACAAAAATAAAGATTTTTGGATAATATAGAGTTTGAAGCATCACTAGTTCTTCATATTTTGTCTAAGACACATTCCCTAATTAATCTTTTCAAAATGTATTATAAAGAAACACTAGAGTTTGAGTTCTTCCTTTTAATAATAAAAAGTAACAAATACCCTTTTTACCATACGCGAAGAAACACTATGATATATGGCGTGGCGCTTAAACAGACATTCGTCATGGACTCATGGTCCATAGATTAGCGAAGAAGTAAAGCCAACTTCAACAAAGAAAAAGATATAAAGAGAAAGTGAAGTCATTAGCCTCTTACCCAAATTTGACTTTCCTACAAAAAAAAAAGATCTAAATCTTTCCTCTATCCTCTCACCACGTAACGATCGTCCCAAAAAAAAAACAAAGAAGCTTTAAATTACACATCTACGAGAAAATCAAAAAGATTGTCCATTTGATCTCTACAAATTCATACTCCATCAAAGGAGTATATTGGTTACTTGATATGTTATGATTTTTTACTTTGATCATCAAAGGAAACACATCACATGCAAAGAATAAAACGAAAATTAAATGAAGTATTGATATTGCAGATTTTTTATCGACACACATATTCAAAAACGCTGCTCTCCAGCCAATCCACGTTTTCTGGTACATTCATGTCACCACGTTGCCTTCTATCCTCTATTTAACCAACCAATTTTCTTGTGTTCTGATACTGTAATAAAATTCTCTCTGGTTTCAAATTATTTCCATTATGATTCCTGCCTAATCAAATAAGAAAGGAAAATCTTTTTTTTTCTTTTTTCAAAAACATATTTCAGGTGTTTATGGCTTGTAGGTAAATCGTAGTTAAAACGTGGGTCGTCTTCTTTACAATTATTTATAAGAAACCAAAATATATAAAAAAAAACCTTCAAAAAATGTAGGAAATATCTGGTCCCTAGCTAATACAAATACCGAAAGTGTTGAAATCTTAAATTCTATTAGGCCCCATAGTTCCCGGACTCTGCTTCTTGCGTTAAACCAACGAGCCACTCTTGGAGCGTGAACCACACCTTCTCATGGACGCATGTGATTTTACAACGTTTGGTGACTTCAACAGTTAAACGGCGCGTCAAGTGTTTGCGAATGTGGTGTCGGTGAAAGACAACTGGATTCGCCGAACCAACAAAGTCTCAGGCTCTAGGTTGGACCCTTGTGTACTTGAGATACGAGCGTGATCGGTGGATCTCTCCTTTTTTCTATTTGTTTTTTCTTCTAAATATATAAATTGATTTCTTCCATCTACAACGTTAGCTATGTTGGCAGTTGTCACCATATACATAGTTTATCAACTGATTAATTTTTTTTATAAGAAGTTTCTTTAAATGTGACGCTTTAGATTTAAGAAACCTGTATATTTTATTCAATCTGTGTATTGCATCATTTCAATAAAATTTATTGTTTGTTTAAAAAACAACCCCCAATTACCCAAAGAACATTAAAAAAATAATATTCAAGAAAGTTGAGATTGAGCTCGGTTCGAACCAATAACCGATATTGTATTCAAAGATATCCCAAGAGGATCACCACCTTCCTCTTCAAATACCACCAATAAATTTCCAGATGGTTTTAAAAACTCCCGAGGAATATGATATCTGCATTAACCAAATCCAAGTCCAAATCAAACAACAACAAAAACAGAACAAACTTCAGTTAAAATATAATTTGTGTGTTTTTCTATAGGTCTGTGACACTTACATTGATTGAGAAGGATGTCCAGAAGGAGTGAGAAATGAGACCCAATAACGACCAATGCTTACACCATTAACCCAAATTTCTCCTTTACCCATACTCGACATGTTCAGGCCCACTGGCCCATCTCCATTCGGCCCATCAAATATTGTCTGTATATTCACATTTGTCACCTATACTATTCATAAATTACACATTTAGTACTTATTTACAAATGTATATAAGGCATACCTTGTACCAAGTGAGAGGGCGGTTCTTAATGAGTCCAGCTTTATTCATACTCCACTTCACTCTATTTAAATTCCTCCATTGCTGTAACCTAACTTTCTCTCCAAGCAAACCCACCTTCACAATACATACATATAAATAGGTTATGTGTCAACAACACAATCTTCAAACCGTTCATGACTCATAAAATGAATGCTTATTTATCATATTACCGAGTAACCCCATTGCGATCCACTCAAATCGATTGGTTTTGTCCCACCACAGCTGATTTGTACTTTGGTTAGTCCATAAGATTTCCTCTCCATGTAAGCTCCAGAGTCCTTTTATTCATAGGGTTGAAGAAAAAGTATTACGATGTTACGATTTTGTGTGTTACTAGAAAATAATAAACCGGGTTCTGGTTTAATTGCAAACGTCTTACCGGTAGACCAACCATGCCGCTGAGGATTGATATACTGTTTTGTCCATTGGTTAAGCTAGCTGGAACTTGAAGTTTAACTACCTTTATGTCTCTGCTTCCATGTCCAGATCCTACAGTAGCACACTTTAATATGTTCATAAATATGAATATTGAATACCTTGGTAACACCGAAGCAAAGTTTGTGAACACATTTTTCTTCCCTGTTGTTACTCTCAATACTTATGTACCTGCTAGTGCATTGTTGACGAACACGTGAACAACATGTCCTAATGATTCAATGTAGATAGACGGGTTCGTGCAGGGTGAATCCGGCTTAAAGCTTACATTGGAAGAACCAAACTTGCGTTAGAAAAGATAAATAAACATTAGAAATATGTAATGTGTAATGTCTCTTATATTTTACCTTGAAGTGTACCAAAGATAATCAGTTTTGTCCTTGGTCAAATTAGTGTGTTCCAACAAATCATTTGCCTTCAAAGATGTGCCTGAGAATGCTGGAATTGTTTCTCTAAAAACTTCCCACTTCTCGGGAACGTTGAACACTTGAACCGGCGTTGTAACTCTCTTATTCTTCTCCACATTCACCTTTATTAATTAAGCGGTAAAAATGCTTAAATAGTTGTTGATTACTATTAGTATGATCTGAAAGTTCGCAAAATTAAAAGAAGAAAAAAAAAGACTTACTTTTGCTGTTTCATAAATTAGGTTTTTGCAGTTCTGAAGAATACCAATTGACTTGGGACTCAAGCTAAACGCATTGTTTCTGAATTGTATTTGACTCACTTTGGCGTCATTGTTCACCAGAAACGCAACGCATCCACTGCTCGCGTCTTCAAAGACATAAGCCTGCTGCATTGGTCCCAAGGAGAGAATCGTTTGCTTCCCTTGAAGCAGAGGATTTGCAGAGGATTTTATTGCAGCGTGAAGCTCCTTCAAATGACCGTACTTAGGCTGTCTTAAAAGACCTGAAACACACAAAACAAGATCAGAATCAAATTATCAGGTTCTTTCGAACATAGAATATGTTTAAGAGCTTTAGACCAAACCGTATTCGTCAAGAGGAGCTTGGTCATAGTATCCTGTAATGAAATATGAAGATGAAGTCCTTCCAAAGTTTGTTCCACCATGGTACTGTATTGAAACATGGTGGTGAGTTCTTGTTGATCATATCCTGATTATTTGATAAAGATGTTATTTGATTACCATGTAATAGTTGATGTAACTTCCATTTTTTGCAATGAAAAGAGCGGCATGGAAAGCAATATCCTCGGCAGATCTAATATAGGGCTCTGTTCCATAAACCTGAAAGCTTTTTTCATCACACAAAAAAAAGAGTAAACATAGCTAACTTTTTTAACAAGAAACCTAACGAAAAAGACAATGAAGTAAAACCCTTACAATGATGTCCAATCCTCAGTCCACATTTTCGGCTTATTGGGTGAGTTTGGTCCGGCAAACGTCTCGCCGCATCTCATCCCGTTGCACGTATTGATCTACAAATCAGAACAGAGATCTTTAAGAAATATAAGAAACATTGATCTTAGATATAAGTAACCGGTACGAACCACGGGATCAGGAGCGTCGGGCGACTTGCACATGATCCATGGCACTCCGGTCTTAAGCCCGACCGCCATTTGGCCTGCCCACTTGATGTACGATGCTCCTTTCTCATGGAAAGCCGCCTCCACGTTTGCATACTCGTTCTCGATCTTTACGATTAAAAACCACAAGAACCCAAACATATTCACATCATTAAGAAACTCTATTTTTCCAGGCACTGGTCCGGTTAAAGGTAATCAATGCTACTGCTTTGCTTCGGTTCGATGACGTTGAATCTGACGAATAAGATTGAAAAGAAAAATACCTGAGAAAGAATAATTGGACCGCCTTGAGAAGCATATAAGCCCTCAGATTTCATCAAATTTACGATCTTAGTGGTGAATTTTTGCATGTGGAACTTGAAGGGTTCATTGTCGGTTCGGTATACCATACCGGGTACATCTCGTAACCAAAATGGCAATCCCCTGGTTAATCAAACCGGTCGTCAAAGTCAATTGAATGTTAATTATACACGTTGACTATAACATAAGTAAAAACAATAATTTGGTTCAGTTTAGTAGTACCCGTAATTCCACTCTGCTTCGATGAAGGGTCCAATACGTAGACAGACATAGAGACCTTGTGATCTAATTTCTTTAATAAACTTCACTAAATCGTTTCTTCCACTAAAATCATACTGCAATATTCATTTTATTCCAAGAAATTATATATTTTCTTTCCATATATAGAAAATGAAAATTTTTAAAATTATTTTTGAGAAATTAAATAAATGGAACGGACCTGTCCGAGCTTAGGCTCATGGAGGTTCCAGAAAACGTACGTTTGGATCACATCGATGCCTCCTTCCTTTGTCTTTTTTATCAGAGACGGCCACATCTTCAGAAAACAAAAAATATATATATGATATTTATTTATTAAATTTCATAAGAAAACGCGTTCGATTATTCAAATGATTGAAATGATAATGCATTTCTAATGAAAAATCAAATTGGCTGTCTTTGGATCCCATTGATTAGAGATTTTTAATGAAATGAGATTTGTTCACGTGATTGTGATAAAGTTGTCAAAGAGCAAATGATAGTAAGATACAGAAACAATGATCATCACATGTAAGTTAATTAAGTATTGTTATGTGCATGATTAGTTTTAATAGTTTTCACACTTTGACTTTTTATTTTATATGATTATTAGTTATTCACTTATTTATTCGATTTTTTTATTTTATATATCGAAACCATGAGAAGAACATTAAATGGAAGCACAGACAACGGATCTGTGTCTAATTTAGTTTTAGATTAGAAATGAATTATCACCATTCTATCAGGCCATGTATTTTGATTCAGTAAGTTTAACAGTTTACCAAAAAAAAAAAAAAAAATCTGTAACTTTTTTTAAGAGTGTCAAAGAAGTGGACAATGACAAAAAAAAATAGAACATAAAAAGAACCAAAAACGGTGTCGTGTTGAGACCCGTGACTGTTTCGTTATCAGTAGCGTCAAGGAGTCAAAGATGTTGTGTTGGATGATATCTGTGTCTTAGTTTTGAAAGTGAAAGTACAACAAATCTTGTGAACCAAATAATAACCATTTTTTTTTTTGAAAAAGATTGACAGATCAATTTCGTTTCAATACGTTATGCATGTCTAATGTCTATTTCGTTTAATTATTATTTCATTGATTATAATTTTTTTTAATATCAGGGATTTATGTAAATTGAATTAGTTAATGTAACATGAAATAATGAATATGTTTTATCTGATATGTGATTAGTTTATCCACTAATCTTTTCGGTGGAGCTTATTAACGATCCCCGCTAGCAATTAGTTTCACTTTAATAAAGAAACCAAAAAAGAACATTTCAAAAAAAAAAAAAAAAATTCTTAATTTTCACGAAAGAAAGAAGTTTCTCACGCAACAAAAAGTACATGAAAAGTGAAACCAAATTCTCATAAATGCAAAGAAACTCGTGAAACAGAATTCGTTAGAAAGTAGTAGTTTATATATACAAGTCACCATTTCATATATATGTCCATTACATCATATATATTAATTAGGTCGACTACGATACATAGTTTTCAAGCAATATCTAGCATATGATTTGAGATCTTATCAACAAAATATTGCTTTCATATATATCCAAAATTATACTACTTATTGTGTCCTATAAATATTTTTTTCTTTTTTGATAGCAGAGTTTTGTCATATTACATAAATAGATGATATGACGCAATGGTCCATCCTAAGACATGAAAAATATTCGTTAAATTTGATTCAATCCATTTTATTTGATTCAAACAATTAGATATCCTTAAGTTTACGAAACAAAACAAATACTAAAACTCAATATCCACTAAAAATGAAGCAAATAACAAATACTACAATTTTAAGAGACATGGATTCGATTATTTATATAGATCAAAAATATGTTGATCTAAACGGAACGGAGCGGATCACGAATACTACCAAATTTTAGGATATCCGTTTCGTGTCCACCCTAGTCAGTCCAACCATATTTATTTATATTTGCCAAAAATGTTTTTTTTTTTTAATAAAAAGTTCATTTGCCAAAAATGTTTTTTTTTTGGGTAGAGGTTTGCGGAAATGTTATTATCACATTAAATCACTTCTAATTATGTATGATGGAAACATTTACCTCGGGCGTGCTGCGAGGATAGTGAATTGAACCGGAGAAGAGAAGTTTCCTCTGTCCATCGATAATCAAAGACCGTCCATCGTACGTAACTCCCGTCGCCGCCGAGGCACCGCCGGAGAATACAAGAAACATACCCACAAGAATCAAACACAACCCGAAGACCCGACCCGCCTCCATATATCTTCCCTTCTCCTTCTCTTCCTCTCTGATGTTTCTTTAACTGGTTACAGTTCGAACATGTGTGTAAGCATGTGGTTGTATGTATTAGTGCATTATATAAACTCCAAGAAAATTTTTATGATCTGAAAACAAGTGTGAGTAATATATGTAGGCGTTTAATAAAATTTTGAGATTTGAGATTTGGGAGCTTTATATATATATATACAAATCGATTGACTTGCAATAATTGGAAAAAGTTTGGATCCTCTGTTGAGGTGTTATATAAGCCTGCAAATAGCATTGTGCTTGTCTTACGATTCTACAACTGATTTACTAAAATGCCCCTTCTAATTTGACTAGCTAAGTTATATGATCTTCTACTTAAAAGGCAATAATATAATCAACCTTACTAGTTTTGACCAATTGAATTAATAAACTGCTTAACTTCTACTAATGTTGAATAACTTAAGTCAATGCTAAAATGAGTAAGTTAAAGATTTTTCTAAACAACAAAAGGTTCCAATATTGTTTTGTAAGCATTTTTTTTAATATATATTTGTTTTTACAACATATGATTTAACTTTCAAAATAAAATTGTGTTAAAAATAGGTTAAATAAAAACTTAAAAGCAAAAAAAAAATATTGACATAAAAGTTATTCGATTAAAGTTCTGAATTTTGCACACACACGCTTGCCTAAAGAGTTGAAACCTAGGTCATGTTGAGGTTTTGCGTATACGACATTGCAACTGGAACTTGGAAGACAAGACTTGGACCCAACTCAGCCTTCACGTAAAGATAAATGGGCCTTGAAATGGGTTTTAAGTTATAGTTAAGCCTCATATGGGCTTTTACATCTAGATGCTCTATCTATCTACTACGCATTATCTTTTCTTTTCTAGTTCATAAATATCTCTGTTTGTGTGTGTGGTTATTACAATTTACACATAAATATCTTTCTACCTGCATCTATTTGCAAAAATGAAGAAACACACATAAAGATTTTAGATTGAAATGCTGAATATTTTCGTATATTACATGATTTTGGGGGAAAAAAATATATTTATCTTCCATTGAATTTACATTATTTTTCTTCTCAAAAAGCCCATTTTTATAATTGTCACAGACTCACACTTCTCAAACATATCCCAATAAAAAAAATTATAACACAAGATCAGTTTACTTGCATCAGTTATTACTAAACAACAATCTTTAACAAACTATAAAATATTAGGGGAAAAATTATTCAAACTATAATAAAACATTTATTTTTAAATAGTAACTGTCGTTTATGTGGAAAATATTGGTCCAAGAAACTGGTCGATTATCGCATCTTTCAGCTTTACGTATACTTAAAGCCGGCGAGTGACTAAGATGACGTCATCTATTTTCAATGACGTATGCAATTACATGAACAGAGAAGATAATCTGCTGCGGAGAAGCTCACAGTAATACTCTTAACAGTCCACTCACAAGTCACAATATAAATATCAGCCAGAGAACATGGTGCACAAGCAGCTACACTGAGAAGCACCAGATCAACCACAAAAAGGTTCGTGCGGATGACGGAAGCAATGACATCATCACATACTCTGTATGTCGATCATCCAATTAACCCAAGCCACGTGTTAATCTCAGCTGGCTGCGCGGTCAACGTTGAAAAAGAAAAAGGTTGGTTTTTGTCACACGTGTCCGAAAGAAAACTACACACGTGTGATTCATGAACCTACTCTCTCTATAAAAGCTCCATGGACTTGCTCTCTTCTCCTCGATTTCAATCTTTGAGATAAAACCACAAAGATCCGATTCAAAGGTTCAAAAAACTCAAAATCGAAACTTATCCACAAGAAAACAAGGAACTTTTTTCAAAAATGAAGGCGGAGTTGAATTTGCCGGCGGGATTCCGATTTCACCCGACCGACGAAGAGCTTGTTAAGTTCTATCTCTGCCGGAGATGCGCGTCGGAACCGATTAACGTTCCGGTTATCGCAGAGATTGATCTGTATAAATTCAATCCATGGGAGCTTCCAGGTAAAATTTCAGTCCACGATGAGTTTGGTTTATGGTTTTGTGAATTTACTTTGATTTTGAAGAAAATTGGGATTATGTTTGCAGAAATGGCGTTGTACGGAGAGAAAGAATGGTACTTCTTCTCACATAGAGACCGGAAATACCCAAACGGTTCGAGACCAAACCGGGCAGCTGGAAGCGGTTATTGGAAAGCGACTGGAGCTGATAAACCGATCGGAAAACCGAAGACGTTAGGGATTAAGAAAGCACTCGTCTTCTACGCAGGAAAAGCTCCGAAAGGGGTTAAAACGAATTGGATTATGCACGAGTATCGTCTCGCTAATGTCGATCGTTCTGCTTCTACCAACAAGAAGAACAATTTGCGAGTAAGCTTTATGATTTTTTTTAATTTCTGGATTTTTCAGAATTTTTGTGATGATGATTAATGGTTTTTTTTTTGTTGAAATTTTGCAGCTTGATGATTGGGTTTTGTGTCGGATTTACAATAAGAAAGGAACAATGGAGAAGTATCATCCGGCGGCGGATGAAAAACCGACGGCGAAGATGAGTACGTCGGACTCAAGATGCTCAAGTCACGTGATTTCACCGGACGTCACGTGTTCCGATAACTGGGAGGTTGAAAGTGAGCCCAAGTGGATTAATCTGGAAGACGCGTTAGAGGCGTTTAATGACACGTCCATGTTCAGTTCCATTGATTTGTTGCAAAATGACGCTTTTGTCCCTCAGTTTCCGTACCAGTCCTCCGCTTTCGTCGATTCGTTTCAGGAACCGCTGGAGCAGAAACCATTCTTGAATTGGAATTTTGCTCCTCAAGGGTAAAAAATGGGAAAAAGGTTGAAGCTTTTCAGAGTCTTCGATCACCGCATCGTGTCGGATCCTGACCCGGAGACCAAGTCGGGTCATACGATTACAGAATCGGGTTAATTGAGATGTCCACATTTGGATTTCAGAGACTAACCAACTTAAACGGAATCTGGGTAATTGGGGGATTTTACACTGGTGAATCACACTCACTCAGCAAGTTTCGATTTTTGGTTTTTGTTTTGTAATGATTTGATCAAATGTCTAAAGATATCACAAAAGTAGATACAGAGGAACTGTAAAAGCAATTGTGACCAACCATTATGAATCATATATATATCATCATATTCAATGAGGCATGAGCTTATTTTTTCTTTAATGAAGCAATGTACATTTTTCTCCATGAGAAGAATACAGACTCAGATAGATAGAGACACGAGTGAGAGAGAGAGAGAGGAGAAAGGAGATGGTGAATTCAAGGGTTATTGTGAGAAGCATTAGAACGAGAAGCCCAAATACCAAACACAAGAAACCAGAAGATGAATAAGATTGCCCAGTAGCGTGCAGGACCATACCTGATTCTAGTGAGCACAACCTGTTTTCAAGTTTTGTGTGTTTGGATTAGTCAAAAAGTTGGGAACTATTAGAATGAAGATTATTACTTAAAGAGATTTACTTACAAATCTGAAGAAGATGACTATTGTTAAAGCACAGAGACCACCAAGAAGGATGTGAAGTCCGCTCCTAGCAGTTTTCTGCACGAATTCAAAACAACCGTCAACCAAATAAACGCTATCGATATACCAGTCAGAGAGGCTTAGATAGATCGATGGCATACCTTTCCAACACGAGGGGCAATGAGCCACACCAAAGTAACAGTGAGTAAACCGGTAGCAAGTAGAATCCCAGTACCTTCCACAGCCCATTTAGTTGCACGGCTTTCCATAGGTAAGATGTCAAAGTTCACAACACCTAAAGGTTGGTCAGGAATAGCCTGAGAAGCCGCAACAGAACTATTGTTGTTGTTGTTCAGGGAATGGGGACCAAACCATGACGATATCTCACTAAGTCGTTGCCTTCGAATGGCAGCAACTTCATCTGAATCTATGGTTGAATCTGTACTCACCGGTAATACAGGGATTGGATCTCCTCCATCGGCGGTTCTTTCTCTTAGTGCTGTGTAATCTCTCAAGGCAATGACCACTTTGTTGAAATCAGCAGTCTTTATATTTTCTGCAGGATGTCCACAGATTTCACACACGGTGGATCCATGGTTGAGAAACCACTTGAGTGCGCAAGCGTAGTGTACCAAAGCAAGCTCGTTTTTGCAAGAACATCCAAGCTCAAGCAATGCATCCTGATGCTGCTGGATTCCCATTTCTATATCATTTGTGCAAATGAAAACTTCCGCATCAGGACTTGTTATTTCGATGAAGCCAGATTCCCTTCCATTGCTTTTGACGACAGAATTCTTCAGCTCAGACTCTGTAGCTTTGCTGACATCATCAGCGTTTTCGTCTGCATTGCTTTTACGAGCGTCTGGAACCGGAGGAGTAATCCCCAAAAACCCCAAGGCAGTATCTCCTCGTCTGTCAGATTCTGCAGAATGGCATACACGACAGGTTGGCAAACCCGAGTCACTGTCTGTACTATAACGCGCCTCAGCTGCTAGTTCTTCGTTCTTGACGGGTGGACAATCGTGATCATTGACTCCACAATTTGTTGTCTCCAACTGATTCTCTTTACCCATCAAGCCCGAAAAAGAAAACTCACGAGACCAAAAAAAGTTCACTATCTGTTGAACTTATTGATATTAAAAAGGTTATCCCACTTGGACAAGACAACTCAAGGTCCAATAATACAAAGGACCTCACTGCATCTAGTAGTGTCCTCTAATATCACGTTGAAAGAGAAACGATCTGTAAGACAAAGGACAAGAGAGAGATGGTCTATTTTGCATTCTTTCAACGAGCTCCTGCACCGAAAACATTAAAGATGTCATAAACACAAGATTTTCTCAACATGAAAGCTTACGGTAACATATCACTTTTAAGAAACAAACAACATATATTAACGGAACCTAAAAGCTTACATGTAAAAGGGAGAATACATAAACAAATGACGATGAAGCAGCTAAATCTGGATTCTATGATCTAGTTATAAAAGCTTATAGTAGTATGAATGTGAAAAGAATGTATCATATATAATCAATATGATCATAGATCCCACTCAACCTTTCAGATGTCAGAAGAGTCAAAAACATGCTGAGATCAATCAAAACAAAGGAAAGTGAACAAAAGACATGACAAAATGATGTCTGAAAGCAATAAGATGTTGATTCAGGTTGTAACTGAGCCAGGAGAGATTTTCACCAAATCCAAACACAAGAAACCACTAACAAGTGTATAAAATATACATATATAAGCAGATGAAAGCAGCCATTACACCAATATTTTTTTAACCAGAAGCAGATTTATGCAGCCATCACTCTACAGAAGCAGATTAAAGCAGCCATTACTTTTAATTTTTTAACACGAGCAAAATTAAGCAACTATTAATTCAATTTTTTAAAGCTCTCCCACCAAATTCCCACCACAAGAGCTCATCAAAACGACAAGATCAACAATTTCGTTCTCTCATGAACTCATGGGTCACCGACTAAAACAGAGACATAAATGACGAGATCAAGATTTAAACGATCTGCAGAAAATGAGAGATCAAGCATGTGCGAATCTGAGCAGATTTGAACATTATGGGTTAATGAATTTGTGAAAAAAAAGCAAACGAATTTTCAGAAATACAAGAACAAATGAAAATGAATCTATAGGGTTTAGAGTAAGCAAACCTCAGCAAAATCTGGATTTGAGAAAGCTAGAGCCTTTCGAAAACCATCATTTCTGGGTTCCTGGAATTGTGGGGATTAGGTAATGGGAAATTTCTGGAAAATGCTCGTATCTCTGAGCTAAGGCGTTCAGATTCGAAAGAGTTCTTGCCACTACACCAACCTTTCACATGGTGCGGAGAGCTGAGTGGTTTTAGATTCTTTTTATTTTCTTCTTTTTTCACTATATAACGTTTTTTGTTAAAGAAGGAAAATAAAAACTGTCCAGATTTCACAATATAAACCAAAGGAAAAAGATAATGATAAGTAATAAATGATATATAAATTTTGCATTGAAATATTATTTTTTGAATTTATGATTTAGTTGATTTTGGGGGAAAAAATCTTGACTTCATGTAGAAGATATAACCGTTTTTTTTTTCTTTTTCAAATTGTTGAAATAAGTAATTTAATTGTCGTATTCAAATTTATATCCTTTCATATTATAATTATCATTTTATTGACTAAAGAGCCCAATATAATCTAGCAGAATTAGAAATTAGATTTATTTTTTATTAAACTAGATCCAAGCATTATTCATTTTTATTGTGTAAATCAATAATAAATAACCATTCGGATAATATCCCTAAAATCAAATGATATGTCTCTTTTTGGCTCTAATTTTTTGCTCTGAAAATTTGAAATTATTCTGTTTCTTTCTGTAGATATTTTTTCTGGATGTCGCATAATGGATGGAGAGGAGCTGTTTTATTTTATTTTTTTTTATTTTTGTGCACCAGGAGCTGTTTTATTTATCCACTTCAAAAATATGATAAACTACCACTTTAATGCATGAGATTCTACGATAAACGTATTTGTGTTATAGGCTTTTATAGCAGTAAGATAAATGGATGACTGGCTTACCTAAAGAATTATGTTAATGATACAAAAGTCTAATTGCTCTGGATAATCCCAATATTTAAGGAAATAACAAAATTAATAAGGTAATTAAATGATAGTTAAATTTTAGCGACTAGTTATTTGCCAAAATATCACTGATTCCCTAGAACAAAATATTCCGTGTTTGGTATAAAATGGTTCCACAAATAAACATCATGTTATTTTAGAAGACTGTGTAATGCGAAATCGTAGTTTCTCAGCAAGTCAAAGAAGGGTCTGCATTTTAGGCGGTGGGTCTGGAAATACACGTACTTGAATGTTATATGACACATGGAGCGTAAATAATGTTAAGTAACAAAAAACGAATATCAGAAAACTCATGGGTAATAAAAGCCTTTGTGTTTTTTTTTTTCTCATGGCCTTTGTATTACCCTAAAACTGATCACTGTATGATGTATATATTCAAACTTTCTCTACTTGACACTTTTTGACGCCAATCTCAGTGGCTTTCGTATTGGCACACTATCTATACATATGACACTCTTCACAAACACCAAAGGGAAAAAAAAAACAAAAAATAAGGGTAAATAGACAAAAAAATCTCGTACCCGGGCTGGCTTTCTAGTGGGTAAGACAAAGATTGTAAGTTAACTCTTCTTGTTAGCAAAATTTGGTGAGAGGATGATCTGTTTTTGTTTTTTTCTATGAGAGATGGAGAGCCATTTGCTGTAGAAGTACTTTCTTTTGAGATGCATTTATGACTCCTTTGCATTCCGCATCGAGTAACACCTCATTCATTATGGCTGCGGCATGCCCTCGTGGTTCATCTGATGCTCTTCTTAGCATAAACACCTGCACACACAAACCAACCCTTAGATAGTTAGATCATCAATCAATTCTGGCATACTGAGTTTCTTCAGCTCTGCTTCCAATTCAAGGTAGAGCTGATACGAAATGATATACCTGCCCGTGGTGAGTTATCTCCAAGCAGCCAGGTTGCTGAATAAACGGTTCTCCATCTATTTGAACAGGGAAAGGACTAGAAACATGTATCCTTATGACCTTCCCCTGTGCTAGCCTCCTAGCCTGAGAAAGACCAACCTGGAGGGGAGAATCACATGTTAAAAAGATATTTTAGCCACATATTGAAAAGTAAGTACTGCTAAAATATCTTCAGGTTTGAGGACGACTGTATACAAATTATCAGAAACAAGAGTAAGGAGCAATTCGAAATGAGACTAGACCTGTAGTTTGCCAAGGTGCCACGCTCCACGGACACATACCACTTCTAGTGTCTTGTCGTGCATACACTGAATGCTAAAATTATCATCGTGTTCATAATCATTTTGCCAAAGATCTACTCCACCCATATAGCTTCCAATATTAAGTACTATTAGACCCTCTGAATCCTGAGAGGAAAACAAATTGGGGACATCAATTTCTAGAGGCAACAACAAAAATTTTAGCCTTTTTTTTGGTAATATCAACCTCTTTCTCAGTTCCCAGAAAATCAAAGTGTTCTCCAGATAGGAAACAAAAATGTCGTTGTCAGCTATGGTTTTTACTTTTTATCAAGCAATTATGCGTTATCTTTCATGCTCAGTTTTTACCTAAATATATGTTTAGTGAGTAGTGGTTGGGGTTTCCATATTAGCAAAGAATAAATCCTGCAAGGACTAGTTTCATTTGAATAAGATACCTTGGGAATTTCAATGTCTTTTCCATCAACTTCAAGCCAAACTTGCCATGGTAAATCGGCACATGCTCGATCCATTATATCCCTCGCACCTTCTTTAGCATATCGTAATTTATTTACAAACTGCATAACAAACAAGATAAATATATCAGCCATATTTTTTATTGAAATTAGTTGCTTAGCGGGTTAAGCCACAATTCTTACACCACAAAAAACAATGACACAAAGCTTTATTCACATTATGGTTCTCTATATATCATCATATATGTTCCAGGTAAGAAAACACAACAGCAGTACCTGACTACAAAACTTTTCAGGATTTTCTTGCCGCATCATATGAAATTCATATGCAACTTTGGCGTCGCAGCCAATACCTAAACAAAGGAAATGTCAGCTATTGTTCATGATCAATGAGAGGGACCAAAACGTATATGCTTAATTAATGTACCTAAGTAATTCATCATAAACTTGTGGCCTTCTCTTGCTGGAAACTTTTCTGTACTCTCTTCTACAATTTTAACACTCCATCGATCCAACATTGTAACTGCAGCATGATCAATGTCTTGCAAAAACGTTCTTAGACTTCCTTGTCCATCAACTACTGAAATACCTCTTCCCCACTGCAAAACTCTAGATAAATCATTTCCTGTGCCTAAAGGAAGAATAGCGACAGGTGGAGGGGATTCAAAATTGCGCTTCTCAATGGCATCAAGCACCCATGCAACTGTTCCATCTCCCCCACATACCAAAACTCTAAAATACTTCACTTTGCTACATAGGTCTAAACCAGCGTCTGGCCCTTGACAAGAGCCAAGTTCAAAGACCTGTAATTCACCAAAGCAATTATCAATCAGTGATTTAAGATTCAATATGTTTAAAAGCAGACAAACTTCTAAACGTCATTAACTACAAAAGAAGATAAAATTTGGAAGACAGTATGAATTTCATATTTCAAGCCATTACTTGCTACTGAAATACTTTGTAAAATATCCATAGTGGATTTCTGAAAAACTGAAGCTCATTTCCTACCTGTACTGGATTCAACAGCATGTTAAGTCTCCTGTGAAGAAAAGGACCAAGTTGCCCTCCGCTTTTGGCATTGATAAAGACCAAAAGCGGTCTTGCATCTGGGGGCAAATCAACCAAGGAAAACTTCTTCATAAAATTAAAAGCGGCACTTTTATTTCGTTTGTGGCCGCCTATACCATTTTGCAATCCGTTAGCATTAGGCAGGTCCGAGACTTTCTGTAAGCAATCTATGCTCCTATCTCTGCGTATCTTTTTCACTACAAGCCCATTTACTACGGTTTTTACTGGATTGCTGGCTGAATCCTCCAACAGCTTACCATTTAGTGACTGGCCATTCCCATTTTTTCCCCTATGACGCTTTCTTCTCACATGCCCTCGTATAGATGCTAACTCGTTTTTAATAGTAGTCAGTACTCCACCCACACCATTTGCTTCATTGAGTTTTACATGTACTGGAGAGAGGATTACTCTTCTGAGAGAGCCAAGATCACAAGCGTCACCAGATTCCTTGGACATAATCATGTGGCATTTTACATGTATGAGGCGCTGGCACCAAAGACAGTGCCACATTGGAGAAGCTTCAATGAAAGGAATACCACACGGTTCATCACAGTAGAAGCAAAAGGCAGTCATGTCAGCGTTATCATCCATGTTAACCCATCGCTCAGACCAGTGATGTCGGACATGGTCAGATCCAGCCTGCGCAACACATTTGCAGTCTTTTGCAGCAGAGCCTGAGCAATAAAAGTGAGCTGCTACACCGCATACAGCACACCGGTGGACGGGAATACTCAGAGCTGCTTTAGTAGAAACATTTTGACCTGGAACAAGGGAGTAGAGACAAACACAGCAAGTGGATGGCTGCGGCCCATAACCATAATCATCAGTCCATTGATGATGAGAAAGTGGAACTCTCAGTCTTTTCCAAACCTTCTTCTTCTCTCTAGCAGCAGCTTTAACCCAATTTAAAGAAGTTTTTTTCTGCCATCTAAGAAATGTGTAGATAACAGCGAGAAGCCCAACAGATCCAGTAACAAGCCATCCAAATATAAAAGGACTGTCAGCACCAGAACTGATCAACCACTGAATAAGAGAGAACCCCACATCCATCATTACAAATCTAATACGTCATTCCTATTTAACTTGTTGCACCAGCATAAACTTATGAGCTTTAGGCCACAAAATACCTGCGAGAGATAACCACAAAACAGAATAATCTCCGTGAGAAGAGATAAACCTTAACAAACTTATATTACGCAAGGTATTGACTATAACTCTATATAGCATGAACAATCAGAGATTCAATAATGGCTCAACAATTCGGCTTCAACAAAGCTAGTGACCTAGTTTCTTCCCTTTGAATCGTGCCAGAGATAGCACAATCTCATAACTCCCATACCAAATCCTGAACAATTAGGAGGTGACTCTGTTTCTAAAGCTAAACATCAATTCCACATTGAACAGTCTAAGCCACAATTCCTCTAAAAACACCAAAACTAAACGAGATCAAGCAATTCGGCGAAACAACAACACACAAATCAAGCACAATATTGAAAAACACGACACAGACAGGTCATCGAGATCGGAAAAAAAAAGCAAGACAAAAAAATTCCAGATCTGACGCGAATTTCAACGAAAGAGTTAATTCAAAATCCGTACCAGGAGAGAATCGGAGACGAATTCACGACGGAGATCAGCAAGGTGAGGATAAAAAAAAAACCCTAGAATCTCCGAGAACCAGTAAAATTATGTCTCCAATTTTGCTTTTTCTCCTCGAAGCCAGCGAGAGAGGAGAAGGAGAGAGAGAGAGAGAAGAAAAACTTTTTATAACGAAAGGTGAAAAGCAAAAGGCGGGATTTGGGGGCTAAAACGCAACAAACGCGCCTTTCTCACTGCATAGACTCTCTTCTCTTGCCGTACGACGTGCGAGCCACGGGTTCGTCGGCGCTGGCTTCTTTTCAATTTACTATTACACCCCTCGTTCATATGTTGTGACGTCACTTGCATGATAAAAGACCAATCGCATTACTTTACTTTTGTGAGTTGGTAACCACATGCACTAGATTTTAGTGTTCACCAAGTCAATAACAATTATCAAATTTTTAAGTTTTTTGACCAATAATAATCAAATTATCTGAAAGTCAAATATTTTTACTTAAATATAAAATTTAGGTCTATGTTTTGTTTCCTATTTTTGATGGATCTAGGTGGCTTATTGAATCATGGAGGTGGATATTTTCTTTTATGACTTTAGATTTGGTTAAGTCTTTTGATTTTAATTAAATCTACTTAACAAATTTAATCAAATCTAGTATAAAATTTTGTTATTATTTTTTTTTTGTCAACTTTTGTTATTTAATTGATAAATAATAGATTAATAAAAAATCATAATGTTGAGTTAATAATAAAAAAAAAACTTTTATAGGCTTTAAATAATAAATAAATGTAGACTATAATTGGCTTTAGTAATTAAATATTAATCACAATTTTGTAGAAAGATTAGGGTCCAATGGGCCAAATTTGCTAATAAAAATGAAAAAAAAAACAAATTTGTAGAAAATTAGTCGATATCTCCAAAGGAGAGTGCAAAAAAAAAGGAAAACCCTAGAACAGTAGATATAAGAAAATCTCTCGACAGTTAAAGACGAAATCCTCTTTACCTTCGGAGTCAAGTTTGTTGTTGCGTAAAGTGGAAGCTATCATCAGTAAGCTTTAACCCTATTTCTGAATCCTTATAAGTGTATTCGTTTTTTTTTGTTAATTCATTGATTTTACTCTCTGTTTTTTGTCAAATTTCAAAGCAAACAATGGAGAACGATGTAGAGAGACCGTACGCTGTCCTAACGATGGATGAAGTTAAAGAATTGATGAAGAAAGAGATCTCTGAAATCTCTGAAATCTTCTTGATATCAAAATCCGATGCGACCGTACTTCTCATGTTTCTCCGATGGGACTCGAATAGGGTTTTGGAGCGATTGGGTGAAGACATGGAGAAACTAATGACTGAATCAGGTTTGAAATCAGTTGTGTTTGATTCGAATCAAGATTTATCTGATGTATCTTGTGGGATTTGCTCTAAGATTGGTGATGGTTTAATCTCCACGCCTTTTTGTTCTCACAAGTTGTGCAAATCTTGTTGGAGCGAGTATCTTGAGAAAAATTTCTTCTCTGTGGAGAAAAACCAAACTGCAATCTCTTGTCCTGATCAATCTTGTCGAGCTGCTGTTGGACCGGACACGATTGAGAAACTAACCGTACGTGATCAAGAGATGTACGAGAAGTATGTTCTGAAATCTTACCGTGAGAGATGTCTGGGATGGAAGATCAAACAGTGTCCTGCACCGGGTTGCGATTACGTGATTGAGTTTCATCTGGCGAGTGAAGATGACGAGCATAGCTTAAACATTGTGTGTCTCTGTGGTCATATCTTCTGTTGGAGATGCATGCTTGAGTCACACAGACCAGTGACCTGCAACAACGCTTCTGATTGGTTGTCTCGAGACTTGATGAAATTGATAGGAGAAGTAGACAAGCCATCTCCCCTCTCCTGGATTGAAACCAATACCAAGCCTTGCCCTCATTGCTCTATTCCTGTGGAGCTTGATGATGTACACCAATGGAACCAGTTCTTGACATGTGCCTGCAGGTTTCACTCTAATGAAAATAACTCTGTTTTTGCTATTCGCAGATTATTAGATTTCTTCTCTATTTTAATTATTGATCACACTAATTTGTGTTTTTCTTGATTTAGTGGGCGTTTCTGTTGGAAGTGTTTTCAGCCACCGGAAGCTCACGGAATCTATGGATCCTGTTTTGCACCGGAGGGTTTGAGCAATGTTGGTTTCAGTCGTTGGAGCAATGTTGGTTCCAATCCTTGGAGCAATATTGGTTTCAATCGTTGGAGGAGAGCAGAACCGGAGAAGATTTCGTGTTTGGATCTCTGGAAGGCGAGTCAGGTTTCACTGGAGGAAGCTAAATCCGAGCTAGAAGCTTTCGAGGAATCCATAATCAAGAAACCTAGTGACTTGAAGGTGCAAGACGTTCAAGTACTAAGAGAAGGACTGATGCTCGTTGTTCAGTGCAGACAGTTCCTCAAATGGAGCTGTGTGTACGACCATCTCCACACAGAGTATGATATGGCGAAGAGAGAGTACCTGCGATTCCTCCAAGAAAACGCGTCTGCCCTTGTCCGCAGTTTCTCACAGAGTATAAAGGAGGAAACAGAAGCCAAAGAGCTTACTCGCGGTAAGCTATTGAGTGAGACAACCAACATTGGGAACTACTTTTATCATTTCATCAAGGCTTTACGAGAAGGTTTGTCCGAGGTGAAGGCAAAGTCGTACGACAACTATGGTGGTCCTTATTGGTTGTGCGATCGCTGCACATATGGAAACTCTTGGTTCGAGAGGGCCTGTAAGATGTGCTGTGATCCTACTGCGTCTATTATGGACGAGCTAAGTGATTGATCGCTTAACAAAAGGTTTCAGGAGACAGGAACCTTGCAACTTTTAAGTTCTTAAGATTCTTCGGTTTTTTTTTGCTTTCTTTCTTTCTGCAGTTTTAGGGAGTTTGTATTGGACTACCAAATTTTAATGTCGAATTGAGTTTTTTTCTTTCTTGACTATTCACAGTTACAATGCTTTGTGATAAGCAACGTTTCTTCTACCTTTATGGCTCTTATGTTCTCAGACTCCATAAGAAAATATGTGGTCCTGTTGTCTTTTTTCATCCCTCGCTCTACTACTGTAGTTTTGTTCTCAGGAACTAAAAGCCCTGAAGATATATACTTGTATAAACCGAACTGGACTAAAACAGAAGATGAAGCGCACTGCCTTTACATGACCAGTGAGCTCCTCTGGAGATCCCAAAGTTCATGTCAACTGATAAAGAACTTTGTTCTTTAGACTTCTAAATTGTGTTTTCAAATGTTCATTAGTCATCAGAATAATTTGTCTCCTTTTATTTACAGGCTCTTGGTAAAAAAAATTGATCATTGTCGAAATTAGAGCCCCTTGGCCATTTAATCCACACTCTTGATCAATCAAAACCATGTAGTAGAAAACGTCTGGTTTAACAGGGATTTCATTTACCTCTTCATATCATGGATTAGGTTCCTCAATCAATTCCCCAGACTCAGCCCTTTTAAGAATCAAAAAATCAATTGTTTATAGAGAGAAAAAGAACTTGCTCTTTGTGCTGATTTAAGGCTCAAGACTGCTTCAACCTCAAGCACACAACAAAATTAATAATTGATTTGAGGAATGTAAAACTGAGACAGAAAGTGATGCAGAGACAGATCAAGTTGTTGATGAAAAATCTCACCTAAATATCAAGTTGCTGGTTCTAATAGTTCAGATAGAACACAGACATGAAGAGTTTATTGAAATAATCAGTGGATTTCTCTGAAGAGAAACTGAAGGAGACATATGTATGAAATTGCAGGGAATGTCTTGAGTTGATATACTTGAAGAAGGTTTAAGTGTTATGCATTAAGCATAGTATCGGGTTCATCTCAAGGCTGAAGTTTCAGTTTGTCCTAGATTCTAAAGACAAAGTAATGCAAGTGCTAAGTTTGGTAGATTTCAAATACAAGAAAACGTATTGTGGAACGAGTTACAGCTGAAGTGGTTATCATAAGTTCAAAAATATGATAAGAGAAGGCTCTAGTGTGATAAGTTACACTTCTTGATGTCGAGTTCCATTTTTTTCATTCCTCATATTTTTACAGTTTACACAACATCTATAGGAACGAGATGTTTTGTGATAAGCAACGTTTCTTCTACATTTATGATTCTTATGGTTTCAGTTCTCAGACTCCATAAGAAAAGATGTGGTCCTGTTGTTGTCCCTTTTTCCATCTCTCACTCGAATAGTTCTGTACTTGAATAACCATATAAAACGAATTGGGCCCAAAAAAGACAAACTAGAAGTGCCAATGGGCCAAATTTCTTAAATAAAAAACCTTTTTTTTTGTCGGCAACTTTAATTAAAAAACAGACTTATCAGACGATTGTTTAGCTTAGGATTAAGGTCCAATGGGCCAAATTTCTTAATTAAAAACTTATTAGACGATTTAGCAAAAACAGATATTTTTGTTACTTATAAAACTCGATGTTTCCATAGGAGAGTGAAAAAAGTATAAACCCTAAATAGTTGAAACAGAAATCATCTAGAGACGACGATTAAGAAAAAACGAAGAACGATAACTCTCACCTTCGATTCTTTTTGTTGATTGAGGCACAAGCTACCGGTAAGCCTTAACCCTATTCCTTAAAGTTTATTCATCTCTCTTTGTTATAATTCATTGATTTGTTTTTCTGATTTTCGTCAATTTTAGGTATACAATGGAGAACGATCGAGAGGGACCATACTCTGTTCTAACGAGAGATGAACTTAGAGAAAAGATGAAGAAGCAGATCGCTGAAATCTCTGAGATCTTCTCGTTATCAAAATCCGATGCGACCGTACTCCTCATGTTTCTCCGATGGGACTCTGATCGAGTTTCTGATTGTTTGGTTGAAAACAAGGAGAAAGTCTTGTTGGAATCAGGTTTGAAACCAGTTGCAGCTAATCCGAATCAAGAATTATCTAATACTTCTTGTGGGATTTGCTTTAAGACTTGTGATGAGTATTATCTTGATGATGATGATTACTTAATCTCCACGCCCTATTGTTCTCACATGTTCTGCAAAACTTGTTGGAGAAAGTATCTTGGAAAGAATTTCTACTTGGTGGAGAAAAACCAAACTAGAATTTCTTGTCCTCATCCAGCTTGTCAAGCTGCGGTTGGACCGGACACGATTCAGAAGCTAACCGTACGTGATGAAGAGATGTACGTGGAGTATGTTCTGAGATCTTACCTTGAGGTATTGGAGATCAAAGAGTGTCCTGCACGTAATTGCAATTACGTCATTGAGTTTCATCAGAAGAATTATGATGGTGATGAGGAAGACTATAGCTTAAACGTGGTGTGTCTCTGTGGTCATATCTTCTGCTGGAGATGCATGCTTGAGTCACACAAACCAGTGACCTGCAACAATGCGTCTGATTGGTTGTTTAGAGACCTAAAGAGCTTATCGAAGCTGGTATCAGGTAAAAAACCATTGAGCCTCTCCTCGATCAAAACCACCAGCCAAAAGACTTGCTCTCTCCCGTTGATCAAAGCCACCACGAACACTTGCCCTCATTGTTTTCGTCGTGTGGACCTGGGTACTAAACAATACCTCCGGTTCTTGACTTGTGCCTGCAGGTAAAAAACCCTATTTTGCAAATCTTGAATAATTAGATTTCTCTATTTTAAGTATTATTGATCATACTAATTTGTGTTTTCTTTATCTAGCGGTCGTTTCTGCTGGAAGTGTATGCAGTCAGAGGAAGACCACAAAACGGAATCAGGAATGTATAAACTCTGTAATGTACTCGAGAGAAGAGTAGAAGTGGAGACTTCGTGCATGGAACACTGGAGGGCGAGTAAAGTTTCAATGAAGAAAGCTATATCCGATCTACAAGCTTTCGAGAAATCTAACATCGAGAATCCAGGTTACTTGAGCGAGAAAGACGTGACAATTATAAGAAAAGGATTGATGCTGATTGTTCAATGCAGACAAGTTCTTAAGTGGAGCTGCGTGTACGACTACTTCCACATAGAGTATGAGATGTCGAAGAGGGAATACCTGCGATTCCTGCAAGCAAACGCGACCTCACTTGTGGAGAGTTACTCAAAGACTCTAAATGAGGAGATAGAAAGAGCCTCGCCAGCTACTTCTGAAAACTTTTGTTGCGTCAAGCATAAGGTAACCATTGACACTATCAACATTGGGAACTACTTTTATCATTTCATCAAGACTTTACGAGAAGGTTTGGACGACGTGAAGGTGAAGTCCTACACCGACTATGGTGGTCTTTTTTGGCTCTGTGATCGCTGCACATTTGGAAACACTTGGTTCCATAAGGAGTGTACGATGTGCAGTGATGATATTGCAGCTCATGTGGAGCTAAGTGGGTTATCTCTTAACTAAAGGAGGTCTAATGGATTGAGAATTTTAATTGTTGTGGTGGATTTTAGATTTGGTGGTGTTTTTCATTAAATTCAGAGATATTCTAATAGTTCAAAGGTATTTCGTTTAGGAATTCGTCTTAAATATTTTTTTACTTCATCTAGTTTGTAATCAGTCATATATTTGGAAAAAACCTTAAGTGGTTACAATTTACTGAACATTCTAGGCATTATATCATTCCGCTGCGTACGTAACTCTTTGAAAATTTCTCCTAGAATATATATAGACAATTTCTGTACTTAGAAAGCATATATATATCATGAAGAGCTGAGATATATATGTCAATCGGCCTGGTCCGGTCCGTCCCATACAAAATTCTTATATATATATATATATTTACGTTTTTAGGTGGAATAGGTCAAACTAACGTGAATTAAAAATATTTTTTATGCTAAAGACATGAGTATTCAAAATTTTCATATTTTCGTGTTACCTTGCAATAATATACCCTTTTAGTTTCGCAAAACAAATCTAAGAACTAGTTTATCCCGTGCGTAGTTCAGTACATCAACTAATTTATCTTTAAAAATCGAATAGACAATCATAGGTACAAGTTTAACCAACAATAAACACACACAAAAGTCATTATATGTAAATGTTTATTTTTAAATTAGTTTATATATATATATATATATATAATCCATATATAATCTACTTGAAGATAAATTCTTTTAAAAGTATTCTACTCTTTAACTAATGCTTTTTTGAATTAATCTACAAATGTCTCTATTTCGCGCGTACACATAGCGGGTTATCATTTAATAAGCTTTAATTAATAAGACTATATTATATTCCAAATTCAATAAGACTAGATTTTAGAAAGACAATATTAAATCATTAGTTCCATAGTAAGAGATTTGACATAAAGAACAAACTCTTTTTGAATTCTTAGTTGGAATACCTCCTCTAGGTTTTCTTAAAGATTAACAAAAGATTTAGGAAACATGAAACTTGCAACCTAAGCTTTTCTACAATTCTTTTGCTCTCTTTATTTCTTTAGACTCTTTTGAGATTAGTTTTCTTCATGTTCTTGAATCTTTTTTTGGATAAATAATGTCTTTTACCTAACTTAGTTTGCGCCATCTGTTGGGAAACATAATGGTGAATTAAATAAACTTGTATATAGGTTGTCCCCAAAAAGAAAAAAATCTACCTTAGACATATACATAAAACTATTGGATATGATAGTTATTGCAAAACACCATTTTGTAGTAAGATTAAGATCCTATGGGACCATTTTCTTAATTGAAAAACTGGATTATCAAACTATAAATAGAGCCCAAGTAGAATAAGTTTGTATCTCGATCTATCCCAATAGGAGGAGAAGGGAAAATCTCTCTTCATCTTCAATTCAATCTTTTTGTTTGAGGCTCAAGCTACTAGCTAGTAAAAGCCTTAACCCTATTCTTTACAAGTTTATCTTTCGCTCTTTGGTAAATTTTCGATTTATCTATGTTTTGTTTTTGTCTTTTTGAAGAAAACAATGGAGAACGATCAACAAGGACCCTGCTTGATAGATGAGGATAAGGAAAAGATGGAGCAAGTGATCAAGAACATGTTAATCTTGTGCGCAGATAAATCCACTGCGATCCACCTCCTCATGCAGTTCGGATGGAAACCGCGTCTTGTTGCAGTGCAGCTCGGTGGAAGAAGGGAGGAGTTATTGGCGGAATCAGGTTTGAAACCTGTTGTGATTGATTCGAATATAGATTTACCTATATCATCTTGTGGTATTTGCTCTACGACTGAAGATGTATATGTTGATGAGTATTATGATGATAACAATGATGATGATGGTGGTGATGGTGATGGTGATGGTGATGGTGATGGTGATGGTGATGAGGATGAGGATGAGGATGCGGATGAAGATGAGGATGAGGATGATGATGATGAGGATGAGGAGGATGAGGATGAGGATGAGGATGATGATGATGATGACGACGATGATGATGATGAAGAGTATGATGAAGAAGAAGATCGTCATCATTTCATCTCCACACCCTATTGTTCTCACAAGTTCTGCAAAACTTGTTGGAGAGAGTATCTTAAGAAAAATTTCTACTCTCTGGAGGAAAACCTAACCGTGATCTCATGTCCTGATCAAGATTGTGGAGCTTCCGTTGGACCAAAAACGATTGACAAACTAGGAGTACGTGATCAAGAGATGTATGGGAACTATATTCTGCGATCTTACCTTGAGAGCAAACAGCTCCCTGACCCTGCACCGGATTCCAACTAAGCTATGCCATTGACCAAATTTGAGTTTAGGAAAAGATCTTTCTTTATGAAATGCATTGTTATTCCATTTTATGTTTTTTTTTAATAATCGAGGATTTCGAGTTGATCAGTGTAATCGAATCTTCAAAACTTTATATATGAAACATCATGTTCTTGCCATTATATAAAAATATTTACATTCAAATTCCATGAATGAAATCTTATAATTAAGACTCGAAATCTTTCCTCTTAGTACCATGATAAGTTTTTAGCCATAAATTGTTTCTTTTACTTTGTCATAGATTGAATATATATATAACTAAATCTTCAAGTATACAAAAACTATTTCGCACCATATATCTATCTCATATATCTATTTCGTGCCAAAAATGAAACTTCACCCAAAAATTGTGACAAATATTGTAGAAGGAAGACTCGAAATATGATCTTCTAATACAATGGTAAGTTTTAACCATTAAAACACCATAATTGATTCTTTTTCACATAGTATACAATTTTCACATTTCGAGCCATATACCTATTTCGCGCCGTATATCTATTTTATGCCAATTATTAAATTCCGTCCAAAAATCATGATTGATCTTGGAAATAAGACTCGAAATATGGGTCTTCTAAAACAAAATATCATTTAATAATTAAATAATTATTTATCACTAAAGATGTATATTCGAAACGAAATTAATTTTTTTTATGCTTAATTATTTAGTAACATTAAATTTATACGATGTTACAATAATCAATTATGGTGTTTTAGACTATTAAATGATATTTTGTTTTAATTATGTAACAACCTAAAATTAGGACTTTTTCAATTCAAAATGTTGTTCTTAGATATATATGACTAATTAAATGCATATTATAATTACATTTAATGTTAATAATCATAATGGCACGTAAATATATATCTTTTAAATGATGTAAGTTTTACTATTTTTCTCTACACAATACCAGTTGTACTTAATATAGATCACCATTTTTTAAAAAGCAAGATTAATCTCCAATGGGCCAAATTTCTTAATTTTAAAAAAAACTTAATTATCAAATTTTATGTAATACCGAAAACAGAATAATTTTGTAGCCTGACGATATCCCCAATCCCCATTGGAGAGTGAAAAATGGCAAACCCTAGACAGTGAAAGGACGATTCTATCTTGTTGTTTCAGGCGCAAGCTACTAGTAAGCCTTAACCCTATCCTTTACCTCTTCTCTAGCTCTTTGTTAATTTATCGATTTGCCTTTCTGACTTTTTTTAATATTTTTTTGTCATATTCAAGAAAACGATGGAGCACGATCGAGGGAAACCCTACTCTGTTCTAACGAGAAATGAAATTAGCGTAAAGATGAAGAAACAGATCAATGAAATCTCTGACATCTTCTTCATATCAAAATCCCATGCAACCGTACTTCTTATGTATCTCCGATGGGACTCGCTTCGTGTATCAGAGCGTTTGGGTGAAAACAAGGAGAAATTATTGATGGAGTCAGGTTTGAAATCAGTTGTGGTTGATCCTAATCTAGATTCATCTAGCGAGATTAGCTTGGAGACAGATGTTTATGAGTTTGCTGATGATGATGATGATGAAGATTATAACGATGATAATGATGATTTGATCTCCACGCCCTTTTGTTCTCACAAGTTCGACACAACATATTGGAGTGAGTATCTTGAGAAGAACTTCTACTATATGGAGAAAATCCAAACTGCAATCTCTTGTCCTGATCAAGATTGTCGATCTGCCGTTGGACCGGACACGATTGAGAAACTAACGTTACCTGATCAAGAGATGTACGAGAGGTACATTTTGAGATCTTACATTGAAGGAAACAAGGTATTGATGATCAAAAAGTGTCCTGCCGGGGATTGCAATTACGTCATTGAGTTTCATCAGGAGAATGATGATGATGATGAGTATAGTTTAAACGTGGTGTGTCTCTGTGGTCATATCTTCTGTTGGAGATGCAGACTTGAGTCACACAGACCAGTGACCTGCAACAAGGCCTCTGATTGGTTGTCTAGTGCCTCAAGGAAATTATCAGATGAATCATTTAGCCTTTGCTCGACCAAAACCAAGACAGTGACTTGCCCTCGTTGCCTTTGTTCTCTGGAGTCTGATACAAAAATGCCTCAGTTCTTGACTTGTGTCTGCAGGTTTCACCCTAATGAAAAGAAAATACATTTCTTTTGCAAATTACCTAGAATTGATCTATTTAAGTCTTGATCCTACTCTTTTGTGTTATCTTGCTTTAGGCTTCGTTTCTGTTCGAGGTGTTTGCGGTCAGAGGAAGCCCACAAAATTGAAGCAGTAGACTCTGGATTCTGTGTTAAAACAGAAGTGGGGATTTTATGTGAGGATCGCTGGAACGTGTGTCAGAATTTACTCGAGCAAGCCAAATCCAATCTAGAAGCTTTCGAGGAATCCAACATCAAGAAACCGAGTGACTTATTAAGGGAGCAAGACATTATGATTATAAGAGAAGGGTTGATGTTGATTGTTCAATGCAGACGAGTCCTTAAATGGTGTTGTGTGTATGACTATTTCTACACAGAGTATGAGAACTCGAAGAAGGAGTATCTACGATACCTGCAAGGAAATGCGATCGCGGCTCTCCAGAGTTACTCAAACACTTTACAAGAGCAAAAAGATATCGTCCTCACTGCAGCTACTTATGAAGAGTGTAGTTTCTTCAGACACACGGTACCCACGGCGACAAGCAACATTGGTAACTACTTTTATTATTTCATCAAAACTTTGCAAGATGGTTTGGTCGATGTGAAGGTGAAGTCATACAACGGTGGGGCTGGTCCTTTCTGGTACTGTGATCGCTGCACCTATGCAAACACTTGGCACGATAAGGAGTGTGAGATGTGCTATGATGATAGTGCCTCTCTTGTGGGAGAGCTAAGTGATTTGTCTCTTAACAAGGTTTCTTAAAACCAGAACAAAAGATTTAGGAAGCATGAAACTTTCCACTTGAATATTTTACAATTGGTTAGCTCTGTAATAATCGAGACTAGTTTTCTTCATGTTGTTAAACATTTTTGGACAAATAATGTTTTTTCCCCAACTTCACACGTCCTCTTTTGGGAATCTTCACACCACCACCTTGACGCTTCTTCAAGATTTTCCACCACTGCGTTTGCTTGGCATCACTATGCAGCTTATGATTTTGTTTCTTTGAGTGTTTTCTATGTCTCACCAATCCTTCCACTAGCGCGTGAAAGTGCCCACCTTGATGTTGTTGCTTATGTGTAGTAAGACCTCTGGATTCTGACGTCGTCCGTTTCTTCTCATCTGATTTCTCTTTGTGCTTTTGGTGAAATTTACTCTGCAAATTCTTCCAAGCTGATGGCTTATTCTTGTCGTGGTGGTGATGATGGTGGTGGTGGTGGTGATGATGATGAAATACTTGTCCTATCTTATTCTTTATCCTTTTAAAACGTCCCACTATATTTCTCCTCTGTTTTGCAGGTTCTCTTGATGTGTCTCTGTTTGTATGCGGAGGAGACGTGCTGAATTCAGATTCAGAAACAGAGTCATCACTCTGTGGTGGATATAATGATTCTGACTCAGACTTGGTGTCATTCTCTGCTTGAGTTTCCCAGTCTGAGCCAGAGCTTGACCCTGTTTCCCCAGAGTATTCTTGATCAATTGAAACTTCTTCGTCTTCCGACTCAGAACCTGTCCCAGACGGTGTTTGTTCACGCTCCGTTTCAAAAGACTCATCATCCAACGTTTCGGTTTCTTGATCCATCAACGTTGGTTTCATACTAGGCATCTTTTGTGACGTTCTGTTACTTTGACTTGGCTTCTTGAAACCAACGGGTCTCACAGCAAGAGGCGGTAATGGCTGCGGTCGTGGCGTGACCCGAACAAACTGATCATTAGAAGGCAAAGGAAGATCATCATGGCTTCGAACTATTACATCTGCACCAACATTCACACTTCTCTTACTCATTGGCATGTAATTGCTTCTTAAACAAGACATAGAAGCTTGAAAATTTTGTCTGCGCTCTTCAATGGGAGGAGTTACAGAGGACTTGCAAGACCTTGTTCTATCATCAGAGTCCACACGACTAGAAACAAAGCTTAAAGCGGAAAGCTGTGTATCGATTTGTTCGATTGCATCAGCGACTTCTTCTGTTAAACCATCCTTACGAGGATTGCTTTGAATCTGATCAACTCTCAGATCTCGCTTTAACGCTCCTTTAACCTCCAATGGTTTACTAATTCTCGTAATCTGAGACGACATTGCAGGTGGCGTCGTCGCAGAAGTATCCGCCACATTCGACGGCTTTGCACTGTGTAAATCCGTTCTAGGAAACAAACCTAATTGTGTTGCAAGTATCTGTAGCAAAATTAAAAATTCTAGTAACCAAATTTCAGAAACGTGAAACAAGTGAAAACAGAGTATTTACTCGATAAAAAAACTGACGGTTACAGACCTTTGATTGTGTAACGAAAAGTTCATGGGAAGCAAAATCGAGCAATCTCTTTAATAGAAACTGAGTGTTCTCATCCAACTGCGCATTGAGGAATCCTAATGTTAGATTCTGAGGTTGAAGATGAGAATTCACGGAGAAATTAAACTCACCAAATATGGTTGGGGTATGGATTCGTTTCTTGCATTTAAATCGAGAAGACAGTATAGTCTTCTCAGGGATTGAAGATTACGCTCTACGTTATCGGGCTCCATCATAAAAATAATTCAGAAAAACGAAGAAGAAGAAGATTTTCGGACAGAGTAAAGAAGAAGAAGAGATGCGAGTAATGGAGTCAAACAAATAAACCGATTGCAAATTATAAAATTTTGGTTTCGTGTCTGAAAAGCAACGTTGGTTCGTCTTCGTTAAAAGCAACGACACCGTTTGAGGGTTATTTACAACGACATCGTTTATGAGGTTATTTTCTATTTTCTTTGACCGCTTTTTTTTTTTTTTTGAAATAGATCTTTAACCGATTGTTCGTTCGTTTAATTACAATTTACAAGGTCTTCACTCTTCATGGACAGAAAAACTTGATGATAGACGTTTTCTAGAGATACAATTTAAATTAAGTTTTTGTTCATAGTAAAAAAATGCTTACCAAAATTTTTGAAATTGTAACAAGTCTATCTAAACTATTTTAACACACCCCGAAGAAAACAGCAATATTTCATATACCCTCGCAAATCACGTCCAATCTCGCTCTCTCTTTCTTATAGACTTCTTTCATGAAAAATAACAATCAATCACTATCTAGGAATTAAAACTTTGTTTATGTTTTAAGAATAATAATATGTAACACAAAATGATTGTTTCCAATTACGTGAAATAGCATTTTCAACTTGACGAGACTTTTGATATTGAGGAAAAACCATCCTTTCTAGTATATCATTCACGTGCAAAGGTTTCTTTTGTTCTTTGGTTTAACCTTCACTTTTCTCTTCCTTTTTCACCTTAGTTAATATATGTCAATGGTTTTACTGAAAGCTAAGGTTGCAAAAAATCATACACTGAATTCAAAGATGTGAAAATGGAGCATTTCACTCTCTACAAGTTTTACTCTCTCAATCTTATTTATATCCTCCAAGATGCCTAAACAGATTGTTGTTTCAAAGTTAATAATATTAGATGTTAAAGAATCAGTAAAAAAAAATGCTTCGGAAAGTGAATAAAAACAAGATTTGCATGCATATATCCAGATTTCTTTGGTTTTATGTTTCTAGTAAAAAGAACAGCTACAAACTCTGCGTGCAAATAAAAACAGGTTCGAAACCCTTCAAAAGTTCAAAGTAAGTAAAAAGGGAAACAGTGAATCATAGGGTAAATAAACAGTGGGTAGAGACATAATTCTAGCTATTTAAAGATCGTTTGTTAAAAAAAAAAAAAAAAAAAAAAAAAAAAAAAAAAAAAAAAGATCGTTTGTTAATGAGATTATATAAGAATTAACACTGTAACATATGGTTGATAAATGATCCTACATGGACCAAAAAGCTTCTGAAACATGGGTTTTCAATGGCATGAGAGTGATATAAAATGTGATAAGATTAAAATGCGATAAAATAGGTTGAGGGGAATGAAGCCTGGTCCGAGAATCATTTAGAGTTTTGTGTTTTGGTAACGAATTACTCTCCATGACCTCGAGCCAAACAACATTCCTCTTAACCCTAAATCGCTTCCGAATAAGAAGAAGATGAAGAAGACAAGAATGTGAGCAACAACTTTATGTAAGAGAAAAGAAGAGTCAAGAAGAAGAAGGAAGCATGTGACAGGGCTAAGAGACCCAAGTAGTTTCTTCTATTTATAGAGAGGACAAAAGATCTAAGCCCTAGATTTTTCTTTTGCATTTTCTTACATTGATTTAGTAACTTTGGTTTAATAGTTTTTGGTTAATTTTGGTTATTGTCTTCATATGGTGTGTGTAGGGTTACCTAAAATAGAATTTTACAGTGTAGTCGAGACTCGAGAGTGGTAAAATCCGACATACTCCGAGTTAGTACATTCAAAGTTCAAACCATTTCCATGATTTAATTCAGTCTTCTTTTTAGAAAAATATCTACAATTGTCTTTAATTGTTTCTTGTGTATATTTAATTTCAGTCATTTCCGAGGCCAACAGCAATCTTTCTCTTATTTAAAATCTCTGTCAAGTCTCCAAAAGCTTTTATCAGAAAGAAAAAAAAAGTCTCCAAAAGCCAAAACTATATCTGCACATGTTGTAATATATATATATATCAAGGATTGAGTGTTTGTAATTATTTCTTAATTAGTACCATATACAGTACCAAGTAATTAGTTTGGACATTTTTGTTGTAGTTTCTAGACCGAATATTATTAATAGGATCATTTTTTTCTTCTGAATATTAGTGTCTAAAACACAATTTTAAGAACAAATATATACATAGATAATGGTAAATGTGCATGCATATATGTCTAATGGTATTGAATGCAAGACAAGTACATTCGTCTCGATTTATTATTACCTTATTATTACTTTTGGCTCCACCTCAACGACTTACTAAATTTTTGTCTTTTTTAGTTATAAATTAAAGTAGTTGTATGATTTTACATTTATGAGATTTTTTGACCAATTCATGTATAATACTGGTAGAGATGATTTTGCGATGCTTTAGGTTTTTTTACTAGTAATAAATTTCATGTATGCTAATATGAATCATGTTGTCTACCATTTCGATACATCCCATTTTTTTTCTTTTCAACATGTAAATATGCATACATATAGCTTGTAACGTTGTCTCCCTATTGATTGCATACAGTATTTAATAAAATTTTGCCTATAATTTTTTTTTATTTTTTTTGGGGACCCTTTTGTTATTTAGGGTTCGTCTGAGAGGCTCAGGAGAAATACCGAAGAACACGTCACAACAAACCAAAGAGATAGAAAAGGAAATAAAAGATCAGAATCGTTCATTCCTAGTTGAATCGGACGGTGGATAGGAAAGTTACCTGGGAACCGGACATGTCGGTGTCAGCGGAAACCAAGCACCAAGAACCGAGAAAAACAGCCCGGTTTACGAGGAAGTTAGAAAGGAGTTCTCTTTTTCACTGACCGCTTACGTCTGTCTCCGGTCCCATTCCTTGCCTCATCTTCATTTAACGCACACAAAAAGTACTACACCAAAATTTAACCCACTTTTAATTTGTATTTTGGTTTTAAGTAACCTCAGAGGATCTAAAGTTTAAGAATAATTCCTAATCCATGAAAGTTCTGTTGTTATGAATCTGAACTCTGAATCCATGTCATAACAAAAAGAAATCTAGATTTGTTTTGTTCTGTCACTGTTTCATCCCTTCCTATAAAATCACTAGACTAATAATTTCGTAAGATACATAGTTAGTGGAAATTAGAAAATTAATTTAGTTGAAAATACATCAGTTAACAATCTATAATAGCTTAACATAAGATTAGCCATAAACAACGTCACGTTGTCTCGAGTTAGTTTTTATCTAGCAATGTCTCACATGTGGGGCAAAATGTGAGAATACAAAGTTGAGGAAAACATTGGAAAACCAACTAAAATTTAAGGACTGAGTTCAAAGTTTATAATTTTTACGGGCACAAAATGAAACGGCGACGTAACGTCCTTTCTAAAACATAGCAAATGAAAAAACAGAGCAAACCACTCACTAACAACCATGATCATCATTAATTCATTATCAAACGACAGTTACCAATTCATATATACAAAACACAACTAGTTATATGTTATGTATATATCATATCGTCTATTACACAAATCAACGTTGTGTTTTGCTTCGTTTTCCCCACCTGTTTCAATACAATTAGCCTCTTAAAATACTTTCTATGTTTATCTTTTGTAACGCAAGTTTGATTTCATAGATATATATCTCTATTTATTCTTCATCTTGCTGCTGATAATCGGATAGATTCTTGATCAACGGTGGTTTCTTCTTCATCCCAAGTAGCTGGTAAAGTCGGAAGCAACAATTCTTCTTTGTTCCTAACTTCTTCAAGTTGTTCCCATTCAGTCCATTTCTCAGCCAAACCACCAGTCCCTTGAAGCATTTTAACAACTTCAGACATCGCTGGTCTATCTTCTGGCGAGCCTTGTGTGCAGAGAAGAGCCACTTGAACAATGGTTTCAACTTCTTTAGAGTCATATATAGTCAAATTGCTGTCAACAATGTCTCTGAGTCTCTGTTCTCTAAGCAACTTCTTTATCTGTTTCATACAAATCCAACAACTAAAGATTAGTTTTAAGTCTTTTCAGACAGAAGAAAGCTTGTAAAAGAAGTCATGTCTTACATGATCAAGCAAGAGAATATTTTCCTCTTCTTCTAAGCGTGAAAAATCGATTGCACGCTGACCAGTAACGAGCTCAAGAAGCGTTATACCATAACCAAAAACATCAGTCTTTTCAGATGATTTTCCTGTGCAGAGATACTCTGGCGCAATGTGACCCATTGTGCCTCGGACTTGAGTTGTGACATGAGTCAGTGATGTGTCCACAAGCTTAGCTAAACCGAAATCTCCAAGAACTGGCTCAAAATTGTTGTCTAAAAGTATGTTTGCAGCCTTGAGATCGCGGTGTATGATCTTCGGGTTACAATGCTCGTGTAGATACTCTAAACCGTGAGCTGAACCAAAAGCTACACGCTTCCTTGTTGGCCAGTCTAATCCTTCCTCTCCCGCTTTCAAATCTAAAATGTCACATGCATACACACATTATAGAATCTATTATTTGGTTAATTGATAGAGAAGCTAAGTATAATATACCTCTTAGTCGATATGCGACACTAAGATTTTCCATGTATGGATAAACAAGAATTCTCTCGGATGAAGTTGTGCAGAAGCCAATAAGGCGTAAGAGATTCTTATGAACCGCAACGCTTATGAGCTGAATCTCTCTTTGGAAAGCAGCTTCTCCTCCAGGACTGAAGTAATCCGCAAGGCGTTTCACTGCAACTTTTGTTTTGTCTGGAAGCAAACCTCTGTATACTTTACCAAATCCTCCTTGTCCGATCAAATTGCTTTCGTTGAAACTATCTGTTGCAAGCTGGATTTCGCGCAATGAGAATCTTTTTAGCTGGCCAAAGGAAATCTTCCTGTCATCTTCACCTGCATTTTCAAGGAAAAAGGATTTTGGCTCAAGAGTTCATAGTGATCTAATGAGATGTTTGATTATAAATATATGTAAGTTTTTACCAGCTACATCGAAAAAGATATCGTATTTGGTTCTGCGGACGCGATGGTGATGATACATAACCATTGCTCCAAGGAATAAGATTATAGAAGCAACACAACTTGCAGTCAAAGTAATGTCTCTTAGCTTTTTCTTGGAGGATGTCACTGCACATAAAGATACGAAGTTATAAAGTCTGTTCTGTTTGTATGTGAATTGGATGAAGAAGAAAGAATTAAGAACCTGGCAGACGAGAACTTGAAGAACAAGGCTGATTCAAACTTTTACCACATATGAGCTGAGTTCCTGAAAAACTGAAGAAAAATCACAAAATGTGAATTATGTGATTATAGTACTGACAAGTCACTCTGACTAGTTAGGTAGATTTAAATGAGAAAATGAGATTTTTACTCGAATGTTGGTATTGAGAAGAATTGTGTTGGGATATTTCCTGTTAAATTATTGGATGAGAGATCCCTGTGAGTCAAATTTAGCCAAAAGATCCCTTAGTCACACATTTCAATGATGGTTCATAAGAGAGATTTTGAGTGTACTTACAAGTGCTTTAGATTCGTGAGCTGACTCCAGCTTGCGGGTATCGAGCCGCTGAAACTGTTCATTGATAGGTTTAAAGTTTGTAGATTAACCATGCTCCCAAGAGACTCTGGTAAGGCACCAGATAAACTATTGTTCTGTAACTCTCTGCATCAAGAACAAAACTATGAGAAAATATAGAACCAATAAAGAAACTTAGCTTGCAATGGAAATGGTTTGTGATGTTACAAGGTAACCAAGAACTTCAGTTTTGTAATAGCTGGAGATAGTGTTCCTGTGAATCCATTTGAGGCAAGATTTCTACAGATTGATACAAAACAAGTTTTCAACATAATGCGAAACCTCAGTAACTAAAACTGAGAAGTGATCTTAAGAATACTTACAGAGCCACAACACTCTGGCCTCTGCAGGTAACATAAGACCAACTATAGCAAGGGCTCACGAAATCGCGTGTCCATTTAAGACGATTGCTCGAATCATTAAGAGAATCTCTGAGCTGCAACAAAGCTCCCCCTAGCAAATTAAACAAGAAGTAAACCAGTTAATACCATGAGATCATTGATTCATTTACAAAGGCTAATAATTATATATAGACCTTCGATATCTGGTTGAGTTGTTGAAGAAGTGACTCCCACAAAAGCTAAGGCCATAAAACATTGTAAGATCAATTTCTGATTGTTCCATCTAAAGCAATTTCTTTGAATGAATCCTCTTCGAGTTCTTAGAGGATCACGAAAACTTTCACCATTCCCTGCAGTTTATTAGATAATATAAGAACTGTTATATATTCTAAATCAATCAAACTCACTTCTTTTCTGCTGTAGAATATATAGTCTAAATTGCATCAAACATAACAAAAAGTTAACTTAGTGTACAAGAAACACATAACTTGTGAACTATGTTAACTAAACATAAGAAAGCAAATAAAAGAAAAGACCGATTTGTGGGTCTAATTATGTCTTAAAAACGAACAGCTTTGATTTTTTTTGATGTGAAACATTGTCAGATCAATCCATAACTTCTCCATCAGAGCTCATTTGAACCCAAAACATTAAGAAAATGAAAGCTTATAAGCATCAAGAACAATAAAATTTATAATTCTGTCTTTGACTCTTTGCTTTGATAATCAAAAACCTCTCTTGTTTCACCTAGATATGTACCAAATATTTTGTAACTTGAAACTAAAAGAAACAATAAAGTTTAGTAAAATAAACAAAAACCAAGAAACCTAAATAATATACAATGGATTAAATAGGCATTAAAGTATAAGTAAAACAAAGCTTTTAAGTACCTGAGTGAGCCATAGAGAAGCTGAAACACTCTAAACACAAGAGAACAAAAACATGGGTTGAAGAGAGAAATGGAGGATTTGTATAATAATGAAGCAAATAAAAGCAACAATAATGTAAAATCATCTAAAGAAAGATGACTCTTTTAGAAGTTAGTGCCCTTAAAGGACCCACAAAAGGTATTTTTCATATTTTTATCTCTATCATGTAAAAAGAAGAAGAAGAAATGCTGCTTTGAGGGAAAGAGAATCCCACTAAGTTGAAACATCTTTGATTTCTTAATGGAGGTGTTTTTTTCCTTCTTCTTTTGCTTCTTTATTTTGGGTGAGATCTCTTTTGCAAGTGTGTGACTTGGATGTGATTGGGGCTAAAAAGGATATCAAATTTTAACAAAAAAGGATACAGATGACCCAAAATAAACATAAAATAATAAAGAATGATTTGAACGAATCGGTAATTAAAAACAAACAAATGACTTAATTAAGAACTAAGTTATGTTTGGGGAAATGGCTTATGCTTTAGGAAGAGACAGAAGCATGTGTAAGAAGGTTCCACTTGTTCATGTTATATTCCACTATTCTGGATGATGGTGGGGGTGGCTATGCAAAAGGGCGTTTTTGTATATATTCCGTTCATCTCTGACCTTCAAATCAAATTAAAGGATATGATACAAACTAAAATATATTTAAACTACAAATTTAACTACCTGTTTTTGAGTGAATGATAATTTCAAACATTGAGAAGTTTACATTTCTGATATTTAAAAGGTAAGTGATTGATCTTTTGATATCCTTTTCAAAAAATATATAAATTTAGTTACAGCCTTTTTTTCTTGTCACAATTATAATAATATGAAAACATCAATGTTTAGAAAAAATTTTAAGGTTATTTTCCCTTAAGAGCTATGTTGAAAACATCATGTATTACAACAAGAAATGCAGGGCATAAGAAAAAAGTATACCAAGAAAACTGAGAGATATTTTTATAGGAAAATTAGGTGAAGTAAAAAAAGAAAACATAATGTGATGAAGAAGAGACTAAGAATATATAGGGAATAATGATATCAATACTAATATGCTTGAATTGTTGGACATGTTCTTATGCTTCATCCCTTTATATGTTGTCATACGATTCTTCACCTTATTGAGACTTTTGTTCGATCTGCTAAAAAGATCTGATGATCATATCGCAATCTAGAATTTATATTTCAAAAGTTAAATTTTATCAACATTCACAAATAAAACAAATTCAAAGATATTTTCTATTTTTATCAGGAAAAAATGAACTAACTTGTAAGTGAATACCTTGAGAGCAAAAAAGATTACTTTATCTTATTAAAATCTTATAACTTGTAAATGATTTGTTCATAAAAATATTATATAATTAGTTACTTAATTTTAATGATCGTGTTGATATGAAAATATCAACACGAACTAATTCTACATAATCCAAATGGGGGTATCGAAACAACAAATATCACTTATAATCCAAAATTAAGTAAAAACAAAACATGGTTCGATATCTTTGTACTTGCGAGCATTGTACTTGCGATTGTTTGACCGCAAAACGCAATCGCTAAAGTAAAAGGTCCATATAAAATGCAAGACGTGTTACATTTACGAAAGAACCCTATGAATCTGTGTTTAAGAGACACGTGTCCCGGATATGATAGGGGTATAATAGAGAAATACAAAAAGTAGCGTTTGCGATTGGTGATTGGTCGAAGCGAATCCTTAAGAATCTAGTAATACTGACACAGGTCACTCAGACAGCTATTTATCTGCTAATTTTCTGCTAAATATCAGAATTAGAGATAAGTGTTTCTTCTTCTTGCTCTGTCGTCACTAACTAGGTCACAGCCAAGTAGCAGCAAATAGAGCGAGAGAGAGAGAGAGAGCGACGGCGAGAGATATGAATAATGTAGTGGAGATTGTGGAGGATGAGGAGGAGGAGGATGAGAAGGAGTGTGAGGATTGGTGCTTCATCTGCAAAGACGGTGGAGACCTAATACTCTGTGACTTCAAGTGAGTCTCTCCTTCTCACTTAGTTAAACTCTGATGAAAGAAAACATAATGCTGCTGCTTCGCTAGAGGATTAGTGATTAATGTTTGGTCTTTGCATGTTCTTGATTTCTGATGATGAAGGGTGTTTTAGTCTTTGTTGGGTTTTGCTTATATTATAACGAGGATTTGTTAATTTCAATGTAGGATTGTAAATTATATAATGAGTGGGAAAACATGTATATTGTCTCATTGGTTCTTTTTATTAGATTTGTTTGTCTAAGTGGAAACAAGAAACTTTATGTTCTTCACTACGAAAGTTCTTCTTTTTCAATCAAGTTACTTTTGTTTATTCAAATTGATGATTAGGGGATTTTGTTTGGAGGTAGTAATTTATGCCAAAAGTATTCATTTCCTTTTAACTGCTGCGTTGGTTTTTCCTGATGATTCTTTCATATGAATGCGCTCGAGCGGAGGACATTGTGTACCATTCTGTAGTTAAATGTATGAAGGTGTTTCCTTTTTCTTTTGTTCATTGATTAGGAGCTTAGGTAAGGTAGCTAATTGACTTTTTTTTCCATCTATTAAATTGCAGCAGATTGTTAATGTATGATTTGCATGAATATTAACAATTTCATTATGAAAAGATCGTCGAGATGAATATTAAAGTATTGTCACTTGTGATATCTAGTCTAATTTAAATGTATCCATCTACTCATTGTGCTTGCTTATTTCAGGGACTGTCCAAAAGTTTATCATGAAAGTTGCGTTGAAAAGGGTAGCGCAGCAAGCAAGAATGGAGATTCATATATCTGTAGTAAGTGCTAAAGTTTCTCTATATATATATTTATATGTTCATTGCAGACTTGCAGTATTATTATCATTTTGAATTAGCTTGCTTCCTTTGAATTGTGACTTAGCTTCTGTCAGCGGTCTCCTCTTAATTAGTTTGGATGGTTTTTATATCTGAAAGTGAGAGAAATTGGAGGAGTATATCGTTTATGGATTACTTGATGATTTTTCTAGTTCTTTTAAAGCTTTTAACTGCTATGTAAGATATCCGATGTCTCTGTATATAAAGGTTTATATTTGCAGTCAGAAGGGCTAATGTTAAATTGTAAAATTTCAACTTTCAGTGTGGCACAGTTGCTACTTGTGTAAGAAGACACCAAAGCTATGCTGCCTCTGTTGCTCACATGCTGTATGTGAAGGCTGTGTTACTCATGCTGAGTTTATTCAACTTAAAGAGAACAAAGGGTTATGCAATCAATGCCAGGAGTATGTCTTTGCTTTAGAAGAAATTCAAGAATATGATGCTGCTGGGGTATGTTTCAAACTGCCATAACCATATCAATATAATCTCCTATTATTTCCTTTTTGCCCAATTTTGGTTGCCATCTGTTGCAAATAACTAAGGTGCTTACTGTTTAGGATTTGTAAAATCTGTGTTAAAAGGGATTTATTGCCATACGAAACAAAAATGAGCATGAATTTGAAAGAATCTGAGTGTAACAACTCAAGAAATTTCAGTTAGAAGACTCTGTTTAGGCTCCCCCTAGGAAAAGATAGATGAATCTACCACACATTTAGTATGTCTTTAGCGAATTGAATGAAATATATGCATAATTGTTGACATGCTTTAGAAATTGTAAATCTATTGCATGCTTTCTTTTCATTTTAATGCACCAGGACTTTCCTAATTAAGGAAGTTGAGTTGACACTTCAAGTATTATATTCTCTGCTTAACATTCCTCTATTGGTTGGCAGGATAAGCTTGACTTGACAGATCGGAATACATTTGAGTGTCTGTTTCTTGAGTATTGGGAAATTGTTAAGAAACAAGAAGATCTAACTTTTGACGATGTCCGCAATGTCTGCGCTTCAAAGCCACAAAAGAAAGGTGTCAAGTCAAAGTACAAAGATGATCCCAAATTTTCGCTTGGTGATGTCCACACTTCAAAGTCACGAAAGAAAGGCGACAAGCTGAAGTACAAAGATGATCCCAAATTTCCGCTTGGTGATGTCCACACTTCAAAGTCAGGAAAGAAACCCATCAAGCTGAAGAACAAAGATGATCCCAAATTTTCCCTATCTGACCATGCGGTAGAGGATGCAGTTGATTATAAAACGGTGGGCAAAAAAATGAGAATGGAGTTTATCAGATGGGGTTCAAAGCCCCTCATTGATTTCCTAACGTCCATAGGGGAAGACACCAGAGACGCAATGTCACAACATAGTGTGGAGTCAGTTATCCGCAGGTACATTCGTGAGAAAAACCTGCTTGACCGTGAAAAGAAGAAGAAAGTTCATTGTGATGAGAAGCTGTACTCTATCTTCAGGAAAAAGTCTGTAAATCAGAAAAGGATTTATACACTTTTAAATACTCACCTGAAAGAAAACCTTGATCAGATGGAGTATTTCACACCTTTGGAACTTGGCTTCAGTGAAAAGAAAGAAAAGCGATTCAGTGAAAAGAATGATGAGGTTTTGATGCCGTGCAAGAAACAAAAAACAGAAAGTTCAGATGAGGAAATTTGTGAGAAGGATGTGCAACCTGAAATGCGAGCAACTGGTGTCGCCACGATCAATGCAGATAATATAAAGCTTGTTTATCTACGTAAAAGCTTAGTCGTAGAGTTGTTGAAGCAGAATGAAAGATTTGTGGACAAAGTGGTGGGAAGCTTTGTGAAAGTGAAGAATAACCCTAGGGACCTTATGGCGTACCAGATCTTGCAGGTTACAGGTAACCAAGACTTCCGGTTATTAGTGTTTCTTTCTATCTTCTAGATTTTTAGATAATTTGGACAGTTTTTTCCTCTCATTTTTTACCATGGCAGCTTATTAGACATTGTGATAGTGTCAAATTGCCATATCTTATCTCTGAATTTCTCTGATCCATGTCATGATCACTGCATCAGAATCACTGTCACACCTGATATTTTTTCCTTTCTTGTAGGCATTAAAACTGCCGATGACCAGAGTGAGGGAGTGCTTCTCCATGTTGCTGGTATGGCAAGTGGTGTTAGCATTTCCAAGTTGGATGATTCTGACATAAGCGAGGTGAATCATGTCTTAATTCATCTTTTACCATTTTCTTTCCTTCAATTTAGTTTTGCTCTCTTCTGCATTTTGGGAATTTTTTTGACAAATCTGCTGCAAGTATTGAGAAAGTATCTTTGTAATATTCCTCCTAGGTGACTAATTGCTATTGTTTGTTTCTATATGGTTCTTATATATATTTGGCTGTTCAAAAACTTGCTAGAAGCTAAAAACTCCACTTGTACACATTCCTTTTCAGGAAGAGATTGAAGATTTGAAGCAAAAAGTGATGAATGGCCTTCTGAGACAGCCAACTGTTGTAAGTTCTTAAAGCATATCACAAGATTTGGATCTCTGTTTAGAAAATATTACCTTCATTAACATGACGAATCCTCTGGTAAGACAGAGAGGTAGTTAAATCATTTGGCTTTTGCATTCTCATCCCAAATCATGCTCCTGTCTTTCAGGAGCTAAAACTCACCAATGGTTTTTTTTAATCTGACAGGTGGAGATGGAGCAGAAGGCTAAGGCTCTCCATAATGATATAACAAAACATGTGAGTATCTCTGAAAACACATAAGCTAAATAAGATAGGTTACACACTCTGTGTTTTGGTAAAAAAGCATAGAAACACTTTTTTTTTTTCTTGAATTTCACACTTTGTTTCTTGTGTAAATATCTTGAAAAAAACCAGTGGATTGCAAGGCAGCTTATCATTCTGCAGAAACGCATCAACCGTGCTAATGAGAAAGGATGGAGAAGAGAATATCCTTATTAAGTTTCAATAAAAAGCACATACATTTTCATATGATTTGACATGATTACATTTGAAACACCTTAACTCTTTCCATTTGTTTACATTGGAGGAGTATCTAGAGCAGAGAGAACTTCTGGAAAAAACTTCAGAGCAGGAGAGGTTACTAAAAGAAACTCCAAGAATCATTGAAGACTTGATCGAGATAAAACAAGAACCATCTGTCAGCGGTTTGTCTCATGAGGCGGTGATAGAGATCGATTGACCAAAGAGCATCTTCACAAGGAAGAAGGTTGATGTTGTTGTACATCTTACTTGACGTTTTTTGGGCTGGAATATTAGAACTTCAGAAACTCGGCTAAATATTTCTTTTGGAACTTACTAAGCTTTTGCAGAAACTGGAAGCTAACTTGTTTTGTATGATGGTCATGTCATATATGTAGCATCAAAGTGACATGGTATGTTTCATGTTCGTATGTATATGCCTAATGCCAAACTTTGAAACCCCTCTTTTTCCTTTATTTATTTTCTTATAAAATCACATTGACTTGGTATCCAAGTTCCCGACGTGATTTTCTTCTCACGTCTTCTTCACTCGGACCTTTGTCATCTTCATCACCGGCGTTTTCTCCGTCACCGTCGTATCCTCCTCAAGCATCGGCGGTTTGCTCTAGTCGGTAAGTTTCTGTGATTTTAGTTTGCAAACAATGGATTGTGGTTGAGATGATTAATAAAATTAAGGTGATTTGAACTCGTAAACTGCTTTTTCATAAATTATAAACATCACTAGAAGAATTCATTAGCTTTTGATACAAATAGATAAAGCAAAAAAATAGTGCAGATCAAGTGTTCGATAAAATGTCTAAGTGAACTTTTAAATATGGTTTTAGGTTTTCAGACAAAACTTTTTGTTATTTTTTGCTTGTGCTACAAGTTTCAAGTGGGTTGATGCTATGATATTCCTCTAAAAAGCTTATGTTTCGTCTGATTATCCCAAAGCTTTGTTCCTCTGATTTAAATAACTGTTTTTGAATCCTTCATACAGTATTTCAATTTCAGGAGGATTTTAGCGATTTGCCAAAAAGATGCAGTTGTTTCTCAAGGACATAGTTCCAGCGGCGCAGAACAACATAAACACGCGTTTCATCATCCTCGACAAAGCCAAATCGCCTGCGGCAAATGGGAAGAATTGTATCGCGTTGGCAGCGGATGAAACGGCTGCGGTTCACATACAGCTGTGGGGAGATGAATGTGACGCTTTCGAGGCGGGAGACATCGTGAAGCTCACCAATGGGATATTCTCATACGTACGGAACAATGGACTCGTTCTCAGAGCTGGAAAACGTGGGAAGATGGAGAAGATGGGAGAGTTCACGGTTGCGTTTGTGGAAACGCCAAACATTAGTGAGATACAATGGAATCCTGATCCTGAGAATCCCAAACGCTATATTCAGAGCGGTGTCGTTTCAGCTTATTCCCGTATCTTCCCTCCTTTGCCTTGATTTAAGATTTGTATACACATTCTAAGTCATGGTCATGAATGGATGCAGATTTTTTATTCAGTTTTTAGATTATCTTTTTCTTAGTTTTCTAGATTCCCTATTTGTAGGACGACTAAAGATCTTAAAACTTTGAATGGATAAACAAGAAATTTTCCTATATTTTAGAAAACCCACTTTTCTAAAAACTTGATTGGTGATTCAATGAGCTTTTGAAAACCAAAAACTCTTTTAAATAAGATACGAGATATTATATAGATCACAAGAATAAAGCTCATTTGTTGTATTTTTATTTGTTAAAACAAATATATTTTTTAAACGATAACTTTATTTAGTTAGGTATTATATTATAGTATTCATTAAGGCTAATTCAATAAGATTTTCTAGGGTTTGTTCTATTTCTCTGTTTTTTTTTTTTATTAGTCTCTGCCTCTACATTTAATTGTTACAATTCTTCTGTGGGCTAGGGGGTTTGAGTAAGAAGATATGGACAAGATAAGTGGGTTTTCTGATGACGAATTGCTAGTGAAGATCTTATCGTTTCTTCCAACAAAAGATGCGGTAACAACGAGTATTTTGTCGAAGCGATGGAAGTTTCTTTGGATGCGGGTGCCAAAACTTGAGTACGATGAAAAGAGCATCTATCTTAAAGAATTTTACTGTCAATATATGATCTTAGAGAGGGATGACAGAAGAAAAAGATTTATAGCGTCGGGAAAAAGCCAGAGGATGCGGCGTTTTATTGACAGGAATCTGCCATTACATATCTCTCCGGTCATAGAGAGCTTGCGTCTCGTGCTTTTCACTGAGGTATTTCAACCTCAAGATATCAAACTGTGGGTTGAAATTGCAATTTCTCGATGTGTTGAGGAGCTAAGCGTTACTTTTACTCTTTTCAAGGGAAAACCTAATGCATTACTGCCGAGTAGCTTGTATACTTGCAAATCACTTGTGACATTGAAACTAAAAAAGAACATTCTCGTGGATGTTCCTCATGTTTTTTGCCTCCCTTCCTTGAAAACTTTGCACCTTGAACGTGTGACATACGCAGATGAAGAATCTCTTCAACGGCTTTTAACCAATTGCTCTGTTTTGGAAGATTTGGTTGTGGAACGACACCAAGGTGACAATGTGAGAAAGTTTTCCGTTATCATCCCGACATTGCTTAGTTTATCCTTTACGGTTTGGTCTGGATGTTCTTCTGATGGGTATATGATAGATACTCCTTCTTTGAAGTATTTCAAATATAAACATTTAAGTAAGAGTACTACTTCCACATCTTTGATCATAGTGAAGAATATGCCTAAGCTGGAGGAGGCACAAATCTTCACTGCTGGTCACAATATCAAGAAGCTTCTCCAATCTCTCACATCTGTCAAGCTTCTTTCATTGTTGGTAGCAGAAGACAACACTGCAGAGGCTGTATATGGTGATGATGTTGTCTTTAATAACCTTGAGCATCTGAATTTTGGTATACGAAACACATTTTGGTCCAAGTTACTATTCTGGTTGCTCAATGCTTCTCCCAAACTACGAGACTTCAAGTTCAGTGTAAGTTTCTCCTTCAATAAACAATATTAATTTTGGTCTAATTCACAGTATTGTTTGATCTAACTCTCATTTTTTTTTTTAAATCCAAGGATCAATATTCAAGGGTAACTATGGATACACTGGTTTGGTGGAACCAACTGAGTAGTGTTCCTCAATGTTTGTTGTCGAGTCTACAAACTTTCGAGTGGTCAGGTGATGATTTCTTTTTATCCGTACAAGGGAAAGATCTTGCGAAATATATCTTGAGAAATTCTTGCTTCTTGAAGACTGCAACAATCACGCACGGACCAGGGTTGGATCCACAAAAGCATCTTGACTTGGAGACGGAGATAAGACTTTCTTCCCCTAGTTCACCCACATGCAACCTCGTATTCAATCAACACTGGGACTGGGGATGGGAATTTTGGATTTGATCTACTAAAGTTTTTGTTGCATTTGATTTAGATGATTTTATCGAGGAATTACATATTTAACTAAATGTTCAAGTTGCTAACCAAAAATGATGAGAAAACGAGCCTTAAAAATTAGCCGACCTGTTGTTATTGGCTAATTAAACTACTATGATAAGAGCAGCAAAGAAAGAGAAGAAATAATCATTAAAAAAAACACACACTTTCAGGTACCTATTCCCCTGTTATTTATTTCATCAAGAAACATTAACCAAAAAAAGAAATCAAGATCATGATTTAGTAGCATAATCACTTCACCACACAGATCTTGATAACCGAAGCAGCTCCAATACGGTGCAGAGCCACCACAGCATCACCATGGTTACACAGTCCTTTCTCTGTCGCTGACTTCAAAGCAGACTCAATAATCTCTTCTGTAGATTCACTATCAGTTGCTTTTGCAGATCCTTCACCCAAAACCGGAATCAGACCTCTATATATCAAACTATGCCTCGCCGGTGACTCATCGCTGCAACTCCAGTTAAAGGTATCGCTGGTGAAAACTGGAACAACCACTGATAGAATTGGAACAGCTGGTCTATACTTAGCCACCAGTTTAGCTGTTGTACCTCCTCGGGTCAACACGATGATGAGTTTGGCTTTGGCTTTGTTTGCAGTTCGTACAGCTGATGATGCAAGACTCTCAAGTGTGCTCATTGGAAGTGGAGTTGCTCTAATCATCTCCTTGAAGATTGTGTTGTAGTCAAGCGATGATTCCGCCTCGATGCAGATTTTAGCCATTGTTTTCACTGCTATTTCAGGGTAAGCTCCTGCAGCACTTTCTCCGCTGAGCATCACACAGTCAGTGCCATCGAGAACTGCGTTTGCTACATCTGTGGCTTCAGCTCGTGTTGGCCGTGGTGATTTGATCATAGACTCGAGCATTTGAGTGGCTGTGACCACTGGTTTACCCGCAAGGTTACACTTGTAGATCATCATCTTTTGAGCCAAGAAAATCTTCTCTATCGGAATCTCCATCCCGAGATCACCACGGGCAACCATGAATGCATCGGTTTCACGCAAGATCTCATCGAAATTCAGCACTCCTTCTTGGTTCTCAACCTTAAGAAAAAGAAATTCAAATCAGAATCACACCTTCAAACAACTTTACCCAAAAATGAAAAATATGCGTCGGTTTACCTTCGACATCAACATTATACTCTTAGAATGCGATCCAAGTACTTTCCGGACATTAACAAGATCTGAACCTTTGCGAACAAATGAAAGAGCAATCATATCGATGTTGTTTGGAACACCCCATTTAAGAATATCTTCTACATCCTTGTCAGTCAATGTGGGGAGATCAACAACAACACCAGGGAGGTTCACATTCTTTCTTTCACCTAGCATCGCTGTATTTTCACATCGACATATAACAGTCCCAGATTTTGGATCACATGACACAACAGCAAGACTTATGCTTCCATCTGCACATAGAATGGTGTTTCCGGGCTTCACATCCACTGGCAGCTTTTTGTAGCTCATGGAAATCGTTTTCTCATCACCCTTGATGTCATAATCAGTGGTGATTGTGATCTCCTGACCTTCCTTTAGTTGTATAGGGTTCCCATCTTTCAAGAAACCAGTACGAATCTCAGGCCCCTGTGATGTAACACTCATATTATTTACTGAAATGGTTCTACCACAGACAGACTCCAACTATAATGTTTCTCTAAGTAAGACATAAGATATATCAGTTGCTAGTTTGAGCCAACGTCATCAACAATAATAAGCAAAATGCAAACACTAAATGCCTATGTAGCAAACAAAGACACTCTTAACATCAACAATGTTCTAAGTCGTCTTCTTTCTGTTTTCATAAAATAACTTTCTTTCTCTCTACTTAAATTTCACAATTGAAAGGCTGAAGCTTTTATGGAGTTAAAAAATCAAACTTGAAGATTTCAAAATTCAACTACAAAGTGTAAACACACTTCAGCAAAATCACAAGGGAGAAACATAATCTAGATCCTAGTCCATAAGAAAGATTAACACAATTCACGTTAAAACACTTCTAGAAAAACAAGTCAAGAACAAAATCCAGAAGAAAAGAAGAGAAAGATAAACCTTTGTATCAAGCATAACAGCAGCGAGAATGCCGGTATTCTGCATAGCGGTGCGTAGATTGTCAAGAGTCTCCTGATGGTACTCATGGCTTCCATGAGAGAAATTGAATCGAGCAACATTCATGCCGGCTTTTAGAAGCTTCTCAATCATGGTCACAGACCGAGACGCAGGACCTAAAGTACAAACGATCTTAGTCTTAGGAGTCCTCCCATCATTAGGTAGCTCCTTCAATATCCCTTCTATGTCTATGTTTGACATTTTCGTAAATCTCCAAAAAGCCTAATCAGTCAGACTCCTGCTATGAACAAATTGGAAAATCATACCCATCAATCAAAATCTCCGATACAAGAATCGAAAAAGCTAAGATCATGATCCATCTTAACAGAGAAGAGACAAAACCCACAAAAAAAAACAGAGACTTTACATTGATTCATCATACAAAGCGATCACAACTAAGTCCACCAAAGTAGCGAAAAAGACGGGATTTTTAGATTCGACAAGTGAAATGAATGTTTACCAGTGATCCGATATAAGAATTTTCGATTTAAAGGTTGGATCTAACGATTTTCGAAACAGAGATACTGAAGGAAGAATTTAGATTTTACCTGAAAACGCAGCTTCTGTGGTTTTTAGTTTGGAGTGTGAAAGCCGCCGGAGACTTGAAATGTTAAAACGAAGAGAGTTAATAACGGCGTATAATAATAATAGCCACGTGGAATTAATTAAACTCAGATACCCAATTGGAATTTTCCATATACTAATAAATAATGTAAATGCATGTCTCTTCGAAATCGGACATGTTGGTTCATTTTATAGTTGTATTTGTTTTATTTATCATATAAAAAAACTTCGATGAAATTTGAAAATTACTTTGAGAATAAACAAAACTTTGTTGAAAAAACTAATTGTCGAACTAACATGCTATGACCATAGGATTTTAGGAATGCGATTATTCTAACAAGAAGAATATGCTTTTGGATCTAAAGAGGTGAGCTATTCTTTCGAGAAGGTCTAACCATTTTTCTGGATCTTGACTACACATGTTTATTCTTTCAATTCTCATTAAAATCTCATTTAAAAGATCTTTTTGATATCGGACTAACGACCTTACATGAAATAAACCTAAGGAGTCTTGACTTGTAGCTTGAAGAAGATACAAAATAAAGCAACCTTATAATGTTTACATGAAGCTTGAATGAGAAAGAGCACTACTTGGTCTTGTATTCTTGTATTCTTCTTGATGGATTTTCTTCACATGCGTTTCGGCAGAACATATTGTACACGCTCTTCTTGGCATAGGTGCTGCAATGAATCACCACAGAGTGAAAACACAAAATCAGATAAGTGAACAAAACAGTGACTGTGTGATACTAATTTTGAAACACAAAGCATAGACAATGTGTTGGTAAGTCTAATTTCAAACCATGAAGATAATATATCACCAGTGCTAATCGTTTACCTGCATTTCCTCAGGGAGTGGCTCTGAGACCGCAAGAGTGTAGCAACCAGGAGCAAACTTCCCTGTCAAAATTTAGTAACATCATACAATCATCATTCATTGGAGATCTCATGGTCACTCTCTCTTTAATTCAAACAAAAAAAGATGTGTGCTGATGAATGTAACAGCAATCTAACCATCTATAATCTATCCTAGTATTAGAATTGGAGAATAAGAGCACATTAATGGTAAGAAGAAGCTACGCTTATTTGCTGAGCTCAAATAGGAATAGTTAAAGAGAGCGATTAACATACCGATTCTTAACCACCTAGCAGCCCAGCTTCTACTTGGATCCATCACAGAGATTATACTGCAAAACAATCTTAATATCAGTAGCTGGGAATATAAAGATATCAACTTAGAAAAGGAGACAAAAGCCACTAAAACTATCTCACTTTAACTTGTAAAAACTACTATTAAAGCAGCAAGCTTTGGGATATTTTCCACCAATTATGTAACAATCGAATCACTAATTCAGAAAGAATGAGTTCAAACTCAGCTCAGAAACAAACAATGTAACATTCAGAAAGTAGTCTAATTTCATCCTTAAGCAGAAGAATCACTCCAAGTTGAGAACTTTTCCACAACTATACAATAAAGCTAAAATCTTTTGAAACCCTAGAAGCAGTGAATTGAAACAGTACCCATCAACGCAAAGACTTGCTTAGGGAAGAAAACTAAAGTAAAGGTTTAGAATTGATGAAATACCCATTGAAATTAGGGGTAGTGACCTCCACGATACGCTCATGATCCTCTTCCATCTTGAAGAAAGGGCAATTCTCGCAACCAGCGTCCCTGAACTGTTTGAACCAAAAAAACACCCAGCTTAGAAAAGCAAATCAAACCCTAAAAGAAGAAAGAAACAGAGAAAGAAGAGTAAATAAAAACCTGGTCATAGGTCTTGACGAGTCGGCAACGAAGACAAGCCCTAAGCTCATGGCCGAAACTAGTCGGAATCTGAGCTGGTGCGCTTCCCATTATCGTTTGGTTTCTCTCAATCTCCTCCAAAATCCCAGTTTCTTCTTATTCAGTTCTTCCCAGAGGAGTCTTTTCCTTTATTGGGCCGTATTTGGGCTTTTATTTATGGGCTTTAAAATCATATTAACCATCCATTAAACAACACTCGAAATCTTGTTGAGAGTCGGCAACAGTTTGTTTAAAGCAGCGAGCGCCAAAACTTTAATTCTCCTATTCTTCTTCTTCTTCCTCAGTTTGTTCATAGATTTGCTAAATCCGATCAAGTTCTTGCTGGGTTTTGCGTTTCCAATTTCTCTCTACACTTCGCTAAATCCGATCAATTTCTTGCTGGGTTTTGTTCGTTTCAGGTAAAGACTGAATCTTTTCTCCTCGAACCTTTCTGTTCTTGTTCAATTTCGCTACTTTTTTTTTTTTGTTCTTCTTCCAATTTGGTCCAGTATCGTGTTTCTTTTGACAATCTTGCGATTGCTGTTACTTGATGATGCTACAATGGTTCCGTTTTCGTTTCTTTTTGCTAGTTTTTAAGGGTTTTTTTACTTAGCCGTTGAAGTATCTTAGTTTATTATTGATTCGTTGTCTGTCAAAACGAAGTAAAAAGATGGGATGGATGATTCAGCATTTGATTCTCGTGGTCTCTTCAGGATGGATAGACGAAGGAGTCATATGCGAACTCATCCGCATAATCCTTTAGAAATGGGTGTTCTAGGATCCAGAGGTCTCCTCAAAAAATCTGAGTTCATAATGCTAATCGGTGATGCACTTATCTCCCTTGGATTAAAAGGCACTGCGAACCATTTAGAGAGAGCCACTGGCGTATCTGCGAAACTGCGAAACTTCTTTCCCTCTGAATTTCTAGTCCCAGAAAGGAGGTTGGAGTGTTTGTTAGAGAGGACGCTTATTATTGACCGGACATATTGTGATTACCACAATGTTTCTGATGGTGATATGTCCCTATACTCTGACCATCATTGTGGAATGCATAAAATTCCTTCTAAGACTGTACAGGTAATAAGACTATGCACCAAACCTCAAATGTTACTTATGATTGCTTCGTGATGTTGTTGTTTCATTTATGGATGATAATGAATAACTTTTGATTTCTTTGGATAAATTTCCTGCTTCATTTCCATGATTCATAAATTACTGGTCTGGCTAGTTTTGTGTCTGTTTTTGGACTTTCTGTGACTGAATCTGTATGCCTTTAATGATATATAACACATCCCTTAAGTTCTCTAGATGTGAATGTTTCAGACTCTGGAGGAACATACGGATGAAGTCTGGTTCTTGAAATTCTCACATGATGGCAAATACTTGGCTTCATCTTCCAAGGATAAATCAGCAATTATATGGGAGGTATGTTTTGTAAACCAAATGTGGATTGTTCAGAGAGAAGCAAACTGTTTAGCAATATTTGCTGATTCACTTAGTTGTGCTTTTTCCAGATGGATGCACAGGAAAAGTTTTCGGAGAAGCATAAACTTGTGGGACATGAGAAGCCCGTGGTAATGGTTTTGTGGAGTCCTGATGATAAACAAGTCGCTACATGTGGAGAAAATGAGGTTATCAAGCGCTGGGCTGTTGAGTCAGGAGAATATATTCAATCGTATGAAAGAAATGGTGTTGGTTCTGTTTCTTGTGGATGGTTTCATGATGGTTCAGGTATAATTGCTGGGATGACAGACAGAAGCATCTGCTTGTGGAATTTAGATGGGACTGAGATAGTGCACGAGCAAGGTCAAGGGGAACAGAAGCTTTCTGATGTAGCCATGACAACTGATGGGAAATGGCTTGTAAGCATGGGCATGAAGGGTGAGATAGTATTTGTTGATAGACAAACAGGGGGAGTTGGGAAGAAAGTGGTTAGCGAGGAAGACATGATTACCTCGTTCTCGCTTTCGGAAGACAACCACTACATTCTTCTCAATCTAAGTACCAAGAAGATTACTCTCTGGTTCATTGACCTTGACGAACCAGAGGAGTTCCATAACGTCCCCGAAACTGGTCTGTTTATCAGATCATGTTTTGGCGGATACAATGATTCTTTCATAGCCAGTGGCAACGAAGATCGTCAGGTAAAAAAGTCTCTCTCAATCGTCTACAGTAAGAGAGAGATGGAGAAGAAGATGAGTGATCTTTCTCTGTTTTTGCAGGTATACATATGGCACAGAACAAAAACGTTAGAACCTTTTACATTGCGAGGACACTCAGGAGCTGTGAACTGTGTGAGCTGGAACCCGATTAACCTGCATATGTTGGCTTCAGCAAGTGACGATGGAACCATTCGGATTTGGGGACTTGACACAAAGTTGAAGTGATTCAATGGTAACAGATGATGATGACTTGGACTGCAGATTAGTTTCATTTGACATTCATCATGTACATATATGATATATAGATTTTAGTGTGGGTTGTTGTATTCTTCATCCTCGTGATGTTTTTACTTCTTTTGACCATAGTAGAACAGAAGCTGAATACCAATATATAGATAGAAAAGGGAAAATAGAATAATGCATTTGAGACATTTGCTCTTATGTTGATGCTTCACTTCTCATTTTTCTCTTCATAGTGATTTCATAAGGCATTAGTCACCACTATCTTGCTCCAGTTATGTATGACCTTTCCATAAAATCTATATTTGACTTTGGTCATCTTCAATATCGGCAAATTTCAGAACATTGTGAAGATAGAATTATCAAGTTTATATGAAACAATTATTAGTTTCTTACATTTTCTGGTTTCTTGAACGTTATTAGTAGTCGAAATGGAAAAAAAAAAAGGTACATTTAATGGATTGATGAAATATAAGAAGTTAGCAAAGACTGGTGCAGTAGCAACGTACGGCAGACTATGGCACAGTTGAGGTTGGACGTACACATGTATTTGAAGTGGTGGCTCTTTTATCGGCACATCCTATTCCTTCCCTCACTCCCAATGATCTCCTCTATTTAAAATTACACAAATTCAAATGCAACATATATAAGTATTTATGGAGATAGATCACGTAACAGTACACTTCACATAGATTTATACAAATATTAAACATAAGAAAAATTCAAAGAGTTTGGAAAACATCTGGATTGTGGTTGAGATGATTAATAAAAACTATGATGATTTGAATTCGTAAACTGCTTTTCATAATTATAAACATACTAGAAGCAATCATGATGAATTTATTAGCTTTTGATTTAATAGGTAAAGCTAAATAAATAGATTAAGTGTTCATAAAATGTCTAAATGAAGTTTTTTTTTAATGTTTTTTCAGTCCGTTTTTGTTTTTGCTTGTTCTACAAGTTTCAAGTGGACTCATGCCAGCTTAGATATGTGATATATCTCTATAGTTTATGTTTCGTTTGATATTTCAATTTCAGGTGATTATAGCGATTTCCCAAAATGATGCAATTGTTTCTCAAGGACATAGTTCCCGCGGCGCATAACAACATAGACACGCGTTTCACCAATGGGATATTCTCATACGTAAGGAATAGTGGACTCATTCTCAGAGCTGGGAAACGTGGGAAGATGGAGAAGATGGGAGAGTTCACGGTTGCGTTTGTCGAGAATCATATATCCACAACGGCGTCGTTCCAGCTTATTCCCGTATTTTCCCTCCTTTGCATTTAAGATTTGTTGGTCGTGGTCATGAATGGATGCAGATTTTATATTCAGTTTTTGGATTTTGCATCTAAGTTTTGATTTTGCTGTAATGTTTTGGGAGATTTTAATGGGTTTTACTAAGATAATAGTTTTTGGTTTTTGGAATTTGCAAAAAAAAAAGTCTCAAAACTCATTGAAGTGGGATTTGGATTTTGTTAAGAAATTGGTAAAAAATCTTAAAATTCTAAATTTCTCTTTTTTTTTTTTTAGGGAATCTACTTTTCTCAGAATCTTGAATGACTATAAAATAGATTTTTGGGAAAAAAACTAAAACAAAAAAAAAACCATTTGAAAAATCAAAACTAATGGTTCACCTTAAAAATCTTACAAAAAATGGTTCTTTTTTTTAGAGATTTAATGAAAACGAAGAGAAAAAAACTAAATTCCCTATTTTGTAGGAGAACTGAAGATTTAAAAACTTGAATGGATAATTCAAACAACAAGTTTTCCTATATTTTAGAAAACCCATTTTTCTAAGAACTTGATTGGTGAATGAGTTTTTGAAAAACCAAAGACAAAAAAAAAAAATCTTTTAAAATCTAGAATTCATCATTCTTTTTTAAGATACGAGATATTTATATATCTATAAGAATTTATCATTTGTTAAAACAAATATTTTTTTAAACGACAACTTTGTTCAGTTAGGTATTATACTGTAGTATAGTATATGTATTCACTATAATCCTTAGGCCTTGAATGTTTCGTAGTTTTTGAAAGAGTTTTTAGTTTTTGTTTTTTAAAAACTCATTTCACCACTAATCAAGTTTTTCAAATTTTGGTTTTCCTATAATTTAGAAAAACTTTTTTGTTGTGATCTTTCATTCAAGATTTTAGATTTTTACTTCTCCTATCATTTAGGGAATCTAGTTTTTACTTTATCTAAGTTATTTTACTGAAAAAGCAAAAACCATTATTTTGGGATTTCTAAAACAAAAATCTAACTATAAAATCTAAAACTAAAATCTAAAATCCAAAAACTAAAAACAAAATCCAAAACCCAAATTAAAAAAAAAAAACAGCATCCAATTCATGGCCTAAATTTGTTTGGAAAAATATTATCTTTATAAATCATTTTTAAATCGAATATAAATATGGAAAGAGAGTACTCATCATCCAATTCCATTTGATTTGCGTTGCTACTTGCTAGGTTTTGACTTTTGACAAATTGAAGATTTTCTAGGGTTTGTTCTATTTCTCTGTTTTTTATTAGTCTCTCTGCCTCTAACATTTAATTTGTTACTATTCTTCTGTGTGTGTAAGACTAAAAAAAACTCAGTCACTTACCCTAAGTAAGAAGATATGGAGAAGATCAGTGAGTTTTCTGATGATGAATTGCTTGTGAAGATCTTATCGTTTCTTCCAACAAAAGAAGCGGTAACAACGAGCATTTTGTCGAAGCAATGGAAGTGTCTTTGGATGCGGGTGCCAAAACTTGAGTACGATGAAAACAGCATTTATCCTGAAGAATTTTACTGTCAATATATTTTCTTAGAGGGAGATGAAAGAAGAAAAAGATTTATAGCGTCGGGAAAAAGCCAGAGGATGCGGCGTTTTATTGACAGGAATCTGTCATTACATATCTCTCCGGTCATAGAGAGCTTGCGTCTCGTGCTTTTCACTGAGGTATTTCAACCTCAAGATATCAAAATGTGGGTTGAAACTGCAATTTCTCGTTGTGTTAAGGAGATAAGCGTTACTTTTTCTCGTTTCAAGGGAAAACCTAACGCATCACTGCCAAGTAGCTTGTATACTTGCAAATCACTTGTGACATTGAAACTAAGACGCAACATTCTCGTGGATGTTCCTCATGTTTTTGGCCTCCCCTCCTTGAAAACTTTGCACCTTGAACGTGTGACATACGCAGATGGAGAATCTCTTCAACGGCTTTTATCTAATTGCTCTGTTTTGGAAGATCTGGTTGTGGAACGACGCCAAGGTGACAATGTGAGCAAGTTTTCCGTTATGATCCCGACATTGCTTAGTTTATCCTTTACGGTTACGTCTGGAGGTTCTTCTGATGGGTATATGATAGATACTCCTTCTTTGAAGTATTTCAAATATAAAAATTTAAGTAAGAGTACATGTTTGATAGTGAAGAATATGCCTAAGCTGGAGGAGGCACAAATCTTCACTGCTGGTCACAATATCAAGAAGCTTCTCCAACCTCTCACATCTGTCAAGCTTCTTTCATTGTTGGTAATAGAAGACAACAGCGCAGAGGCTGTATATGGTGATGATGTTGTCTTTAATAAGCTTGAGCATCTGAATTTTTGTATACGAAACACATATTGGTCCGAGTTACTATTCTGGTTGCTCAATGCTTCTCCCAAACTACGAGACTTCAAGTTCAATGTAAGTTTCTTCTTAAATAAACTAACTCTCATTTTTTTTTGATCTAACTCTCATTTTTTTTTTTTTTAAATCTAAGGATCAATTTTCAAGTGCTGATGGTACTATAGATACAATGGTTTGGTGGAAGCAACTGAGTAGTGTTCCTCAATGTTTGTTGTCGAGTCTCCAAACTTTCAAGTGGTCAGCTGGTTTCCTTTTCTCCGTCCAAGGGAAAGATCTTGCGAAATATATCTTAAGAAATTCTTGCTTATTGAAGACTGCAACAATCTCGCTCGTACCAGGGTTGGATCCACAAACGTATCTTGACTTGGAGATGGACATGAAATTTTCTTCCCGTAGTGCACCCACGTGCAACCTCGTATTCAATCAACACTGGGACTGGGATCTTTGGATTTGATTTACTTGTAAAGTTTTTGGTGCATTTGATTTTAGATGATTTTATCAAGGAATTACATATTTCAACTATTATATGTTCAAGTTGCTATAACCAAAAATGATGAGGAAACGAGCCTTAAAAAAATTAGCCAACCTGTTGTTATTGGCTAATTAATTAAACTACTATGATAAGGGCAAGAGTCATAAGTACATGAATCTATTCATAATCTTATAATCTAAAACAGCAAAAGAAAGAGAAGAAATGCCCACACAAAACACTTTCAGGAACCTATTCCCTGTTCATTATTTCATCAAGAAACAATAACCAAAAAGAGAAATCAAGATGATGATTTAGTAGAAAAATCACTTCACCACACAGACCTTGATAACCAAAGCAGTTTACTAGTTTGAGCCAACAGCATCAATAAACATCTGTCTCTGAGATCTAGGGATCCGTCAACAATAATGAGGAAAATGAAAACACTAAATGCCTAATGTAGCAAACAAATACACTCTTAATATCAACAATGTTCTAACTTCTAACTTCTTCATAAAATAACAATTTTCTAGTCGTCTTCTTACTGTTTTCACTTTTCACTCATGGCCGAAACTAGTTGGAATCTGAGCTGGTGCGCTTCCCATTATCGTTTGTTTTCTCAAATCTTCTTCCAAAATCCCAGTTTCTTCTTAAGTTCTTCCCAGAGGAGTCTTTTCCTTAATTGGGCCGTAATTGGGCTTTTATTTATGGGCTTTAAAATCATATCAACCATCCATTAAACAACACTCGAAATCTTGTTGAGAGTCAGTCGACAACAGTTTGCTTAATGCAGCTAGCGCCAAAAAGTTCGATTCTCTCATTTTCTTCTTCTTCTTCCTCAGTTTGTTCATAGATTTCTCATACGTCTCTCTCGCTCTTTTGCACATTTTTCTTTCTGAGTTTTGCGATTCCGTTTCTTTCTACTCTTGGTAATCGCTAAATCCGATCAAGTTCTTGCTGGGTTTTGCGTTTCCAATTTCTCTCTACACTTCGCTAAATCCGATCAATTTCTTGCTGGGTTTTGTTCGTTTCAGGTAAAGACTGAATCTTTTCTCCTCGAACCTTTTTGTTTCTTGTTCAATTTCGCTACTTCTTTTTTTGGTTGCCGTACCCGATTCTTCTTCCACTTTGGTCCCGTATCGTGTTTCTTTGGAGTATTTAACGAAATGAGCTATCTTGAGATTTCTGTTACTTGGGTTGCTAGTTTTTAGGGTTCTTACTTAGCCATTGAAGATAACTTGATTTTGCAATAGACCAGTTTGATTTTTATTCGTTCTCTGTCCAAAACAAGTAAAAAGATGGGGTGTTGATTCAGCATTTGACTCTCTTGGTCTCTGCAGTATGGATACTGAACCAAGGAAACGTATGCAAACTCATTCGGCTAATCCTCGCGAAATGGGTGTTCTAGGATCCAGAGGTCTCCTCAAAGAATCTGAGTTCATAAGGCTTATCCTTGATGCACTTATCTCACTTGGATTAAATGACACTGCAGCCTATCTAGAGAACGAGTCTGGCATTTCTCTCTACAATCATGTCACTACAAAGTTTCTGAATCTAGTTAACAATGGAGAATGGATCGAAAGCATTAAGTCACTACCGGATTTAGATCTACATAATGAAAGGGCTGTGAAATTCTTGCTTCTAGAGCAGGGTTTCTCTGAGCTTCTCGAGGATGGACATATTGATGCGGCCCAAAGATTACTTGAGAAAGAGATTTTTCCGCTTGGAGTTAACAAGCAGCTCGAGGATGAGCTCGAATCGAGATTTTTTGCAGCTGGTGTAACTGCCATTCCAAGGGTTGAGTTTGTAAAGAAACTGCGAAAATCTTTTCCTCCTGAAGTTCTAATCCCAGAAAGGAGGCTGGAGTGTTTGTTAGAGAGGACGCTTGATCGTGACCGGACAAATTGTTATTTACATAATGTTCCTGATTGTCATATGTCGATATTCTCTGATCTTCATCATTGTGGGGTGCATAAATTTCCTTCTGAGACTTTACAGGTAATAATACTATATCTTGATGACTTTGTGGTTTAGTCAGGCTTTATGTGACTTTCTATATGTGAATGTTTCAGACATTGGAGGAACATACGGATGAAGTCTGGTTCTTGGAATTCTCACATAATGGCAAATTTTTGGCTTCATCTTCCAAGGATAAATCAGCAATTATATGGGAGGTATGTTATGTAAACCAACTGTGGACTACTCTTTATGATGCTTCACAAGAGCTATTTCTAGAGTAAGCTCAAAGTTATTTGCTAATTCACTTAGTGCTTTTTCCAGATCGATTCAAAGGGGAAGTTTTCACGGAAGCATACACTTTTGGGACATGAGAAGCCCGTGTTAATGGTTTTATGGAGTCCTGATGATACAGAAGTCATTACTTGTGGAGAAGATGAGGCTATCAAGCGCTGGGATGTTGGTTCAGGAGAATTTCTTCGATCTTATGAAAGAAATGGTGTTGGTTCTGTTTCTTGTGGATGGTTTCATGATGGTTCAGGTATAATTGGTGGGATGAATGACAGAAACATCTTGTTGTGGAAGTTAGATGGGACTGAAATAAAGCACGAGCTAAAACAACGGGAACAGAAGCTTTCTGATGTAGCCATGACGACTGATGGGAAGTGGCTTGTAAGCATGGACAAGGAAGATGAGATTACGTTTGCTAATAGAGAAACATGGGAGGTTCAGAAATTGATTAGAGAGCAAGGCACGATAAACTCATTCTCCCTTTCGAAAGACAGCCGGTTTATCCTAATTAGTTCAAATACCAACGATCTAACTTTGTGGGGTTTTGACCACGAAGATCCGGAGATGTATCATCAATATGAAGGCCACACGAGTGGGTCTATTTTCAGGTCTTCCTTTGGTGGTTATGAAGAAACATTCATTGCCAGTGGGAATGAAGATTGTCAGGTATAAATCCCTAACTCGTCTACATTTAGAATCTCCGGTCTCAAATGATTTCTCTTGTTGCAGGTATACATATGGGAAAGCGTAGAACCTACCATACCTATTAGTAAATTGAAAGGACACTCAGGAGCTGTGAACTGCGTGAGCTGGAACCCAATTAACCTGCATATGTTGGCTTCAGCAAGTGACGATGGAACCATCCGGATTTGGGGGGGACGTGACCAGAAGTTGCAGATGCTAACAGATGATGATGATGACGATGATGATGATTACCATGATGGTGAAGATGATTATGAGCTGTTTCTCTGTGAGTGCCATAATATTCCGAATAGTGATTTGTCCCTAAGCTCTGATCATCATTGTGGGATCCATCAAATTCCTTCGGAGACTGTACAGGTAATAAGACTATGCACCAGTCCTCAAATCTTACTTTTGATTGCTTCGTGATGTTGTTGTTTCATTTATGGATGATGTTTTCTGATTAGGAGTGTCACATAACTTTTGCTTAATTACTTGTCTTTGGATGAATTCCTGCTTCATGGTCATGATTCATAAGTTACTGGTTTGGCCAGTTTTGTAGTTTGTTGTTGGAATTTCTGTGACTGTATCTGTATGCCTTTAACGATATACAACACATCCATTAAGTTCTCTATATGTGAATGCTTCAGACTTTGGAGAAACATACGGATGAAGTCTGGTTCTTGGAATTCTCACATGATGGCAAGTATTTGGCTTCATCTTCCAAGGATAAATCAGCAATTATATGGGAGGTATGTTATTTAAACCAACTGTGGATTGCTCAGAGTGAAGCAAACTGTTGAGCAATATTTGCTGATTCACTTAGTTGTGCTTTTTCCAGATCGATGCACAGGGGAAGTTTTCGGAGAAGCATAAACTTGTGGGACATGAGAAGCCCGTGGTAATGGTTTTGTGGAGTCCTGATGATAAACAAGTCGCTACATGTGGAGAAAATGAGGTTATCAGGAGCTGGGATGTTGAGTCAGGAGAATTTATTCAATCGTATGAAAGAAATGGTGTTGGTTCTGTTTCTTGTGGATGGTTTCATGATGGATCAGGTATAATTGCTGGGATGACAGACAGAAGCATCTGCTTGTGGAATTTAGATGGGACTAAGCTAGTGCACGAGCAAGGTTCACGGGAACAGAAGCTTTCTGATGTAGCCATGACAACTGATGGGAAGTGGCTTGTAAGCGTGGACAGGGTGCATGTGATCTCATTGTTTAATAGAGAAACCAGAACTGTGAGACTGATTACAGAGGAAGACATGATTACCTCGTTCTCACTGTCGAAAAACAACAAGCATCTTCTGATCAATCTCATTACCCAGAAGATCCATGTCTGGAACATTGAAGGCCAACCATATAAATGTTTTGAATATAATGGCCACAAGCGTAGTCGGTTTATCATCAGGTCATGCTTTGGTGGCTATGAAGACAGCTTCATCGCCAGTGGGAGTGAAGATTCTCAGGTAGAAATCTCTCATTCTCTTTTTCATTACAGAACACACATAAAAAGGACCTTCAGAGAGAGAGAGATGGGGAAGAACAGTACTTATCTATCTCTCTTAAAGTCTTCCGGTCACAGAAACATTTTCTTGTGCAAATGAGTGATCTTTCTATGTTGTTGCAGGTGTACATATGGATCATGCGAAGAGCACAGAAGGAACCTTTTAGTGTATTGCGAGGACACTCAGGAGCTGTGAACTGCGTGAGCTGGAACCCTATTAACCTGCATATGTTGGCTTCAGCAAGTGACGATGGAACCATTCGGATTTGGGGACTTGACACAAAGTTGAAGTGATTCAATGGTAACAGATGATGATGACTTGGACTGCAGATTAGTTTCATTTGACATTCATCATGTACATATGATGATAGATAGGTTTTAGACATTTGCATTCTTCATCCTCGTGATGTTTTTACTTCTTTTGTCCATAATAGAACAGAAGCTGAATGCCACCAATAGATAGAAAAAAGGAAAATAGAATAATGCATTTGAGACATTTGCTCTTATGTTGTTGCTTCACTTCTCATTTTTCTTAATACTATCTCTCTTTATCTCTCTCTTGCTCCAGTTTTGACCTTTCCATCATATCCATATTTGAAATTGGCCAAATGTTGCCGTTGGTCATTTCCAAATTTTTTGATATTGAATCAATCAGAATTGCCAAATTTCAGAACATTGTGTGTAAATATAAATTATCAGATTTTATATGAAACAATAGTTTGGATAAATGTTAGTTGTCTACAATTTTGTGGTTTCTTTAACATTTTTTTTTCCTCCATAAAATGTGTAGATGCTTCAAATGTTTTTGGAAAATGATTGTTGAAATCGCTTTGGCCGGGAAATATAATAACTGACTCTAAAATAACATATGTGGACTTTGGGTTAAAATAAATAAACGAATGAAATTTAGATTATTAACTAAAAATGTATATTCTTATATATTCATGAGAGAAACTCATTTATGATATTGATAACCTTTGGAGTGCTAACTCAAAACATAGATCAATGATATTTTTATTAAATCAAATTTCACTCCACTTAATCAAATAAACACACAACTTTCTACTAAATTGCTTGTTTCAGATTCAGCGTAAGATTTTCTCACTATATATACCTCATTTTGTTCCTCTAGATTAACCAGCCGATAGACGTCAAAAACAAAAACAAAAACGGTGAACTTTATTAGTATTCGAAATGGGAAAAAGAAAGAAAAAGTACATTTAAAATGGATTGATAAAATTATAAACTAGTTAGCAAAGGCGGGTGCAGTAGCAACGGCGATGGAAGCCATGGCAGCGACCACCGGAAAATCCCTCGTTACGGCAGACTATGGCACAGTTGTGGCTGGAGGTACACATGTATTTGAAGTGGTGGCTCTTTGATTGACACGTCCTTCCATCACTCCCAATGATCCCCTCTATTTAATTACACAAATATAAAATGCAACATATAAGTCTGGAGATAGATAACGTAACACTGACTTTACATATATATACCATATATATATGCATTGTCAATCAAATGGTCATGAACCAATGCATATATGTAGAAGAAAAAAACTTACGAGATGAGAAGAGGACGAGAAGCAGGAAGAAGGCAGCGAAAAACTTGTTCTCCCTTTATAATCCTATATATTGAGAAACCTTTTTTCCTTGTATATATGAAAACGTAAGTGATGAATTGAGCTACATCTCCATGACTTCATATATATAGAGTTTAAAATGTAGTTTGGTTAGGGCTTTTCTTTTTTTTTGCCACATCGTGTAGTTAAGGCTAGTTGAGGTTAAAATCACCTAAACATCGAGTTTTACATAATATATATATTAACCTTATTGTATTTTATCTTCAATTTGTAAACAAATATAGTTTTAAGCATAGTTTTTCTTTTACAATAATATCATTTTGCATGAACATAACTTTTTTTATAGAAATATAACTAGGTGATATATTTAATAAATTTATTAATTTGTGTGGAAAGTGTTAGAATAATATTTATATTGAAACAAAGATGCTATGTAAGAACTACGTCTCCATGGACCATGGTATTTAATTCCCAAAAAAGAAATTGATAAAAGTATTTATTAGTTAGATGCTATGGTCAAGGATGTGTGGATAAACGATGAACTGCCACACACAATATAACAAAAAAGTGCAGTCGAATAATAAGATTAACGAGTGAGAATGGTCGGCCAATAATAAGTTAATAACTTAAGCTAAAGCAACAATTAATTTTTTTTTTTTTTTTAAGTTGCTAATAGGCCATAATCTAGATCCGAATCATTCTCAAAAATTAAATTTCTTATGGGCAAATGGTTAAAGAGAGAGTGCCAGTCATGTGCGGACTGGTGCTTTGTCACTAAGAATGTCATGTGACTAACATTATTGTATTAATCAGGCGAGATAAATATATGGGCCTTAAGCTGACAAGAGATGAAACGTTACAAAGGCCCATGAAATGAGGAATGTAAAAACCAAGAAAGTCAAATTTGGCCCAAATATTACAAGCACAAATACAATTGTGGCAATAACTAATTTCTACTTGATGCAATTGTGGCAATTGTGGCAATTGTGGCAATTACAAACCATTATTGATTACAGTTTGCAATAGACTCTTTAGATAATGATGCGTGTACCAACTGCAACAAATAGATCTCACCATTTTTTCAAATAGATAGTTTAATTTGTATTTGTAATACACAGATCAAGACGACTTAATCTACAACAATTTTAAAATTTTCAAAAGAAGTTACAGAAAAATTTATATACTAACATTTAATTTTCAAATTTTACAAAAGAAAATAATCTCGACCCATTGCGTTTCCCACTCATGATATTTAAATTAAAACTTAAAAGCTACATACACAAAAATTTGAGAGTTATTTGAAAAGGATAGAAAACAATGTTATCCACAAGTAATTATTGACCATTCTCTTGAATTTATGTATGAGAAAGTATGTAGCAACCCCACGTGGTTGTCAATAGATTTGGCCCATAGTAACGGAAAACAAGTTCACATAAGATGTATCTCTATGGGTCATACATAAATTTTTCATCAAAAACCTTAATTTATATGACACATTATTATATGATATAAGGTTTGACAATTGGACCTTGAATATTTATTGCAACATGAAGAATGGTTATGACTTATGATTTATGAATCAATAACTGTATCTCATGTGATGGCCGGCTTGACTTGCTCCAAATGTTAACTTATTGATATAAAAATACAAACTTAGTGTAATTAGTAACGTACTTAGTTAGTTATGGTCGGTTGATACACACATGCATATTGCAGTAATCTATACTAACCGAAAGTAATGAATGAAGTTTGTCTCTTTTAAACCGACCTCCACCAGGCGACGTGACCAACACAAGACGGAGAAGCTAAATACTGTAATAGTATCCCAAACACGGTTAAATTAGATGGAGGCAAATTTAGTATTACAGAAAATAATAAATTCAGATCTAAGAAATTTATATGATATGCGTAATAGATTATACACATAAAAATGAAGTAAACTTTGAAAATCAGTAAAACACAATGAAGGTATAATCAAGTACAAATCATTACATTACATGTCTTAATCATTTAGACTAATACGAATGGTGACAAAAAAAATACATACTACTAACCAAATTAATTTATTTTGAACCTTAGTAAAATTCAGCTTAGCTTGTAATTATTGGCATAATCTAACGATTATGAATAATTAAATAAGTAATGAAACAAGGAAGAGTAGTTTATAAAAATTAATTTAGTATCCAATTAGAGAATAATTAATAACCGTTAGATATGAAGATGGTCATCGGAAATCGAGCAACCTCTTCACGTGCCTCACTTCCATACCCATCTCCTCCGTTTACTCCTCCATCATCGATACATACACATGAGTGTAAGTATACGCTCAAGTGTGGGGAGCAATCTCAGATCCCCCCCATGAAAACAACGCTTTATAAGATGACCCATTTTCTGAAACTAACTCAACTCCAAGTGTGACACTTTCTCAACGTACATATATACACACTTACTTGCAAAGCTTGAAATTGGTTTTGAGGAAGAAGAGATGGATAAGTATGAGGTTGTGAAGGATTTGGGAGCTGGGAATTTTGGTGTGGCTCGTCTTCTTAGACACAAAGAGACCAAAGAACTCGTTGCCATGAAATACATTGAGAGAGGTCGCAAGGTTTGATCTTTTTCCTCTTTGGTTTCTCAGAAAAAGTTTTGATTTTTCTTTGATTGGTTAGAAATTAGGTGAAAGTCTTCAACTTTTGGGATGATTGAGGTTTATGATCATTTGACATTTTGATGGTAACATGTTGGAATGCAGATTGATGAGAATGTTGCTAGAGAGATTATCAATCATAGATCACTTAGGCATCCTAATATCATCAGATTCAAGGAGGTTTGTTTTGATTTGTTGTATAATCTTTTAGTACTTTAATTGAGATTAAGGAACCATAAAACAGAGTAATTTTGTAGGTGGTTCTGACTCCAACTCATCTTGCTATTGTAATGGAGTATGCTTCTGGAGGAGAGCTCTTTGAAAGAATCTGTAATGCTGGTAGATTCAGTGAAGCTGAGGTTTGATATATGGTCCTTTCTCAAAATCCTAACTTGGTTCTTGTTCGATTTTTCGACAAATTCTTGATATATGTTTCTCCATCTTGCTATTTTCTCAGGCTAGATACTTCTTTCAGCAGCTGATTTGTGGCGTGGATTACTGTCATTCCTTGGTATTTTATTTACTTAACTAAACCAAACCTCCTTGAGTGTGAAAGGAGAGATCTTTGCTTCATATTGTATAAGCTTTTATTTGTTTATGTAGCAAATATGTCATAGAGATCTGAAGCTCGAGAACACACTGCTTGATGGTAGTCCTGCGCCACTATTGAAAATCTGTGATTTTGGTTACTCCAAGGTCATTCATTCATTAGTCTCTTTTTCTTCTTTTGTTTCAATTCTGGTTCCCATTATTACACTTGGATTTGATCTTATAAGTCATATATTTTCATTTCTTCTTGCGTAGTCATCTTTGCTTCACTCTATACCTAAATCAACTGTCGGTACTCCAGCTTACATCGCACCTGAAGTTCTTTCCCGAAGAGAATATGACGGAAAGGTAAAGTTACTCGTGTCTTCTTCAATGGTCTGATCCTTATTTGTCACTTGTTAATGGAACTCTTTTGTGTTTGTATTATGTAGCATGCGGATGTTTGGTCCTGTGGTGTGACTCTTTATGTGATGTTGGTTGGAGGTTACCCGTTTGAAGACTCCGATGATCCGAGAAACTTCAGGAAAACAATCCAAGTATTAACCAACTCCTCACAGCGTCTTTTTCACTGCAATTCATCTACTAAGTTTTATATGATGTTTTGAAAATGTTCTGCAGCGTATAATGGCTGTCCAGTACAAGATCCCGGATTACGTTCACATATCGCAGGAGTGCAAACACCTTCTCTCTCGCATATTTGTCACTAATTCAGCTAAGGTACTTTCTCATTTCCCTGAGTTTAAGCTGTCTTTTCTATGTTTCAATCTTTTGATGACATGTCATAAATTTATGCAGAGAATCACACTTAAAGAGATCAAGAAGCATCCATGGTACTTAAAGAACTTGCCAAAGGAGCTTACAGAGTCTGCTCAAGCGGCGTACTACAAGAGAGAAACCCCGAGCTTTTCCCTCCAAAGCGTAGAGGACATAATGAAGATCGTAGGAGAAGCAAGGAGTCCAGCTCCATCTTTTAATGCCGTCAAGGGCTTTGATGAAGATGAAGAAGATGTGGAGGACGAGGTGGAAGAAGAAGAGGAAGAGGAGGAGGAAGAAGATGAAGAAGATGAATACGAGAAGCATGTCAAAGAGGCGCATTCTTGCCAAGATCCCCCCAAAGCTTAAGAAACTCTCACTCTGTTGTTTAATATTCAATCTCCTTGTATCTTTCCGTTTATGTGAATTCGAAGTTTTAAAATTTTATCTACGCAATTCAAATTTTATCCTATCAAATTAAGATAGCATTTGAACATTCGGCTTCAATACATAAGCAGTATCAGTAACAGTAACAACAACCTCTGTAAATAACAACATAGCTCAGGTTTGACCATAGTGAAAGGAAGTACCTTTACTCGTATACATAACCAGATCTTTCATGGTGCTATATTCTAAATTCACAACACTAATGGCTCTTACAGCAGGAAAGCAAATAGACTAACAGTCCTACAGAAGACGCCTCGCTTTATAGAACTCGGCTCATTATTTCCATTTGTAGAGGTGGAGATTAATTGGTCGAGTCGGGAGAGTGATAGGAGGCAGCTCATCATCAAAAGCAAAGCTCGAGCTAGTCATAGAACGCTCCACAGCTGCTTCTTCTCCAAACAAATAGCCAAACCCACCCTGGAGAGTCAAGTACCCTGTGAGCTCATCGAGGACTCTGCGAACGATGATTTTGCGTTCAACATGCTCACCAATCTCACCAACCCGAGCATAGGACAAGCCTTTAAACGTTATGTAGACATTTGCACTTTTGGCTGGGAGTCTCTCATTGGGCGGCTCCACCACACCTCCAATAGTTTCTATAGCCACCCTCACAATTTGCAACTGGGACAGAGAGCTCTGCAGGAACAACAGTTTTGAAGGAAAAGAAAAAAAACAAGTGATTATTAATTAAAAAACAGTGCCACTCATGGTATATATGTCAAAAAAAAAACAGAAAGATAAAAACTTACATCTGAAATCCACCTATCATTTGTACAAAGTGCAAGTTCCAAATATAGACGAATCCAGTCATTGTCTTGCAACTCTGAATCCTTGAGCTGCAAAAGTAATTAAGCATATATCACTCGCTAGTTAAGCAAAAGCAATAAAACATGATACTGTGTCTTAATCTTACCACAGTAAATCGTAGTATGTCATTGAAATCTGACGGCCAATAAGGCAAACTACCATCACCAAACGTCGGTCCAAAATTTATAGGTTTGGGTGATTCCTTGGGGGTACCTTTGCAACAGTATTATTATTAATCAATCAGCAAGTGCGATTTTAATTATAATCGGACTCTTATAAAACAAAAACTTTATTTACCTTGAGGCCTAGCAATATAGCACGTCAAATCCAATATGCCATAACAATTTTCACCAACTTTAACCTGAAAGGTTGCGAGCGAAGTGGTAGCTGGATCGCAAGCAGCCAAAGTTATGTAGTAATCGGACAGGCAATTCATGGACATGTTAAATTTCTTTAGGTGGTGTAGCTGGAAATTTGTCCCCTGGTAGATTTATTAAGAAATAAATTATTGAACATGTTGACATAACGTAAGCACCAAGAGACTAGCTAGGTTCTTATTTTTTACCTTGGACAAATTGTAACGATGAAGCCCCAATCTAGCATAACGCTCGACCAAGACAGGATTAGGATACCTAGTATCCTCGCGTTGACAGTCGTAACGAAACAGTCCACCGATACCATGTGGTTCTGAGACATCCTCGATATCGAAACCCTAATTTAAGACCAAATCAGTAAAAAAAAATCAACCCTAGAAGCGAATCGAATATTTTGGAACACATCAACCTCTAACCAATAAAAAGATACAAGGATTACCTCGGAATGATTCACTTGACGCCAATAGTTGCTCAGCGCACGGAAATACGCACCTTCATCTTCAATCCGTAACGCCATGTTCTCCTTGTGGATTATGCTTTTTTTTTTTTTTATCTCTCAATCTAGGTTTCTAAGGGTATCTGTGGAGACGCTTTATATATAGGGAAAGTTGTGAAACCTCAGGCCCGGGCCTGTCCATTACTTGCTCTATGCCACCAGGCAGATATAGCCCAATATTAAAAATCAACCCAAGTCCGGAACAGAGTTTGTTTACATGCATATGATCAATTGTAGATAGACATAAATATTACGTGTCCCCTTTTACATTAGCTCGACGAAAAACAAACAATATCAAAAAAATATGAAAAGGTTATTTGATCTTTTCGACTTCCTCCGTGTATGCAAAAAATGATGGCCATTCCTTTAGATGTACTACATGGTACTTAAAGAACTTGCCAAAGGAGCTTACAGAGTCTGCTCAAGCGGCGTACTACAAGAGAGAAACCCCGAGCTTTTCCCTCCAAAGCGTAGAGGACATAATGAAGATCGTTGGAGAAGCAAGGAGTCCAGCTCCATCTTCTAATGCCGTCAAGGGCTTTGATGAAGATGAAGAAGATGTGGAGGACGAGGTGGAAGAAGAAGAGGAAGAGGAGGAGGAGGAGGAAGAAGATGAATAGGAGAAGCATGTCAAAGAGGCGCATTCTTGCCAAGATCCCCCCAAAGCTTAAGAAACTCTCACTCTGTTGTTTAATATTCAATCTCCTTGTATCTTTCCGTTTATGTGAATTCGAAGTTTTAAAATTTTATCTACGCAATTGACCAAATCAATTAGTTATCCTATCAAATTAAGATAGCATTTGAACATTCGGCTTCAATCCATAAACAGTAACAGTAACAACATAGCTCAGGTTTGAACATAGTGAAAGGAAGTACCTTTACTCGTATACATAACCAGATCTTTCATGGTGCTATATTCTAAATTCACAACACTAGAGAGAGAGAGGGAGAGAGCGAGAGAGCCGCACACACAACACAAACTTTTTCCATCTGTAAATTACCAAAACCTAAAGAAACGAGCGTGAAAGAATACATATATATGATGATGAGAGCTTTGGTTTGTTTCAGTCACTGAAGTCTACGCTTCCACTGCGTGAGCTGCTGCCATCGCGGCTATGCAAAGAAAGGCCTCTCATATGACCTGGTAAACCTGAGGCACCGTCAACTTTCTTCTCCTTGAAGAATTTTTCCCTCTCAACGTGTTTCGCAGGTGGTGGTGGAATCACAACAGGTGGGGATTGCGAATGGCTATCACCACCGCGTGATGCCTCCTCTGATGGTAAAGGACGAATAAGTGGACGGTTAAGTCTTTCGTTATGGATTGCTGATCCAGGTAAGCCTTGTGGAGGTGATGGCTCTTCTTCATCCTCAGGCCTTGCTCTAGCTTTCCCTTTTCGCAATCTGCAAGCATATTCACATGGAACCTTAGTCTTAGCATCAAGGATACCCATTTCTTATTCTAAGAACCTTATGAGGCAATCAACTTTGTAATTTCCGATTCGAGATTGAGTAATGTGAGGGGACAGACCTTCTGAATAACTGCTCAGGCTCCTCTTCCTCATCTTCTTCCTCAAGCTTAAGATGGGCTCGGTTAGAAATGGAGCTGCTTGATTCGGTATTTGCATTAGAAGCCTTTAGCTCGGGTTTATTGTGACCGTTTGAGATAGGACGGATAGGTTCGAGATTGGAATGATATCCATTGGATGTAGTAGACCTGCTAGGAACTGTGATTCTGCCAGACAGCAAATCTTCATGTCTATTGAGAATTCTCTGAAGTTGCTCATTCAATTCAATTGCTTTAGAAACTGCTTTTTCATCCCTGCATAAACAAAATTGGTTGATATACTTGAAAAGAAAAATTCTTTTAATATGCCCTCTAAACCAAGAGAGAAAGGAGTTTTGCCTCGATGTCATGACGAGGTGCATTACGCGCTCTTTCTGAAACGAACATTGCTCGACAAGATCAAGAGTAAACTCATCTTTTGCCCCCTGGATGGACAAAAGTTGATCAAACTGGAGTCATTCTCAGGTTAAGAGATTAGAAAGGGAGCCAAAGAGTGTCTGTTTAATGAAGGTAACTATACAAAGTCAAGAGATATTTTATATACCTCAGGATTTTGAGAATCGACTGCGTCAAGCACTTCCTTTAAAACTTCTAATGCGGTACTAGCCTTTTGTAAAATGCTATAAGCAAAGAGATAAAACAGCATAAGGTCTCTAAACATCAGCTAAAAAATTTAGATAACTGACATGTGGAGAAGAAGATACCTCGAAGGAGAGACAGTTTGAGATTCTCGCTGCTGAGTAGTAGCAGGCCCCTCATTTCTAGCAGATGCAAGTTGTTCATTGAGCGTATTTCTCGGAACAGCTTCAGCAGTGACCACAACTGGTGTAGCATTAGGTCTCTGGGTAAATTTAACTCCTGCGTGCTGGAGGAGACAGAAGATAACAAAAAGAAAAGCTCTGAGTCTTATCTAATATTGCTTCTTCAATAACAGAATCACGGAATTCGAATGTTCTTGTGTCAAACTCACCACTAAATCATAGTATGCTGTATAATACTGAGGGAATTTCCCTGAAGCGCCACCAAGGGAGGTTTGAGTTGCATCAAGAAGAAGAAAAATCCTCTCTCTTACAGGCAAATCCGACTAAAAAGTGTTCGAAAAATGCAAACCAAACAATAAACTAAAATAAGCAGCTTAACTCTCAAATTGGTAGAGAAGTAGCATCCTGAAACAGAGATGAACATACTTTTTTCTTTACTATCTTCACAAGTGTAGGGAGTACACCTGTATCTATAACCTGCTTATGAATATTCTCTCCAATATTATTCATCAACATCTCCAGCAACTGCGGGAACAAACAAAATAACAGTTTAAGTTACCAAAACGTTGAAAAGTATGACATTCTCATAAAGCATGATTCTACAGTATACGATAGATCTGGACCAGAACCTACCTGGACAGCATATAATTGAGTATTTGGGTTCTTGCTTCCCAAGCGTTTTTTGATAGCCTTGATAACATCTTTTGCTTGCCTGTCCACAACAGAAGAACTCATTACCCGAAGAAAAAAGTAAAAGTATGTCCAAGACGATGCAAAAGTAAAGTGTTTATTTATCTCAATCATTGAAGATGATTAAACATCATACCAACAACAATTTATAAGTTGGGAAAAAAATTTCACTTTTTACAAAAAGAAAAGAAGTCTGGCTCGTGATACCTTTCATCTCGAGCAGCTAATTCACAGATCTCAATGTTTTTGGTCCAGTCCACATCAGCAAGCTTCTCACTTGTTGCAGAACTTACAAGCTCCGCAGCCATATTTTGTTATCTGTATGAGCCAGAGATAATTAGCACCAAAAGATTCTCAGCATGACCAACCACAACACTTTTTGCTGCTTTCAAGGTCAGATACTTAGTTCATGCTAATCACAAGAACAGCAAAGAGGACACATATATTAAGCCAGAACATCAGAAACAGCCAAAATAAAGTGTGGTCGATCAGCACATAAAGGTTGTACAGCATTAAAAGGTTATTGCAGCTTCTATGCATTGATTGGGAGCTCAAGATCAGTAAGAGAACCTACATTTGACTGTTCTATGGGCTTCCTTCCGCGTACAGATTCAAATGCACAATAGCTACAAAGCTGCAATCAATGAAAGGACAAAAGAAATTGAATGTTACTATCATATGACTATATCAGCTGGATTCAGGACACATGTATTCCAAAATAAGCAAGTCTAGACATAGCCTAAGCTCCTTCTCTCTTTCTATTCTTCCCTCTACCTCAATCAAATTCGTGAGAATCCAAAAGATAATTAAGAAATACAACAGAAAAACACTTAGCAACTGGAGAGCTAAGAGAGAAAAGCTTTCAACTTACACTTCCTAAAGCATGAAATGTTCAGAAAACAGTCGATCGTAAAGCCAGAAACAAATGTCTAAGAAGAAGTTGATAGAGTAAATGGAACACGTAAGAAGATTTCTTCCCTCCTCCAATAAAAAAGTTTTTATCATTTTCTCCAATTTTAGTGTGTCTCTGTATCAAAGAGATGACTAAACGATAAAGGACCCTTGTGATCACAAACAACACATACCCAAATCCCCAAAACCCAAATCTAGGAGAGAGACAGATACAAACACGATCACGAAGAAGACGGAACAAATCAAATAAAAACGGATACTTTGATCCAAATACATAAAAGAGTCTAGCTGTCGACAACAATCTGTACCCAAAAATAGATCTCAAATCAAAAAAGCAAACAGGAAACAAACAATCAAGTGGATAACGATATAGTGAACAAAAGAAAAAAACCCTTAGTCACCTGAGAAGACGGAGAGGATAACGAAGGCAATAATAAGAAAGTTAAGAAAGAGTTGATAAACCCTAATTAGCTTGAGCATTTCACAGATACGTGAAGAAGAAGGAGAAGACAGAGCCAGATCGGTAACACAGAAACAAGGAGAAGAAAAAAGACGGAGCCTTTGCGCCTCTTCTTTGGCAAATAGATTAATTCCTTAAAATCAGATTAGATTAATTCCTTAAACTAATCGTAAACAACAGTGATTTGGTACTGATTAATATAATTAGAGATTAAAATAAATTAAAAAAGGTAAAAAAGAAAAAATCAAAGGCTGAAGCAGCAGAGCACCGCCATGAGAGATCTGTCTTGGTAAAGTGTTGTTGGCGCGGGGAAAGAGAGATTATATTAAAGTCACGCGCTTGTCTGCTTTAACCAACAACTGACAGCCTGGTTGACTGCCATGTGTTTTACCCCTTTCATTACGACACATCCGATAAAATCTCTGTTTTTTTTTTAAACCAGAAACGTCCCGTGATTTCTTCGGACATAATTTTATTCTAACAACTCCTGTTACTTTGATATTTGTTTTTTTGCCCATTTTTCATTTTTTCAACAACATATTTTCTAAAATAATTCAGTATCTGTTACATTTGATATAGATATTGTATTTTTTTTATAAAATCCATATCGTGTAAAGGCATTAGACAAAATCCATAAATTCTCTTGTTTAGTTCAAATTAACTGAAAAGCTACGAAACAAAACTATTTTATGGTTGTATGCGTTCAGCATATGCATTTCATTATTTTCTAAGAATGCATTTTCATTATAAGTTAATACATGTAGTAAAACTGATTATATCATTTACATATTGACTCTCTAAATTTATGTTAGAAACTGAAAATTAACGTAAAGATTTCCATATGATCCGGCAAAATATTGGAGAATAAAAAATGGAGAAATCGAGATTGAGTAACAAATACTATTATTATTGAAGTTCAGAATGATGATTACAAGAGTTGCAGTCGAGAGAATGTTAGGTGGATATAAATCGTGCTAAATCAGTTAGGTCATAATAAATCATCTAGTACAACAATTATAACAATCACTAACCAAATTAGTACTTATGATAAATTCTGAACTAAATCTGGTCCAAGAATTCAAAGCTTTTACGAAAAAAACGACCTGCCGTTTCCACATTCCAGGACATGACGATACGCCGTCGCTTCCAATTTCCTTTGCTCCAAACAATTCAAAGCAAAAGAACGACCTGCCGTTTTCATATTTAAGGATACGAGTAAACGTCGTCGTATACGTCGTCGTTTTAACGGTTCTTCTCTATTCCTTAAACCACTGAAACGATAAAGCCTCAGTCACTGAACCCTTACTTGCCTCCAGTTTCCCGGCCACCGGCGACGACGAAACTCCGTTACTATATCTAAAATCATGCCTTTGAAGTTCCCTCTCCGAATACGATTCTTCACTCACTCTCTTCCGGGTACTCATCTCTCTTATAATCCCTCTAGCTCCGTCCCTTTGCTCTTCCGGATATTTTCTTCTAGATTGAATCACTTTGAATTCGGGTCTCGCATCAACTTCTCGACCCGTCCGAACAGAGACCAACCCGAATTTGAGCGGCGGATTCGAGATGGAGGAGAAATTCGTGGGTCAAAGAGCTTGATCGAAGACGAAGAAGAGCTCAGCAATTGGGTAAGCGGTTTTAGAACCGGATCGTCGCGTGGACGTCTCACGAGTGAAGATGAAGATGCGGGTCCAAACGTGGAGGATCGTAGCAGAGGAAGAATTCAAGAGAAGAGAGGAATTCGCAACCAAGTTGATTCCTTTAGGGATAAGCGTTATGGTGGAAGTAAAAATAGAGATAGAGAAGCGTCTTTTGATGGGAGGAAAGAGACAAGTTTTAGGAGAGATAGAGATAGAGAAGACTACAAGGGTTTAAGGAAACGGGAAGATCGTCGTCTTGCTGACGAAAGTAGTGATGAGGATGTGAAGAGTTTAGTAATGGGAGGTATTGGGGTTTTGCTTAGTGAAGATGATGAGGAAGAGGACCAAGATTATGAATTTCTTAAGAAGAAAGCTGTTTCTGCTTTTGGGTTTGATAAGGAGAAGGTTACAGAAGCGGATAAGGCAAGGAATGCAAATGATTCTTATTTGACTAAGACAAGGTAAACAAACATTGTTGCAAATCTAGTTTCTTCTGTGTGCTGTTGAATTAATCGAGTGTACATCAACCTCGGAGTTTTGCTTGATTGTAAATCTTGACCTCTTGGTACTGTCTGATTGAGAGTTATTATATTCTGTATATATGTTAAACAGATTTGATCAGTATCCATTGTCTCCCTTATCGCTAAAAGCTATCAAGGATGCTGGATACGAGACAATGACTGTTGTGCAGGAAGCTACTCTCCCTATAATTCTCAAAGGTATTTGTTTTTTTTTTATGGGGCTTATTGGATCAACGATGCATTAAGGAAATAACACCATGATTTATAAATTGTGATTCTACCAAACTTGACATGATCACCACCTGTTTCACCAGGCATTCCAGTAGCAGAAAGAAAAGCTTAGAAACTTTGTGAACCTTTTTTGAGCTAGAATCTATGAGGTTCCTCAATATGCAAGGACTTTCATTTTATATCTTTTATATTCTACTTTAATTCCTTGGTTTCTTTGGTTGATTTTTCCAGGTAAAGATGTCCTAGCTAAGGCCAAAACAGGAACTGGGAAAACTGTAGCGTTTTTGGTGAGACATACCATACACTAAGTTGGCCATTTTTTAATGGATTCATCCTATATTTGGGATCTGTGCTTATTGCTGATGTTTATTTTTAAGCTTCCATCAATTGAAGTAGTTGTCAAATCTCCTCCTACAAGCCTGGATAATAAGCGACCCCCAATTCTTGCGCTTGTGATATGCCCAACTAGAGAACTTGCCAATCAAGCTGCTACAGAAGCAAACACCTTGCTAAAGTATCATCCATCCATTGGTGTTCAAGTTGTGATTGGAGGCACTAGACTTGGTTTAGAGCAAAAGCGTATGCAAACAAATCCTTGCCAGGTGACAATTGTTTGTCATTCCTTGTGGGTTTATTAATGAAGTTCGAGCGAATCCTAAAAGTTCCTTCAATATGAAATGTGTTATATCGGAATATTCAGATTTTAGTGGCTACACCTGGAAGGCTCAAAGACCATATCGAGAACACGCCGGGCTTTGCAACAAGGTTAAAGGGTGTGAAAGTCCTTGTGCTTGATGAAGCTGATCATCTTTTAGACATGGGCTTTCGCAAGGACATTGAGAGGATAATTTCCGCTGTTCCTAAGGAGAGACAAACTTTTCTATTTTCTGCCACAGTACCTGAAGAGGTTTGTCTCATTTTCTTGCATAATTCATTTGGTTTTGGTTTTCGTTGTGATAGTCCCTTTTTGTAATGGGTCTTGATTTGTGTTTTTTTTTGGTGTAAAGGTTCGCCAAATATGCCTTGTTGCTCTGAGGCGGGATCACGAGTTTGTCAATTGTGTTCACGAAGGCACTATAGAGACACATCAACAGGTCAGACAAATGCACATGATTGCATCACTGGACAGACATTTCTCTCTTCTGTACACACTTCTTCGCGAACACATTATGGATAACGTAGACTATAAGGTACGGAAATCTTCCCAGCATTAGCTGAGACTGCAGTGACTAATGTTGTTCCTTTCTAACTTAACTCTGGTTCCTCAAGGTCATTGTCTTCTGTACAACTGCCATGGTTACAAAATTAGTTGCTGACCTACTTGGCGAGCTAAACTTAAACGTGAGAGAGATCCATTCTAGAAAACCGCAGAGTTACAGGACGAGGGTTTCTAATGAGTTCCGAAAATCCAAGGGTTTGATTCTGGTAACATCTGATGTATCTGCTCGAGGAGTCGATTACCCTGATGTGACCCTTGTTTTACAGGTAAAATCAATTATACAATAGTGTAAAACTCTTAACTCAACCTCAACCTCAAGTTTAACTGGAAACTTTTATTTGGGGTTTATAGAATTGTATACACTTATTTACTTCTACAGGTGGGATTGCCAAAAGACAGAGAACAATATATACACAGACTTGGTAGAACGGGGAGAAAAGGAAAGGAAGGAGAAGGCCTATTGTTGTTGGCACCATGGGAGGAATACTTTCTATCATCTCTCAAAGATTTACCCATCACTAAGTCTTCTCTGCCATCAATAGACCCAGAAACTGTAAAAAAGGTTAATCCTTTTTCATATCTCACTGATCTTGGCAAACGCCTTTCTTTGCTATAAGGAGACTAGGAATCTAAAATGCAATACCAATGCCAAATGTCTTTTGAGTTGGAAAATTGTAAAAGCTTCATTAGCTGATGGGTATGAAATTTTAACATTGTGGGGATTTGAATAAACAGGTGCAAAAGGCGCTTTGCCATGTCGAGATGAGGAACAAGGAGGCGGCGTATCAGGCTTGGTTGGGTTACTACAACTCACAGAAGATGATTGGAAGAGACAAAGACAGGCTTGTGGAGTTGGCAAACGAGTTTAGTCGTAGTATGGGACTTGACAATCCTCCAGCTATACCAAAACTTATTCTTGGTAAGATGGGTCTCAAAAATGTTCCTGGTCTCAGAGCCAAGTAAATATTTCCTTCTATTTTTTTTGGCTTTGTAAGAAAATCCTTTTTTTTTGTAGTTCTTTAATTTTAAGGTTTCTTGCAGCAGCAATTCATCATCTAATTATGTTTAATGAAATAAATTCCCAACTTGTTATATGTAATTTCAGACACTTTAGTTTAAAAAGGTGTTAATACATATCTTAATTTCGTAGATAAGATTTACACGTGGATGTTGACCCCAGGATTGGACATCCTTAAAAGGATACAAATCATCTACACACGCACTATCGGCGCGTGAATAACACTACCAGAGACTCTTTTCGTAAATTCTGGCTAAGCGCGTGGTGTAATCAATCAAAGTGTTAACAGATCTCTCTCGATCGTGTCAAGTGTCTCTTTCGTTGCCCAAAACTCCGATCAAATTCCTCCGTCGTGTTTGCATGGCGTATGCTCCGATTCTCCGCCGCGCCTCCGCCGCTAAGAACCTCTTCTCCTTAACTAGACTCGCCGTTGCCTCTTCTTCTATCTCCACTAGGTCTCTATCAACCGGAGCCTCCGGTGATGACTCTCAATCCATGTCTGGGTATCACGTGAGCTCCGGCGGATTCATGCGTGGAGCCGTGTATCGCGAGCCCAATAAGCCTCTAACCATCGAAGAATTTCATATTCCCCGTCCCAAAGCCAATGAAATTCTCATCAAAACCAAAGGTATATAAATTTCTTCTCCATTATTCTGGAATTTGGCTGAATCTAGAGATTGAAATCACTGTTGATGCAAAGGATTCGAATTTTGAAAGTTACTGTTCATTTTATTTTGTGGGCAGCTTGTGGAGTTTGTCACTCTGATCTTCATGTGATGAAAGGAGAGATACCATTCGCTAGTCCTTGTGTTATTGGTCATGAGATCACTGGTGAAGTTGTTGAACACGGTCCACTTACTGATCACAAGATCATAAATAGGTTCGTCAACTTTACTTCTCCTGAATGTCTTGATTATATGTTTTGATAATAATACTGAATGTAACTTTTTCAGATTTCCAATCGGGTCTCGTGTAGTTGGAGCTTTTATTATGCCTTGTGGAACCTGTTCTTATTGTGCTAAGGTGAGGAGGAAATTGTAGTGCTTTCATAGGATTCTCTAATCTGAGAACTGTAACTTTTTAGCTGATACTTTTGCTTGGGATACAGGGCCATGATGATCTATGTGAAGACTTCTTTGCTTACAATAGAGCTAAGGGAACTCTTTACGATGGCGAAACTCGTCTCTTTTTGCGACATGATGGTAAATTTTGAATCTTGATTAGGCTTTTTAAACAGCAGATGGCATGTTAGGAGAAACATGATTGTTTTTGCCTAATTACATTTCTCATTTTCTGGCAGATTCACCAGTGTATATGTACAGTATGGGAGGTATGGCTGAGTACTGTGTCACACCAGCTCACGGGTTAGCTCCTCTACCGGATTCTTTGCCCTACACTGAATCTGCGATTCTAGGTTGTGCTGTTTTTACAGCATATGGTGCTATGGCTCATGCTGCTGAGATCCGTCCTGGAGATTCTATTGCTGTTATTGGAATTGGTGGTGTTGGCTCCAGGTAATGTTAAATGTGTGGCATTTTTTGTTTTTTACCGGATTTGCGTTTGATTGCTTCTTGTATGACCATAACCATCTTTGAGTTGTTGCTTCAGTTGTTTGCAGATCGCGAGGGCTTTTGGAGCCTCGGATATAATTGCTGTAGATGTTCAGGATGATAAATTGCAGAAGGCCAAGACACTTGGTGCTACCCATATTGTCAATGCTGCTAAAGAAGATGCTGTTGACAGGATAAGAGTATGGTTGATTCAAGACCTCTTCCTTGTGAAGATGAACCATTGATTGATATTAATATGAAAAAAAACTGTTTCTTCTTCATAGGAAATAACCGGTGGGATGGGTGTTGATGTTGCTGTTGAAGCCTTGGGAAAGCCTCAAACTTTCATGCAGTGCACACTAAGTGTGAAAGATGGTGGAAAAGCTGTGATGATTGGACTTTCACAAGCTGGTTCCGTTGGAGAAATTGACATAAACCGACTTGTTCGTAGAAAGGTTTGGGTTCTCAATCTCTCGGCCTACTTGGAAGAAAGTCTCTGGTGCTGAAAATGTCTTTTACGACCATGATATTGAATCTCTTTTTGTTTTGTTTTTCCAATTTTTGTAAAGATAAAAGTTATAGGGTCATATGGAGGAAGAGCAAGACAGGATCTTCCTAAAGTAGTGAAATTGGCAGAGTCAGGGATCTTCAATCTGACAAACGCAGTCTCAAGTAAATACAAGTTTGAAGATGCAGGAAAAGCATTTCAAGATCTCAATGAAGGCAAAATCGTGAGCCGAGGTGTTGTTGAGATACTATAACCATAGCCTTTTGATTCTGGTTTGGGAATGACTGCTTCATACCTGTTTCACAGAGGTCTATTTTTAGTTGCTACAATCTTCAGACAAGGTCATTGTTAATCTGATATTTTTGAAGCTTATTTGTTTTTGTTTCTATGTGCATAGCAATGTCTTTTGAGTTATGAGTCGTCCTTTTTGAACATTGTTCTTGAGAATCAATAAAGAAGCATGTATGTGAAACGATTTTGATAGTTTGTTCACATTAGATTCATATTTACTGTTTTTCTTTTCTTTCCAACATTTATTGTCTTTCTAAACTGTTAAAAAATTTAATTTCTTTCACAATTTTCTTATTTTTGAAAAATCTAATAACAGACAAATATTTTTTTAAAAATCAACTAATTATTTTTTTCTAGAAATATTGAAGAGAAATATCCATTCTACTAATGTACTGAATATTGCTGGTTTAGTTAAAAAGAATGTATAAATGAAATTAACAGTTGCTTGACCAAAAAAAAAAAAAGCATTTACTTAATAAAAATAGTTGTTGGACCAAGTGGCTAAAATTGCAAATCTACTACTTTCCATTCTCTGCTGCTTCATAACGTCACCGTTTTCGGGAAAAACGCAATCTTCTCCCTTCCGTGACGTCTCGCCGGAATTTTCTCGCTTTTGTATACTCTCCTTCGTCTCCGACGTTCTCTAAGCTCAGCTCCTCCTCCCATCATTTATCTGACCGCCTTATCGGGTCAGATCCTTTACGTATTTCTATTTCCTTGATCGTTGATTTAAAAAAAAACAGATCGTATAGGTCTCGAGCTTTTTATTGGAATTTGAAATTGATATCGAATTTTAGGTCTTTGATAAGGTTAGGGCACCTTTGCTCTGGGTATTGAATTTTTAGGGTTTTCCTCTGGTTATTGGTCTCTGGAGCTTGACAATTTCAGCTGAATTGATCCTTTTTCATATTTTGAAGTAAAGTTTCGTGCTTTCGTTTCTGGGTGTAGATGAATTCTATTTTGTATATGAGAGGAGCTAGAGATTTGATAAGACGTCAATTGCTGTAAATTTGGAGTCTTTGGGTCTGAATTTGTTCATATGAAGTTCTCTGAGGGATGTGAATTGTATTATCAGCTAATTTTGAAACGTTCCTTTTAGAATTTGGTTTGTGTAGTAGATCTATGATGAATCCTAGATCTTATCCTGTGAAATTTCTTGCTTGAGTATCATAAGTGTTTTGTAGATGGAATGGTTCTTCTATCAATTGCTTATAGCTCTCTCTGTAGATAGATTACATGTAGGGTTCGATAGACTCATTTCCTTCGACTGATTTTCTAAAGCTTTGTTCAAATTTCAGGGAAACAACAAAGACGGAAACGAAATGGTTTTGTTTTGATAGACTCTACCCTTTTTCCGATTCACATGGTAAGGACATTGAGGTAGAGAATACTAAAAGCAATGGGAGATGGGAGTTCCACTAGATCCAACAGCTCAAACAGCAGTAGTGAGAAACCAGAGTGGCTGCAACAGTACAATCTCGTTGGTAAGATTGGTGAAGGAACATATGGTCTTGTTTTCTTGGCTAGAACCAAGACTCCGCCTAAAAGACCAATTGCCATCAAGAAGTTTAAACAGTCAAAAGATGGAGATGGAGTTTCCCCAACTGCTATCCGCGAGATTATGTTGCTTAGAGAGATTTCCCATGAGAACGTCGTGAAGCTTGTGAATGTCCACATCAATTTTGCAGACATGTCTCTGTATCTTGCCTTTGATTATGCGGAGTACGATCTCTATGAAATCATCAGGCACCACAGAGACAAAGTCGGCCATTCGATAAACACATACACAGTTAAGTCTTTGCTCTGGCAGCTTCTCAATGGATTGAACTATCTTCACAGCAATTGGATTATACACAGAGATTTGAAACCGTCGAATATCTTGGTTATGGGTGAGGGAGAAGAACACGGAATAGTGAAAATAGCTGATTTCGGGCTCGCACGGATATATCAAGCTCCGTTGAAACCGCTATCGGATAACGGAGTTGTGGTCACAATCTGGTATCGCGCACCGGAGCTGCTTCTTGGCTCGAAGCACTACACGAGCGCCGTCGATATGTGGGCGGTTGGATGTATATTCGCGGAATTACTAACTCTCAAACCGTTGTTTCAAGGAGCAGAAGCGAAATCGTCTCAAAACCCTTTCCAATTAGATCAACTCGACAAGATATTCAAGATCTTAGGCCACCCGACGATGGATAAATGGCCAACACTAGTTAACCTTCCGCACTGGCAAGGCGATGTTCAACACATTCAAGCTCACAAATACGACAGCGTGGGACTCCACAACGTGGTTCACCTGAATCAGAAAAGTCATGCGTATGATCTGTTATCCAAAATGCTGGAATACGATCCGCTAAAGCGGATCACGGCTTCACAAGCACTAGAACACGAGTATTTCCGAATGGATCCTCTCCCAGGACGGAACGCATTTGTAGCCACCCAACCGATGGAGAAGAATGTGAGTTACCCAACCCGTCCAGTCGATACAAACACGGATTTTGAAGGCACGACGAGCATCAATCCGCCTCAAGCAGTAGCATCAGGAAACGTAGCAGGGAACATGGCAGGAGCTCATGGAATGGGCAATAGATCGATGCCAAGACCAATGGTTGCACATAACATGCAGAGGATGCAACCTCAAGGCATGATGGCTTATAATTTTCCGGCGCAGGCGGGGCTGAACCCGAGTGTTCCACTGCAGCAGCAGCGCGGGATGGCTCAACCGCACCAGCAGCAACAGCTAAGAAGGAAGGATCCCGGAATGGGAATGTCAGGTTATGCACCTCCTAACAAAAGCAGACGCCTCTAATGATTATAAGGTAAAATCGGTATCATCAATCTCGGGTTAGAGTCTGTGTGGCCGCAGAAGAAAGCGTTGCGATTTACTTTATAGAGTAGAGTTAGATTGTAATGCAGCATGTGGAATGTTGCTATTCATATGGATGGATTGGATTCTCTGTAGTTTTTGTAAAAACATCCTCTCAAGTATTTGTTAATTATATTAGATCATCATTTCTTTTAACATCATTTCTCAAAAATAGGAGATTTGCCAGTGAAAAGTCTATATAATATCTATTTGCTTATTACCCACGTATTGGAATGAGACAATTTTGGTGATGTTTTTTACTTTTATTTACATCATCAACCATATATAGACCTAATTAATTTTTAATACCACTTCATCCCCACACAGTTTGAAAACATTACTAATAAAAGTTTGAACACATTATACTATAGACGTAGTTACACATAATATAATGTTTTCAAACTTGTATTCAGTTATATTACGTTTGCCTACCACCTAAGCAGTGATACAATTATTACGAAATATAATACTTTTCTAAATCAAATTTTGTTTTTGTTTACCTACCATCAGTTGATTTCTATTATTATATATGACTTTAGTAAATAATTAAGATTCAGAAGAAAGAAAAAGAGTTTACATGCTTGTTTACAAATACAATAAATAAGTGGATAAGAAAACCACAAATTGAACCAGCAGCCTAACCAGGCTGTACAAACTGTTATTCTGCATCGTGGAAGTCACAAACAGAATTCTGACTTCTGCTAATGACAAATTAAACTAATAGTTTGCAAGCAATTTGGTTACATCAAATATAAATAAGAAGCATTGACCTACCAAGAGCAATAACAATCCCAAAGTTTCTTCGTAAACCTAGCTAGTTTTGTCTTTAGCAGAAAGTCAGAAAGCTCTTTGTTGTATTTTCTTATTTGTTAAATATATGTCGTCCAATGTTATGTGACGTTTAAGATTTGAAGATATATGATGGATCCACGACGTTGCCATAGAACAATTTTTTTTTTTTTTTGTGGGAAAAAGTCCATATATATATATAGAACAATTATTTGGCTGTTAATTAACTTGAGTTTGCTACTAGTTGCGTCTTCTTTATTTTCGTAGATGGTTACATTCATAATCGAGGTAGGTGATAGGGGATGAAATTTGATTTCTTTAAAAAACAAAGACGTTCAAAAAAATAAACCACCAATTCACAAAAATGGTATACATGAAAAACGAATAATCTTGCTAATGGGGTTATGCCATGCACGTCATCACTAACTTACCCTATTTAAACCCCATCTAGCCTTATTTTCCTTGTCACACCCATCACCATAACGGCAACAAACTTGGACATTAGAGTATTGAAGCAATGGAAGGCGAGAAAGACAACAATACATCTCTCCCATCTTTGACCAAGCAGTTGGCGAGCTCAACTCTTGGAGGAAGCGCGGACGTTCCCATCCTTGATCTAAGCGTTTCTGATGAAGACTTCTTGGTGCGTGAGGTGACCAAAGCGAGTGAAGAGTGGGGAGTTTTTCAGGTGGTTAACCATGGGATTCCGACGGAGCTCATGCAGCAGCTTCGAATGGCTGGGAAGCAGTTTTTCGAACTCCCGGAGGCGGAAAAGGAAACCGTGGCGAAAGATGAAGACTTCGAAGGATTCAAGAGGAACTATCTAGGCGGTATAAACAATTGGGACGAACATCTGTTTCACAGACTCTCTCCACCCTCAATCCTCAATTATAAATATTGGCCTAAGAATCCTCCTCAATACAGGTACGTTTCCTAATAAAATCGTATGAGTTAATAATATAATTCACCACCAATTAGCAATAAGTGGATTGACTCATGTTTAAGTTAAATTTCGTTTCCTTAACAAAATGCCAAATTTAAACGTTGGAGATTTTCGTCCAAATCTTGGGGGTATCAGGGAGGTGACTGAGGAGTACACAAAGCATATGAAGAGGCTAACGGAGAAGATTCTTGGTTGGTTATCAGAGGGATTAGGGTTACCGCGTGAGACGTTCACGCAACGTATAGGTGGTGAAACGGCAGAGTATGTGCTTAGAATCAATTTCTATCCGCCAACTCAAAACACTGATTTAACCATAGGAGCTGCAGCGCACACCGATATGGGTGCAATCGCACTCCTCATCCCCAATGAGGTTCCTGGACTTCAAGCCTTCAAGGATGAACAATGGCTGGACCTTAACTATGTCAACTCCGCCGTTGTTGTTATCATCGGCGATCAACTCATGGTATGGTTGACTTTTTTTTCTTCTTCTTTTTAGTTGAGATTTGTAAATGTTTTTGGGGTTGACTTGTGAATTCAAATAAATTGCAGAGGATGACCAACGGGAGGTTCAAGAACGTGCTTCACAGAGCGAAGACGGATCATGAAAGATTGAGGATATCTTGGCCTGTTTTTGTTGCGCCACGGGCTGATATGTCCGTAGGACCTTTGCCGGAGCTTACCGGAGACGACAATCCTCCTAAATTCGAGACTTTGATATATAATGACTATATTGACCAGAAGATAAAAGGCTGGGCGCTCGAAGATCTTCCTGTCTACTGAAAAAAAACCTCAAAAAACAGAATTGTTCAAGTGATCATATCTTGTCTATTTTGTTTTCGTTCTGTTTTCGAGTTACGTTTTTATCTTGAGACAAGTGTTTGTTGATTATTGTTCTTTCATCTTCTTCTTTATTTTTTTTGAGTTTCTATGTATGCATGGTTGTTGATGTTCTCTCTTTTCTTCTGTACTCTCAGAGGTTTGTTTTCTCTGTATCTCTCACTTTCCTGTTTCAGTTTCCTTGTTTAGAAAGAGCAAGAAAACGTTTTCCAACTTGAGACTCAAGACTATATTGATAACAACTTGGATAATTATTACACATTCTTTCACATATACTTATACAACTCTTTTCTCTACTACTCATGTATCAGACCCTACTTTAGGTCCTAAGACTTACATCAACCACTTGCTAGTACCACCCTGCTTATCTTGGTTCTTGGAACTCTTAAGACTTGCACAACTCTATCTTAGACTAAACAACACAATACTCTTTCTCTTAGTCACAATCGGATGGCCCAATGGTCTCTTTCTTACAAAGAAACTATTATTGGGCTTAACTCCAGCCCATTAGTCTTCTCAACTTGTGAAGTCACGGTAAGTCTCCATGAAAATGTGCTAATATCTTTTTTTTTTATATAGTACATGTGCCAGTATGTTTGGCAGTGATTTCGTGTTTTTTTTGGTTTAAATGGTATATACATAATCATGGAAGTTACACCTAAAGACAAAACTAGGTTTAAGAAGAAGATGTGTCCATCTTGTTAGATAAGGCAGAGGTGTCGTCTATCCAAAACCATAGCTGCAGGAGGTCTGAAGCAAGCAAAGGATGTTTTGAATAGTGACATCGATATGTTTGAGAAGATATCGATAGTCGATCGCCACGGTTTATGGTTGGCCACCTAGCACCTAGTTGCCGACTAGGCAGCTACCTAAACTGTTCTTTGAAATTCTGAATTTAAAACTAGTTCATGCACTCTTCATATTTTATGTAAACAATTGATTGCAATAAGTTTTTTTTTGTAATATTGTATAAACTTTATCTTATTTAAAGATATACGATGGACCCACAACGTTTTTCATGCCATAGAACAACTATTAGGTTGGAAACATTATTATACATGTGTTTGCTACTAGCTAGCTAGTTGCGTCATCTTTATTTTCGTAGATGATTCCAAAAAGTTTCAGCCTAATTAATAATGGTTCCATTCACAATCGAGGTAGGAGATTTGCATATCTATGCGAATTTGATTTCTTTAAAAAACACGTCAATAATTAAACCACCAATTTACAAAAATGGTATAAAATACCAACTAAAATCCCTTGTAATTTGGGTTGTACGACGTCATCACTAACTTACCCTATTTAAAGCCCCCCTAGCTTCTTCGCCTTCTCACACCACCACTAGCTAGAGTGAAGCAATGGAAGACGAGAGAGACCACAACACATCTTCTTCCTCTCTCCCGTCTTTGTGTAAGCAATTGGCGAGCTCAACTCTCCGGGGAAGCCTGGAACCTCACATTCCCGTCGTTGATCTAAGCGCTTCTGATGAAGAGCTCGTAGTGCGTGCGGTGGTGAAAGCGAGTGAAGAATGGGGAGTTTTTCAGGTGGTTAACCACGGAATTCCCACCGAGCTGATGCAGCAGCTGCAAGTGGTTGGGAAACAGTTTTTCGACCTCCCGGAGGCGGAAAAAGAAGCCGTGGCAAAAGAGGAAGACTTTGAAGGATACAAGAGGAACTATCTTGAAGGTATAAAGGCTTGGGACGAACATCTGTTTCATAGAATCTGGCCACCCTCATGCATTAATTATAAATATTGGCCTAAGAATCCTCCTCAATATAGGTACGTTTTCTAATAAAATTAGTTAGTCCTTTATAAACCAATAACTAGTGCGCGACTCATATTTTACGTTATAATTTATTTTCTAACAAATTCTCATATTTAAATGTTGGATTCTTGTTGATGTTTTGGGACATGGCGGTTTAGGGAAGTGAATGAGGAATACACAAGGCATATGAAGAAGCTAACAGAGAAAATTCTTGGTTGGTTATCAGAGGGACTAGGGTTACCACCTGTAGCTTTAACAAAAAGTTTAGGTGGCGAAGTGGCAGAGTATGTGATTAGGGTCAATTTCTATCCGCCGTCTCCAAAATCAGAATTGGCCTTAGGAGCCGCCGTGCACACCGATATAGGTGCAATCACACTTCTAGTCCCCAATGAGGTTCCTGGACTTCAAGTCTTCAAGGACGAACAATGGTTGGATCTTGAGTATATCAACTCCGCTGTGGTTGTTATCATTGGTGATCAACTCATGGTCTGGTTGATTGTTCTTTTTCCTAATTTCCTTACTTTCTAGGATTAAAGATATATAATTTTAGTTGAGTTTTGGAATTGTTTTTAGGGTTGATTTGTGGATTCAATTAATTGCAGAGGATGAGCAACGGGAGGTACAATAACGTACTTCATAGAGCAACATTGGATAAGGAAAATTTGAGGATTTCGTGGCCGGTTTTTGTTGCGCCTAAGCATGATTTGTTCGTCGGACCTTTGCCGGAGCTTACTGGAGACGAGAATCCTCCCAAATTCGAGACTATAGTTTATAAAGACTATTTGCACCAGACGATTAGAAACTGGACGCTCGACAAGCTTCCTCTCTATTGAAAACCCTTGAAACCCCGAAACAAAGATTCCCTCGATAAGTGATAGTGAATTTTCCAAGTCTACGTATCTAATTAAAGTTTTTTTTTTGTTTCGTTTGAGCTACGTTTTTAAGAGAGAGTGTTTGTTGACAATTGTTTTTTCTTCCTAGGGAGTTTCTATATATGGTACACATAATGTGTACGTGTGTTTACCTACGTGAGTTTTTATATATGTTTGGGAGTTTCTATATAGGGTACGTACGTTAAACTGTTCAGTACACTCGTAACATATGTATGTATGGTTGTGTGTTGAATATTTAAGTGGTTGTAATATTTGTCTATTATTCATGAAACATGAATTTTACTTTTTGTAACATTCAAAACAAATTAAAATGTGGCATTTTGAGGAACTTAAAAACAAAAAAAAGATCTAATTCAGCAAATTTACTGTCTTTCAAATATATTCAAAAAAATATAAAGAGAGACGAGCTAGTACGGAGATAATTATTTAGTTTGTGATTGCAGGAGATACACGATCTTGAGAATAATCTTCTAGAAAAAAAAAATACAAAATAGCCAGCGTATATAACCTAAATAATTCTTTTCAAAAGAATGAATAATAACTATTTTGTCGTCAACCTAATTATTTATAAGAATACCTACATTGTTAATTTGGACCTACGCACTAATGCAAACACTTACAATGTTTTTGTCATCTTATTAACAGCTGGACCTACTCGAGAACACATATCACCAAATAAAGTGAAACTAGAGAATCCACTTTTTTTTTTTTTTTTTTTTTGTCAACAACTTTATTAGATTAGCATTAGCTTATACAAGCCAATTTTGGGAAATATTGTTTACATAGGTAATTAGATGCGGTTGGGTACGAACATTTCGTGCCAGATTATCCGCTTTTGAATTTGCAAGTCGAGAAATCAAAGATAAAGAGAAAAGATCAAACTCATCCTTGTCGCTCTGAATAGCCTCTAGATAGGTAGAAAAAGCTGGCCACTCCGTCGGAGAAGACACCATCTTCACCAGGTCTGAGCAGTCTGTATAGAAACTTACTTCGCGTTTGTCTTGGCCAATCATACATCTCATGGCCCAAACTAATGCTTCCACTTCTGTGTATAGACATGTGAGACTTCGTCGGAGGTTGGCAGCGCCCATGAGAAATTAATCGACATCCTCGTCGTCATTGCTTTTCTATTTATAGTGACAATACATAATTTTAGATTCAATGTTTATTTATACTAATTTATTTGCAAAAAGAAAAACCAAAAACGTATTTTCTCGTATTGAAGTTATGTTTAAAACAGAATAATTTTTTTGGTTATAAAATAAATGTTTATTTCTTTTAATATTTTATGAAAATTTTAATACGAAATATTAATATATAAATTCTTATTACACAGTCTTTATTTTTATTTTAAATTTAACAATATTTAGTAAACACACAAGACTGAATATATTTGAGTTCACCCGATAGCAAGTTTGAGGACACTACGGTGCTTAAAGTCCTTGCAAATAATAGGCTTGAACTTTGAGGAATTACTGCAGGTAATGTAACGTTTAAACTGCATTTATTATTTAATGTTAAGATATTCATGGGGTTTATCTTTATCAGGTGATGGATGCTCTTTACTTTCATATTTTAAATAAAAACTTAATTATTTATTTAAATTATATTAAAATAATAATATATATTGTTAAGAAATCCTTGTAACTGATGGAGATGCTCTTAAGTTATAGGGTAGTAGGCAAAAATAAACAAGAAAGCAACGTATTTGGTTCATTAATGTGGTTGGGTCCTAAAAAATGTAAAAGAAATTTAAAAAAAAAAAAAAAAAAACGTTTAAACAGCAATACTTCATAGATTTTCAATAGTTTTGCTAATCATTATTCTTCCCAAACCAAATTATGTCCGTCTCAAACAGGATCCTCATACAAAAATGATGATAATCGGCAAAATACTGGACTTATACGGTCTACGTACTGTCGAAACGAAACGATGGAACATCATGGCGAATCTCATTTTGCATAAAAAGAAAAAGATTTGTTGTGGTTGAAGATATGAAGTACAAATATACATAAATTGGTACGTAATTCATTTCCTGCAAGACAAGTAGTAATATCAGAGTTTCTATAAAGATTTGGTTGACACAAAAAAATAAAAAATCAATTGCACGAGATACACGATAACCTTTATACAAAATATTCACGACGCCACCTATAAAGTTATGCGCTCATTACAATTATTGTACTAACAACTTTTGTTGGACGTACATCGTCACATAAATCAAATTTAGGTGTGTTAGTGGATGGTGCTTACGTTTTTTTAATATCCTCTAGCGTTCCAAACTTCCAATCATATTCATATCATCACTTACGCACTAATGCAAACCTTACAATGTATTTGTCATCTTATTAGCCGGACCTATTCGAGAACACAGAATCACCAAAAAAGTAAAAATTAGAGAATCCACTTTTTTATTTTCCTTTTAAACGGAATTTAATCGTCATTCTCGTCATTGTTTTTTCCTACTAATAGTGACAATACATATTAATTTTCTAGATTCAATGATAATATAAATACATATATTAGCTATCAAATCAACATTTCATCTCTCGTTCCACTCTTAAATAAGTTTTTTAAATATATTTTTTTAGTGAATTTGTTCGCTTACATCATTAACAAATGTTTATTTCTTTAATATTTTATGAAATTTGAATACAAAATATAAATATATCAATTCTTTTACACAATCTTTATTTAACATTTAACAATATGTAGTAAACACACAAGACTCAATATATTTGAGTTCACTCGATAGGAAGTTTGAGGAGCCTACGGTACTTAAAGTCCTTGCAAGTAATAGGCTTGAACTTTGAGGGATTATCGCCGGTAATAAGCTCCGGCAATGGTCCGATGACCACATCAGGATTAGCATCCACAAAAACCGGCCATGACATCCTTTGCTTTTCCTTATCCACTATTGCTCTATGCAACACATTCTTATACTTGCCATTGCTCAGCCTCTACAAATTCCAAAGAAAAAACTTCAAAGCCCATATGATAGAGACATTTCATTTATTTAATCATACAACTTCGACTAACAAACCATTATCTGATCGCCAATGTTGACGGTTATGGCTGAGGGAATGTAGTGGACATCGAACCAACGATCATCCTTGAAAATCTGAAGCCCTGGAACTTCATTGGTTATAATGATTGTGATTCCGATGATGTCAGTGTGCTCCGGCACTCCTAGAGTCAAATCCGGTTTCGGGTCAGGAGGATAATTGTTCATCCTCATTACATACTCTGTTGATTCGCCGCCGAGACCTTGTATCAAGGCCTCACGTGGTAACCCTAATCCCTCTGATAGATACCCTAAAATCCTCTCTGATAATTTCGTAGTCTCCTCTGTGTACTCCTCAATCACTTCCCTGTAGTCACCATGTCCCAACAGTCAAACGGTTCATAAATGGTTAATATATATTAAAGAATCAACAGAAAGAATTAGATACATGAAAATAATTATAAAAAAATGTTATGAGTTGTATACATTTCTTTCAGGCTTTCAAGTTTCATGTTTTGAAAATGTGATTCATTTCCTTTTTTACATTCCAGATATTCATCAACTTTTCATGTTTTTCAAGTTTTTTAAAAAGTGCTTCTGCTATATATATCCAACATGTTCAAATTATAATCAAAAAAGAAATTCACAAATCTACTTTTTATTTTTTGTTTTGTGTAAACCAATCACAAACTACTTAAGCTAGCTTTTTGACGTTTTAGAGTTATTATGCGAAAACTTTTATTCAGCTCAAACATTTCTGCTACTAAATTTTTCGAATATACTTAATCAATCATATGATAAACCACTCAAACCCAAATTTATCCGACTCATCATTTCTTTCATATTCAACGAAAATAGTTTAGATTATAAAATACTTCATTATTTGGTAATTTCCCCCTAGATAGACAGTAGACAACAAATAAGATTAGTAGTACCTGTATTGAGGAGGATTTTTGGGCCAGTAATTAAAATTGATACACGAAGGTGGCCAGATTCTGTGAAAAAGATTCTCGGTCCAAACCTCTCCTTCTACGTACTTGAGATTCGTCGTGTAACCTTCAAAGTCTTTGGAGCCATCTTGTTTCGCTACGGCTTTCTTCTCCGTCTCCGGGAGCTCAAAGAACTGTGTACCAACCTCCTTCAACCGCCGTATCAGATCCAACGGAATTCCATGATTAACCACGTGAAAAATCCCCCACTCTTCACTCGCTTGCACCACCGCACGCGCCACTAGCTCTTCATCAAGATTGCTTAGATCGATGATAGGGATCGTCTCGGCTAGAAGAGATGGTGGAGAAATGTGTTGGTCTCTCTCGATTTCCATAATGGTCGCTGGAAATAATGGTGACAATAGGTGGTTTTGTTTGTGGTGGACGCAGACCAAACTGCTATTTGTAAGATAAACTGTATATGTGTTGTTTATTTTCTTACCTACAAATAATATTCACTAAATTAACCACCTACTCCCTTATGCAATATACAACTCGAAATCTCACGACACCACCTAAGTAATCACCTACTACCTTATTCATATCCCTTTATCAAAAAAAAAAAGAAAAAAAAAAAAAAAAGAAGTTTCTGTCATTGTGCTAATGATTTTAGAAAGCCCTCTTTATCCTTTGAATTTATAATTCTACTTTGATAAGATGAGCTGATTGAGGTTTCTTGTCAAAGGTTACCTCAATCACAGGCTGCCAACAAAAAAAGGTTACATCAATCACATATTGAAATGTCATGTTTAAATCATTCATAAGAACACATATTTCTACAAAACTGTACTTATAGCACAATTGTTTGCATAAATTAGGTATATAGCATGACTACTTTTTTTTCCAACAAAGTCATTCCAAAACATTGACTCGACATGTCGGTTTGAGTAATGCGATTTTCATCGACCTATGCAGTGCTGAATGAAAATATTCTCAAGCTGAATTCTTCATTAGTATTCGAGATAATCGAAAAGCAATATTTCTTTAGGAGAACATAAAACCATTACATTAACAGAACAGATGATCTGACAATACAAAAATCTCAAGCTCTATCGATGAAACAAAAGAAAAACAAAATTCAACTCACTACACAAGAATTATTTCATCCGTTCATCAAAGCATAAGATTGTGAAACTAGACTCAGGGTTGGGTTATAGAACATTCTAGATCCTACTAAGTACCCTCTCAGCCGCAGCAATCGTGAACTGTATATCCTCGGGAGTGTGAGCCAAGCTCGTAAACCCGGCCTCAAACTGAGACGGTGCAAAGTAAACACCTTCTTCCAACATTCCCCTGAAAAACCTACCAAACTTCTCCGTGTCGCTCTTCTTTGCGTCTGCAAAGTTGTAAACAGGTCCTTCTGCGAAAAAGAAACCAAACATACCACTTATGTAACCGCCGCACATTGGATGCCCTGTTTTCTTTCCGGCTTCTAAGATTCCGTTGGTTAGTTCCTTCGTGATCTTGTCTAAATACTCATATGTTCCTGCCTGCTTTAGCCGCTTCAGCGTGTGAATCCCTGCAGTCATTGCCAGCGGATTACCACTTAGAGTCCCAGCTTGGTACATTGGTCCTGCGGGCGCAACCTACGGAAAAAGAACAGAAGCATTATTGATGTATGTTTCAAAACCGGAAAAACCAAACCGAAAAACAGAATGGCCACCCCTAGTTTTGAAAAAAGTCTAAGAGTTAGATCTTACCATCTCCATAATATCGCGTCTCCCACCGTATGCTCCCACGGGAAGACCCCCACCAATAATTTTACCAAGAGTTGTTAGATCAGGCGTGATTCCGAAGTATTCTTGGGCTCCACCATAGGCTAGACGAAATCCGGTCATGACTTCATCGAAGATGAGAAGAACACCATTGTCTTTAGTAAGCTGGCGTAAGCCGTTGATGAATTCCGGTGTAGGAGGGATGAATCCAGAGTTACCAACAACAGGTTCGAGAATAACCGCAGAAATCTCCCCTTTATGCGCTGCAAAGAGCTTCTCAACAGCTTCGAGATCGTTGTACGGAGCTGTTAAAGTATCTGAAGTAGCTGCTTTAGGGACACCTGGTGAGTCCGGTAGCCCTAAAGTGGCTACACCACTACCAGCTTTAACAAGGAAAGCGTTAGCATGACCGTGGTAACACCCTTCAAACTTGATGAATTTCTCTTTGTTAGTGAAAGCTCTGGCGAGACGGAGCACACCCATACACGCTTCAGTACCAGAGTTAACAAACCGAACCATTTCAATGCTGGGAACAGCTGATATAACCATCTCAGCTAAAACATTCTCTAAGAGACAAGGAGCACCAAAGCTTGTTCCTTTCTTCATCGTCTCAGCTAGAGCTGCAAGAACCTGCACTAGATTTCGATATTTGATCTAGTTTCAGAAACTTCAAGTAAAGAAACGAGAGAAACGGTACCTCGTCATCGGCATGGCCAATAATAGCTGGTCCCCAAGAGCCAACGTAGTCAATGTACTCATTTCCATCAATGTCCCACATTTTTGAGCCCTTTACGGAATCAATCAAAACAGGTTGTCCACCAACGGATTTGAAGGCTCGAACAGGGGAATTCACACCTCCAGGCATTAGATTCTTTCATGAAAAAGAAACCATTTTTTCAATAGTCAGGATTATAAGGTAACAATGAATCACATTTCTATGCACAAAACAGAGGCATGATTAAGTAAAGTGAATCAAAATTTGATCATTTTATGAAGAATTTGCGACAAAGATTCAAATTGACTTCATGTCTAATAAACATGTTCTTACTACTACATTGCCAGGATTCTAACACTGAAAACCTGAAATTCAGACAATTTCTCGATTCCAAAAGAGACAACTTTGCATTCTAAACTCAGATTCTCTCATGAATTGTGACATAAAAGGAATAAACGATCGGACGAAGTCAATATATATATACCTTGGCAGCATTAAAAGCTTCCTCGGATTTCTGAAGAGTGAAACTTTTCTTTTTCTCGTCGACGGAAACAGACATCTTGATGCAGCATCGGTTAGAAGACGGCGAAGAAGAAATTCTTTTCGAGATCTTTGAGGAACACGAAAACCCCAAAGCAGTTCCCGATCCTGTAAGCGTCGCCGACATCTTTGCTCTGATGATATTCGCTGTCTCTGGCGGTCGGAGTTGGTAATCGAAGTGGGTGGGCTTCTGATTGATTGAAGAAGAGTCAACAAGATAAGGCGATGTCCAGCCACCGGGTTTTTTATATGTCAAATCCGGGTGGATCCGACCCAAATACCAAAGTCAAAGTCAAAAGATTTAATGAGAAATAAATATAAATATATTTGTGTTATGCAATTTCGTATAATTCGTATATTTGTGTTATGATACAAACTTTGGTGCTTTTTCAAACTATGGAATTTGTGTGAAATTTAAAAGTTGTAACTCAAATACAAACATAAACCTTAAACTTGGTTTATGTAAAAATAAATTTAAAATGATTTTTTGTTGTTTATAACGGTTTAATTTTCGTAGTAATACTTTTTATGGATATGATAATTTATTTTGTAGGTTGTGATTGATCTCTATATGTATACGACAAGTATTGTAAGATGGAGATTTTAAAAAGAAAAAAAAATCAAAGATTTGAGCTCTTACCAAACAATATTTTAGTAACACAATAGCTTTCTTTATTAAACTTTGATACTTTAACATCTTAGTTACATTTTTGCTCCACCGACGAGCAATATTACATTACATACGACCACAAACACGTAATTGATCGTCATTATTTGCTTTTGAAAGCATACTTAATTCAAATTCATACATACACCATACATAATTTAATTAATCATTCATATATCCATAAGCCCTTGGAACACTTTCATAGCCGAGCCAGGAAGTCCAAGCAGCACATTGATACTCTTCGTGTCACTGCCACATGGCAGAAACAGAATCACTTCCTTCTCAGGTAAACCGACCGGTCCAGACACAACCGGTTCACCCCAACCGAAATCCTTAGTATGAAACGACAGTTTTGCCCACGACGTGATCAGAAGTGTTGCCGTTAGACTCGGCCTAGCTCGAGTCACCTCAAAGTAATCAATCGCTGACCTCATGAAACCGTCGTTGACCATTTCAACGGCTCTTTTGACCAAACCTACCGAATGAGAAAGAGGGTTTAAAGTCACTTCACCTGCCGTTGTAACGCAATAAGTGAACACAATCCCGTTACCGGAATATCCTTTAGGAAGTTCCGGGACAAATCTCGACCGTCCATCTGCAGCAAAGAGAAGTTTGATCCGTTGATCGGGTTTAAGCCCTAAGGCTTGACAACGAGCTCTCCATAGAAATCCAGTTAGGGTTTGAAAAGTCGTGGATCTTGTCTCTGCAATGATCTTGAGCCTCTCGAGTTTTTCGGGTCCGAAGAGGAAGGATTTGTAGACGAGTTTCTCGTCGGAGTAGAGTTTTCCGGTGCCGGAGATGTCTTCGAGGTCCTCAAACTCGTTGTGTGGGAAATCGATCTTTGGTGGGGTTCGTGGTCGGAGAAGTGTGCGGTCCAAGAAAGGTGGAAGGGAGAGAGGGAGGCCACGAGCCGTCTCGGCCCAAGAGTTGAGGAACTCCATAGCTGCGATACCATCGAACATATTGTGGTTCATGCCTAGTCCTAGCACGAATCCTCCACATTTGAAATTTGTCACCTAGCAAACAAACCAAAAGTTGTATGGAAGCATAGTACACAATGTACGCGATCAACTAAAGATGTTCAATTCAGTCGTATTAACTATTACTAACTACTAACGAATGTGCTGCCAAAAACAAAAACAAGAAAAGTATATCCACATATATTTTATTGGCAGATAAAAATCCTGATAATTTTGTCGACAAATAATATTCTGAAAACGTTAATTTGGGTATGTTCCAAATATAAAGACGTTTGACTAAAGGTGTATGTATTCGTTACTAGGAATGATATTTTTGATTTCTGTTGGTTTTTTTTTTACAAATTAGCGTATTGATTATGCATATATGATAATGAATTTATTTCTACTATATAATATAAATTTATTTGAAACCAATATCGGACCAAACCCTAATTCAGGTCATGTTCGTTCACTCACACAAAACAACAAGCAAAATCGATCAACCCCTCACCTGAACAACCACTGGCGGAATCTCAAGAATATTCCGAGCACCGGGAACGTCAAAAACCAGCTTTTCAAGAGTCTCCGGTTGATCAATCTCCGATATAGCCTTCTTGATCTTCTCTATCCCACAATTGGCCTCAGCTTCCACCACGACAACTCCTTCTCCGGTGCAATCCACAGCAATCTTACCTTCGGGGCTGATCGTGAGTCTCCCGGCGGCAGGATAGTAGTGAACAAGAACCTCGGAGAGTGATTTCTTGATGACTTCATAGGATTCCTCGTTGGATCTTGAGTTTGATTTGAAGTAGTAGAATGTTTTGACGATGATGGCGATGTTTTGATCGAGATTTGATAGATAATGGAGACCTTTTGGAGTTTCGGAGGCTGGAGAGACAAGAACAGGTTCTTTTCGGGTTACGATGAGCTCGAATGAGTCGGCCATTTTTAGGGGTTTTGTCAACGAAGAAAAACCAAAGATGTGTTTTCGGAGAACTAGGGATGGATTGATTTCTAGGGGGTTTTATCAAAGGGTTAAGCAGAGGCTAGAGTTTGAGGTTAATTGTGGTACAAGTAAAGATTTCAGCAAATGGTAGAAGAGAGAAGAGTCTTCAGGAACACATGTTAATCTGAAGAGTTTAATAATTTAAAACCTGGAATGATTAGGGCCTTAGGGAGATGTTGTGACGAGTTACAATGGTTAAAATAATTCCTTTTCTTTTTCTGTAAGTTTGCATAGATTTAATAAACGGCTAAATGATATGTTTAAAGAGTATACTTTGTATCTTTTACTAGATTGATCCCATGGAGATAGTACGAATTTTGGATAACTATGGTTTCATGAAGGCTGGCTCAACAATAGCAAACAAAAAAAAAAGGTCTATAAAACAATTGAATACATATATTTAAGAGCTGGTGGTTGATTGATATATAAATAGCTAATTATTGTCGAATTGGGTTTATCTTTAATCAGTCTCTGTAAATGGGTCTATTATATTGGTTACGTGTACATTTAAACTGTAGAGCCTTGACTTGTGTTACCAATATAAAGCTGATTTAATTTCAGTGTAAACTATAGGAAGTTGGTAGCTTTGGTCTCCTTTTTTGGGGGGTCAGTGGTGGCTATAAGTCTTAAGCTACAAAATTATAAACCAAACCGTGCACAAACAAGGTCGCATTTGGATAGTAGCTTTTCTTTTAATATGACGATCCCTTCGATATTGTGATTTCGTAGTGATTCTATAAAATAAATAGCTTTAGTTGTACTAGCCCTATATTGATAATTCAATGTAACTTGGCGTAAAAAAGAACTTCAATTTACTTCACCAAATCAAGAAAAACCAGTTTTTTTTTTTATATTACACGAATTTGAACCTAAATGGTAACATAACGATATTATTATCACAAACCAGTAAATTACATTTCCTTCTCGAAATTGGTCATTATTGTTTTTGACCTTGGACCAAGAAAGATTAGAGGCGTAATACCAAAAACATTCTTGTTTATTCTAAAATAAAAGGTTTATCAATATTAATTGTCAAAAAGAATAATAACAAAAATATTTATAAAAGTAATAACATGGGTGGTGCAATTATAAATTGTCGAAACAAAAAAAAAAATCTTTTCATGAAACAAAAGTTTCCTTTTTTGACAAGAAAAATAACAAAAGTTTCAACTTTCGTTTCATTATCCCACACAAATCGGAAAACAGAATTATATGAAATATACGAAGATGTCTCAAATTAAACCCAGAAAATAAAAATGTGCCAATCAAGCTAGTAAAATAGAAAACAAGGATTAGAGAACCTAACAGGTAACAGCTACACAAGAAAAGAAAAAAAGACACTTAAACTACATAATGAGACTCTATAGAGATTACACAGTAAATAGTACAAAGTTTAGATTCGACACTCCCTAAAAATGATCACTTGCTCTGATTCACACAAGAGTTGTGTCAGTTTTGCTTCCCCTTCACATCAGATTTTGAGAGAAGAAAAACAAAACTCTAACCTTAATCCTTTTGCACGTCTTTTTCTTCTTCCTTCTCTTTGTCACTTTCAGCCTCAGCTTTTTCCTCTTCGTCTTCTTCTTCTCCTTCTTCCTTCACTTTGTCACTTCCAGCCTTGGCTTTTTCCTCTTCGTCTTCTTCTTCATCATCTTCGTCATCAGTCATTGCATTTATGGCATCTGTGATAACATCCTTCACCTCTGGTTTTCTATGCGACAGTTCGACACCAAAATGGTCGCCTGACGTTATCACAAACAGCATATGTTACCAAAAAACTCCTGAACAGTTGGTAGGTATGAACATGGATTGCAACATAGATAATGAAAGCAAAACCCAAAAACATACTTAGCTTCTGCAGAATATCTGACAGTGTAGCCTGTAATTAAGAAAAACAAAGTGTATGAGAACATTTATTCAAGGTTTTAGACCATTACATTGTATTTGCATTTGAACGAATCAAACATCTTACCGTATTGAAGTCTACTTCCTTCAAAATTTTGGACACCACTTCAAGCATCTCTTCTCTGGTGGGCTCTGCTTTGGCTTTGCCTTTCTTAGTGGCTTTACCTGTCCAGTCCATGATAGAAGGTAACAAAAGTAAAGCAATCAACTTCAAAGACAGATAGAATAATTTCTTAAAAACATATTTCAAACAAGGCTAAGCCTTAGAAGCAGCTGAGAATGGTTGTCACCTTTCTCTTTAGATGCCTTAGCCTGTGGCTTACTTGGCTGTTTCTTGCTTTTCTCTTTAGAAGACTCGACATGATCAACTTTTTGCTTCTTAGCTGGGGATGAAGTTGACTTAGCAAGTTGTTTGGAGGACTTTTCACCAGATTTTGCAGAACCTTTGGCAGAAGCTTGCTTATCCTTACCTTTGGACCCTGAGCTCTCCTCTACAATCTTTTTCGATGATCTTTTCTTATTGGATGGTTTCTCAACCTCAGCTTTGTCTTTTTCATCTTCAGTGTCAGTCTTTTCATGGTCACTTTCTTCCTCTGGCGCTGCATCATCTTCTTCATGAGGATCATTAGTTCCTTCAGAATCAGCATCTCCCTCATCCTTGCCTTCTTCAGTGTCAGATGGCTGATCTCGCTTTTTTGTTTGCCTTTTCCTCTGCATAGTAACAAAACAGGGATATTTGTACAACCCGAGGTCAACAGCTAATAAATCAAGTCACATAGATGAAAAGCATACAACAATTCATGCAAATGCAAATGATTGTAATCCGACCACACATTTAAAATCAAAATTCACATCAGTCATATGAGGAAAATATAAGCAAACAAGCTATAAAAGGCACCAGTAGCAGGAAGGAATACAAATAAAATAACTGAGATAAAAACAAAGTGCAAACCTTGGCTGGGGTGTCCGAAGATTCTCCCGATTTCCCTCTCTTTGGTGTACTCTTGCGCTTTTTCGCCTGCTAAAAATGAATTCAGTGCTCCCATAGAGAATGAACATGTAGAACAATAATGTACTGAATCCAACAGTACCTTTTCTTGATCAGCAATTATAACGTCTCTTGTTTCCTTGGGAGATTCCAAAAATTCAAGCACTTTGACAGCAAGTTCTTCCTGGCAGTATTCAGGATAGAAGATTTCTTAGAATATAGAACAAAGTGCAATCAAAATAGATAGACCACATCTTCTTATCACTTACTTTTTTCATGTTACTTCTGCTTATAGGTATATCAAGCACATCACAAAAAACAATCAATTTTTCTTTTATGCATTTGTCAATCTTCTCTTTTATGCGTGCTCTCTGCTTCTCCTCCTAAGAAACATTTAAATACAAGTTTCAACACAAGGCAAAACAGCATACACATCCCTGTAAGAAAATAAACTTGAAATGGGTTATACCTCATTCTCTGACCATGCAAAGCCAGAAAATTGACCAATGTTTCTCTTAACCATCTGTGCCTGTAGAGAAATTTTCACAGAACGCTTTTTTAGTAGCACTCTGGCAAAGAAACAATGGAAATTTCAAGACGACATTCATATTAACAGAATCAGAAGCTTGCAAGTGAAATCAACATATCAAATGTGGAAAAATATGAGCAAATTTTAGAGCACCTTTGCTTTCTTTCCATAAAGAATGGTGTGTAGTAACATCAGGTTGTCATCGGCTTTTCTCTTGGATAGTTTATGAGCCACTGAAACAGCCAAAATTATCAGACAACTTTCTAATTGTAATATAAATGTCAACAAGACTTTATCAAAAGAACTAAATTTTTCACCCTCAAGTTAAATAAACAAACAAGAGAAAGAAAGAAAGATGGAAAATTTTCTCATCAACCACAGTGCAAAGTATTTTTCCACAGCACAGTTAGCTACCGAAATAAAACCAAATCACAGACAGTAAGTTAATAGGCTAATTGTGATAGTTACAAGATGATTTATTCCATCAGACAGTCAGACTATCCGTATCAAATTGGTGGAAGTAATAGTATCCAAGTAAATCCAAAATCCCAAGCTTTTCTAATGAAATGGTTCTATCTATAAGCATGCCAATACAGAAAAGAAAAATCTCACAATAGCTATCTCATCTTCTAGATCTAAGATTGTGCCAAACCAGCAAAGATTGTTCATTTATTCTGATTAACAGCAACTAGATCTAGACATCACAAATTCACAAGAATTCAATCAAAACAAGCACAAATCGAAATACTTACCATTTGGAATTTCCCTGAGAGGTGTTCCACGACCCTACAATAAAAACACAGAAACCATAACTAATTGATCCAATTCTCACAAACACAAATATCGAAAGACTAACAAAAATTTCCATCAAGATACCTTTTCAATTGAAACGGACTTGCTCGGTGTAGCCCGCATAGGAGTCGACAACGAGAAACGCTCAACTTTCTTTCTCTCCCTCGTTGGTCTCTCACTAGTCGGAGTCACCGCTTCCTTCTCCGACGATTTCTTACTTCCACTTCCTTCTTCTTCTTCTTCCTCCTCACTTTCTACATCGTCTTCTTTATCTTTCCCCTCCAATTCTCCTTCTTTCGTTCCACCCTCTTCTTCATCTTCCTTCTTCTCCTCCTCCGCTTCTTCAATTCTCGGCGAATCCGCTTTTACTTTCTCTATCTCCACCTCCTCCTTCGCAGCAGCATCACCAACCTCCTTCGCCGGAGAATTCACTTCCGGTGTCTTCGCTTCTAGGGTTTCAGTCGCCATTTGAGACCCAAACAACAGGCGAATCAAGACGGGAAAAAGGGTAAAGAAAAAAAAAACCTAAAATTTGAGATTTGGTGAAGTCGAAACTCGAAAACCCTAATTCAACGATTATGAAGAAGAGAAACAAAATCAAAATTTGGGGATTTCAAAATTTCTGGTACCAAAAATTAGAACACAAAGGCGGGCTCTTTCCTCAACCCCAAAATTTTCACCAAATTCAGCTCGCGGCAAAACTAACCCAATTTATATACATACACATATACATACAACAAACTCGGCCCAATTTTTTAACAAGCCCAATTAAGTTCCGACTTTTTTCCTAACAATACAAAAAAAATTCAAAAAAGAAAAAGAAAATTGATTTTGGAGGGAAAACCAATAAAAATCCCTAAATTTCGCCGGCGAAATGCGTAGACGACGCCTGCAACTCCGATACTCCTCCGACGAAGAAGAAGAAGAAGGAGATGAAACTGGAACCAGCGGAGTTGGTGATTCTTCTCAGAGAATTGGTCATGCCTCATCTGTACAACCGGAAACCTCAGTAGCGTCGAGTTCTAACCCTAATCCCGGCGAAACAATTGCTGTATCGGAAGTTGAGATTATCGACGTTTTCGGTAATCCTCAGCCTACACCGCCGGATTCTAGTATTCCTACACCGTATCCGGTTTATCCGTCGGAGTCAGAGTCGGAGTTGGTGAGAGGAAATGACTATGAATCGCCGATCAGTGAGGTTCTTTCTCGAATGGGGATTAAATTGAAGAGGGAATGGTGGGTATCTTGTCTTTCTGGACTTGAAACTTCAATTCCACAATTTTCGTACCTCGATGTTGCAGCTAAAGCTAAGCATTGCTTTGAGCAGTTTATGTTTTCCGATATGAATTTATGCGGAAGTGGAGTTCTTCCTCGGAATGTTGCGTCTATGAATCGTATAGAACTCGCTGGTCCGTTTGTTCTGCAGGTTATTTGATTGTTTTGTTTTTACCCTTTTTGTTGGAACTGTATATAGAATGCTCAATGTGTGATTTTGGCTGAACATTTTTGCTTAATTTTTCAAATTTAGGTTGATGAGATTGTTAACATTGGCTGCCCACTCAAAGGGAGGTATGAAAATGCTAATGCAGGGCTTAAGAGGTGCCTTAAGCTGTCCATGACAGATGGTGTTCAACGCGTTTTTGGTATGGAATACAGGCCTATTAAAGAACTTCAAGTCTTGGCTCCTGCTGGTTTAAAGGTGTGTGTTTCTTGTTGAGGATTGTAGTTGTGAAAATTGTAGATTATCTTTTGGGATGTCTATTTTTTCTAAGGCCATTGTACAGCCTTTAAGATTATTCGGAAAAGCACTGACAAGAAGAGTTAAATGCAGATTGTTGTATCTAGTGTACAAGTTCGGCATGGGCTTTTAATGCTAGTACCTGAGATTGTAGAAGTTTTAGGAGGGGTGGTTGAAGAACTAGAAGAAGCAAGAAAGCGTCTGGTTGTTGAAGTAAACAAACCTCCAAGAGGAAAAAGGTTAGATTTATTCAAAGAATGGTTTACTTTGTTCAGAACTCGATATTTCTCCCGCTCACTTCATATTCGAAAGTTGTGTCATGATGTATGTCTCTTCAGTTGGAATTATTATTTGCAAAGACTGTGTTTCAGTGATTTCTTTGGCTACAGCTTCTTTGATCTTGAGAAGAGTGTCTAATTTGGAGTATGCCTTACAATGTACTAGTTTAGTGAATTCTGCATTTGGATTGGATTATGTGGAAAGATGTTGCATGATATAACGTTAAAACACAGTTTATAACACACTACCAACTATCTTTTCTATTTGCAGTTGTTAATTTTACTCTTCTTGTCAAAGTTTTTATTTGATTTTAACTTTTGCAGAACAAGGATAGGAGTGGTTCCTTCATTGACAACCAGAGCAACTCTAGCTGCGTGGTCGCTAAATGGCAATGATAGTAGTAATCATGTAGATAGTTCTACCTCGGGCAATGCTAGTCACGCTCAGGCCAATCCTCAAGGTAGGGGTGTTTCTACATTAATGTTCTTGTTCAGAATAAACTACATGTCTAAGTGTTCTCAAAACTAGCCTAAGTGTTCGTTACTGTCAACCCTGACCAAGAGTAATCATTTGTTCCATCACAGGAAAGTGGATAAGTGACAATTTTGAATCAAAGGAATTAAACTTTTCCCATTTTTTCGTTTATATCGTAAACTGTAACATACTAGAGCACAATCATGGTTCGTTCTGTGTTTCCCATGATGTTTTCTCACTTAACCATAGCCGAGTTACAACATTAAAAACGTATTTGGTGTCTTTCTTTGAAAATGATGTCTGTTCTTAGATACTTTCAGTAATATGAGACAACCACTTTCTTTTGAGATTAATAGTGGCTATTAACTCTCTTTTAACGAAAACACTTATGCAGGCATACCCGTAAATGTAACGAGAACTCACATTAGTTCACGGGCGATGGATGAGCCTCCTGCTTCTACCAATGTGGAAGCTACTGTTTCAAGGGTTGAGCATATGCAGATTGATACTGCTTCTGCGCATGGGGAAAGAACGTTTTCTGATATACACTCAACTTCTAGTAACATTCACCGGCCAGCATCCACAGCTGGTACTAGCTGCAGTGGTACAAGATCTTTTTCCAACAACGTTGGCAGAAATACATTGGATCAACAAACTTCTAACGTGACTTCATTTGTTGAAGAAATGCATATTGACACTGGTCGTGTAAGGGATACAACGTCTCATGTATATGGTTCAGGTTCAGGCGGTGTAGCAGATGCAGAAGTCAGTAATATGGTTGTCGATTTGGAAGGCCCTTCTGTGATTTCTACAAATACAGAGAAGCCTTTCACTTACTTAGCCGAGTTGTCTCAAAAATGGGCAGTTATGAAAGATACCATACATTTTGTTCAAGGAAGGATCAAGGTACTACTAACACTACTTATTAAAGCACTCACACTTCAATCAATGAGGATTTCAACTCTTGTAATTAAAGTATTCATTATTTGCAGTGCTTTCTTACTGGAGTGAAGAAATTCCAGTTCAAGCAACAGTCTACGTATGAGCTTCTATGCTACGTTGATGATGGAAGTCTCATCTGTGAGATCTTGCTCCATAACGATGTGAGTCCATCCCTCACTTCGCAAATTTTTTGAAGTATTAGAAGGAAGATCACCCATTAGTTCCATGTTATTCCCTCTGCAGGTTGTACAAAAAAGGATAGGACATACATCCATGGAAGTCACAGCTGCTCTTTCCTCTTCAGCACCAACATCAGTAAATGCCATGATGAAAGAGAAACTGAAACGCTTCCAGTTGTTTCTCGCTGACTTCGAGGTACACCTGCTAACATATCAATTTAGACTGTCTTTGTTCTATGATCAAATACATCAAACATAAGCTGAATATAGAAACAAGGCTTAGGACTGAATGTGAAGACCCAAGTAAACACAAACCAAACCATACTTAGGAAGACTAGTTTGTTTTCAAATGATTCATTTATATGTTACTGCAGGGAATAATGATGGTAGAAATGAACAGATCGTCGCAATATCCAGTAGCTATCGAAATGAATCAGGGATGTTCGTTAACCGATGCTCGGTTACTCTTGGAAAGAATCAAATCTTCTTCAAGAACATCCTCAAGCTTAAATCCAGTTGTTGTTCTATCCCCTTGATCCAGTAGTCAACTAAAAGCATGTGAAACAGTGAGAGCTTTTAGTGACTCAACTTCATCTACATCTGCTTACTTCCTGGTTCAACTAAACCGGATAATTTACTTTTGGTAATTAACTGAATCGGGTACCTGGAAGTGATTCCAGTTCTGCTTCTTTTTAGATAATCTAAAAAAGTCAAAAAGTAGATTAGGTGTAAATTTTTCTTATGAAATTGTATTTTTGGATAATAAAACAAAGTTTATATATACATAGCAGATTGTTACGACTTACGAGTCTTCTTCATTTGGTGATCTTGATAGGGCGTTAAAGAATCCTTGATAGCAAAGTTGTTCTACCCAAACTTTTGGGATGAGGAAGAGGTCGAAATGAATAAATGGGCCTAATATTATAAATAAAGTTGGACCCATAAATGGAAATTTGGGCTTTGGTTTTGAGCACAGCTCAACAATATATGTACCCGCTGGCTTAAATATAAATGCTTAGTCTACAAGGTTCTTTAGAAGGTGAAACCTAATTATTCCTCATAGTTTTCTCTCGAAATCATGCCTAGAAAAGTCGCCAGTAAGATTTCTCAGATTATGATATAGACCCTAACAACTTATGGATAAACATTACCAATTGGGATAAATTGAAGTTGTATTGTGCAACTTTAAAGTTTGTAAAAGTTTTCCGGTTTTGATTTGCTGCCAATAGATTTCCGGTTTTATACATCTTTTTCAAATTGATTTGATGACGCATATTCAACGATTGTCCATTAGGGGAAAAAACAAGGATAGGGAATTGATAAGTTTTGTTTGATTTGAGTGTTGTCGAGTCTTTTCTTCTTTTTCTGGCCGATCGAATTTTTAACTCGAGTCTTGTTGTTTAGGCAAAAATACAGTGTAATGTTCTTTCGGTAGTTTCCTTTTAAAATACAGCAAAGTCTTAATTTCATTCGCTTTTCTTCTGTTCTAAAAATTTTCGTTTCAGATTTTAGATATTGATCTATATATAGTAGGCACAATCATATGGTCCCGATTAATCAAAATCGGTCAATGAATATGTCAAAAGTTTTTCCTGGCCTAAATGCCATATTAATATATTTATGAATTTTTAATTAAATAAATATTTAAAAGAATATCAATAAAAAAATCATGCTATTCTTCGACTAATCTACTCCAAACGTTTGATGATGCCTAACTAATTGTTGTACACTAGTTTCTTCCAAAGTCAGGTTACATCGAGATAAAGAAGCCATTTAAATATGGACCATTAGGGCCATTAGACATCAAATAAATAATTTGAAAGTTGAAACGAATAAAAAGAATAACGAAATTTGCCTTCTATGTGTAATGCTACATCGTAGCACACACGAATAGGTCATCTTCAGCCATCCATGATCCATCTATGCTTCTTTGCCTTTACACCCACTAAGTGATGGGATTTAAAGAACTTTCTTATCAAAATTTCTTTTGTTAGAAAAAGTTTAGTTTCTTTATTTCAAAAGAAGTATATTAATGATTGTTCTAAAGATTTTGGCTCATGTCTAAATCACAACAAAATTCTTGATAAAAATCTAAATCATGTTATCATTTTCGACAGGTAAATTTATATGATTTGTTTTCTTCTGTCACAAGACCTATATTCTGCATTATTGTGCACTGCTGCGTTTATTAGTATTCACATATAGAACTCGTTAACTGAGTAGACTTTAACAAACAAGTTGTGGTAACATCATCTTCTATTGTTTTCTATATTATGGGCCTACATACTTTTTGTGTGTGTTAGCCTTTCGACTTATTTTTTTGTTTGTGTTTACGTTTGCATGTTATAACCTATTGTATTGATCAAAATTCATTTGTAATTAGCAAACATAAAAGCCAAATAATTGTACAAAGGAAAATAATAATAATTTCCTTTAGCTTTATACTTTTCATTTTGTGATCTTATCTAGAAAATGTGAGATGTGTAAATGTCAGTTGGTCTATAGGTTGCCTTATTATCTAATCTAAGCTGTTCTGTATGTATAATTTATTTATTATTTGATAAAATAATTATGTATAATTTCAAGTTTATCATCTAAGGTTAAAACCTTGTAATCTTAAAACATTAGAGATTTTGGATTAAAATCTTCAGTATGGTGCAGTCGTGCAGATCTTATGATGCGTGAGTTGAATGGCTCGCTATCTATAAATATTTTATTCACACAATATAGAGAAGAATGTAATGCGAACAAATATAATAATAACAGAATCGTAGTCCAAGTAGAATATGATAAATTTGAAGAAAGCTGATAATGAATTGGTATACGTATAAGTTGACAATGAAAGGTGAATATATTATTTGCTAGGCAGTTGGCGTCAAAAATTAAAAGTCGAAAAAATAATTGAAACAAATTATTGGTAATGGGGATGGATGTATAAACTAGTTTTAGAGTTTTATGAAATTCAGGTAAATGAATCAAAAAGATAGTGATGGTCCCAACACTTTTAGTGATGGGGTTAAATGGTCGATTCAAATATGGTTCGGTCGCAATCAAACCTAAACTAGTTTAATGAAAACCGGTCGAGTGTCTCAATATGATAACAACGTTGTTATTATCATTCTTTTTCTACAACCGAAAAAAATTGTAACTTTTGTCTGTATATTTGGATCGATCGGAGATCAGAACGGATTTGTTACTTTTTTTCCAAATCAAAGTCATACTAATAGTTTGACAACAATGATACACATATTTTTCGAATCGACTATACCACCAATTAGAGAGTCACATTTTGAATGATAAACACTGTTAGGAATGCTATTGTAAATATATAGCGATTGATGATTTCTTTAAATATCAATTTTATTAAAGAAATTATCTCGTTGATGGAACAAGTGTTGTTAAATAAATAACCGCAACATGCCTGGTGGCCATTTGTTTGTTATATGCAACTACTATTGCTTCGGTTACGTATACATAAAACTATTAGTTATCTCTACGTTTATACGTATACGTACATGCAAACAAGACGTTACTTGTAAGTTGTAACGTATATGTATGTGTGTCTCTACGTGTCAACATGATTTCGACATTGTTGAAGTTATGGTCCCAAAGGTTAACAGAAAGAAGAAAAAAAAGACCAACAAGATTAATAAATGCCATAACCCATCTACCCTTTTATCCCTTTTCTCTCTTTTTCAATTTTAAAATTAACAAAAAATAAAGAAACGATCTTAATAATTTCTTTAATAAGTAAAATTTTAGTAGGGTGTAATTTTAATATACTCGCAAGATAACTAGAGTATGAAAGGAAATATTCACTACAAAGACAAAAAGGAAATATCAATAACGATTGTTAATATGAAACAGAAAAATTGAAGAATTGTAAGATATACGAGACTATACTAGCTATCAATTTAAAGATCTTTGCAAAAAGTACAATTGAGATCATTTATACGTCAATAACATGCATTATATGGAAGATTAAACTCATTTGATGATATGACAATCTCATTAATATAAATTAGTCGACTACACGTCATGTTGTTACCATTGCGATCATATAACGTACGACGGCACGAGTGATTAATTTTGGATACTTCTTGTGTTAACCAAATGTTTTGATTGATGTCTAATTTACTCTGGCTAATAGTTTGATCTTAATTTCTTCACATAGTATATCGTCCTCCAAGAAAATGAATTGAGCTACCGACATTGGATATTAATAACTTCTCTCTTTTTTATTTTTTTGTCTTCATTTATTGAATAATAACTTTCTACTGTATTCCTTGTTTTCATATTAGCTTGTTGTTTCAAGAGAAAGGAGTAAAAAAAAAAAAAGATATTCTTTTCTTTTCCCAGTTAAAGAAAAAAAAAAAAAGAAGGAGTAATTTACGTTTTTCTAGTAAAGAAAAGTAAAGAGTAACGTACTTTTATCAAAAATGAAAAAATGAAAAAGAAAAGAGTAACGTACTATTTTTTCTTTAAATTTTTGTTTGTTTCGAAGAGGAATCGAGTAATTATTAATTGAAAAAAAAACGGTGCGTCCAAAAAAAGAAGCGACAAAAGTTGAGTCCGAAAGCACAGGAATAGAGGAAGTGGTGGCGGGTCACGTGGGCTCTCTCATTCATTCATAAAAAAAAAAAAAAAAAAACTGTACGTCCTCAGAGATGGCACGGACCCATCACGTGGGATCCACGTGTTATTAACACCGTCACATCACGGCTCTCTCTCTCTGTTTCCTTCACGCTCCACGCGCTACCCTAAGCGCGTGTGATTTCTGGAGTCTACTTACGTTCGCTGGAATAGAATGTTCTTTCTTCTCGCGCTTACGATGCCAAGACGTCACCAGCTCTTGGCACGTGTCACTGACGCGCGGCGAATTGAGAACCAAATGTGTTTTTGTAAAGAACTAATGTCAGAGGAATTTCACTTTTTTTTATATTATAAATCAGGCCTAGTAGATAGTGGTATGCCAAAACAGTATTTATTAGGTTTTGTATTCAAAAACTTATATTAAAGTTGTGATTTTTTACTTAGGTTTGAAGTTTAGTAGTTTGTAATGTTAATGTTGGAGTAAATTTTGTTTTTTAATTCTACTGAAACATCAAAATGAAAAGAGAAAACATAGGATTCTTAATTAAATTGTTTTTGATGATTTGATTGATAATACGTGCCACCATTTAGTTTCTAACAACACATGATGGGCACAAAATTAATCCAGAGAGAATAATCATAAACTTTTAACCAAAAATAAATAAATGCATAGTACTAATCATAACACAATTGACAAACACCAATGGCATGTTTTTAGATAAGGCAGCATTTTCATTAACTTTATTCCCACAATAAATGGACCAGCCTTTTTCTAGCGGCAAGAAAATAGTGTTTCACCTAACTAGCTGTTAATAATTCATAGATAATTCACCTAAACGACGTTTTTCATTTTTCTTAGGGGAAAGTGTAAAAAAGAGTTTATACTAGGTTATACTATTAAGGTTATTTTTTAACATCTATGAAAATAAACATTACTGTTCCTCCACAAGTTTCCAACTAATTCTTATTTTCAATAATCTATGTACAGTTATATTGAGTTAAAATAACTGGAGTGTAATAATGTTATTGATTTGATACCACCAAATCTGTATACTGAACAACTTTGGTAAAGGGTAATGCATTAAGTGTAGTCGTTGCCAAACAAACACTGCACGTAAATGGTGACTTAGAACTGAAGTGCACGAGTACTTAACTAACTCTTTAGTAAGTTAACACTCAAAAATGACTCTTAAATTTGTTTAGACTTTAGATTAACCATACATAAATAAATATATATGTTCAGGAAAATAAAAAAGAGTGGGTGAGATGATCGCATCAAATTTAGTGCATGTCAAAAATAAAACACTCGATTTTTTAGCTTTCTATGAAGATTGTTTTTTAATTTTTTACTATGTACTCTATATATACTACAAGATTTTTTTTTTTGAGCAAAATACTACAAGATAAGTTACAGTAAATTTGATTTATTTTATTGCTTATAGCCATTAAAAACAACTCATAATTTTCGAGTTTTTTTTTTAATGTACATTACAATTAAAAGAAAAAGAGCTGCCCAAACACATTAGAAAGAAAACCACATGCTAAGAGAGACAGCAAAGGCCATGTACCCACTTCATCAAAATTGTTCAGAATATTTCCCATTATACCCATTATAGCGTTTGCGTTTTTCTTTGTTACATTACGGTACATGCATTTGGATTCTCGTCACTGAATAATTGAGGCGGATAAGCGTGTGGCGGCATTTCCATAGGCGGAACTGCCACACGCGGTGGTTGGTAATAGTAGTAGTAATAAGGATTCTCTATCTTTCTCACCTCCACAACTTTTCCCTCTTCCTCCCCACCGCCATTTTCCGCTGCTTCGCCTTCCCCTTTACCGCCATCCCCTTCTTTCTTTTCTTCGTCCGTCTTCGCCTTTTCGTCCTTCCCTTCTTCGCCTTTGGATTCTCCTCCTCCGTTTTCTCCCTTTCCTTCTTCCTTCTTCTCTCCTTCTGCTGCCGACTCCTCAGGTGGTGGTGGGGGCGGTGGGTCGATTTTCATGATCGCAGCGTGTTTTCCGGTTCGCTTATAAACGTACTCTACAAGCTTTTGTGGTTCAAGCACTCCTTTCACCGTTACTTGAGAACTCTTTAAGTCGGATTCAGCAGATTCCACTCCTAAAAGTTATTTATTTCAAACAAAAATGAATTAGAAAAATTTAATTTGTACTATAAAAGTGAAGGACAGAATACATTACCCCACTACATATAACTGGAACAAAATCATACGACATTACATATGCTGTCATAAATAATTACAATTATGTATAAATAAATAAATAACACGTGTGCGTGTGTTTTAAAGTCGAAGCAATATGATCCTGATTCAGTGATTTGAAATTGTATGGACCAAAATTGATGCAACTACTAACGAAAGATAATCTAAAGTTTGGTGAAAATGAGTAAAGAAGAGAAAGATTTTGCAAGGTATTGAAACGTTATATCTAACTATAATAAATTGGACAGAGAAAATAAACTAAAATTCCAAAAAACTTCAACGTTTTAGTGATTATTACCTTTATCAGTAAATTTCCTAAAAAGGTAAGAAATGCTCTAGGAGAAAAAAAAAAATCTTATTGGCAAATGTAAACTACACTTCTGCGATTTGAATTTTATATTAATTAAATAATTAATTAATGTGGAAGTTTTTTTTAAAAAATGCTAACCTTTCATTCTCATGATCCGTTTCTTGATCTCTGTCGCACAAGCTTCACAGTGCATGTGAACCTTAAGAACCACCGTCACAACCACCGGAGGCTGTTCGCAAAATTAATAAAATGATAACTTAACACAAAATTCCACATACATAAATATAAGAAGTTCTACGTTCATAAACCATCAAATAAGATAACCAAATTCTACCAATACACCCCATGTGAAATCGCTGCAAAGAGAATATTCTCCTTTTTATTAAATAATACATATTTAATTAGTTACTCGTACCCTAAATAGAATAATAAAGAATAAAATGAATATTCATACCAATATCCTAAAAAGCAACGAAAACCCCCCCTCCTTTTTCTTTTCTTTTTTGGTTTTAATGTCAAATTCATTACACAAAACAAATTTAAAATGTTTTTTTTTACAATAAAGAAGGTGAAAGCTTTGAGACCACTAGAAAAAAAAAGTTACCTCCACTTTCTTCTCTTCCACAATGGGTTTCTCCTCCTCTGCTTTCTTCTCCGGGGGCGGAGGCGGCGGAGGAATCGGAGACAGAAGCTGAACTTGACGGTGGGTCTTCCTCTGAACTCTAGCTAATACTTTCAATGGATCAGCTTTCTCACCTTTCACCACCACTTTCCCCGTTTTACAATCAGTCATCACATCTTCCACTCCTAATTGATAAATTCAACCAAAAGTCCATACTTAATTCATTTTTTTATATATATATAAACCATTAGCTTACCATTTTTACCCAAAAACAGAATTTCTAGTTTGAGTGTTTTTTTTTTGTTTTTTAAATCTATAATACTAAAGCATAACCCAAAACTTGATGTGGCCCTACACATAAAATATATAGCGAATATTAACTATACTTAGATACGAAATTAACCAAAAAAACTATAGTTGACAGAAACAAGATATCCAGTTACAGCAATTGACATAGGATGCTGAAAAGGAAAAAAAATAAGAATTGCGTTTATTGTATATTTTAGAAATAAACCCACAATATTAATCACCCTTTTAAAATTAATTTTTGTTAATTTAAACTCAAAATTTCCGAAACTATTATGGAAAACTGAATTTTAATATTTCAAAATAATGTAAGCTAAAAGATTTGTATATGCAAATGCAAAAATCATATAAATCAATAATTCTTTTTTTCTCACATATTTGCTTTTATACATACCTTCGAAGCCTTTGAGACAACGGCGGACTTTTCTAGCACATCCTTCACAGTGCATGTAAACCTTAAGAACAATCTCTTGCGGCGGAGGAGGAGGTGCTGGAGCCTCCGGCGGCGCGGGAGCAGAATCTTCTTTGGAATCTTTGTTAGATTCTTGAGGTTTCTTGTCAGAATCTTCTCCTTTTTTCTCAGCCTCCACTTTCTTTTCCTCTCCTTTTTTCTCTTCTTCTGGTTTCTTCTCTTCCATTTTCTTTTCCTCTGCTGCTTCTGGTTTCTTCTCTTCCTGAAACCCAACAAAAAAAATAAAATAGAGTCTTAATTAGAACAAAATTTTGTTATTATTCATGGAGATTTGAAAAGATGATATAAGAGTTTGGGTTTTTCTTGAACCTCTCCCATATTTTTTTCTTTGGTTTGAAGTTTTGAGTGTTTCTATGTTCACAAAAAAAATATTGTAATGCCCAAAGAGCTTATAAATCTCTCACTCACGCCCTCTCTCTCTCTAAAGAACCACTTGGGTGTTGGTACGAAGGTGGAACTGTGGACCTCAAGATCTGAAAAGAAATGTAAATTATTTTGTTTTATTCCCTTTTAGACATGACTTATACGTGAATCTAATATTATTTAACTGATTTATTATTTGAGAACTTAATTTAATATTTTTAGTTATGTATCAGTCAAAATATAAACCTAAAACTCACGCAATTTGTTCTCTCTATATAGTTAAAAGTTAAAACTGTCAAAGCACAATTCTAATTCTCGAGATTGACAGTTAGTGGATTATCCAATCATGTATTTTCACATATCTTTGAGATTTCAGCATAATTGATAATTTCTCTATAGTAATAATATGGATGTATACTTAACATTTTAGAATCTATTAATTCAAATCGAACGTTACCACTGTGGAAACCGAATTAATTAAAAATAAATTTATTTTGACAATCATCTTATTTCAAATATAAAGAACATGATTTAAGTAAAAAAAAATATTTTAAAATACCATAGCAAATTTTCAATATATTTTCCAGCGAAATTAAACAATGGATCAAAATAGCTCCATCTTAAAGATTACTACTTTTTTTACCGTTCATATATATGTAATTATTATTAATGGATCAAATATAAGATAACCAATGGAAGTTAACAAATTAAAAGGATAAGATAACCAATGTTACATCTATGAATCTATGATTTATCTAATGAAGTGACAAATAACATTGACTCTCATACAAATTCCAGCACACTTTTCTACTTTTTTGAAAAATTAAAATAAATCATCTTATATACAGTTCTGCTTATATACAATTCATTAGTGGAATAAAATGCATGTTGTTAACATGAGATGTTCATGATGAAGTGAACACGGCATTCTCGATAACAACTAATACCTATAGCCTATGGCTAAACCTAAAGTACCAATGAGCTTCTGTTTTAAAATACACCCTAAAAAGGGAAGAACAATGTTGACATAATTTAACATATTTTCCCTCAATTCATAAAGCACATCTTTTAATGCATAAATATATGTACGTACATTGCTTTTTAATGTATACATACACATATACTGATTAAACACTACATTAAACATATGGTAACAAAAAATTTATTACCAATTGAAAGACTCCTAGCAAACTGATCTCTAAGATATGAGGAAGATACAGTCAAAAATATGTTTTCATTCAATTTTGTTTTCTATATAAACTCAGCTGCAGCTAGTTTTTATCATCTATACATGAGTTATTTGTAATGAATTAGATTTTTTTTTTGCATTCCAAAATAATCTATAATACGTATTCGAATTGAATTTGATTTATGACCTCAACTAGAAGTAGAAATTTATTTCCTCGACCAGATAGTGCGTGATAAGATGTTTGTTCAATAGAATTGATTTCTTACCTAGAATTACAAAACCACTTAGATAAAGAGTATCGATCGATGAGTTACTAAAAAAAAGATGAAGTGTAGTAGCTGGACCTGGTTGTGTTATTGGATGAACATGATGAGAAATCAAATAATGACTCCCCGTTACAAAAAAGTTAATCAAATGTATTTTCGATTTAATCAGCAATTCATAATTTCACATAAACTCAATTTTGGATATACGAATCTAGTCCAGTAGAAGCGAGTTTGTTGTATACGTTAAATCATCTCCAAAATAAGTGAGACACTAGCTAGTAGTGGTAAGAAAAAAAAATACAGTGATAATTACATGAACAAATTTCACTCTCGAGTGAGACTTCTCCAAGCAATAATCGAGAGGATATTAGTATCATCAGTTATCACCTCAATTTTTCCATGCATTGAATACTGACGTGGCGCCAAGTAAGACTTCACACGTGTGGGGCATGAACTTTGGGATCGCACTGTGGGACAAATATTTGTGTTCCCGAGGCTTACACATGGAACTGCCGACTTGGATTCTTCTCTTTTCTCGACTTACATTTCTATTAAAGACTATCTATCTTTTCTTTTCTTTTCCTCTCCCTCTTTTGATTTCCTTTTACTCTTAATCTCTTATATCACATGAAATTATAAAGAGAATAACAATTGCTAGTCATCGAGCTTTCACTAAAATTACAGAAATTTATCAATAGCAAAACAGTTAGAAACTGTTGTAAGTGAGTGCTAATAATTAAACAAAAAAAAAAAAGAAAAAAGTAAGTGCTCATATGATTCTCTCATATGGTACAAATCGCTAAAATCTTATTGGTACCAGTAAAACAGTGAAAAGGTCAAATGATGATATTTAAAGCTGATTAAATAGTCAAAACCAAACACATTCGTGATTAAAGCTGATAAAATAGTCAAAACTGAACACATCCGTGAAACATTTAATCATTTTTGGCAAATACTAAAATCAAAGCTCATCAGCACAGTGACACTGGTATTTTTTTCTGTCTTCACCATGTTTTTATTTATTTATTATGTCTTTTACCATGTTATAACTCCAAATTATAAGAAACTTCAAAATTTCTAGTTGATAGGTGAAATTAAATTCCATTTTATTTGTTTAAATTTCTAAACTAGATAGTACAGCTTTTTAGAAAAAAGACTCTTTCATATTTGTTTTTCCCTACAACTAATTTAAGGTTTTTTTTTTTTTAATAGAATCTTATTTAAAGTTTTTTTTTAATATAGAAGATGCTAAGAATAAAATAAACACAAATATGCTTTAGAAGAAGGGAAATTTCTCTTTTATTAAAACTAGTGGCAGGTAAAATATATCATAGACCAAATTAGAATGACTAGAACCGGTATATACTCAAAAAAAATTAATATCCGGTTTGATGAAATAAATACAATATACTCTTTCTGTTACAATTTCATATTTTTGTCTCCTTTTAATGGCAGTGATATAAATGATGGATCTGGTAAAATTAAATGCTTTTTAGCAGAGAGACAAACGAATCCAAGAGCTGACGATGACACGTCAGCGATAATAATGACGTAACGGCCGTTTTTGTTGGCTTTTGTTTTTTACCTCCTTCCACGTCATTCTTGCTTTGTGCCCACCTCGTAGTTAACGGAGTAAGTTGTTGGCGTTAATAAACAGTCTAATCTAACAGAAGGTTTTGTTTCAACAGCGTTATAATTACCTAAGTACCCTTTTGCCAGAAACAAAAGTGGATTTTGTTGTAAGAAAATATTCGTACCACCGCACCACAATTAGATTGCTTTTGAAGAGGCATGAATTAAATTAGGGACAATTACTATATTTGTTTTTGTGGTTTTTTTCTTTTTACTAGATATAGAACTTGTACATATGGGTGAAAATTTGCAGAAATAAAATAAAAATTACTTTCACTGTATTCAAAACTGTACAATCACATGGTGTTTTAATGTATGATATTCAATTTACAAAAGGATGAGCATATATAGCAAACGTTTCTCTTATGCGAACAAATATTATATGATACGGTATATAGAACTAAATAAAACTATTGGACAAGACTATAATTTGATGTATGTGTTTCGGTATAAACTCCTTAAGTTATATTTCTAATCCGATAAAGAAACGGTTCTTGGCCTCAAAAATCGATTACGTTTTAGGTTTTCTTACGATCCCACACCCACATGTCTAAAAATTGAAAGTTATACTCACGATAGAAAGACAAAATGCTTTGGTATATCATATACCGTATATGCTAGTCTTTCGCGTTGTGATAAAAAAAAACAGTCGTTTTTTCAAACTCCTATATATATAAGTATATTTTAGTAAGGAGAAGTAAAACCTCCAATGGTAGAGACGTAAAGTCAATCAGCAACAATCAAGATCAATCGGCTGAGACATTAGCACTTAATGACAATTTAGAAACAATATACAACTAACTTAGTTAATCGATAATTTAGAACTTTTGCATAACAAAGAATGTATAATTGAGTTCCATAACCAAATATTACTCTTCTAGTCGTAAACCACAAATTTCAAAAGATTTGTATATTATCATATGGTGAAAGTGATGCAGCATATTCTTATATACCATATATTTTTACACGTGATCGTTTTTACGGCACAACATAGGTCACCGGATATGAAGTTGAATAATACGATGAAATACTACCATCCAACATGTACTAATAATAATAATAAGGGCGGTCGCTTTTTCTGTAAGTCTTTTTGAAATAATCAATACACACTTTTGAAAAACACATTAACACATTAATGTATAACAAATGTTGAGATTGGAAAAAGATTCTTGGTTTTTTCAGGAAAGAAAAATTAAAGATAATGAACAAAAAAGAAAAGATACTTTGTGTCTGTATCCAAAACAAGTACAGTGTGACACATTAAAGATAAGATTTCTTATCTCAAATTTTGTGGATTTCTTCTTTCTTTTGTTTTGCCAATGATGTCCGAATAATTTTCAATTACAAATTCATATGTAGATACAATCTGGGCATTTGAAGAGATACTTGTTTTAGGATAGTGGGCCTATTGTTTTGAGAAAGCCCAATGTAACTTTTATTTTTAACAAACAAAAGGCCCAAATAAATTCGCCGAAGAAATTTTGTATCTCTCATGGCGGAAGTGTCTGAGACGAGGAAGGAGATGACGACAAAGGGAAAGAGCGAGAACTCGAAGAAGATGAAAACAGATACGGTTCCAATCGCTGCCATGAACGAAGACCTTCTCCATAACATTCTTTTGAGATTGCCGGCGAAATCGTTTGCTTTCGCTTCCTGTGTTAACCGATCCTGGAGCAGCGTCTGCAATCGCATCCTCTCTCGCCCCAAAATGATCTCTGCTTTCTCTCGTAATCCTGATCAACTCGTAAGTTTCTTCTTCGTAATACTCTCTTCCTGTTTAATTTTGGTTTTCCAGATCGATCGAAAAAGCTCAAAACTTTTCTTCATGGTAGTACTAAGAGCTCTTGACATAGCAAATAGAAATGAAAAGGATTGTTAGAAAGTTGAAGCTGAACCACTGCAACCTGAGAAGATCTTTTAATGTCTAGTATGTGTTCTTCTCAAAGTGAAAGTTTAATTTGGTAAACAGAGAGCTGGAGAAGAAGTACTTGAAAAGGTTTTATCTGAGCCAATTCGACCAGATTTTGTAATCGCAAACATTACATGTGGAAACATGGAAGAAACTTTGACACTGGTAATGGTTCTTCTTACCATTAAAAGGTTCGATTTTGAGTTCTTTTCACTCGTTCTAATGTTGTTCACTATGCACATGATGTAGATAATTGAAAGAGTGGGATCAAGGGTTCCTATTATTGTATCTGTAGTTACTGGAGTCTTAGGAAAGGAAGCATGCAATGACAAGGCTGGAGAGGTTTTTATGGGTTTCTTAATCATTAAAGTATCATGGAGTTTTATTTCCTAAATTTTTAGCTTATGTTCAAGTTATATCACGTTTTACAGGTCAAACAGCATTCCCCTGGTGATGATGAATTGTTCATTGTTCCAAATTTTGCTATACTGTTGACGATTGGTTACTTACCAGGAATGAAAGTCGACGTTATTCCTGTTATTCAGGCTAAAGGGGTAATATTTCACTTCTGAATTTATAAAACTCTCTATTTGGTTCGACTGTGATTTTCTTCATAGAGCTTGTCCACTGGCTAGATTGTTTTTGTCTTCAAAGACTTTGATTCATTTGCTTACAAAATTTAGAGAACGGAATTCATAATAAAAGCTACATTTTAAGTGAACATCTTGTTTAATGGAGTATCCATGTAATGTTTTTATATAGATAGAGTGAGCTTGTTAGTATTTTCTTGCAGGAATCGGAATCGGATATTGGAGACAAATTTGTGATGGATATTAGAAATTATGTGTCCATGGTTTCAGGTCATGCTGCTGCACCAGCATGTCTTATACTCTTTGGGGTGAACTATACTTTTCTGGCTTCCTTTTCTGTTATACTTGTGGACTATATTCAGTTTTATGACTATTTTCCTGTGTCTTCATGTTGCATTGGTGAATTTGTAGGAGGATACTCATGCCACAGAACCTGTCCTTCACAAACTGGGTATGATTACTGCCTTATGGTACATCTTTTCAATGTTACTTCGTGACAAGTGAAATCTATTAAGACAAAACAAATATTTCTCGAAAATTTTCATTTGTTTGTGTTGGTACCAGCCTACCTCCTTTTTTCACTTCTTTTGCTCTGGCTCGACTCTGAAAATATAACTATGATTGTGGTAATATATAGAAATTACTGTGCCTGAAAACTTGTTAATAAAGCTTGTTTGCATTGCAGATTATGCCATGCCTGCAGAAACTGTTATTGTGGGTGATCAAATTGGCGAGTTTTTACATAAACGTGGTAATGAATCAAGAAATGTTCAGTTGCCGAAAGATGATTGCAGAGTTCTCGCAGGCTTAATATTTGCAAGAGATAGACACAGACCCGCTCGTAAGTTTCTGCGGTTTTAATATTAAATTCTTAAAAACTACGGTATATCGAGAGACACACTTTATCTTTACTATGCTAGGTTAAATATTTCAGCATCTTTCTTTCATGTTGTGCTGATTATGTGTTTCCGATCAAAATCTCGTCTTTTAATTTTACTCAATTTGTTGAACTAAATGAAGCAGAGGCTGAAAGAATTCAGTTTGACACTGCAATATCAAGGGGAATGTCATCGGTTAATCTGAGGTACAAGGCGGCTAATGTCAATGTTAGTCGCCCTAGATGTCCTTCGACGCTTCTGACTGCCAAAAGAAGAGGAGAAGCAGAGGTTCTGGATGGCGAGCAAATTCTAGATGACATAGATAATATTGTAAGCATCTGAAGCCAATCTTTTATCTATTCCTGAAATTAATTTGGTTACTAAACTGACTTGAAATTTTCAGTTAGAAAACCATATCTGGGAGAATGATCCATATCTCGGAGTAATAAAACGAAGAAAATACTCAATTGGTTTGGAGGAGAAGCCAAAAATCATGTCCTCCCTTGTATTTCATCAAGTGAATGGGTAACGATCAGATCAACAAGTTTCATAACATGAATCTGTCCCTTTTGACCCATCTAATTTTTTTTTTTTGGTTTGCTTACTCAGATCTGACGATCAGGATCTTTTAGTCGATGGTGCCGGAATCAAAACCGGCGACCAGTTCCAAGTATACCTCCCTGATCTCAAAGTGGCTGAAGCATCACTAAATGCTGTTACTTCTCAGCTTAGAAATCTCAAGTCTAAGGCAAATAAACCAGAAATCGTTGGAGGTTTTGCTTTCGTTGGTAACAGTCGCGGTGACTTGTTCTTTGGTCGTCCAGACGCAGACAGCTCACCGTTTTTAGAGAATTTCCCGGAGTTACGGTTTGGCGGTATATTCTGCGACAATGAAATAGGACGCAACTTATTCGTGGAGGAGGGAGAGGAAAAGAAAGAAGTGAGCATCCGAAGATTTCTTCACGTTTATAGTTCGGTATATCTTATTGTCTCGTATACTTCTTAATGTTACGGTGTCTGTTTGTTTTATGTTATTGAGAGATTAATAAGTTAACTTAAAAAACCATTATTTCATATCATATTAGATAACTTAAAATTTTCAAGTCAGTCACAATATTTGCCATTCATGACATTTGACGTATCAGTCTACTTTTGTCATCTCTTTTACATCATTGGTGGTGGGGGCGACACATAACAAGGCGGCGACTTCATTGTCATCTCTCTCGCAACATCCATTGGTGGTGGTGGCGGTGTTGCATAACAAGGTGGAGTCCGTACCACTGCCTCCTCGGACATCTCTCTTGCATCATCCATTGGTGGTAATGGCGGCAGCCTATAAGAAGGATCCGGGCGCACCACTGCCGATGCAATCCCCTTCCTCCTTCGGCATCTCTCTCGCATCATCCATTGGTGGTGGTGTTGGTGGACATTTGCCGATGCAATCCCCTTCCTGCTTCGGCATCTCTCTCGCATCATCCATTGGTGGTGGTGATGGTGGACATTTGCCGATGCAATCCCCTTCCTCCTTCGGCATCTCTCTCGCATCACTTGAAGCAAAACCTTAACCAAACAAACACAACAATTTCAATAACGAAACCAAATTCAAAATGCCTAACTCTCAATACATTAGAAAGATGATGTTTCAACGGTTTTGACTTTTGAGTATTAACAAAAATGATGAATTGTTTTTGTTGAAAATTTATAACATATAGTATCATAAGTAATTAAAGAAAAGAGAAAAGAGAAATGCATACAAAATGCAATGAGGGCGACCAAAAAGACAAGCTTGAAAGTCATTTTTCTCAAATTGTTAATTTGTATTTTTTTCGCTTGTTTACAAATTATTTAGATTGTAAGTGATGATGAGAGAGCTCTGATTCTCCTTTTTATATAGGGGAACTACCCTGCATTGTTACGTTGAGTAAGATAATAAATGTTTTGAATGAATAGATAATTTACCAAGTTTTAGTTACATGCAATTTGAAATATTACCAACATAATCTCTCTCAAATTTTGTAAATTAGTTCAATGCATGGCACATTATTGTGTCTTAGCAATATTTTTGGTCAGCACAAATTCTTACCTTTTAACCTCATCATTTAGTTGACAAATAAAAAACCTAACCTTAGTCAATAGGAGATACTCAATTGGGATATAATGAGTTGATTCTTCACCTTAATTTAAACTCATCAGATTCTCTCTCACACAAACAAATAAAAAGGAAACCAAAACAAAAAAGGAAACAAACCCATCTAAAAAAAGGAAAAAAGCTAACGAAAGAAAAAGGAAATTACAAGTGATTATCAATTTCCTTTTTCTTTTGAAACCCTTTACTTATAAATACCCTCTCACGGAGCTTCTTCTCATTCTTCATTAGAGAGAAAAATTAAAACTCTCTCTATTTCTCGCTTCTTCTTCTTCTTTGTGAATTCCGATGATCCAGTTAGTAGAAAAGCCGATGATGATCTCTGAAACATCTCTGATTGATCGGACGTTTCATTGATTGAATGATGACCTCCATCAATCCGTCTTCAGTCTAAATCAAGATCGATTTCAGTTCACCGGATAATGATCTAGCAACGCCCAGCCGCTTTCACCGGAGACTACGAGGAAAAAAGAGTATAGCGAAGAGAGGTTCGTATAGTCATCGTCGTCGTTATCTTGAGAATTGATGATATGTGAACAAGTTTCAGAACAACCACGACTCCTGATTATTTCACAACCTCCAGGTATATTTTCCTTTCTTACCTTTTTTTTTTTTTTTATATATTCTAAAACATAATAATTTTCATTTTAAAAAAACGATTTTCTATTTTCCACTTCTGATTTAAAATTAAATATCAAGGTTTTTCAAATATTTTTTTAATTAATACCGTTTTCATTTAACTAAATATTTTAGTTAACCAAAATATATTTTTCCTAAAAAATCTTATTTTTTTTAGTTTTTATAAAATAAAACCAATTCTAAGTGTTAAATTTAAAATACGTTGAAAACTAACCGGACTTAGCATCCCGTCCTTTTGGTCCGTAAGTCTTGCGGTGTATAAGTTCAACATGTTTTTCACGTATTTTTAATTTAACAATTAGTTTAAGGTTTTTTTTATAAATAATATTTTAAATAAATTTCTTTGATATTTAACTAAATTTTTTTTAATTAAGCGAAATTTTAATAAAATAAAACCAATTCTAAGTGTTAAATTTAAAATACGTTAAAAACTAACCGGACTTAGCATCCCGTCCTTTTGGTCCATAAGTCTTGCGGTGTATAAGTTCAATATGTTTTTCACATATTTTAAATTTAACACTTAGTTTAAGTTTTTTTTATAAATAATGTTTTAAATAAAAAAATTTGATATTTAACTAAAATTTTTTAATTAACCAAAATTTTTAAAAAATAAAAACCAATTTTAAGTGTTAAATTTAAAATACGTTGAAAACTAACCGGACTTAGCATCCCATCTTTTTGGTCCGTAAGTCTTGCGGTGTATAAGTTCAAATGTTTTTCACGTATTTTAAATTTAACACATAGTTTATGGGTTTTTATTTTATAAATAATGTTTTAAATAATTTTTTTGATATTTAATTAAAATTGTCTTAATTAACAAAATATTTTATAAAATAAAAACCAATTCTAAGTGTTAAATTTAACATACGTTGAAAACTAACCGGAATTAGTTTCTCATCCTTTTGGTCCGTAAGTTTTGTGGTGTCATAAGTTCAACATGTTTATGTTTTTTTAATTTAATATTTAGTATAAATATTAAGGTTTGTTTTTTGGGAGACTCACAAAAATGCCCCTTTTTCAATACCCCTTTCAAAAATGCCCCATTTGGCTGTCCATTTTTAAAAATACCCCTTTTTAGGTACAAAATGACTAAATAACCCTTCTTTTAATAAAAGATATTACAAATATATAAGAAAATATAACAAAATTAGGTCCACAAAATACAAAATATTTTTTGGCGGGAAAAATGATCCCGCAATTTTTCCCGCCAAAACACTTGTAAAAACTTGTAAAACCTTTAAAATACCTTGTAAAATTTGCCCGTAAAATTTTTTCCCGCCAAAAAATTTTCCCGCGGGAAAAGTGCTTCCGCAATTTTTTTGGCGTTAAATTTTTGGCGGGAAAAATTTACAAGGTATTTTAAAGGTTTTTTACAGGGTATTTATAATGTTTTACAATGTATTTTAAAAGGTTTTACAACGTATTTATAAGGTATTTATAAGATATTATAAGATTTTACAAGCTATTTTATAAGGTTTTACAAGTTATAAGGTTTTACAAGTTTTTTATAAGGTTTTACAAGATACTTATAAGGTTTTATAAGGTATTTATAACTTGTAAAACCTTTTAAAATACATTGTAAAACCTTACAAAACACTTGTAAATACTCTGTAAAACTTTTAAAATACCTTGTAAATTTTTCCCGCCAAAAAAAGTTTGCCAAAAAATTGCGGAATCCCTTTTCCCGAAAAAAAAAAAATTTTGGCGGGAAAAATTTTTACGGGAAAATTTTACAAGGTATTTTAAAGGTTTTTACAAGTGTTTTGGCGGAAAAATTGCGGGATCACTTTTCTCGCCAAAAAATATTTTGTATTTTGTAGACCTAATTTTGTTTCAAATAAGGGTAAAATGGTCATTAAAAATTAAAAGAAGACAAACTTAAAAATGGACTCTCAAAGGGGACATTTTTGAAAAGGGTATTGAAAAAGGGGCATTTTTAACAATTTCTTTTGTTTTTACAAATAATGTTTTAAGTTTTTCCAAACGTAAATATGTATAAATTTGGCTCTCTAATTAACTTCATAAACTTCCCCATCACGTACATTGGTTACGCTAATTTAGCATTATTTTTTTTACTAATATGCGGTTTACACTCGTTTTTGTCTTGGTTTATTGGTTAAATTTAGGTTGGGTCATGATTAGATTCATTTTCCTAATAAAATGTATATATAGGTTTATATATATATATATATATATATTTAAATTTAGGTTTATATATATTTAAAAATAATTTTAACTTTGTTAGGTTTACTTTCTTTAAATTATGGAAATAGAAGTTTTTATGACCAAGGAAAAAGCTAGCTCAATCTCAATGGATTTTAAAAGATAAAAAAAAAATTATTGGATTTGACATAAATAAGACTTATAGAACATGAATAGAACAATTTCAACAGATTTAAAGCTAAATGATAGTCGCACTTCTTTCTCGATTTCACTAGTGTGCGGGCAAGTTGGGAACGATGTGTGCACAATTGTCTTTAAGAAGAGGTGGAAAGAACGGGTTCAACGGAAACATATGAGGCCAACAGTTAGCATCAATGGTCGAATATGCCTTGCAACACGCGATTCCTACGTTTCCAAACTTTCCACTGAAAACTGATTTGTATAGCTCGAGTACGCATCCATGGACGTTGAAGAGAGATGACCAACATTTCTCTAGATCGATAGGAGAACTCGGTGGAGATTTTGATTGTGGTGGTTCCTCATGAGCTACTACTCCTGGAGTAATCAAACCCGTAGCACATAAAACTACAACTAGTACTAAGGAGGCAATAGCTCTTGCTTTGTTTTCCATCTCTTTTATCAATCTTTATCTCTTTCTTCTTTTTCTTGCTTCTTTTCACTTTGATGCTTGGATGATTTGGTTATGTGAAGCAACTTAGAATTTATAGAGTGAGAACAGAAGGTATTAATTTACTTACAAATTAATGAGACAAGAGTTATATGTTTATAACCTATAAGCAACGGAAGAATTTTAAAGATTTTCAAAAAGTAACTCATGTTGAGTGAATTCTATTACATAATTTTAGTTTGACCTAACTTCTTCATTCTGTCAAACTCATGGTAAAACGTTTAGTAAATATATTTCTACACAATGTTCCTTTCAATGATCTAACCCAAATAACGAAAAACCATTTACTGTAGTTTATTTATTTGTTTTGTTTATATGTATTAAATTATGCCTCTCTCAAAAAAAAAAAAAAAAAAAAAAAAAAAAATATGCCTCACAGCAAATCTTTGCTTTGCTCACATACAACAAAACCAGAAGTTGTCGCCATTATCCAGCCAAAATCAGTTTAAATGGAATTTTACAACGAACCCAAAAAAAACGAGAAGACAAACATTTGAGAACCAAAAAAAGAAGAGCCGGACTTGTTTTGATGTTCTTCAGCTACTTATTGCAATATGCAGAGAGAGAGAGAGACCTCATATGATAGATAAGCACATGAAAGTGAATCACAAAAAAGACAAGCTTCTAAACTGCGATCCCAAGGGACTTCTTGAACTTCTCTACCTCTAAGTAGACGGTTGAGTAAGGTAGGAACTCAGAGAAGTAATCTCCGCTTAAGTGGTTGATGGCTACAGCGAGTTTTGGGATCTCTAGTGTTTCTTCATTGGTTAGGGTTCTTATGAATCTTGCTGGATTGCCTCCCCATAGTTCACCTGATGGGATCCTTCTTCCTGGTGGCACAACAGAACCTGCTTCCAGGATTGACCGGGTCTCGACCAGAGATCCTTCCATTAGTATTGAGTGTTGGCCAATGATGCACTCTGGTTCGATGGTACATGATCTTAGAAGACTGTATGCGCCCACTGTCACGTACCTGTCGATAATTGTCTCCGCTGGTAATCCTAAAAATTTAAAGTAGACAGTTACCCCAGAATCAAATTTTGATTATCACAAGTAAGAACTGCATAATTGAGTAAAGATTTAATGTGTTATGTAAAACAAAACCAAGACATAATCTAGCCTTGATAGATAAATTTCATCAATGTGACTAGTTGAATAGATACTGTTCGAATCAAATAAATTCTTCAGACCCTATCAAACCAGAATGGTCTCTCTTCAAATGTTTATATGTAAAAAACTTTGAGATGGACCCTTGCCTAAACCTTGGAGCAAAAACAAGCTCACATCCTTGTGATACAGCCTTTATCACCATAGAATCCCACTTCCAGTCACGAGTAACCAGAAAACCAAATCCTTGCAGAAGTCGCTCAAAAACCCTTTACTGACACATTGTTCCCAACTTTCTGCTAGGAAACTTCCTACTTCTACACAAGATGATCGCGTGTGGTAGTGTCTACAACCTACCGTGCTAATCTATTCAACTCTCAATATTGAGTTCAATCTTCACTCAGTTTCTTGATTCCTGTAACGCTAATTACCTAAAGAACAACACGTTTACACACACATACTCGGCGAAGTTAAAACTCAATAATGCCACAGTTAACTAGCCGATTCTTCAAGCAAGAAAATCTGTACACAAGAGAACACTATGTTGTAGAACCAATTAACTTAATTATCCATCTAAGTTTTCGAATCTTCAATAAGCTTTTTCTAACTGAAAATAGACGATGAATACCCCTAAATCCCAATCAACATTGTCTTGATTCCATACCAAAAATTGGATAATCAGAACACAAGTTTCCAAAAATGGAGAAAACAATAACCTGTTGGGGACGACCAGGCGGCATGAACAACACACCGTTCCTGTACATTTGAGCAGAATCCAACACTGATTTTGTTGAGATCGCCGCGCAAAACGGCACCGTTCCAGACGGACGAGCCGTCCCAGACTGTGACCTGACCAGCCAGCACAACGTTGGGCGCCACGTAAGCATCAACGGCTACCTTCGGAAGCCACTGTCCCAGAGGAATGATCTGACGTTGGCCTCTGTAGTCCCATTTCACACGATCCGGCGACGGCGACACCGTCAATTGCGGCTTAGGCACCTCAGTCTTCGTCGCTAACGCCGCTTCCGCAGCGAAGCAACGACGGATCAGGTTAGAAGTAACTCCTCTCCGAGACAATCGAGTTATTGAAGTCGCCATTGGTATGGATTTTGGATTTCTTCAAGGATTTGCAAAGAGGAAAAGAGAGAGAGAGAGTGGTCGTCGAAACTCGAAAGATTCACCTGAAATTAAACGAGATACATATTGGGCTTTTTAACGGACCAATGATTTAGAAGCCCAATAATAAGTAAAACGCCGTCGTTTCATTAATTATGTGGATGTAATTATTGTCAAGTGGCATTTGAAAACCAAATTAAACCAGATCCCAAACAAACTCCACAAACTGATACCAGATTCAAAAACCAAAGTGGATGTTGTATCATTGGTGAAATTTTGATTATATTCACAAATCCGAAAATGTTACATACAAATCCAGATCTTACAATCAAATTGAAATAAAAACAAGCAGAACCGTTTTTTCTGGCTACAATAGTTAACCGGAATAGATGTGGACGTTAATGGCGATGGTGAAGATAGTGATGAGACCAAAGAAGATGATTGCGTGAACGAGAATCGAAGCGCCACTCGTCTGCATATTACCGAATTCGACAACTCGACCTCCCGCCGGAATCTGGAAAAGAAGTCCCGGCGATAGAACTACGAAGAGGATCACGGCGATCAACACTGGGCCCCAATCCGCCATAACTTCTTGTTCTAAAGAGAGAAAATGAATTTAGAGAGAGAAAGAGAGAGAGTGGTGAAGGAGCTGGAGTTTTTTTGGTTTTAGTTAGAGAGACGAAGCTTCTCGTGTGATGGGAAAGCTAATGGTGTGGTGAACCAATTGTTGATATCCACGTGGACATACTTTAGGTTTAATCAAATACTATTATTTATTTTGGGGGAAAATATTTCGAACAACGTGAATCTTATACATATGGGCTTTTTGTTTTCGGCCCAGTATGCTAATTCATATCTAATGTTTGATGATCCATATACATGAAGCTAAGCAGCTTTGGTATTGCTGTGAGCCTGTGACATTAATTCTTTTCTTTTTTTTTGGTCAAAATTGTTGTGACATCAACACTTTTCTTTCTTGGTCAAAATTGTTGTAACATTAATTAATTCATGTCACTATTTTAACATTAAAATATTCAAAATTTCTATATGAAAATTTCTGTATAGTATTATTTGATTCAGACATATTTCATAACCATGTATGGAACAAATGAGACAGAGTGGATAGTTTTTTTTTTTTTTTAATCTACACGTTTTATCCAGAGAGAACATAGAACTTTTAATCTCCTAAATAAATTAATCTGTTTTAAGAAAAAATCAGTTTGAATTTTCTGTCGTAGACGAAATCCAAATGCTAAAAAGAAAGAGTAAAGACAAATCCAATTATCAAACATACATAAAAATAAAATCCAAAAATGTATCAACTCGTGTGTAATAATGACCATAAATAGCTAATGACGATAACACCCTTTGCCAAATGAGAAACAAATCTCTGATCCACTTGTATCATTACTCATTACTTCTCAAATCTTGAGGATATAATTGTCAATAACAAAATATAAGAAATCAATATATTGCCAAAATAAAAAATAAAAAGGTAGCGATCGTCCAAATTCGACAGAGCATCGAAAATCAAAGAATCCGATTGGGGGAAAATCGCAAAGTAAAACGTGTTTTCAGAGAGAAAAATCACAGAATATTTCTTTCTTTCTAATATTTCTTACATTTTTCCCATCACTTTCCCGGGAGAATCTCTGTATAATCCTTCTCTTCTCACAAATCGTCGTTTTCTCTCTTGCCGTTATCTTTCTCACGAACATTTTGAGAAAGGAGGAGAGAAGAGCATCTACGAAACGGAACTAATCCCAACTTCGTTTTTAGCTCAGTTTTTCAATCCATTTGTTGACCCGACGAATTTCGCCTGGTAATAGCTTTGATTCCACGAGTTTTGTGAATCTTAATTAGTGTTTCTTCTTTCGCGTTTGCTTTGATTAGCTTCGATTCCAGAAAAACCTTCCTTATTCGAATTTTTGTTAATCATTTCGTAAGCGTTGACGATTCCGAGGGTTTGATTTCTTCTAAATCATCATATACAGTAGAAATGGCTAACCAAGGCGGGTCATCAAGACGGAGCTTATCTGTTACGACTGCGTCATTGCACGGAAAGAAGAAATCCATGGATATGGGCGAACGAGGTCCCGACACTGGCCGGAGATCTCTTACTGTTTCTCGTTCTCCTTTGTAAGTCTCTTCTCGGTCACTCAATCTTATATATAAACCCTAATTTATGATCGTATTCAATTGATAGAGAACAATTAGCTCCTCAGGATTCTAGGCGTAAATTAGTTTTACTTTATCTTCTTTCCATTGATGCTATTGTGATTTGGTATATGATCATTTGGATATGGAGCAGGGGTTTAACAGGAGGTGAGCGAACTGTTAAACGGTTGAGGCTTTCGAAAGCTCTTACAGTACCAGCAACAACAACTATATATGAAGCTTGTAAAAGGATGGCTTCCCGACGAGTTGATGCTTTGTTGTTGACTGACTCTAATGAAATGCTTTGTGGGATTCTTACTGATAAGGTCTGACACTATGACATGGTAAAAGTTTTAGGACATATGGAAGGAAATGGAGACTTTATTGATCTCTCTGTGTGTGTCGTATTTTTTGGATTTTCAGGATATAGCTACAAGAGTGATTTCACAGGAAGTTAATGTCGAGGAAACACCTGTATCCAAGGTTATGACGAAGAACCCAATGTTTGTTCTCTCTGAAACACTTGCTGTTGAAGCCCTCCAAAAGATGGTCCAAGGTTTGTCTGAATGTTTTTAAGCTAGAGAAACTTGATAATTATCTGATTGCTGTGTCTAGATCCTTAATGAGGCTATATCTTAACCTAACCTACTACAGGAAAATTCAGACATCTGCCTGTTGTTGAAAATGGCGAAGTTATTGCTTTATTAGATATAGCAAAGTGTTTGTATGATGCGATTGCTCGTATGGAGAGGGCAGCTGAGAAAGGTAAGGCAATAGCTGCTGCTGTTGAAGGTGTTGAAAAAAGTTGGGGGACAAACACTTCAGGTAGGCGAAGAACTGCTCAAATCTCATTTATTATTTGCTTCTTATTTCATCGGATTTTGAAATGTTCAGTATGTTGATTTTTTTTCATTTAGTTCCCAACACTTTCATTGAAACACTACGAGACCGGATGTTTAGACCTTCTTTATCAACAATTATACCAGATGATACAAAGTAGGTAATCTCTTTTTTTTTTCTAATTAAATTCTTTTTACAATCTTGTTTGAGTGTTTCCTGTCTCATTTGTTGTTTTAACTTAACACTGCTGTTTGTTCAGGGTTTTGAAAGTCTCACCGACCGACACAGTGTTGACTGTAGCAAAGAAGATGGTTGAATTTCAATTAAGCTGTGCAGTCGTGATTATCGAGGACAAGCTTCGAGGGATATTTACGTTAGTTCTCCCTTCTAAAAGCCTTTGAAGTTTTGTCTTCTTTACCCTATAGTATTAGTTTACTGATATAGGACTATCTACTTCTGCAAAGACCCATATATAAAACTAGAACCAGTGGATTTGTTCAAGAGAATCCCAGCTCAACCGAACCACATTTACCAAATGAAATTCCCTGATGCCTGGCAGATCTGTTTAATCACCTATTTATTCGCATTCTTGACTCTAACTAACTTGTTAAATAGATTATCGCTGGCTATACTCTTCTGTCTTTCTTTTTAATACTTATCACTAACTTTCAAGAGTTTTGTTTCTCATTTATCTAGTTCCAAGGATATACTGATGCGGGTTGTGGCTGAAAATCTTTCTCCATCTGAGACTCTAGTGGAAACGGTAGGATTAATAGATTAGTCTCCTTTTCAGGGTCTTGTATTATTCAAGTTTCTAGTTTTAAGTTTTGGATCAATTTTTCAACCGTCTTAGACTCTTATTTCCAGTTTAGTGTTAGTTGCTCCTTTTTCTTTAATTTAATTGTTTGTTCTTATTTACTAATGCATAGGTTATGACTCAAAATCCAGAATCTACGATAGTTGACACACCAATTGTTGAAGCTCTGCACATCATGCATGAGGGAAAATTCTTACACCTTCCCGTTACTGACAAAGGTAAGAAGTCTAGGACCTTTTCTATTGTAAAGTCTTACAAAAACTAAAAAGGCAAACGCATGTAAACTATAAATGGGTTTCTGATTGCAGAAGGAGATGTAGTTGCAGTTGTCGATGTAATCCATGTCACTCATGCTGCTGTTGCCACAGTAAGTCCCATCGCTTGAACCGTCTGTGACTTGTTTCGTTCCACTGTTCTCTTTTCTCTAGATACATGTTTTGAATCTGGTAGTTATTTTGATGTGTTCAGGCTGGAACTACTGCGGGAATAGGTAATGAGGCGACAAACACAATGATGCAAAAGTTTTGGGATTCAGCAATGGCATTGTCTCCTAATGAGGACGATGAGGACTCGAGAAGGTTTTTAGCTAGTCTCACTTTTTATCCACTTTTTATCGAGTTTCTTTTCAAATAAAGAAATAAAGCTTAGTTTTGCTGAATTGGTTGGCAATATGGGGAACAATTTGTTTCAGTGAGAGCTCCATGAAAGTTGCTTCCGAAGCTGAGACAGGAAAATCTTTCCCTTTTGCAAATACATTTTCGTTCAAGATTGAAGACAAAAAGCACAGGAAACACAGATTCATAAGCGGTAAACATAATCTTTGTTTTTTGTTCATCAAGTAAATAGTTGTAGTCTTGCGTTTAGTTAAACTGGATTGGGTCTTAAATTGCAGACACTCGGAGTTTGACAGAGGTGATAACCGCGATCATTCAGAGGGTAGGGGATGATATCGATCCAGATAACTTACCCCAAATTTTGGTAAATATTTTCTTTACGTAAGACAATGATACAATCTAATTCTTATCTCGTCACCCCTGAAATGTTAAAATGATGGTTATAATGTGCAGTATGAAGACGAAGACCATGATAAAGTGTTGTTGGCTTCAGATAGTGACCTTCAAGCAGCCATAGAACATGCAAAATCAATTGGCTGGAAGGTAAAGAACGCTTTCCTCCTGCTTTAAAGCTTTGGTTGATATAATTGAAGAACATCAAGAACCTTCATGAGATTGCCCATAAACCCCTTTTGCTTTCTGAATTGATTTGATCACTATAAATTACAGAGTCTGAGATTACATTTGGATGATTCAAGAGAAGGCAAAGGAAGAAGAAGGAGAAGAGCATCAGGATCAGCAGAATCAATGGAGTATGTAGAGACAGACGCTTGGGCTGCTGCTTATAGTGGAGTTGCGGCTGGTGCAGCATTAGTAGCTGGTCTTGGTTTTATGGCTTTTCTCAGAAAATTCGGTCATTGATTCCTCAAAAACACTACAAAAAGTGTTTCTTTAACAGAACAATACAAACAAAAAAAAAAAAAAAAACAGACACAGATTTTGAAGGTTTTGTCTGAAATATTTTTATATACAAAGTCATCTTTGAAATTTTTAAGGCTTCATGATATCAAAACAACAAATATCTAAAATACTAATACATCAATGAGGAATTCAAGAACAAGGCTTAGAATCTTTGTCTTAACTGATCTCACTATTGTCAAAAAAATCAAACTCAAACAGAACAAGGGCTTTGCCATGTAGAGATATCTGCTATAAGTTCCCGAAGTTTATCGATAAGTTCTTTGACATGAACGTTCTTCTTTGCAATCTCCTGCATGCAAAAAAGCTTCAGTATATTAATGCCAACAGAGAAGAACAATATAATCACTTCCCATAAGGTTATTCACAACGAAATCAAAATGACCAGATGACTGAAATGTATTCAAGAAATTATTAACATTTCCATGGTTCTAGAACTGCTTAAGCTATAATGATACAAACACTTACACTACACAGTGGAAAGAAGAACACTTAATACAAGAAAATATGAATCAAACTCAATGCTATGTAAGTTACAGTTTACAGAAATCGACAGTAAAATTCTGATAGAAAATGAAAGAGATGAAAATTGCAGAAAGCTTTACCATTCTGAGACTTAAGGCTTGCTCTTCCAACTTTTCGATTTCGTCTTCACTTTCAGGAGATCCGAAACCGTTTTCCATTTCAGATGCTTTTGCCTGTAATGGATGAACAAAAATCAAAATTAGGAAACCTCAAAAGCTCTCATTTGAAATTAGCTAAATAGATGCAGAGCAAGTTCGCAACAAATGAAGAACAAGACAACTTAACAAGCATTAGATCCTTCATCTAAACTCTCTAGATTCCTCAGGACTTTCTACAAGTTCTTCGATTGGATCAAGCTGCATATTGATTCGAAGATTTCCTAATCTATATCTCGAGAAGCCCTAGGAATTCAAATTTCCTCAGTCCAGAAACAAATCTCAGAACAAAAGGCTTCTCGAAATAGTTAGTAACATCACATTATGTTCAATACCTTGTGCGAATTTGGAATCGCAGCAAGAACAGCACGAAGCGAAGTCACTGAGTTCTTATACCGAAGACTCGCCTCATCCAAAACACTATTTCCGCTTCCTCCGCCGCCACCACCACCACCAGATTCCGAATGATGCGATGTTCCATCAATCGCAGCCGCATCGACAGAAACGAGAGCCGAACCATTAGAACCCGTCGCCGTCGCAGCGGAACTCGGGGTAGCTGAAGTAGACCACAAAGAAGGATTACAAAGCTCATCATTCATGGCTGAAATTATCTGAAAAGCCGCTTCAATAGTTTCTTCCAAATGCTTCTCTCCTTCCATCGCTAGCTCCTGTGTCGTCATCGTCGTCTTCGAAACCTTTTTCTTCTCGATCACAGTGAACACCTTTTATCACGGCGTCGTTTCACTAAACTATTAATACCACGTCGTTTTACTCAACTAATTAATACGGCGTCGTCTACCAAACTATATAATATACTAATAATATAGTTTTTATAGATTAATAAAAATAGAAAACAATCAGGTACATCGCTATCCACCTTATCCACTAGTACTCCAATCCATTTGACAAAAACTATCTAAAACGTTTTTTTTTAATCTTTGATCCAATCACAACGCATAGATCCAATGGACAATAACAACAACAACAACCAACCACCACCACCAACCTCCGTCTATCCACCTGGCTCCGCCGTCACAACCGTAATCCCTCCTCCTCCATCTGGATCTACATCAATAGTGACCGGAGGAGGAGCGACGTACCACCACCTCCTCCAGCAACAACAACAACAGCTTCAAATGTTCTGGAAATACCAGAGACAAGAGATCGAACAGGTAAACGATTTCAAAAACCATCAGCTTCCTCTAGCTCGGATCAAAAAAATCATGAAAGCTGATGAAGATGTGCGTATGATCTCCGCCGAAGCACCGATTCTCTTCGCCAAAGCTTGTGAGCTTTTCATTCTCGAGCTTACGATTAGATCTTGGCTTCACGCTGAAGAGAACAAACGTCGTACGCTTCAGAAAAACGATATCGCTGCTGCGATTACTAGAACCGATATCTTCGATTTCCTTGTTGATATTGTTCCTAGGGAAGAGATCAAGGAAGAGGAAGATGCTGCGGCGGCGGCTCTTGGTGGAGGAGGTATGGTTCCTCCAGCCGCGAGCGGTGTTCCTTATTATTATCCGCCGATGGGACAACCAGCGGTTCCTGGAGGGATGATGATTGGAAGACCGGCGATGGATCCTAGCGGTGTTTATGCTCAGCCTCCTTCTCAGGCATGGCAAAGCGTTTGGCAGAATTCAGCTGGTGGTGATGATGTGTCTTATGGAAGTGGAGGAAGTAGCGGCCATGGTAATCTCGATAGCCAAGGGTAAGTGAAATTCTAGTAATTTCCAGCAATGTAGCTTGTTGAATTCGATTATCTATGGTTCTTGAGTTTCTTCATAAGCTTGAAATTGATTAGTCTTAGAGGAATTTGCTGTTATGTTATCATCTTCATTGATTCTCATCAAATAAGCTAAATTGCTAATACTAATGTTTAGTCCCTTCATAGTCTGTCAAAGAACTTAGCTCATTTCTTCAGCTTCTTAAACAAAAACTTTTGTAAATTTGACTCACATCTTTCACTTCTTTGGAACAATGTTGTACAGTTAAGCTATGGAACCAGAAGCTGAGAGGTTAAATCATCATCGATCTGATTATTATGTCTGTTGAGAGAGAGAGAGAGAACAAACAAAAGAAAGCTCTTTTAATTCTTTCTGTTAACTTATAAGTTATTGCAGCAAAACTGCAGACTTACTTAACTATATATTAATCTAATGTGCAGCAGATTCTAATTTATGTTTTTGTATTCTTTTTGAGTCTTTCTCCTACTCTAGTAATGAGCAGAGCATATTTTTGGATATCTCGAGTTTTTCTAGTGTTCTTTTAAAGGAGCCTAAAGATGACAAGTTTTTTAAAGTTTGTAAATCTCAGGGAAACTCAAATACTTTTCTTTTGCTGATCAAAATGATATTGGCTAGTTTGGTTCTATGTGTGTGTGTATTTTCAGTTGTTGTGAATCAGAGTGTTAACTTACTGCCGAGATGTTATCAATTGGTGGTAATTTTGAACCGGTTTAGAAAGAGACCCAATAAAGTATAGGCCCAATAAAGTATGATGTTATAATCATCTTAATACCCAATAAAGGCCCGGGGAGGCCCATATCTTTCTCCAATAGACGCAATCGGACGGTGACTCTCTTTCTCTCTGTGCCGCTTTGTAATTCTCCTTTCTCTCCTCTCTTCTCTTCTCTTCTCTTCTCCTTTCTCTCTTGGTTCGTCTGCCTCGGCTAGGGTTTATCAGTGGTTTGTCAATGGAGGCTTCATCGTCTCAGCCATCCGATTCTTCTGACCAAACTGCTTCTAAGTTCCTATCTGACCTCCCGTCTCGCGGTTTCTTGTCTTCTACCGTTGTCTCTTCCAATCCGGTAATTTGACTCACTCATTACCGCCTTTTTTGTTATGTAGTTGTAAGTTCTATTTTGGATTCCGAATTTTGTAATTTTTTGGGTTTTACAAAGTGATTGGCTTTTATATGCTTCTTCCATTTTGGTTCCAAATGAATAATTCATTGGTCGTCCAGACAACTCGCTCAATCAGATCTTGCTCACTCGATTGTAGTTCCAGATCGTTTGGTTTGAGTAGAATTTAATCAGATAATTCTTGTCTGAATTGTTATTGTAATTCTTGCCTATAGGCTCAAAGTTTCTGCTTGTACTTTGGATTTTACCATTTCCATGTATATATATGCTTAAAGCTTTGAGATTTGTGATTGAATTGTGTAATGATAAGTACAAGAGTTCACTTACTAATCTGGCCTAATACTATACTGCTTCAGTTCATGACAATCAATCTTGTTAATTACTGCTTCGAATCGTTGTGTTATTGTCAAAAGTTGGACTCAGAAATGCATAGTTCTTATTTCCGATCATATTGGACATTGATAACACTTGTTTTACAATTTGTTTTCTTACAAAATCCTTCACTTCTAGTTTTCCTGTGAATGCATTTACTTGGCACCAGAGTCTTTCTTTCCTTGAAGTTATTTCATCTATTTTTGTAGTAATAGCTTCGTTCTTTAAAGCTTAATCATACATTTAGTAACTTTCTTTTGTCTAAGATTTCAGGGAAGCATGCGGGTCTACATTTGTGAGCATGACACATCTCCCCCAGGTTATTCTTTTCTAAAAATTCCATTCTTTTTTCTGTTTTGTACGATGAGTTGTTTTCTTAGAGACAGTTTCTTGCAGCAGTCTCATAAAGCAATTCCTTTTCATTTTCTCTCTCGCTGAGATATATGGCTACATTGTAGAAGTAATTGAGACCCACTGGATTATTAATTTCAGAAGAAGCTGCGTTTCAGTAACAAGTCATTGTTTCCTGTAGAATTTTGTTGTTAACTGTCTTGCTAAAAACTCCTGACTTATTTTTTTTTTTTTTTTGTCATATATCCAGAAGGACAGCATATCAAAACAAACCAGCAAAATATACTAATTAGATCTCTCTTGTTAAAGAAGCAAAAAGGCGAATCTAGTTCTAAAGACTCAAAAGGAACTGCTGAAGATGGTCCTAAAAAGAGGTAACAACAACACTTTATTAGTTCTTGCCTCCCTCGCAGGACTAATCTTACTGACTGGAAATCTCTAAACTTATACTCTCTTATGAGAATTGTCCATTTCTCTTATTGGCTACATAAATGGTTTTTTCATCTTTTACTGTTTCTTAATCGTAGGGCTGCAAATAGGGCTCTGGACGACAGAAGCTCAGCTAAAAGAGCTGCTAATGCATCTAGACAAGGTCATCTCTTTATACCTTTATTTCTATTTGATTTAATTTTCAAGATCATATCTCACTTGGACTTCAAACAATGAATTTCTTCTGCACAGAAGGATCAAGCAGTCGCACTGGCGAAAGAGACTTTCAGTCTTTGACCGTTGAGAAGCTCCGTGCCCTGCTCAAGGAGAAGGGCCTTCCAACAAAAGGAAGAAAGGCAAGTCAAATTATATGCCATTGTCTTTTTTTTTTTTTGAAATCTCTGTTAAAACTCTTGAAAGCTTCATAATCTTATATTCACAATAATATCTTAAAGCGTTTATCTTCAACTAGATGGTGTTGCTTGCGGTTTTTGTTTATCGTGGCTCTTGTTCCACTGATTGATTATGGAACTTGACTGATTTTGCAGGATGAGCTCATTGCGCGTCTGAAGAGTGCCAACTGAAATCAAGTTGAGAAATCGCCCTGGTGAATATATATGTATCTTTAGAGGTTTCCTAAATAGGAGAAATTGTTGTTGTTCTTGATCAAATACAAATCCTTTTGATCTCATCTGGAGAATTTGTTATCAGGAATTAGGCCACTTTAATTTATGAATCCGGTTTGGTGACCTTGTAACATGGATTTCATCTTTTGATTTGTGAAGCAAACCAAACCAGACGGTCTTGGTGTAACCAAAAATGTGATGGACTTGCTTTGGGGCTATATTAAGTACAAAAACACATAATGGTCAAGAGTTTAATAATCAAAGGAGAATTAGGTAAGGCAAAACAACATTTGACCCGCAATTTTCAATTTCTGTTCACCTACCAAAAAGTGAAACCAAGTAATCCTTTTGTGGCGGATTTGATAAACCGTTGTTTACTTTTGGTATTAGGGGATAAAATGAAGGAAAGAAAAGAACTAGGGCTCAAATTTTAGGTTTTATGGATTAGAATTTAGGATTTAATCGTGAAAATCTAGTGTTAAATTTATAAAGTATTTGTTAATTTATAAAAATTTGAAATAATTTCTTAATATTAATAGTAAAATTTTAGTTTGTTTTTATTCAGCTGATATTAAAATGATTTCTAATATTCTAGCATCATATAAATTAGTGTGACTCAAAACTCTTTGGACGGTGAAAATGAAGTTGTGAGAACGAAAAATGAAAGAGAAAGTACTTTATAAGAACGACAATTGTTTTAATTTTTTGTAGTTGTCGATATGACAAATAATTGTGTCAAATCAAAGCAAAGAATAGGGACACCTGTGGACATTTCTAATAAGTAGAAACTCGTTGCGATGTTTATGGTTCAGAGCTTTTGTACTTAATGGACCCAGTTCTCCAAACGGCGCCGTTTTCTAGCCACAACGTGACAGGCTCACACCAATTTTACATATTTTCCCCATATTTTGCATATGAACTAATTAATTAACCATGGGTTTTCGTTTTTTCATTTCGCAATTAATTTCTGTTTATTGAATACTTCACATATACGGTTACACTAATAATAAGTTCCGAAGGTAAATCATCCATTTTTAAATAGACTCCAAATCCAATTTGAGTTAAAGGATTCAACCTATCCCAAAAAAAAACATTGACAATCAATCAATTATTAAAGCTGGATTACAAAAGAAATTTATGCATCATTTAAAAAAATATATACCCTGTATTTCATATCAATATACATAAAAATATAAACCATTACACTACATTTTCTCGTCTATTTTAATTAAATGAGTTAGTGAAGAAACTTAGTAGATATTTGTTTTTTAATGAGTAGGCGATAAATATGAAATATCTAGAACTAAGTATAGATGAGACAAAGAGGTTGTATTATTTTTAAAAATGTGGATGAATTTCGGGAAACACGAGCTTAAAAAGAAGTCAATAGTAATTTTCAAAAAAAAATAAAAAAAAATGAAGAGGTCAATGGAACTAGCTAGTTCCGACTTTTGTGTGATCTATGAGAGAAACTCAATTTTCAAACCACGAGAACCACGTGCACAACAACTGATAAAGATCCACTTAACTTGTAGTCACAAAAAGTGTATTTTTATTTGTGTTTTTCTACATACAGCTAATAATCGTGCATTCAATTGTTTCAAATTTCGGCTGAAGAATTTCATCAACGTGTTCGATCTTATCCGACACATGTCTGGTTATTGGCGGATTCTCCAACCAATACTTTGTCATCATGTAATGAATTATTCTTCTGCCTAAAACAAATTAGGCTAATTTAGAGCTGTGATTAAAATTAATATTAGAACAAACATATATGCATAATGAGACACAGTAATCTTGATTTTAATAGTTCACTAACTTATCGACACTACATATAGCAACAAAAAAATGTTGGTAGCTCAATCGATTGTAAGAATATTGTTTTAGTTGTAATCCAAATTTAAATATTGTTTAGAAAGATACACAGATTAAAAACCACTCAATTTTATGCGCTCAGATCCGAATCCGAATTTCGTCTCGTAAAGAGATTCTCTTGTTTTTTTGGTAACTTATATTATTTTCGTTTTTGATGATATTCCCTTGATACAAAAGATCTCCTAAGAATCAAAGTTCATTATTTGTCAGATCATCACTGATGTCATCACGTGCTGGACATAATTAATGATTAGAACACTAAATAATTAATAGAGTTTGTACTAACTTAGTTGTTTAAGTGAAAGATTCTAAAAGAACCTCTGTACAATTACAGGAAGGCCAATTAATATTCTTATTCCTAATATACAAGCAACATTTATAAGTTTTTCTCCATTAAAATTCATTCTGCGTTAGTAGAGATTAGAGACTAGAGAGTAGTTTTGAGAGAACATTTAACTAAATAAGTGTTTTGACAAAAGTAATCGATTCGTGAGAGTCTACGGAAAACAAGAAAAATAGTCGAATATTATCTCTTTATTGATCAAAGTATCGATTGCAAAATACAAGAATCAAGGCACAACGAATCAATCTATAAACCCTAGTCGCGTTTTAGAGTTGAGTCGTGTGTCTCGCCGTTTTGTGTAATCTCTTGCGTTTGCTCTCGATTTCGTGTCGTCTTTCGTCAAATGGGACTCCCCTTTTATAGAGAAGTCTTGGCGATCCTAATCCTCGTGGGATTTGGATTTGGGCAACCGCCCTTCACGTGATAAAGTCGTCTCCGATATTCTCTCATTAAGATTATCTCGAATATTCTCTTCACAAGATTATCTCAAATATTCTCTTGATAGAATCAATATCTTGACAGGATAAAGTCGTTTCTAGAATCTGGTTACGGCCCGTATTGATCCGGTTCTGGTGGACTACGGCCCATATTGTCACGATTCCCACCAATCGCGGCACGTGTCGATCTTTCATAGAATCTTCTAGAATATTATCGATTATTTTCTCCATTTACATTAATCAACATATTTATGATAGAATTCATGTCTTATAATTTCGATGGTTAAAATTATACCCAACAATAAGGATAAAACATACTTATAAATTGTAATTGTTTCGTTAAAGAAAACAAAATGTTTTACTTTTTCAGCGTCTGAACCGTGTCTATTTCTTAAAGTGATTTTAATTTTGGCCGGAGACTTGGCCACCAGAGCGGTGGTACTGGCTTGTCCAAATCAATTTATTAGTATACATCAATCTAACTCCATTTCTTTGGTCCCTGTGTGATTGCCATGTTTCGTCGACATTTAATGAATGATGTTTCAAAAAACGTTTTAACGTGATCAGTTTGATACTTATTGATTATAGTTTATATCCTCCGATCCATCTGTTCAAGCAATTACAATTGATCACGTTTAACTATTTTTAAGATAGATTAAATACCAAATTTTCTTGTTTATATAACCAAAATCCCTAAAATTCCAATTTGTAGCGGTCAGGTCCAATGTATGTACGCTTATTCTTTATAAAAGTAGTTTATATGGTTGACATTAAAAAAAAAAAAAACGAGCTTACACATTTTCCATTTTAATTTTGCATTCTTCTGAAAATGACATTTTATCCATTTTGTTAAAAATGAATGCCAGCGTTTGTTGATCTACTCAAATGTAAAAACATTGTTTTTATTAATCAAAATTAGGGTTTGGACTTGAGACAATACTAATATCAAGGTAAACCTTCATTTTAAAAAGCTTTATTGCTGAAAATAATAATGTTTCAAATAAAGAAATGAAAAAAAACTTTATTATTATGTCGTGTTCTGTACCGAAGTGATATGGTCGGAGCCACAACTTTTATTCTGTTTTTATTCTCCTATATATAATAGTTCCTCTGCAGACCAAGAACACACAGCAAAACAACATAATTAACTTACCCAAACAAGAAACCCAAGAATCCAAAATGGAAATGCTCAGGGCAATAATTCTCATCATATTTCCAATCTTAGGGTTTATATTAATCTTCTCATTTTCAACAAATACCCTAAAAGCCAAAACTACACCATCCTCTAATCCGACGTCATATCCACTCATCGGCTCTATTCTCTCCTTCAACAAAAACCGTCACCGTCTTCTCCAATGGTACACAGATCTTCTCCGTCTCTCTCCCTCTCAAACCATCACCGTCGATCTCCTCTTCGGTCGTCGGACTATTATCACTGCAAACCCTGAAAACGTTGAGCACATTCTCAAAACAAATTTTTATAACTTCCCTAAAGGCAAACCTTTCACCGACCTCCTAGGAGATCTACTGGGCGGCGGAATCTTTAATTCTGACGGCGAGTTATGGAGCTCACAGCGTAAAGTCGCGAGCCACGAGTTTACAATGCGTTCTCTTAGGGAATTCACTTTCGAAATCCTCCGTGAAGAAGTTCAAAACCGCCTCATTCCGGTGCTTTCCTCCGCCGTGGACGGTGGAGGGACGGTTGACTTTCAGGAGGTTTTGAAGCGCTTTGCTTTCGATGTTGTATGCAAAGTTTCGTTGGGTTGGGATCCGGATTGTTTGGATTTGACCCGACCCGTTCCGGATCTTGTTAAAGCTTTTGATGTAGCGGCGGAGATCAGCGCTCGCCGCGCCACGGAGCCAGTTTACGCCGTGTGGAAGCTGAAGCGTTTGTTGAACGTAGGGAGCGAGAAGAGGCTGAGAGAAGCCATCAAGACCGTACACGTGTCTGTCTCTGAGATCATCCGTGCCAAAAAGAAAAGCCTCGATATCGGTGGTGACGTGTCGGACAAGCAGGACCTCCTGTCGAGGTTTCTCGCCGCTGGCCACGGGGAAGAAGCCGTGAGGGATAGTGTAATCAGCTTTATTATGGCGGGAAGGGATACCACGTCGGCAGCGATGACGTGGTTGTTTTGGTTGTTGAGTCAAAATGATGACGTGGAGAAGAAGATACTAGAAGAAGTGAGAAACAAAGGATCTTTAGGGTTAGGGTTTGAGGATTTGAGAGAGATGAGTTACACGAAAGCTTGTCTCTGTGAAGCAATGAGGCTTTACCCGCCAGTAGCTTGGGACTCAAAGCATGCAGCAAACGACGACGTTTTGCCAGATGGTACACTTCTCAGAAAAGGAGACAAAGTTACTTATTTCCCTTACGGTATGGGAAGGATGGAGAATGTGTGGGGCAAAGACTGGGAAGAGTTTAAACCGAACCGGTGGTTTGAAGAAGAACCGAGTAACGGTACAAAACGGGTTTTGAAAAGTGTCAGTTCGTTCAAGTTTCCGGTTTTCCAAGCCGGGCCAAGGGTTTGCATAGGGAAAGAAATGGCTTTTACACAAATGAAATACGTGGTTGGTTCGGTTTTGAGTCGATTTGAGATTATACCGGTTTGCGATTACCGGCCGGTTTTTGTTCCTCTTTTAACGGCTCACATGGCTGGTGGGCTAAACGTGAAGATCAAGAGGAGAGAGCAAATGTGATTCGATGTATTTATTTAATTAATAACTAATCAAGTCATGTCCTTATAGAATATCCAACTAATATGTAAAATGTGTGGGTTATACCTTAAATCATATAAATAAATATATGTGTGTGATTCACAGTTACTTGTGAATAGAAAAATATATAAATCAGTATGTGGTGATGTGGTCTAATCGAAGTGGATGCAATATATTAATCAGTTTGATAGACATAGGTCACACGTTAAACAATTTGTGGAGGTATTTGTATGTCTAATATTAATAAATAGAGATTGGGGCAGATATATATAATTACAAACTGGCTACAGTAACGATTTGTTCGATACAGCGAAGAGATGCAACTGAAACATGTGAAACATGTCACAGTACAGTCACCTCTGGAAATATATATTATATATTAGCTATACGAAACCTTAATTAGTTCAATGGTGATCGTTTTATTCTGCAAACGATACACTGGAAAATTATGTAAGATACAACGAATTTTAAAAGTTTCATTAAAAATCATCTAAGCAATTATATTACAAGACTTTTTTAAAATAGGATTAACACAAGTATACAACACTAAAACACTAATCGTCACCGACCATTTGGCAGCAAACACAAAACAAGAAATATGCTGAAGATCGACATGTCTTTCTCAACCTACCTAGCCGAATTTGCAAAGTTCTAAACTCTTTTTATATTCTCTAAAACGGCCAAAGAAATGCTAAGAAACGTGATCACTTTTCTGTACACTTTAGATAATGAGCTATATAATTTTTAAGTTCTTAGGTGTTCAGTGTTATCTTCTGTCCAACATATGATTTTCATCTAATGCCACAACTTCTAGCTAGCTCTTACATTTTTTTACCTATTACTGCCTTTACATGGAGCTATAATTTCGAAAATGATTTAGATTTTGAAGCTCCCATACCAATAAAAAAAGAAAAGAAATGTGTTTGATATTATAGACTTATATAGTACAACTGTATATTATCTAATTAGTGTTTATATATCAAGTTTTTTAAATCTGAATTATGACAGGAGATAACACTCATACAAACCACTAGAATACACATTTCCGTTATCTAAATCTAGAATTTAAACTTCATAATATATGAATTATTGTGAGTTCAAATTTTGTCGAAGATATAACACGTTGTAAATTAGGTTCCAAACGTCAACCGTTATTTCCAAAATATATAAGATATTTTTATAAACAATGATTATGATATTGCAACAGACGAGATATGAAAAGATTTGGATTGGTTGTCCAAAACACACATAAAAAAGAAGAAGAGATTTGGATTTGAAATGACAAATGAGATACACATCAACGTAGGTCCGTTTCAAGGTTTTGTTTAATAATTAGGTACACAAGTATTTCACCCAAATAAAACAACTAAATGTGACAACTTATTATTTAAATTTTTGATCTTTTTCTTTTCATTTTTCTAGTTCAATAGGTAAATAGTTTTGAAGGAACAAAAGACAATTCTAATAACTTTAATAATAGGGGATTGTATAAAAGAGTAGTGGTCGCATAAGCATGAAAACAAAGAAGAAAGAAATTTGTTTATAACTATCTTCTCAAGTAAAATATGAAACTCGGTCTTCTCTGCAACAAACCAATAAAGGGTGTTAACGAAAGAGTTGCAGAGCTTCAGTTAATGTCGTTCACCAGCCACAAACTGCAGACTTTACGGTACAACGGCCTCAAGAAGCTTCTCATACACTTGTCTAGCAGATAAATCCTCCACCTGGTTCAGGGGAAAAAAATCAGAATGGGTAATTCATTCAATGCGACAACCTATTTTTGATCAGCACTCTTAGAGGTCCTTGTGCCATTAGTATAAAGCCAAAACCTTATCATCTAGAGCTAAGAAGACCATTAAGAGTTTTTAGAGATGAATCTTCACAAAGTCTTCTTAAGAGACTCGAAGGAAGGATCAACGTACCACAAGGAGTTTTGATTTGCTATTCCAACCTCTTTGGAGAGTCATCTGGCTCAACCTCAAACCAAGAACCTGAAAGAGCGAAATACAGGGGTCGTGTCGCGTTTGTCAAAAACCCTCATTCACATACAAAGTAAGAAACTTCGTGATTAGAGAGTAAATCATGAAAAGTGATTATTAAAGGACTGATTTGGTACCCTTCCCATGAATTCCAGAAGCTCGTTGTTAGCTTCCCCACGAGCTGCTGGTGCGGCAACAGTCACACGAACATCATCAGCATTTACCCCTGCAGAGAGAAAAAGTATGGGTCAATCAAATTGTTTAATCGAAGATCCAAGTCAAGTGAGTAAGATAATAAATTTTACTTGTGATTGCAGAACGTTGTGCACGGTCTTCCACTTCTATTGCAACCTGAACAAGTCCACCGTCGAGTTGTGAAATGCAGGGAGGTACAGGTGCATCCTGTGTGCCACCATAACAGTTTACTTATCTAGTTTTCGATCTTGGAATTGAAAAAAATTATAAGAAACCAATTGTACCTGTGGGTTAGTTTCTGCAGCAACAGCACTAAGTGCTCCATCAACAATGTAAATGAAAGACGCTGTTTCCAGATTCTCTTCAGCACGATAACAAACAAAAAGCTCACAACCGATACAGTTCATTCTAAACTGTCTCTCCATTTTTCCTTCGCCACTGGTAACAAACCAAACATAAAGAAACAAACTTTTAGATCAATAGATGTTAAACCCAAATCTGATGCTTAACACTTGCTCACTAGCCCTATACCAAAACATACCGTTTCAATAAAACTTTTCCTCCCTCGCTGACATTCAACCTAGCAAGGTGCTTCTTCTTGTCAAGTACATTCGATCTGTCGGTTTTCCTTTTTGGCATCTTCTGCAACTGGGTATCTTGTAAAGGATCTAAATTAGTATACAAGCACTATAGAAGGATACCATATATATATTTCAATCTCCACAATTTTGGTGCATGTTACACTCTTAATCCGATTAACGACATGTTTCACCATTTAAATCTTAGCTTTCAAGTTCTCAAGGAGTGGCCAAACCAATAAGAAAGATTTAGGACATGAGTAAATCTACAGAATTACATGAAACATGCAATGAGCTGCCAGAAGAAGGCCACAGAGAAAGAGTTACAAGTCTTAAAACATTCCAACTTCTTAGATCATAGACGAATATCAACATTACCAGAGTTTCTACCTGAAACAAAACCCCAGAATCCAAATCATGTAAAACATGTGTCTCTGGAGTCTTTGGAGCTAAACGTACTTAGTTGTTAACCTAAACTCATTGTCCACCACTTTTAAACTATACATTAGCATGATGCTCTGATGTTGAAAGATTGAAACTTTCAATCATAATTCCTACTCAATGTATCTGGAAACCAAATAGCAATGTTGCAAATCATTCCATATAACGCCAATTGGTTCAGAATCACGCTAATTCAAAAGTGAGCAAATAGGGTTTCACTGTAATTTCAGGCAACTAAACCCCTAACTCGGAAGTAGGTGAATAGGAGAAACGAACCGGTGATAAGGACATGAGAACCACAGTGCTTGCAGTAGTAAACGAAGAGATCAGAGTCGGGTCCATCCGGCGCTGCGTCCTCGCTCGAGTACGTGTGAGTCGTTCTCTTCGGCATCTCTCTTCTTCTTCTTCAAAGTTCGTCGATCCAAGTATTTCGTCGAAACTCAGCTCTCACTTAGCAATAGTCTCTCTCTTTCACTTTTATCTTCTTTTTAAAAATTACCAAAATTGCCACGGCTGCGACCTGCGATTGACGGTGGAGCATCGAACCGCGGCAGACTAAGCTGCCGTAAGGGTGAAACCGTCATTTCCCACTTTAACTTTTGGTTCAATGTACAACAGAATCTAAACCGGAATCCAAAATTAGTGATTGGTATATAAAATCAACGCAAACCTAATCCCTTTGATTTGAAACAAACAGTACGGAGTAGAAGAACCAATTTAAAACCGGACATTTTATCATCAAAATTGAACAAAATCCGGTTAAGTCATGTGTTTGAAGCCAAACCGAATGTAAACCAAACCAAAAAAACTTGTCAAGACTTTCTTCTCTCCCTACGCATTTGTTTCTGCTATGATAGCTTCTACAGACAAAATCCATCTTACAGGTTACATACATCATATAATGAATGCTTTTTTTTTTTAATTTCAATTTAAGCAATTTGGAGATGATTCTTTTGGCCAGATAATGACATCACTTAGACGCAGATGTGTCCAACTCTGACAAAATGTTGTTCATATCCTCAAAATGTGGCCAACTCGTCTTGCTTCTTTCATCAGCCTTGCACTCCTGCAACAAAATATGTGTAGATCAATCTATTACTAACTTAAGAGCTTTTGATCTTGTAAACATGAACATGAAATCAGCAGCTATGGATTCATATGTTCAGAGACGAACCTCGTATTTCTGAATAAGTGATGCCCACAGAGATTTGCATTGTCCCGGACTTCTATTGATTCCGTCAGCTGATAGATTTGAAGAGATCTCTTCCCACAATGCCATTCTACCTTTCACCACTTGAAATCTACTGTGCAGCTCTCCTCTCATTCTGATTACCTTCTTTATCTCCTCCGGTTTCCATTTGTTCTTCCTCACACGTTTTGGTGATGACTTGGTTTCAGAATCTGAAGTATCAGATGGATCATCGTCGTCTCTGCTGCTTTCCTTATCCTCTGTTTTAGCCTCCGTATCAGTTACCTTATTCACATTTTCAGTTTCACTCGGTGAAGGTGATGATGATGGATTGATGAATGATTTCCAAAAATCGTCCGACTCTTCAGAAGAACTCCCGACGGGCATATCAACTTCTTCTGTGTATGTTGATGCTGCAGTTTCTTCTTCAGCCAGTAGTCTTGCATCACTATCAATAATATCATCTGCATGAATGAAGAATGTCAGATTACATACCGAAAACCCGAATATACACCAACAAATGTGTAAGTAAGACGAGACCTTCCAAAGTGAGATCTACTTCTTTTTGGGAATCTTCTTGTGAAGGTGCTTTCTTCGGTCGACTTCTTTTGTTATTTCCTTCAACAACTTTCCTTAAAGCTGCAACTCCAGAACCAACACTTGGATCACCAGACAGTCTCGCACTGACCTCATCAGCACGGACTGCCATTGGATTCTCAGTGGCTATAGCAATGACTTCAGGCCTTTTACCACTGTACTTCCTTACAATCTTCCTCAGCACTTCGGAGACTGTTCTTTCCATGTGAGACAAGGGACAATTCACAGGACAACTTGATAGAGCAGCATGAGCTGCTTTGTGAAGTGCATCTAAAAGTCTTCCTTTGTCAAGCCACATACACCGCGTTGTGATTCTTATTTTTCCTTTCAAAGTGTTTTCTGAGACTCCCGGGCGCATGATCTCCATGCTGGATATAGAAAATCATACAAGGAAACGAGTAAGTATTAAAAACGATTATAAATGTATTGGCACAGGAATGTTACAATTCAGAATTACCTCAGAACTATAATGCCATCAGAAGAAATTCTTAGTCGTTCGTCAATGCATAGTTCGCTTGATGTGCCAAATGCTTTATCACCATCACTATACATTAACTGCAGCAAGGCTAGGATTATTCAATATCTTACTCAAGTCATTTACACAAGATAAACAGAACACAACAGTGACAATAAAACCAACCTGCAAATTCTCCCTCCCAAGAGAGCTAAATCCATTGGACAAAACCCTTCTATTTCTTAGGTGAGAAACTCCAAGCATTTCTCCATTCTTTATAACCTGAAGTTGGAGAAAGTAAAAATAAGTAAAACATCAGCAATAGTTGACCTAGGTTTAATACCAGACAAACAAGGGGTTCTTTATTTTATATATTAGAGATAATAAATGGATCCTTCTACGAAATTTTTTTTTTAAGTTGAACACGTCTCAAAAATTCTGTTTTCAGGCACTTTGTTACCAGATGAAATTTGAATCTATTTCAGCAAACTCATAAACATGTTGCAAAACTTTCGGAAAATTCTTCACAATCGGTATTTTCATATGTTGTATCCTATCTATTTACCATGAGTTCATATATCTTTGGTGAGAGACTTACAGTAGTATGTCTAATCCCAGTAGACTTCCCGAGCAACTCATGCTCCTTAAGAAACAAAAGTTCTCCATGTATGGGAAGGAAATGTTGCGGCTTCACTATTTTAAGGACCTCTTCCTTCAAAACAAGGATTATTTACAGTCATTAGAAACAAAATTTTCCCTTAGATAATTATCAAATTGCAAATAGAAAACAAGAAAAAAGAAAATGGAAGAACTATTGCCTTTGTAGCTTTACATGTGCGCTAAAAACCTAAGATAAGAAGTGAAAAGAAACAGAAAGGAAAGCTGGCAACAAAACTTTTGAATATATCAACAGGGTCCTAAGAGAAGCAGCTTACCAATTCTCCACGGTAGGCATGACCAGATGTGTGCAGCATTTCATTCTTACCCATGATAATATTTGGCCCGATATCTGCTATCCGATTCATCATTTTCATTACTCTTGATTCATTGCCTGGGATTACCTGGAGTAAAACATTAGACAGAAAATAGATATCAGCGATCACAGCCACTATCTTATTAGATGCTCTTAAGCATATGTATGTACATTTTCATATAAATACCTTGGCAGAGTAAAGAATTATGTCTTCCTTGGTAAGTTTGAATGCGTGACTACTCCCATATGATGCAAGATTTAGGGCAGCGCGTGGTTCTGCCTGATTAGAGTTATTGTCAAATAAGGGTATAAATTAGCTAGGAAAGTCGAATTGAAACCACCACTCCACAATTTGACAAGATTATCTTACTTGTGATCCAGTTGTGACAATCAGCAAGTCCTTAGGAGCATATGCTTCAATGTCTTCGACTTTTATCTTCGTAAACATTAGAAAAGGATAAACGATTAGGTGAAATTAGAAAGCAGAACTTGTTTGAATCATCAAACTAACATATGGCAGGTGTTAGATCTTTTTATTTTTAAAACCAACTTTATGCATCAATAATGGCTAATGCCCGTAAGTTTCTCTTCAAATTTATCGTACAAGAGAAAGGTCTTATACCAGACTTGACGGGTCAATTGGAGCCTTTCCATCCCTCCAAGCTGCCTCTAGGTATGTCCTCAACGACATGCCAACAAAGACCTGGATAAAACAACAATGAGCCTTTGATCTTTTAACTTCCTAAATTAAACTTGTTGCTGCATAACTTGAGGAAAATTTGGCGACATGACATAGAATGGTGGAATCCATGGAAAAAAAAAAATCGCTAGCAGGAGTTGGAGAATTATCTACAATCTCGATGGGAAATAGGCAAAACATAGTCAAAGCTAAAAATTGGGGGAAAGACATACCAACTTTCGACCAGTTAAATCAGCAGCAGCTTTTATACTTCCCAAACGGTGTATATTAGAGGCAAACTGAGTTGTGATTACTCTTCCCTTGGCCGCCATTACATTCCTTACCAGAGCATCTGCTACCACCTTTTCACTAATTGTCCTTCCAGGTGACAACACATTTGTTGAGTCACTCATCATCTGTGTAAGAGTGGAAAATTGTTTTTTAATTTATCACCTATAGTAGTCAGCATAACCATTTCAACCGTAGTTTATATGCTTTCAACAGATAACAAAATTATGACTCTGCACAGAATCCTTACCAACGTGACTCCTTCCTTTGAGAGTTCCTCTAAAGCTTCACGATCAAAGACTTTTCCATCCAATGGTGCCTCGTCAATCTGTTATTAATCAAATTTATCTCATGCAGCTTGAGGACTACATATACAAAGGGACAGGAAATAAGTTATGAGGGCGTTTACTCTACCTTCCAATCTCCAGTGTGAAGAATATTACCATCAGCACAACGGAGGAACAAACCACTACAATCAGGAATAGAGTGGGTAACTGTAATGGGCTCTATCTCAAATGGTCCAGCCATAAATCTCCTTCGAGTGCTAAATGTCTTAAGTCTAGATTGAACGAAGATTCCATGCTCCTTCAAGCGCTTCTTTATAAGCTAATGCACAGACAAACAAAAATATCCATGAGAGAAAATGCAAAGAGTAGATTAAGCGTGATAGAATCGGCAACTAATTGCCTGTACATGACAGTTCTGACTGATAAGAACGCAAGCTGGGGTACATATATTTTGAACTGAAGCAATACATCTAAGCTTAGTAGCTGTAAAAATAAAAGTAATTGAAACATAGAAGTAAATGCAAGGAATCAAGGTGTAAATCACCTCCATGGTGAAGGATGATGCGAATATTGGTGTATTAGGGTCCAATGCTGGGATGACCTGCTCATGCAAAAGAGTATTGATTAAGAAAAAGAACAGAAACCAACAGTGGATAGAGGAAAAAAACTGCATTATACACCTGAGCCGCAACTGTTAATTGAAAAATAAAACCTAGACTCTATCTAGAAATCTCCAAAAGGGTCTATGGCTCATTATGGCTTTTTCAAGGAGTGGAAGAAGACTTTACCCAAGGCAACGCACCAATGTGATCTTCATGACCATGCGTTATAACAACAGCTTCAATTTTGTGTTTCCAGCGTCTGATAAATCCTGTGTCTGGCATTATTTTCTGGACTCCAGGCTCATCATAACTGTAACATTATACAGCAATGTTTTCCACGGAAAGTTAACACCATGAATACAAAGATAATATCTCGCCAATATTAACAAGATGTATGTATCTCTGGACTTACTCAGGGAACATTATACCAGCGTCGATTAAAATGTAACGATCATAGTTTCCAACAAGCATACAGTTCATTCCAATTTCACCAAGGCCTCCTATGGGAAGAACACGGAGAGGTGGTCCATCGGTTCCTTCGTAAAACTGTTCCATTTTACGTTTTACAGAGTCCTCCATGCTTTTTCCAACTCCTTCTGGTCGACCTGATCTTCTACGCGGCGTCTTAGAGGATGAAGATGTACCTGAAACATAGAAAGAAAAAAACATAACACCAGAATCAACATTTATAAGAGAACAAAGAACCTCAAATTCAATAATACACAAAACAACCACGTGATTAATCAGTCTCAGATGGTCCATTCACGACACAGAAAAAAAACAAATTGAAAGATTATACTCACACAATCAGAGTGAGAATCTCCAAAGAAACTCAATCCAAATAGGCCACTATCAACCTAAAATCTCAAAAAGTTTCATTTTTTTCTATGCTAATTCAAAATACTTCAAATCCATTACAGTAGTGGAGCACCTTTATCAATAACTTATTTTCCCAGGAACCCAATAGGAAAAGAAGAGGAGAGAAAGAAAAACAACAGACCAGAAGCAGGAGCAGAAGTGACGGAACAGGAAACGGTAGACTTAATTCGAGAGCTTTGGCGGAAGGTGAAAGTGTAGGGACAAAGCGAGAGAGCACTAAAAGCTGCCATTTTCGAAGGAGTAGTAGCTGGCCTGAGAACATCGGAGTAGAGAGAGGAAGCCTGTGAGGAGAAACCTTGCAAAGAAGCAGGTTTCATCATCACTGTAAAACAAAACCCAAAAGATGGGGTTTTTGTGAGCAAGAGAAGAATTGGGGTTTAAGGATGGAAGCGGGAAAGAGAGAGATGAGTGAGAAAAGTATCTCTGTGACTGTAAACTATCTTTCTCTCTTATCGGATGGGAGACGACGAATACAATAAACCTTCTCTCAATTGAATTGAAAACCGGTTAAGAAATAACCGGTTGATTCTGAACCGGATATGCTCTATAATGCTTAAAAGTGGATCTCATTAAGGGATTATCCGCATTAAACCATTCGTTGAGTGGTGGTGGTGGGTGGTGAGTGGTGAGTGAAGCTCGCTGCGATCCTTCTTCTTCTTCTTCTTCATCTTCTTTCTTCTTCTGTCGATTCAAGTTTCATATAGATCTACACTTTCGATTCTCAACTTTATCTTCTGATTCCGGCGCCGTAGCAGAAATCGAGCCTCCACCGAGTCTTCATCATGTAAAAACAACAGCTTTTTCTAGGGTTTTGTCTCGTTTCTTTGTGTGGCTGCGTTTACACTAGGTTATGTTTGGTTGGTTTCAGACAAAAATTGCGCTTAGATTTGAGTCTTACTGGTATTGTTTTCTTGGTTTCATTTTCCAGGGTCAAGAAAAGGAAGACAAAATCTAAAACAGTATCTTCGGCTTGTAAAGGTGTGGACAAAATTAGTGGGTTATCAGATGACTTGCTGGTTAAGATATTATCGTTTCTTCCAACCAAAGATGTTGTATCCACTAGCCTTTTGTCCAAACGATGGGAGTGTCTTTGGATGTGGTTGCCTAACCTTAAGTTCCTCAGTTGGGTCTCTGAGGCAAAAAGTTTACAGCGCTTTCTTAATAGAAATCTGCCATTACATAGAGCTCCGGTTATCGAAAGCTTCCATCTTAATATTAATACTCGGGGTTTTAAACCTGAAGATATCAAACTGTGGCTTGTAATTGCACTTTCTCGCCACCTACGCAAACTTAAAATTAGGTATAATCCTTATTCCAACAAGCCAAACATATTACCGAGTAGCTTGTATACCTGCAAATCGCTTGTGACCTTGAAACTCCGTGGAAGCATTTGTTTGGATGTTCCTCGTAGGGTTTGTCTTCCCTCCCTGAAAACTTTGCAACTTCTACTTGATAATTACTTTGATGGAGAATCTCTTCAACGGCTTCTGTCTATTTGCCCCATTCTTGAAGATCTAGAGGTGTATTTTGATTCTGAAAATGACGATATGGATTTGCTCACTGTTAACGTCCCATCTTTACAGAGTTTATCACTCTGTATACCTGGTGATAGTGGATGTCTTTTTAATGAGTTGTTAGTGATAAATGCTCCTTCTTTGAAGTATTTGAAACTTGAGGATCTTGCTGATTTTGGTCACTCATGTATGATTGAGAATATGCCCAACTTGGAGGAGGCATATGTAGATGTTAGATACCCTGATATTTCAAGTCATATCGGATTAATCACATCTGTTAAGCGTCTTACTATTTGCTCAGAGGTAAATCAGCTTCCATATATCAACTGCAAATCTTCAAGTCTCGTTTATGGAAGCCTCGCTTAATACTTTGTCATCGTGTGCAGACTGTGTATGGTGATGGTTTTGTCTTCAACCAGCTTGAACATTTGAAGCTATGTGTATGCACAGGGAAGTCGAATCTCCTTGTCCGGTTGCTCGAAGATTCTCCTAACTTACGAGTCCTAGACATCGTTGAAATGGTAGCTAGTTTCCTCGATAAACAATTGTTTTTCGTCTCCTGCACAGAGTATGGTTTTAATCTTATTATTCTACTCGTTCGCAGGATCATTACGATATGCATTGGAAGGATCCACCGATTACTGTTGATGAATGTATTCTGTCAAGTTTAAAAACCTACAACTGGTCAGGATACTTGGGAAGAAGACCACAAGAGAGAGATCTTGCGGTTTACATATTGGGAAAACGATGGTCACTTAAAGACTGCAACAATCTCGTCTGAGACATGTTTTTTATATTGCAAAACTTGAGATGATTAAGGAATTGTCATCCTTCTTTCGGAGCATCAACCACATGCCAACTCGTATTTGATCAGAGATTTTAGTTTTAGTCATTAGATATGTTCGTTTATGTAATAGGATTTTTCCAACTTTCATCTGTATCTGTCTCTTGTCCCAAGAAACTGCAGATTCTTCTTCCAAATCTTACTATAATCCTCTAATGAAGAAGAGGTTTAATGTTGGTCCATTGCGTTTTTGGTTTAGGAGGATAAAAGAAAATTGACTTTAAGTAACTACATGAAACTACGAATGAGACTACTCAATCATATATATTTTTTATTTGTATTTTTGTTTAATGGAGGAAACTAAAGATATTGTGTTGACAAGTCTATTCCTGAATGATGTACAGAAGAACAACATTTCCATCAGGTAGGCTTCAACTTGCAGCTCAACCCAGGCCCACTAAAGATTTAAGATCATTTAGGGTTTATAGGCAGTGTAAACCGTTAGCTTCACGTAATTGAAGGGAAGCCGAAACTGTTTGGTGAGTGGTGTGACATAGACAAGGAAGCTTCGTCGTTCCGATCACTTCAAGAAGAAAACGATTCGATTCGATGCTCTGCGATTCTGAGATCTTCTAATAACGTTTTTTCTTCTTCTTCCTTCCTGCCTCAATTCAAGTTTCAATCATTCTTAAGTCAGGCAGATCATCAATTTATTCAGAATTGAAATAATTCTTTCGCAGTGTCCACAGATATTTTCGGTTCCAGATCAGAAAATGATGAGTCTTGACAGGACCAGACTCATCATCTAACAATCCAGCTTTGCCTTCTAGGGGTTTGTTCTCAATTCCTTTCTGTGTGGTTGTGTTTTACACTTGTTAGTAATTCGTTTGGTTGGCTTCAGACAGTGTTTCTTGTTTTTTTTTAATATACATTTCAGGGTCGGAAAAGGGATTAAATTCCAAGTTGTATTCAAAATCTTGGGTTTGTAAAGATATGGACAAAATCAGTGGGTTATCAGATGACTTGCTGATTAAGATATTATCGTTTCTTCCAACAGAAGTTGCTGTATCCACTAGCATTTTGTCAAAACGATGGGAGTGTCTTTGGATGTGGTTGCAAAATCTTGAGTTCTATGGTAGATATGGTTTAGCGTCTGAGGAAAATAGTTTACAGCGTTTTCTTAATAGAAATCTGCCATTACATAGAGCTCCGGTTATCCAAAGTTTCCTTCTCATTTTGGCTTCTCCGGATTTTAAACCTGAAGATATCAAGCTGTGGCTTGTAATTGCACTTTCTCGCCATCTAACCAAACTGGAAATTACTTATTACAACGAGCCAAAGCCAAACATATTACCGAGTAGCTTGTATACCTGCAAATCGCTCGTGACCTTGAAACTCTGTGGTAGGATTCCTTTGGATGTTCCTCGTATGGTTTGTCTTCCCTCTCTCAAAACTTTACAACTAATAGATGGATACTTAGATGGAGAATCTCTTCGAAAGCTTCTATCTATTTGCCCTGTTCTTGAAGATCTAGTGGTGCATTTTGATGGGGACAGTGATGATGTGGGATTGATCACTGTTAACGTCTCATCTTTGCAGAGTTTATCACTCTATATACCTTGTGATACTGCAAGTCTTTTTGGTAAATTAGTGATAGATACTCCTTGTTTGAAGTTTTTCAAACTTGAGGATCTTCATGATGGGGGTGATGATGGTCACTCATGTTTGATTAAGAATATGCCTTACTTGGAGGATGCACATGTAGATGTTAGATACCGTGATATTTCAAGCCATATCGGATCAATCACATCTGTTAAGCGTCTTACGATATGTTCAGAGGTAAATCAGCTTCCATCTATCAACTGCAAATCTTCAAGTCTCGTTTATTGAAGCCTCTCTTAATACTTTTTCATCGTGTGCAGACCGTGTATGGTGATGGTTTTGTCTTCAACCAGCTTGAACATTTGACGCTATGTGTATGCACAGATAAGTCGAATCTCCTTGTCCGGTTGCTTGAAGATTCTCCTAACTTACGAGTCCTAGACATTGTTGAAATGGTAGCAAGTTTCTTCGATCGGTAAACAATTATTTCTCGTCTAATGCACACGGTATGGTTTTAACCTAATTCTTCTTCTCATTTGCAGGATCATTATGATTCGCATTGGGAGTATCCACCGATTACTGTTGATGAATGTATTCTGTCGAGTTTAAAAACCTACAACTGGTCAGGATACTTGGGAAGAAGGCCACAAGAGAAAGATCTTGCGGTTTACGTCTTGGGAAAACGTTTGTCGCTTGAAGACTGCAACAATCTCGTCTGAGACATGTTTCTATATTCCAAAACTTAGATGATTAAGGAATTGTCAACCTTCTTTCGGAGCATCAACCACATGCCAACTCGTATTTGATTAGGGATTTTAGTTTTAGTCATTAGATGTGTTCATTTATGTAATAGGATTCTTCAAACTTCCATATGTATCTGTCTGTTTCCCCCAAGAAAATGCAGATTCTTCCAACTCTTACTAAAATAAACATCTAATGAAGAAGAGGTTTAATAGTGGTTGTTCATTGCCTTTCTGGTTTAGGATAAAAGAAAATTGACTTAACTAACCACATGAAACTATGAATGAGAGAACTCAATCCATTAGCGCATATATAGTTCATTTGTATTTTTGTTTAATGGATGCAATTTGTTCAAACTTCAGAACATGGATAGGCGATATAAAGATTTGTGACTCTAATTGACTAATTCTTTTGATAGGAAAGAAGATCATTAGGGTTTATTGGCATTTATTAAAATATTCGCTTAACGTTAATTAAAGCCGAAACGGTTTGGTGACTATTGATGAGTAGTAACGTCCACAGAGAGAAGGAAGCTCCCGTCGTAACGATCACTTCGATGGAAACGAAACTATGCTCTTCCGATATCTTCTCATAACATCTCACCTTTTTCTTGAAAGGTTTTGTTCTCTTCCTTCGTGTGGTTGTGTTTTACACTTGTTCTTAATTCGTTTGGCTGGCTTTAGACAGTGTTTTCTCTTCTTGTTATTTGTTTTTCATGGTCGGAAAAATAGGAAAATAAAATCCAAGTTCTCTGTTCAACGGTCTAAATTCTTGGGTTTGTTAAAGTTTATGGATAGAATAAGTGGGTTATCAGATGACTTGTTGATTAAGATATTATCGTTTGTTCCTACCAAAGTTGCTGTATCCTCTAGCGTTTTGTCCAAACGATGGGAGTTTCTTTGGATGTGGCTGCCAAAACTTGAGTTCATTGGTAGAGATTGTTCACTATCTGAGTGCGAGAATATAGGGTCTTTTCTTGAAAGAAATCTGCCATTACATAGAGCTCTAGGTATCGAAAGCTTCCGTCTCAACTTAGCTCATTCACCTTTTAAACCAGAAGATATCAAACTGTGGGTTTTAGTTGCAATTTCTCACTACCTACGTGAGCTGGATATTTTATATCATGCTTATCCGGACAAGCCAAACATATTGCCTAGAAGCTTGTATACCTCCAAATCGCTAGTGACTTTGAAACTTGAAGGCAAGATTCTCTTGGATGTTCCTCGTATGGTTTCTATGTCCTCTCTAACAACTCTGCAACTTCGAGAAGTGATATACTTAGACGGAGAATCACTTGGACGGCTTCTATCTATTTGTCCTAGTCTTAAAGATCTATTGTTGGATTTTAGTGATACTCACAATATGGGAATGATCACCTTTATCGTCCCGTATTTGCAGAGTTTATCTATCTATATACCTCATGATGGTTTAATCGAGGGGTTAAAGGTAGATACTCCTTCTTTGAAGTATTTCAAAATTGAGCATTTTAATGATGAGAATCATTCTTTTTTGATTGAGGATATGCCTAAGTTGGAAGAGGCATATGTAGATGTCTTCTTACCTGATCTCGAGAGTCTTATCGGATCAATTTTATCTATCAAGCGTCTTACGATAGCTTCAGAGGTAAACCAATGTCCATCTCTATCAGTTGCAAATCTTTTGTTCATAAAATCCTCTGTTAATTAGTACAATTTCATCATGGGCAGGCTGTGTACGTTGGCGGTTTTGTCTTCAACCATCTCGAACATTTGAAGCTATGTGTAGGATCAGACTATGCGGCTAATCTCCTTTTCCGGTTGCTCGAAGGTTCTCCCAACTTGCGAGTACTAAACCACTTTGAAATGGTAGTGTGATCAATCTCTTTGAATATAAACTATTATATTTTGTCTAATACACAATGTGGTTTTTTAATATAATATATGCTTTTGTTTCCATCGCAGATTAATAAATATGGTGGTATGGATTGTTGGAATCAACCGAGTAGTGTTCCTGAATGTCTTTTGTCGAGTTTACAAACTTTCATCTGGTCAGGATACTTGGGAAGACCAGTAGAGAGAGATGTTGCCGTTTACATCTTGGAAAACGCTTGTCGCTTAAAGACTGCAACAATCTCTATTGATGATTCTCATAATCCAAAACTTGAGATGATCAAAGAGTTGTCACTTGCTTCCCGAGCATCAACCACAAGCCAACTCATACTTTTTGATGAATCAGATTGAGAGAAACCATTTTATCTAAGTTGACCGGATAATCACTTTCTTCTTGAGAATCTCTGCTGGTGATTCTTATACTATAATAAGATTCTTGGAACTTCCATCTATATAATAATATATGTATGTTATCAGAGAAAGAGCAGATTTTTCCAAATTTTAATCAGTAATGAGTAATCTCTCTATGAGTCTCTGATTGTAAACTTGTAAACAATCTCTCAACTGATTGGAAAACCGGTTAATTCTTTAACCGGACAGGCCCTGCATTTTGTAGTGGCAACTCTATCAATCTGAAATAAAGGTGAAAGAGTGTTCGACCCAATACCAGGCCCATTAAACCATTCGACTCACTCTATTCATATTATAAAATGCGGTCTGATACCGATTCCGGAACAGAAATTGAGCCCTCCAATGAGTAATCACGTCCAAATATTCAAGTGACTCTTTTATGGTCAAAGTCAACGATGACAAAGTTTGTCAAAGTCAACGATGATATATTTTGGTTTTAAAAATCGAAGTCAATCTTCACATCCTTTTGAGAATTTTATCTTTACAAATCTGCATGTTCCAGACTGTGTTTTTGTAAATAGAAAGATAAATCACGCAGCAAAGCCTAAATTTCCTTTTATCAACTTTAGTCTCATATTTATAAATCGCCTTTTAGTTTGATAAATATTGGACCACTTGACCAAGTCAACATAATTTTTGCTTTATTAGATATTAAAAGAAATCATAAAGTGATAATACACTTCCAAGTTCCAACTAGTGTGATAAATGAATATTGACGACTTATTACGAAAAATCAAAGACAGCGAGCTATCATATCACATCTACCATCAATCATACGCAAAACAAAACCATCTTATTCGATATTTATAATATGTATTTTATTAAATATGAAAATAACGTTGATTATATTTTTTTTTGTCCCACAGAATACTATAGTACAAAAATAAATGTACATAAATTTATTCTATCAGAATTCATTGATTGATAAATTCATTTTTCAAAAGAGAGAGTCTATATTCTAATGTTAAATTAATTCAATGACAACGCATCGCATCGAACATATTCAAACTACATCGCTGTAATAGCTATTTTCTTATATTATTAATCGAAAAATTATCATCATCACACCCCACATTTGAACCACGTAGAAATAGTGAACTAATGTAAACCATAATCTCACTCCAATTGCTTGATATTAAGTGAGTTCAAGTAGTAATGGTATATAAAAGTGTGAATTGAAGAGTAAACAAAGGTACACATCTTTGACTTTTACACACTCGATATAGAAGGGACAGGCTGTGACTTAATGCTGGGTACATAGTGACTCAATTCCCGAAGCATCAACCATTTGCATTTATAACTTCACCCACCGGTCCACCACTTTTAACTTCTGAATAAGCTTTATGGTTCTTACTAAATAGTAAATAATAAGCAATCTAAAATATTTAAAAAGATTATATGCCCATATATAGAATAACATGATACACAAACAAAACTAGACATCTCATAATATTTAGATTGCATGGTAAAATCATCTAAAACATGTTTCTATCCATTTTATTTGTTATGAAAGTATTTACCATTACTATTTTTAGTTAACAAATTTCTCTAGTTATGTTGTAATGTATATTTCCATCATCATTGTTTAATTGTTTCCATCGTTGTTAAATCACAAATAAGACTGTCATTATTATTCAACTACATATGACTATTATTATTACGAGTTTACGACAGCACATTTAACATCTTCTCCTTTGGTTTCTTCCGGAATCACTTGGTCCCAATTAATATACATACAAGAGCTTATGTACTAAATGTCCAGACAATAATGTATACCGAATAAATAAAAATAACTATTATCAGTACTTGTTTAACAATTGTATACATGATGCAAAAAGCTTTGTCTTCTTTTTATAAAGATAATAAGCATAAAATAAAGTCACTTTCTATAGGTATGAGTAATTTAACCCCACAAAATTTAACTCATGCATATCAAAAAGAAAGATTCTTGTATATAACATTACACTACTACTGTTACTCTCTCACTAACCTATTCTCACTAACAAACTCTGAACAAACAAAAAAACTTTTGTTCTCTCTTTCACGCGTTGAAGATTCTTGCTTTTCTTTCTTCTCCTTACACGACCACTGATATGTGTCGGTGACTGAAAGAATCTGCTCTCTTTTGCCTCTGATTTATCGATATGTTTCAGGCCTGATGTTTAAAGAAAAAAGTGTTTGAAACTTTTGAAATTTAAGGTACTACTCTGCTCTTGTACTACTCTGCTTTTGTTCTCAAGATTACTCTGTTTTTTTTGTACTGTTTGGTTTTGATCCGAACCACAAAAGTTTTGATGTTGAAGTGTCTCGTCTCTGTTTCTCCTTTTTTTTTATTGCAGGTTCATCAAGTACTCAGATCTTGTCTGAGAAATCAAGTTGAAATCTGATAAATGGGTTTCTTTAAATTCATCTTCTTGTTATCTCTTCTATGGAGTTTCTACAGTTTAGGCTTATCTCAGCTACAAGCTTCACAAGCACAAGTTCTTCTTCAGCTGAAAAAACACTTAGAATACCCACAACAGCTAGAATCTTGGTATGATCACAGGACCAATTTCTGCTATCTACAAGCAACACCATCGATGAACATCACTTGTTTCTCTAATTCAGTCTCAGAGCTAAACATCTTCGGTGATAAATCATCGGAAAAGGCCAAAAGCTTTGAGGGTTTTGCTATCTCTAATGTTACTTTATCTGATAGATTCTCTATTGAATCATTTTTCACTACACTGTCAAGGTTAAAGTCTCTTAGGGTTCTTACTCTGTCTTCTCTAGGGATTTGGGGTCATCTCCCTGAGAAACTTCATCGTTTATCTTCACTTGAGTATTTGGATTTGAGCAATAACTTTCTGTTTGGATCAGTACCACCTAAGTTGTCTACAATGGTAAAGCTTGAAACTTTCAGATTTGATCATAACTTCTTCAATGGCACATTACCTAGCTGGTTTGATTCCTATTGGTATCTCAAAGTTCTTAGCTTTAAGAGTAATAAGCTATCAGGAGAGCTACATTCTTCATTACTCTCGTTGTCAACAATCGAGTATATCGATTTGAAGGCGAATTCTCTGAGTGGTTCACTTCCGGATGATCTGAAATGTGGAAGCAAACTCTGGTTTATCGACATTTCCGACAATAAGTTAACCGGAAAACTTCCTCGTTGCTTAAGCAGCAAGCAAGATATTGCGTTGAGATTCAATGGAAACTGTTTATCTCTAGAGAAACAGCAACATCCAGAATCTTTTTGTGTTAAAGAAGCTCGCGCTGAGGCTAAAGCTGAAGCAAAAGCAGAAGCAGAGGCTGCAAATGAATCAGGGAAAAGAAAATGGAAGAAAGGAGCTTTAATCGGTTTAATCGTTGGTATATCAATGGCGGTATTGGTTTTAGTCTGCTGTGTATTCATCTTGCTCAGAAGAAAAGGAGTAACAAAGAAGCATGTGCACCATAATACAGTCCAAGATAATCATCCATCAACTGGATTTTCCTCTGAGATACTCTCAAATGCAAGTAAGATTTTTTTCCTCAAAAGCCCGCAATATTTGAATATTGCAAAAGGATTGGCTTACATTTATCTTGTTTTGTGATTGTGGTTAGGGTACATTTCTGAAACATCCAAGTTTGGTTCAGAGGATTTACCGGTATGTAGACAGTTTAGCTTAGAAGAGATAGTTAAAGCTACAAAGAACTTCGATAAGACCATGATACTCGGTGAAAGCTCATTATATGGCACGGTAAAGTCCATGAAAACCATTTGTGTTTTCACTTTTCAGCATCATCATCTTCTTTAAAGAGATTCTGACATTTACTTAACATTTCAGCTTTACAAAGGAAATCTTGATAATGGAACAAAAGTGGCTATAAGATGCTTACCTTCATCGAAGAAATACTCGATAAGGAATCTGAAACTGCGGTTAGATTTGCTCGCGAAGCTTAGACACCCGAATCTAGTTTGCTTGTTGGGTCATTGCATAGATTGTGGAGGAAAAGATGATTACAGCGTAGAAAAAGTCTTTTTGATTTATGAGTACATTCCCAATGGAAACTTTCAATCTTGTCTCTCAGGTTCAATCTTGTTTAATGCTCAAATATTTGCAGTTTTTTTCGACAAAAAGATTCTATATTTTTGAAAAAATACTAAAATTTCTTTTTGTGGGTTTTCGCTTTGCGCAGATGATAGTTCGGGTAAGGCTATGAATTGGTCAGAGAGGCTGAATGTTCTCACAGGTGTTGCAAAGGCTGTTCATTTTCTTCACACTGGAGTTATTCCTGGATTCTTCAGCAATAGACTCAAGACTAACAATGTCTTGCTAAACCAACACCGGTTTGCTAAGCTGAGTGATTATGGTTTGTCCATTGTCTCTGAAGCAACCAGACATAACACAGTTAAGCTCGTTTCTTTAATGTTCTGTTTCTACTTTCAACTTGATTTAGCATTGTTTTCATAAACGTTATTGAAGTGCTTAGACAGAAACATGGACTTATAGCTACAATGTGTGAGTCCGATGAGACTGATCCTAACATCGACTAACAATGTCAAACCAGATCAAACACTGATCACTCTCATGGTTACATTTTTCTTAATCAGGAAATCGCAAAATCATGGCAAATGTCAAGGCTAGAAGACGATGTTTACAGCTTTGGATTGATTCTTCTACAATCAATCGTTGGACCATCTGTAACCGCAAGAGAAGAAGCATTTCTACGGGACGAACTGGTACGGTTTTCGCAAGATCGCAGTCACAAACCAGACTTGATCTTTGTACTTATTTTAAAAAGCTTTTTTTCCAGGCATCGTTGGAGAGCGAGGAAGGGAGAAGAAGAATGGTGAATCCGACAGTACAAGCCACTTGTCGGAATGGATCATTGATAAGAGTGATAACTCTAATGAACAAATGTGTTTCACCGGAATCATTAAGCCGACCGTCCTTCGAAGATATCTTGTGGAATTTACAGTATGCTTCTCAGTTGCAAGCTGCTTCAGATGGTGAACAGTGTTAATATATTTATAGCTTCTTCTTCTCTTTAGTCTTTTAAATGCTCTGTTATCGTGTGTATGAAAATCCCTTATTATTTATGTAACGATTGAAAAAAGGAAAGAAATAACATAACTCTTAATTAATCCCCCAAAATATTTTTTTTGGACTATAAATGTAAATTAATGAGAGTTTAAGGGTATAGTTACCAACTTATAATAATCATCGACGAGATCAAAAGCTCCGACCCATCAGAGACCCGAGTTTATGAAACCCGACCCGGTCATTGCTATATCACTTTGACTTATGTGAATGAAAACCCTTTTCGAGCAAATCGAAGATTTCTGAGTTAAACAGTAGCGAAACTAGATCAGCTATGGCGACCGGTGGTGCTGCGGCGGATTTGGAAGATGTTCAGACGGTGGATCTCATGTCGGAGCTCCTCCGCCGCCTCAAATGTGCTCAGAAACCCGACAAACGCCTCATCTTCATTGGTAATCTCACTAAATCGGACCTCTTTTCTATTTCTCGGATACGAATAAATTTGCATCTGCTTCTTGGATCCAGAATTTTCATTGTTTTCTGTGGAGAATTTACTGTGTTTATGGTGAAATTCGGAACTTTTGGGAGAGTAATTTTAGATCTGAGAGATTGTATCAGTGAGCTATGTTGCTATTTTATTGAAATTGTTAGAGTTTCTTCTCAATTGGTTTCTCTTTGATTTTTAGAACTGAGACTTTGTAGATCTAAAATTCCACTATTTGGTTCTGGTACATGGCAAAGATAATTGGAATGTTAGTGGTGTAATTTAGGGTTCTTGTGTTTTGTTTTGAAAGTGTAAATCTTTCAAGGTGCATATAATTGCACCTGTGTGTGATTGCTTGGATGGAATGTTGAGAATGCTTTGTTTCTCGGTGGATTTGCAGGACCTCCAGGGTCAGGGAAAGGTACACAATCTCCGGTAGTTAAGGATGAGTATTGCTTGTGTCATTTATCCACTGGAGACATGTTAAGAGCTGCTGTTGCTTCCAAAACCCCTCTTGGTGTGAAGGCTAAAGAAGCTATGGAAAAAGTCAGTTCCTTTTATCTTTCTTTGAAGAGATTCTACTATTTGTTCCTTCAGTTATTGGATTTTTATTCTTCGTGATTTGTTTTTTTTATTTCAGGGAGAGCTTGTCTCTGATGATTTGGTTGTTGGTATTATTGATGAAGCCATGAACAAGCCAAAATGTCAAAAAGGATTTATCCTTGATGGGTTTCCCAGGACTGTTACTCAGGCAGAGAAGGTGATGCTCAATAGGAAAACCCAATGCTTATTCGGTCTCCTTTTGGTACTGTTGGGTTTGATTGTAATTAACTTCTAACCATGGTGGTTTGTCTTTTGTTTGCAGCTCGATGAGATGCTTAAGAGGCGAGGAACTGAAATCGACAAAGTTCTCAACTTTGCTATTGATGACTCAATCTTGGAGGAAAGAATAACCGGGCGATGGATCCACCCATCGAGTGGCAGGAGTTACCACACAAAATTTGCGCCTCCCAAAACCCCTGGAGTTGATGATGTAAGACTTGCAGTAACTCTTGATATCTTTGGTCTGTTTATTACAAACCCCCTCCTAAACGTCTGAATCTCTTCATTATTTGCTATTGAAGATTACCGGAGAGCCTCTGATCCAACGCAAAGATGATAACGCTGATGTTCTAAGGTCGAGGCTTGCAGCTTTCCACAGTCAAACTGAACCGGTATTGATTCCAATTTCATGTATCTCCAGGCTTATTAAAATGGAAAGCTATATCTTTTGCAAACATTCATTTTCTTTCCCTTACTCACAGGTGATTGATTACTACGCAAAGAAGGCCGTTCTCACAAACATCCACGCCGAGAAGGCTCCCCAAGAAGTTACATCAGAGGTTAAAAAAGCATTGTCATGATCAAAGACTCCTCAAGCAAATCATCTCCTCTGGTTAGAATCCATTCTTTTCCTTACTACAAGAGAGAGACACATCTATATATCCACTCATCTGCGGAATGACAGTTTTTTCTTTTAGTCCTTGCGCTTTGCCTTTTCGACTAATATTCAAAATCTGGAGAAGAATTTTTACTCCTGGATATTATCTATTGTCTCCTATCTGACACCTGAATTTGTTTCCGATATTTTCGCAGTCTCTTTACAAAATAAGTAATTTGTCTCATACCCGGAATCGGATATTAATAAGAGCTGTTAGTTTAACAAGGTTTATAAACGGAAGATAGGAGATGGTAGTAGTCTTATACAGAGCTAAGCTAATCAACATCCGAACCGGGCAAGTCTTAACCGAAACGTCAACCGGTTTGCAACATAAAGTCAATTTGTAAACGTGATGTTAATATAACTCTTTATTCTAAACTTGTAATCACCAATTCGGCTAATGATGTGCGTAGAGTAATGGTTTTTAATCTAAAATTAAAAGTTCTGGGCTAAATTTATGATAATATAGAAATAGGCCCTTATTCATAATATGATAACAAATCCAGGGGGCAACTTGAAATTTCTCGATTCGTTAGTATTTGGCTCTTTTATTTTCCCGGGAAAACAAGAAATATCAGAAGTCTCTGTAACTGAATCTCTCTCTCTTTGCACAGAGAACTAAAATTCCAAGTGAGAAACTTTCTTCAACGATCAAAAGAAGCTGCTTCAATGGCGAAATCTATGAGAACTATCAAAAATCCATTCTTCAGTTCGCATCCGCCATCTCCATTCTTCCATCTCTCTCTGCTCTTCTTCTCTCCACTGAAGAAATCCAGTCCCCGATACCTAAACCACCACCACCAAACTCGATGCCCACCTCCACAGTTTTTCCTTCTTCTCATCTCACTTTCTCTCGTTTTCTCGGGAATTTCGTTTCTCAGATTTTCTTTAGACCCTGATTCGTCAACTTGCGTCTCCACATCTTCCACTTCCTCTCTCAAATTCTTCATCTCCGACGTCGACCACCGTCAGATCTTAACCTCCCTTTCTGTCTCCGGAGCTTCCACATTGTATCCGTTACCGACGAGAGGAGGACATTCCGGGAATATGACGGAGGAAGAGAGAGAGTTTTGGAAACAACCCAATGGTGAAGGATACAAGCCTTGTTTGGATTTTAGTTTGGATTACAGGAAGAAATCAGTTAGGGTTTCTAAAGAGAAGAAACGATTCCTTGTTGTTGTTGTCTCTGGAGGACTTAATCAACAACGGAATCAAATCGTTGATGCTGTTGTAATCGCTATGATTCTTGAAGCTGCTCTTGTTGTTCCTGTTTTGCAGGTGAATCGAGTTTGGGGAGACGAAAGGTAACAAAAACACAACTTGATGATCTCTTCTGGGTTTTTGATTCGTATTACTGATCAAGAGCTTTTGTTTTTCTCTCTCAGTGAGTTCTCTGACATTTTCGATGTAGAGCATTTCAAGAAAACGCTGAGATCTGATGTGCGTATCGTTTCTTCTCTACCGTCAACGCATCTTATGTCTAGACAAACAATTGAGAATCAGATTCCTTGGGATGTTTCTCCGGTTTGGATCCGTGCTAAATACTTCAAACAGGTTTGATTCTGCTGTTTACTAGTTTAGTGTTCATGTTTTCTCTGATTGATTCTTTAATTTTGAATGTTTACTACATTGTAGTTGAATGAGGAAGGACTTTTGGTGTTGAAAGGATTAGACTCAAAGTTAGCCAAGAATCTCCCGCAGGATCTGCAGAAACTTCGATGCAAAGTACGATTTTTCAACCAACCCTTTGTTTTCAGTCTCTAGAGGAGGAAAATGTTGGTTCAATTTGTTGGTTTGTAGGTTGCTTTCCATGCACTGAGATTCGCAGCACCGATTGAGAATCTCGGGAACAAACTCGCGAGAAGAATGTGGATAGAAGGTCCATATATAGCTCTCCATTTAAGGCTAGAGAAAGATGTTTGGGTAAGAACCGGTTGTCTAACTGGATTGGGCTCAGGATTTGATCGGATCATAGCAGAAACCAGAACGTCTCAGCCTCGATACCTCACTGGTAGACTAAACATGAGCTATACAGAGCGTAGACTTGCTGGTTTTTGTCCTTTCAATGCATATGAGATTGCAAGGTAACTTTAAAAGGAAGAGATAGGACATGAAACAGAGTTTTGACAATTTGTATACATGGTTTGATGGAAACTTAAAGCTCGAGTCTTTTTTATGGGATTAAAGGTTATTGAAGGCCTTGGGAGCACCTAGGAATGCATCGATATATATTGCAGGAGGTGAGCCATTTGGTGGCTCACGAGCATTAGAGCCTCTCTCTAAAGAGTTCTCTAATTTGGTGACAAAGGAGACACTGGCTCATAAAGGCGAGCTCTTGCCTTACACCAATAGATCTTCAGCTTTAGCAGCTATTGACTACATTGTATCACTTAGCAGCGATGTTTTTCTTCCTTCCCATGGTGGAAACATGGCAAAAGCTATGCAGGTAACACAACAAAATAATCGTTGATGGATTTGAATTTTCCAAACTTTCTTTATTAAACTCTGTTGTTCTCTCAGGGAAACAGAGCTTATGTAGGACACAGAAAGTTTATAATTCCTAATAAGAGAGCAATGCTTCCTTTAATGGAGAATTCTTCGGTTTCGGATGCCGAGCTGAGTTTTGTAACTCGGAAGCTTCACCGTAAGTCCCAAGGCCATCCTGAGTCACGGAGAGGGCGGAGAGATCGTGACGTGATAGCTTATCCCGTCCCGGAGTGTATGTGCCGCCATGGAAAACACAGGTCTGTAGGTTTCTTCTAGGTCAGGTTCCTTGGTTCTCACAAAGCCAGGTCTCTTGGTAATTGGTATAGCTCAGGTGCCTTGCTCTTCAAAGCAATACCTGTCCAGCTGCAACCAATCGCCATTAAACACGTGTACATATAAATCTACTGTAAGTGTATAGATTTTTTTCCATGTTTTGTGTACAAAACTTCATTCATTCATTCTTGATGTTACGAGCTCTAACTAATAGAAATGAGAGACGTGTAAACTAGATTCATGGCTTACAGATCTTTGAAAGAACGTTGAAAGCCTTTTTAGTTATTTTGTTTTGTAGTTTTGTAAACAAAAAACAGTATAACAATAAAGTTTGATTGGTTTAGTCATTGCCACGTAATAGATTAATTTATTTGAGTTCATAATACTTGAAATATCCTTCTCGCATGCGCGCTTATTCACCGGCAACGAAAAGATCATCTCTAATCGTCTTCAAGAATGCAGACGAAAAATAACGACAGCCGTTCGATTGACCGGAGCTCCGGCTTCGATCAACGGACAGGAATTTATCACAGTCTTCGTCCCTCTCTTTCTCTACCTCCTATAGATCAACCTCTCTCCACCGCCGAATTCGCGCTTTCTCTCCTCCGCAAATCCTCACCACCAGCCACCGCCGGGAAAAACATTGAAGCCTTAACCTACCTAGTTAACTCGAGCTCTGGTGATAGCCTCACTTATGGAGAGCTTCTTCGTGGAGTTCGTTCTCTTGCTGTATCTCTCCGGGAGCGATTTCCTTCTCTTTCCTCCAGAAATGTTGCTTTTATCCTCTCTCCACCTTCGCTGCACATACCAGTGCTTTACTTAGCTTTAATGTCGATCGGTGTTGTTGTTTCACCGGCGAACCCAATCGGATCTGAATCGGAGGTGAGTCATCAGGTTGAAGTCAGTGAACCAGTAATTGCGTTCGCGACATCGCAGACGGTTAAGAAGCTTCGGTCCTCATCTTTCCCTCTCGGAATCGTTCTGATGGACTCGCCTGAGTTTCTCTCCTGGTTAAATCGATCGGATGCTTCTTCGGTTAATCCATTTCAGGTTCGGGTCAACCAATCGGACCCTGCCGCAATCCTCTTTTCGTCTGGAACAACCGGGCGGGTCAAAGGCGTTTTGATCACTCACCGTAACCTAATCGCCTCGACCGCCGTGTCTCACCAACGGACTCTCCAAGAACCGGTTGATTATGATCGCGTCGGACTGTTCTCGCTTCCGCTCTTCCACGTGTTTGGCTTCACGATGATGATTCGAGCCATCTCGCTTGGAGACACACTGGTGCTTTTAGGGAGATTCGAGCTCGAGGCGATGTTAAAGGCGGTGGAGAAATATAAGGTTACTGGTATGCCTGTATCTCCTCCGTTGATTGTAGCATTGGTCAAATCGGAGCTAACGAAGAAGTACGATCTCCGGTCGTTGCGTTCTCTTGGCTGCGGCGGCGCTCCACTCGGCAAAGACATCGCAGAGAGGTTCAAGCAGAAATTCCCAGATGTGGAAATTGTACAGGTGATAAGACAGTTAGTGTAAAGCTATATGACTTCTTGGAATCTAATTTATCATCAAGATTTTGAATCATTTGATATGACTTTTAACTTTCTGGTTTGGTGATGACTTACAGGGCTATGGCTTGACGGAGAGCTCGGGGCCAGCTGCGTCAACGTTTGGACCTGAAGAGACGGTAAAATATGGCTCAGTTGGTCGTATCTCTGAGAATTTGGAAGCCAAAATTGTTGATCCATCCACCGGAGAAGCCTTGCCACCAGGAAAAACCGGTGAACTCTGGCTCCGAGGACCAGTCATCATGAAAGGTATCATTATACGTATGCAATTTGCTGAACTTGGTGTAGACTAAATGACTTTGCATATTAGAATTTAGGACTGAGTCAAATTAAATTAAGACTTTGATCATTGATGTGAATTTGCATATAAGAATTTAGGACCGAGTCAAATTGAATCAAGACTTTGACCATTGATGTGACTTTGCAAATAAGAATCTAGGACTGTGTAACATATGCAATAGTTGAGGAACATACAAGAGCTTTTACTAAATGACTTAGCATATAACAATCTAGGACTGGGCGGATTTCATGATTCTTGAAGTCTAATGTTTTCATCAAGATTTTGATCATTGATGTGACTTTACATTGGGTGATTGATGGGCATAGGTTATGTGGGAAACGAGAAAGCGAGTGCAGAGACAGTAGACGAAGAAGGGTGGTTAAAGACTGGTGATCTCTGTTATTTTGATGCGGAAGGTTTTCTATATATTGTTGATCGGCTTAAGGAACTAATCAAATACAAGGCTTATCAGGTAAAGTATACGAGTCAGAAGAAGAAGATAGTCTTTTGAGTTTAATATTAATCAAAAGCGTCATCTTATAGGTTCCACCGGTAGAGTTGGAGCAGATTCTTCACTCGAATCCAGATGTGATTGATGCTGCAGTTGTTCCGTGAGTCTTTTAAACTCAAATTTGTAACTTCTTGAAATGTGATTTCTGATACTGACATGGATCATCGATTCAAGGTTCCCTGACGAGGATGCAGGAGAGATTCCAATGGCTTTCATAGTGAGAAAACCAGGAAGCAATCTCAACGAAGCGCAAATCATTGATTTCGTAGCTAAACAAGTAATGCTCATTGCTCTAGAGTGTTTGGTTATCCAAATTTTTAGCACAAGTAGACAAAACAACTGGATTTGATGTTTTGGTTTGCTTATGTAAACTTTTGTGCGTAGGTTGCTCCGTACAAGAAGGTAAGACGAGTTGCTTTCATAAATTCAATCCCAAAAAATCCTGCTGGGAAGATTCTGCGTCGGGAGCTTACTAAAGTCGCCGTGGATGGCAATGCATCAAAGCTTTGAGATAACCGGCCGGCTCAGATATTATTGTATCGGTTGTCACTTGTCAGTGAATAGGGAATATATATTTACCGGTTCAGACGAAATATATCGTTTTCTGTATTCGCTTCAATTATTTAGAGTTCTTCTCTAATCTTGTAATAATCTTTTACCATAAGCATATACAAGATTTAAATGTAATACTGTCCGTTCGATCAACGTGAGTAATAAATAGCATCGTCACCGTCCAACCAATAAACGACTAGTTACGCGTTCATAGATGAGATCCAACGGTTTGAAGTCGTAGCTCACGTTATTTCGGTGCACCTGCAACCATTAGATAAAATCCATGAAATTAAAAAAGGAAATTATTGGAGCAGCCGACCTTGGTGACTTATTACGCTTATAAAATAAAAGGTAAAGTAATAATAGAGACACTAGACAAAATCGAAAACGCGTCTTTGTATCTCGGAGAGGAATTTAGAGAAAAGCTTCTCGAGATCGCATCGGGCTCGTAGATCCATCTCCTCCTCCATCCCCGTCTTCCGTTTTCTGATTCGCCGTCCGGTAAGACCTTCCGGTATTTGTGAATCGGAGAAGAGGAAGGCGAAATATTCTCGCGTTCCTGGAAATTGAATTTCTAGGGTTTCGTTTCTTTTTTTAATTATTCTGATTTCGATTTCGTCAAGGGTGTTTTTCTTAATTGGTTGATTGATCGTATTTCGGGTTCAATTGTTGAAAAGTAATTGAACAGCTATTGAAATCTGCTTCTCGTGATTTGATTCTGGGTTTCGTTAATTGGGTTGTTTCGAGGTTTTTTTTGGTTTTATCCTTTTTGATTTCTATACGATCAATTTCTCATTGAGAAGAATACGATGGCGGCAGGGGGTGTTGATGTCTCCAGAAGTTCTGTTGCCGTCGAAAAAGACTACGACTTTTACAGGAATGGTTCTCGTGATGTGTATGTTCGACAGAGTGGTAGAGATGCCGAGAGGCGTCAAATCAAACGGCCTAGTGACCATGATCTCAGGAGGAATGATGGGCGTCACCGATCACGGTTGGCTTATGAGAAAGGGGAACTACGAGAGCAAGCGGAGGTTCAAAGACCCTCTGAGAAAAGGAGGAAGTTTTCACCCATCTTGTGGAATGCAAAAGAAGAGAAAGTGGGTAGAGCTCCGTCTGGGGAGAAGACAAAGTCTCCTTTCCCTATTCCGACTACAACTGTGATATCCAATCAGGCTGTTGCTGGTAAGACTTCTTCAGAGGATCAAGTTAATGTTTTGATGTCGCCAGAACCTAGTTATCTTGTTCCAGTGCAGCCTTTAGAAGCCATGCTGTCTGCGAAACATCCTGTTGATGATTTGGAGGAGGGTCAGTTGGAGGAAGAACAGGTGATGCAGGAACATGTTAAAGAGGGTCTGTTGGAGGAAAAACCAGTGATGCAGGAACCATGTATAAAGACATCTAGGTGGGGGACGGGTTTGACTTCCCCAAAGGAGGAGTTAATATCTCATGCTGATAATGTTTCCAAGACTAGTAGATGGAACAGGAGCAGTTTGACACCGGAGTGCGAGGAAGTAATGGTGTCTGAAGAACAACAGTGCTATTCATCTGAATCCGGCAGTGGACATCGCACCGTAGAGAAGCTTAGTGCAGATGAAAATTCTGATCGTGAGTATTGTAGTTCTGATCATGATGAGTTAGAAAATGAAGATCCAGATTCTTCAACTCAGGGAGGGATGGACATGATGCTTGGGAGCAGGTCTGTGAATGAATTTCAGAAGCTAAACAAGATAAATGAAGGAACGTATGGAATTGTTTACAAAGCAAGAGATGAGAAAACAAAGGAGATTGTGGCGCTCAAAAAGATCAAGATGAAGGAAGATAGGTTCGAAGAAGAGTATGGATTCCCTTTGACATCGTTGAGGGAAATTAACATACTTCTGTCATGCAATCACCCTGCGATTGTGAACGTGAAGGAGGTTGTGGTTGGAGGGAAAAACGATAGTGATGTTTATATGGTCATGGAACACTTAGAACATGACCTGAGGGGTGTAATGGATAGAAGGAAGGAACCTTTTAGCACTAGCGAAGTCAAGTGCTTGATGATGCAGCTGTTGGATGGTTTGAAATACCTCCACACAAATTGGATTATCCACAGGGATCTGAAGCCATCTAATCTTCTAATGAACAATTGTGGGGAGTTAAAAATATGTGATTTCGGGATGGCACGCCAGTATGGGAGTCCTATCAAGCCGTATACCCAGATGGTTATTACTCAGTGGTACAGGCCACCTGAACTTCTTCTAGGAGCAAAAGAGTACTCTACAGCAGTTGATATGTGGTCAGTTGGTTGCATTATGGCTGAACTGTTGTCTCAAAAGCCTTTGTTCCCGGGCAAGAGTGAGCTTGACCAACTTCAAAAGATCTTTGCGGTCCTTGGAACACCAAACGAGGAAGTCTGGCCTGGATTCTCATCATTCCCGAATGCGAAAGCCAAGTTTCCTACACAGCCTTACAATATGTTACGTAAGAAGTTTCCAGCTATTTCATTTGTAGGTGGTCAAATTCTTTCTGAACGTGGATTTGATTTACTGAACAGTCTACTAACTTTGGATCCTGAGAAACGTCTAACAGTGGAAGAGGCTCTCAACCATGGTTGGTTCCATGAAGTCCCGCTACCAAAATCCAAAGATTTCATGCCAACATATCCTCCAAAGCGGTAACTGAGAAAAACCTGCCATCATTTGAAGGAGAGGATGTGAACAAATATGTATGCGCGCGGTACACAGGGAAGTCAACTGGTCCTATTTTTGGTATTTTCCTTATTTACTCAAAAGACTTGTTTTCATCTTTTCTTAACTCAGTTCTTTGTTGCCTGGAGATTCAGGGTATTCTAGTGTACCATTTATTCGGATTCATGTGTAAATATATGTCCGTAAAACTGAAAGGTGTGTTTCTCTCTTTTCGCTTTGAACCCTAATGGGATGAGTTATTGTTATCAAGTGATGTACACACTATTGACTCACAGGCTTCAATGGAAGAGATCTCAGTTTTCTTTTCTTTTTTTATAGTAATTGGGTTGGGATGGTTATTGTTTATGTCCTCATATTTCTTTGTGCCTTGTTTTTATTCACGAGGTAAATGCAAAGAGTTTATCACAAACGTGGGAAAAGGAAGTTGACATCAGTAAGTTTATGTTGATTACTTATTTACCACGCTCTCTATCAATGTTGGTTTGTTGTTGGATGTACCTTTTGTCTTTGAGGTGTTCGTGTTTGGTCTGTTGGCAGTGAGAAGATGATGATTCTGTGAACATAAGAGGTAGTTGGCAATGATCTTTTCTATGTTACTCCGAACATAATAATGGTTTTGAGATGAGCTTTAGAAGAGTAAACTGAAATTGTCTTGTCCTCCTTTCTTGTTAAAAGAATCAGCATCATCTTGATTCTTGGTTATGTCAATGCCTTAAAAAATAAAATACAGTTGTTCTACAAACCACTGATTTAATTTGAGAAAACTCTGTTTTGCAAGACAGATCCGGACATCGATTATCTTTCCTTGTTCCAATTGTGCATCGGCACGGCTTTAGTCTTAGCTCCCAGCTTCTTTTGTCACATGTTTTATGAGTAGCATTGAATTACACTTAATCCAGCCTTCTCGTGGCTTCTTCCATCCTTCATTTCTAGTGAGGACAGTGATGTTCTTATTGATTTATGTTTTCTCTAGACATACTTGTTAGTTGTAACCATTCCTCTGTATTAACCCGCACTTGCTGCATAGGCTTCTTTTTTTATTTTTTTTCGGGTATTATCTATGAACTTTTATTTGTCTAAGACTGTTCGCTTAAAGAAACCTTATTGACTATAAACATGTGCAAGTGGAACATAGCTCTAGTTTAATTAAGGAAAACTGTCTTAAAGATACTCCAAACGAGATTTGTAAATTATTTTTTAGATAACCAACAATGAAATTTTGTTCCAATGTACTATGATCGATTAAAGAGAACACAAAATAAAAAGATTGCCACATCATCTTATTTCTCTAGTGCCACGGAATTTCATACACGAATATATAGAAATAAAGTTTAGAATAAAAAAAAGAGTGCACTAGTCATGGGTCCTCCTTTCCATAACTGTACAAGTGTCCCAGACAAAACGACCAGTTTCAAAGCTCTTATCGAGACATCACACATTAGCTTTTTAAACTTTACTGACTATGACACCATCAGATCCACACGTGGCGAGAATTCATTTAGCCACTTTCCCCAATTAGGGTTCTTGGGCGTGGTTTTGTTGGTGATTCAGTATGCCTTTTCTTTGTGTCTTCGAGCCTCTCTCTATATTTAGTATTTTCATATTCTTGAGCTGTCAGATTATAATTGGTTGCACATGCTCGATTTTATTGTTTAGTGTTGATAGAGTTTAGTACTTGTCTTAATTTTATAAATTAAATAGCAAATGACAAACATTTGTTGATGCTGAGAAGTTTAAATTCGGGTTTCTTTTTTTGTAGTTTGAATTATTAACAAACGATATTTTCTCATTGGTTACTGCATATCAAACGAAATGAGAAACTATCAGCTTTTCTCAAATTTTGCAACTACCGATGCTTAAAAGAAAAGAAAACAAATGTTAGCACTTATATCGTTTTATGTACATCTGTTTGGATATTCTTGGATTTTCACTTTTGTAATGGAACATCTATTAAGTGTTTGTAATTTTGATGTGTTTATATATATCTTTTAAATTTGTTACATTAAATCAATAACTCGAAAGTTTTTACTTAGAACAAATCTATTACTCATGATATGTGATTATATATACGTATAGATATGATTAAGAATTATATATTAATTTAGTCCTTAACGGATAAGATTGCTTTGTCCCATATGCATATTAAATCATTGGATTATAGTCTTAGAATAATCGACATTTCTAATTTGATGGACACGGCACGGCATAAGCTAGTTGATTACCAATTCTATCGTCTTATTATATAACAGAAATTGAATTTCATCCTAGTAATTACTTTGTTTTTTTTTTTCTAGTTACTTTGTTAAATTCTTGAACTATACCAAGTGTATTAATTGGACCTAATTTCTACAGAGAAATTAGTGTCTTTTAGATCAATAAACGGGTCAGCGATTTCTTGAGAAACAAAATGTCGTAAGGGTAGACTATGCATGACTAACAAAGAGAGCTGAATTATTTAGTTTTATAGTATTGATTAAAAAACAATTCAAACATGTTTCGATGGTGGTTTATGTTGAAACTGTTGGCTGAGCGTAATTATATAATTAATTAGGTATAGAATCAGCAGGTGAGTGTGAGAGCAAAGGTAATCAATGTTTTTCATTTGTTTAATATATTACGTATTAATCAATGTCTTTAAGCCAAATATAATTGATCTGATCCAACCCGAAAAGATTATATTTGTGCATCCTTCTTTCTTTTAGAAAGTATGACATGTTTTTGATAATTGCATTTTCTATCTATAGGGACGTCAAGTGGAACCACTAAAATCATCTACACTTTAATGATCAAGATTTCATTTTGGGATTAAAACTAGCTACATATATCAACTGTATAGGAAGATGAGATCGAATGTTAAATTACGAATCAAACCTAACTCTCAAGTCTCAACATCAGTCATCAGTTTCGTCCCACTTTCACTCTAATAAACTAATGAGATGTTTAGTATTAATTATAGTTAATTTGATAAGCTAATTACATGCCTCTACGTGTCCCCTTGCGTGTTACCATGCAAAGTACAACGCAACACAAACCCATCAGATTTTTCTTGATGCCATCGCTCCTTGGAACTCCCTTCCGAATCTACTTTTATTTTTTTTACTATAAAAATATGATTTTTTATAAGATATATTTTGACTCTTATGTCCATAATTTTTCCGAATGGGGATAGGACCACGATTTTATTTATGTCACAACTCACAACTATGCAATGTCATATTTATATATATTCAAATTTGAATCACAAAGTGCGACGGTATTCATTCTTTTTTATTTTAAATTATAATATACTCATCATCACCATATAGTAATATGACTGACTACAATATATATCTAATGTAGTTTAAGCATCATTTCATCTTACAAAAGATGTATATACGACATTAATTTATGTATGATTTAAGATGCCTCCATGATCTCGTCACTCGTGAGTTTTATAAAAATATAATTCTTGTTCATATAGATATAGTTTTTGTTAAAGACTGATCTTGTTTGTATATAGTTTCTTCCATCACATATGAACACGACGTTTAGCTGTTGTAATGTTTATGCTTTTTACACTAGACATAGTCACATAGACCGCTAAGAAAGAAGAGACTATTTATTCAATAAAATACATTGTTTCACCTAAGGTTTTCACAAGATGATATAATTAAGTGATACATTATCACTTATTTTATTTTTATAAAATAATTAGGGAAAATCTGTAATGATTACAATATTAGAAACTTTTTTTTAACAACTAATATTACAAACTGTTTTTTAAAAACAAAATCTTGCATGAAGCCACCAATTTTTATAACCAGTGTAAATAGAATATGAATATAAAATTTTCTTATGAATTGACGGAATTTATAGAGTATGGACTACTCTGTTCCATGTGTCAATACGTGGATAGTAAATGTTTAACTTATTATAGTTGCTAGATTTTTATATGAAAAAGAAGCATTGCATATTTGATGTATTTATTTATAAGCCGTTCAATGTTCTTTCTCTTCCTTTCCTAAAAGAGGTGACCTAACTCCATTGGCACAAAATTCGTCTTTAGACATGAGATCATCGATCTTGTCCCCTTAATCAAGATTTGAGATCTAGAGTCACGATCACCTTTAGTTAATTAAGATTCCACTAAATTAATTTCAGAATTGGTCAATGATAATGTATGAACCCTCATCTCTTGGACCATGCCTAACATTACCTTCTTCTTTTTTTCCTTTTCGATATACTATATTTTAACCTAATTTTGGCATTTATTCATGATTGAAAGTTTGAAACCATAAACTACTTTTGGTTTTACCTAAATTTTACAATTTGGAACGTAGGAATTTCGGAACTAATTAGTGAGTATATAAAATGTTAGATAGTTAGATCCTAAATTGAGCATAATTGGCCTCTCTCTCTTCCTTTTTTGTGCATGTTCGCGTTTCGTAAATCGGAACATGTTTGCATATCAGTTTAATATTGGAAAAAATAAATAATTCAGATGATAAAAACTTATAAATGTTTTTATATTCATATGAGTATATATATATAGTTAATCACAACCTTTGATTATGTGTTTATTTTTGTTGCAATTATGTATAAAAACATAAAATCCAAAATCCACACTATATCTGAAAACATGTTTGAACATTAGTTTCTTCTCCTTTTGAGATATGACAATGCACAACTACTAGTTAACAAATTGAACTCTAGATATTTTACATTTACATTGGGAATCCGCAATTGCTCATATGCATACGTAACCTTATATGTAATCTTCTATTAATTTTGGGATAATTTATAAAGAAAATATATACTTTTAGGCCAAACAAATCAGTTCGAGTACTAAAGTAGTAAACAGTAAACACAAGGGTCAAAGTGATCGATTATTATTAACTAACCACGGCACCTACTAATTAATTCTTTACTATAAGACCAGATTCTGTCCTCAATTTCATTCCTTATATATATATAGGCCTAATTATAAAAATCTCGAATGCCATCATATTTATTTCATCAAATGAACAAATCGGAGATTAGAAAACGGTAGCTTAATTTTGTATTGGTCTGTCGGATAAATCAAATATATAACTTCATGTCAAACAATTACAGTGTGCAAGTTGATTAACTAGAATCTGTCAGAATTATTTATAATTTTTTATTGTTGAAATACTGTAAATGATACAGTTCTTACATCTAAAGAAAAATATTATATATCTCATGCCAATTTTGATTAGTTTTTTTTTTTTTTTGGTCTTTTTAATTAGAATAGCATTATAAACATAAATACGAACAATATTTCATGTCCTTTGCAGAACAAGTAAGAAAGAAAAAATCCATGTGCAAGTGCAACGGTGATAAGCGTATTCTATTTTTTTTTTTTTTTTTTTTTTTTTTTTTTGGTAAAAATAAGCGTATTCTAGACAAAGACACGCGTATCAACCCAACACTTGTCATCCTCAGAGTCCCTATATAAACCCCTTCGTACACCTCTCTTCATTATTCTTCAAAGCTCCCATTAAAACCTATTAAGAAAAATATATAGAGAGAGATATGGACGGTGGTGGAGGTTGTTGCATAGCCAGATATGGCGTTTACGGTGGTCGTTATGGTCTCTCCAAAGCGGATCGAATCATGCTTCGATTCCGTCCCATTGCTCCTAAACCAGCCAGCGACGGCGGCGGAAGTATCTCTCCCGTCACCGGAAAGTACGGCTCCCCCACAACTACAAGCGGTGGAAGCTCCGATGTTTCCGGTAAATCTGGGAGAGGAAAGAGGAAGTACCAGAAAGATAGTACCGGTGGTAACTCCCGAAGGTGCAATAAGAAGAAGAGAGATCTCGGTGGAGACGCTACTACTACCACGGCGGTTACATTGTCTCTTTTACCAGAGACCCCTGATAAACGACTTTTTCCAGATCTGAATGCTTTTCCGGTGGAAAAACAGAAGCGAAGCGGTCCATTGTGGCTGAGTTTCACCGGCGGTAGTGAGATGTTAACGCCGCCGTGCAAGACGGCGGAGATATGCCGAAGGACGGTGGTTGTTTCTTCGTGTGTGACGGTTGAACGTGTGACTGACGCATGGATCGACGGTTATGGATTAGGGAAGACAAATGAGGAGAGGAAGATGAATCTTGTGAAAGACACGTGTCCTGGTTTTATATCGGACGGTGTAGGGAGAGTCACGTGGACCAATGAGGCGTATAAGAAGATGGCTAGAGAAGATATTAATATTCCGATGGAGGAAGTTGTACCGGAGGAGATGAGTTACGATAATTTTCACGTGATCGTACGGTTAGTGATGAAGGAGAGGCCGATGCTAACGTACCCAGCTTTCACATGCAGAGTGAGATTACAGTACACGTGTCAAGATCGAGAAAGAGGTTCCGTCACGGTGCCTTGTGACGTGTGGAGAATGGACGGCGGTGGTTTTGCGTGGAGGCTTGACGTTAAGGCAGCTTTGTGCTTGTGACGTTCTTTCGATCGCCGCCGTTGGATTCTCAATGGTGAAAAATGATTAACGGTCCCGATCGTATAACACATGGCCTTCGTAGAACAGCAAATGATGAACTTTGGTTATTTAATTTTCACCTTGAACATATATTTCTGTGCTTTTTTAGTTTGCTTTTTTTTTTTTTCTTTAGTTAAGATTTTTGTTTATAAAAAGCTCTTTTCTGTCTTGAGTTATGAAATGCTAAATTACTAATCTGAAATTTGTGCTTTTTTCTTTTGGTTAAAACTTGCAAGAAAGTTGTATATATGTATCCCTTTTCTATTCATGAAAGTTTTATTTTTCAAATTATTCGTTTTCATGTCATTTAAGCTTGAAGAGGAAATTGTCAACATTCGTTTGCAAAGGCGTGTTAACATAAAGAGTCTTCACAAGCCCATACCAAAAAATATAACTAATATTTTACTAATGGGTAGCCTCATGAGATTCATTAATGGGCTTTGTGGAGGTTTAAAGGGCCTGAAAATCAAAAGATTCATAGGCACGTGTTATTCAAACGCTAATAACAAGGCGCGTTAAGTGGATAAAATAGTCAAAATAGTAGAGACAATGTCGGTCGGTAGCCGCGTCTATAACACGCGCTCTAGTAACACGTGTAATCTATTAACCTTGCAATTTGGAGTATTTATACTCACGCGCTCCAGGATCTTTTCACAAACAATTAGAGAGATCCAGATTCACTAGATTGCGCCGTAGCCTTCACAGCCGTTAGATCTAAATCTCGACGGTGAAAAATCGAAGGGATATTTGTAGCCGTCTAGATTTGGTTGGCTGGAAATTAACGGCTTAGATTCGATTAAAGGCGGCGGGCTGATCATCGCTTCGGATCTATAAGTAGAGAAGCAAATTTGTTCGTTATTCTTCGTAAGTCTCTCTCTCTCCTCTCACCTCTCACCTCTTTCGTTATTTCGAATTTTTTTTTCTTCATTGGAAGCGATATCTGGAAGCTCTCGATCTAGGGTTTTCCCAAATCGATTTTGGTAGTTTTTTTTTACTCAGTCGAGGGTTTTTCTAGGGTTTCGATTTATCTTTTTCCCCAATTGTCGTTGAGGAAGATAATCTCTTCGGTGAATTTGATTTTGATTTTGACCTGAGGGAGAAGGAAGAAGCTTAGACTAATTGCGATTCTCAGTTTGGTAAGTAAACGTGCAATTCAAAGGAATTCATCATCGGATTGATTCGGTAATCGCATCTTTGTGACTCTTTTTCGGCGAATTGCGTCTTGGCTCGATTGATTGTGGAAAGGATTGATTACTGCAACTTCATTTGAACGCTGCCAATGGGTTTTTGTAGATTCATTGTTGAAGATATCTGCAAGGTTTTTTGAGCAGAGGCATAAAGGCATACTTGCTTGATTTTTTTTTTAGTTCGTTCTATATTCTAATTTGATGGTGGAAAGACGATTAACTCTGAAAAGCGAATGAACTGTTGGATTTCTGGTTTATAGTAAATTGATGGGCAAAGCGCGGAAACACTCTAGAGGGAGATCATCAGGCTTTGTTCCTGATTACATGCAAGCTGTTGAGACCATTGAGCCTGATGAATTTGTTTACTCAGGGAGGATTGATTCTGTGATGAAACATTCTGAGGCGTCTCCTCCACTGAAAAGGAGACGTTTTGGTTTGAATGGAGATAGCAATGGCGTTTCTAAAGAGGTTTTGTCTTTGTCAAAGATGTCGAGGTCTGAGAGAAAGAATTTAGTTCACAAGTTGAAGATGGAGCTTCAACAGGTCAGGGACCTTAGTAAGAAGATTGCATCTTTCAGTTCAGACACTGTTCTGTTGTCGCCATACAATGATATTCATAGCTGCAGTGATGGGCCTAGGAGGCCGCCACCAGAAAACTTTGCTACATTTGTTGGGTCACAGGGCAAAAAGCGCCCTCCTGTGCGCAATGATAAGCAGCGGACTAAGAAAGGTCCATCTCGATTAAATGTCCCAACAATTTCTACTGTTGCTTCAGTGATGAAGGAGTGTGAGACGTTACTCAATCGTCTATGGTCACATAAGTTGGGGTGGGCATTTCGTACTCCAGTTGATCCAGTGATGTTGAATATTCCAGACTATTTTACTGTGATTAAGCACCCAATGGATCTTGGAACGATACGAAGCAGACTGCGTAAAGGTGAATACTCTAGTCCTTTGGAGTTCGCAGCAGATGTGCGTCTTACATTTTCAAATTCTATAGCTTACAATCCACCAGGAAATCAGTTCCATACTATGGCTCAAGGTATCAGTAAATATTTTGAATCGGGATGGAAAAGTATAGAGAAAAAAATGCCTGTGACTAAACCACCAGTCATTCCCCTAACCAGTTCTGCTTCTCTGGAGTCTGAAATCCCTTTTGAAGTAGCACCGTTGAGAAATAAATCAGCTGCAATGAACGAGAGCAAGCTGAGGGTGGAACCTGCTAAGTTGGTCATGACAGATGATGAGAAGAAAAAATTAAGCCTGGATCTGATGGCGTTAGAAGAAGAGTTCCCACAAAACATAAGTGATCTCCTGAGAGAGCAAAGTGGCAGTGATGGTCAATCTGGAGAAGTTGAGATTGAGATAGATATAGAAACGCTTTCTGATGAAGTCTTGTTCATGGTTCGGAAACTCCTGGATGACTATTTAAGGGAGAAAAAGAAATCCCTGGAAAAGAGCGAACCTTGTGAGATGGAGGTAAAGAATCTAACTCATCATTTTTAGTAATTGTTTGTGTGCTCTAGGAAATATTGACAATTTGACATTTGACTTTTTGTTTTAACTTTTCTATTACAGATTGTTCATGACTCTGGATTCAGTAATTCCCCTCTGCAGGCTAGTAAAGGTAAGTTTTTGCTATTTAGTTTGATGTCGAAAATGATTTACTTCAGTAATCTGATGTATTCCTAATCACAGGTGATCTGCAAATTGACGAGGATGTGGACATAGTTGGTGGGAATGACCCTTCGGTCTCAAGCCATCCTCCTCTTAAGATAGAAAAAGATGCTGCATGTAGAAATAATGAAAGCAGCAGTTCGAGTAGCTCTAGTAGTGAATCAGGCTCTTCATCTAGTGGTTCGTGTTTATGCGAGCTTTCTTCTATTTCCTTAGAATAATCATTTTGTTTCTCTTAAATAGTGCACTGATTTGTACAGTATGTAAGAATAGTAAAGATTGGAAATAAAGTAACTTTTATTGATTTATTGGAATGATTAGTATTGGACTCCTGAGTCTTGTTTTGTAATTTGAGCCTGCGTCGTGTCCAGTATTTTATTTTCAATGCTTTTTCTCTGCTCTAGTAAGTATGGTTATCCTCTTGCTATAAAGGATATTGTAGTTAGTTTCTGTGGTTTATCCTTTATGACAAAGGAATTTAGTTCTTACATTGTGGTTTGGCAAACTGTAGAATTGATTCCTTTGCTTTACTTTTCCCCTTAGGTAGAGCTTTTTATACTGATGTTTTCTGTGATTGTCTTTCAGATTCTGATTCTTGTAGTTCCTCTGGGAGTGAAACAGATTCCATTAAAGCTTCAAAACCTACAAGTAGAGAGGTATATCTAACAGTGGAATAACTTATGTTATGGAGTCTCTATGTTTTGATATTGCTCTAATTTTTGCAAGATTTTTCATTTACTCACCAAGATTTCCATGGACTATTTGCAATCATAAAAGTGAAATTTACTACAGAAGAATAAGTATAGTCTCCTCTTTAATTTAGGATAAAAAGGAACCAGGAATTGGTATAAACAAAAAGGAGGATGATAGCAACAGTGAGAAGATAATTGTAAATGGTTAGTCTCTTTTCAATTGATGTATGCAAGTTGGAGTGTTCGGATAGAGAAGTCTTCCCGACACTCATTCTTTGTTCTCTGTAGATTCTTTGAATGAATTGGGTCAACTCGAGCATGCTGTTGGGGAAACGTCGACCACCATGGATGCAGTAGTTGTCGTTCCAGATGGTAAGAAATGAAAGTTAAGGAAGGTTGGAGATGGTAATAGCTGTTTATTTTCAAGTCATGATTTTACCTGTCATGCTTTGGTATTTATAGAGGAGGCTGCTCCACCTGAGAGGCAAATTTCCCCTGATAAGCGTTACCGTGCGGCTTTCTTGAAGAATCGTTTTGCCGATACCATCATGAAAGCTCGAGAGAAGGCTCTTACTAAGGTTGGATTTTTAAGTGCCCGATCTACTGTTTGACGAAAATGCTCATGTGAATAAAGTGGAAAGGTTTAATCGAAAAATTTGATGCATCAAATTTCAGGGTGAAAAAGGGGATCCTGAAAAATTGAGGATAGAAAGAGAGGAGTTTGAAAAACGGCTAAGGGAAGGTTGGATTGTAGTGCATCGAGTGTGCTTATGTACCCATAATTCCTATCTAAATGCATATTGTTTATTCTTGCAATTTCTGTTTGATTAGAAAAAGTACGGTTACAAGCCGAGGCCAAAGCAGCTGAAGAGGCTAGGAGAAAAGCCAAAGCAGAAGCCGCAGAAAAAACGAGGAGGGAAAGAGAGCAAGAGAGAGAAGCTGCACGTCAAGCTTTACAAAAGGTATAAAAGACTTTTCAAGTTTCTCTTCTATTATTTAGAGTCTTATCATGATCAATGACTTTTCTGGTCTGTTGCAGATGGAAAAGACAGTGGAGATAAACGAGGGCATACGGTTTATGGAAGACCTCCAGATGCTTAGAGCTACAGGTGCCGAGGGTGATCAATTACCGACTTCCATGGAAGAGATGAGTCCCAAGTGTAGTGAGGATATATTGGGTAGTTTCAAGATGGAAAGCAACAGTAATCCATTAGAACATCTAGGTCTGTATATGAAAATGGATGAGGAGGAGGATGAGGATGAAGAAGAAGACCCGCCACACTTTAGCCAAAGAGAAGTAGAAGACCATCCCTTAGATGGAAGTGAAAAACAGGAACATAGTCCTCACAGAGAGGGAGAGGACCAACACGTTAGCGGAAATGAAGAGCCGGCGAGCCAAAAGGCACATGATAGTGGGAACCAAGAAGATGAAAGACCCATCAACCCAAATGAAAGAGAAAACCAACTGGAGAATATGCCAGAGCAAGAAAGTGGAGTTGACAAGGAAGAGCAAGAAACTGAAGTTATCGAGATGAGAGAGCAAGAAAAGGAAGTTGTTGACATGGGAGTGGAAGAAGTACGTCCCCTTGACAGAAGTGAAGGACATACACTTAGTCCTCACAGAAAAGAGAGAGGGGACCAACTTGTTAGCGGAAATGAAGACTCAGTAAGCGAAAAGGCACAAGATCATGGGAACCAAAGAGATGAAAACCCCATCAATCAAAGCGAGAGAGAAGAACAAGTGGAGAATGTGTTAGAGCAAGAAAGTAGAGTTGATGACAAGGAAGAGCGAGAAACTGAAGTTGTTGACATTGGGGAGCAAGAACCTGAAGTTGTCGAAATGGGAGAGCAAGAAAATGAAGTTGTTGACAAGGGAGTAGAAGAAGAACTTGCCGTTGACAGAAGTGAAGGACAAACACTTAGTCCTCACAGAGAAGAGGGAGAGGACCAACTCTTTAGTGGAAATAAAGAACTGGTAAGCCAAAAGACACAAGATAATGGGAACCAAGAAGATGAAAAACCCATCAATCAAATTGAAAGAGAAGAACAAGTGGCAAATGTATCAGAGCAAGAAGAAAGTAGAGTTACTGAAAAGGAAGAGCAAGAAACTGAAGTTGTCAACATGGGAGAGCCAAAAAGTGAAGTTGTTGACAATGGGGAGGGAGTGCAAGGAACTGAAGTTGTGGACAAGGGAGGAAAAGAAAGTGAAGTTGTTGACAATGGAGAGGGAGAAACTGAAGTTGTGGACAAGGCAGAGCAAAAAATTGACCTTGTGGACCAGGGAGAGGAAGAAACAGAAGATATGGAAGTAGAAATTGATTGATAAATCTTTTTTCCGGGTCTTGTTAAAAGCAACAAGAAGAAAAGAAAAAGTGGGGGATGATTCTTATTATGCACAAATTGTGATGTGGCGTGAAAAATGGCTAAAGCAAGCAAAAGAAAGGCAAATCCAGAGACATCTAGAAGACAGAGAATGAGTCTGTTGTGCCTATTTTTTTCAACCTGACTCTGTTGATAATGAACCTAAATTGATGAAGAACAAAAAGAGGAAACAAAAAAAAAGAAAACAATTTTGCTTAAAGAAAGATGATGTCGAAAAGCTGAGTTTGGCATCAAAGCAGCAAATTGCGATATTGTTGAAATGTGCAATTTTTTTTTTTTTAACCTTTTTAGAAGTAAACTGTACATGACAAGATCGTGTTTTCCATTGAAACGAGACTCAGAATCGCTTTTATTACTTGTAACCCGGATACTTTTTAATTGACCAACTAAACCCAAATTATCTACGATTCTGGATAGAGGGTATTTATGTCATTTTAATCTCTGTTCTCATTAGATGATGCGAATGCACTGAGAAGCTAAGACAAAGCGCAGAAAATGGTGGGAGCGACTGTGGTTAGTAAATGGACTCTCTGTGCTACTTCGCCGTCGGTAAGAAACTCGGCAAGTCTCAATCCACACTGCTCTCCGGCCAGGGTTAACCTACGCACAGAGTTGGCCGCATTTCGTCCGCAGTTCCGCCTCTTCTCGCGCGATTCATCATCTCGCCGCCGTCTTCGCGCTTCCAGCTCCGCCGAATCGGGAATCTTCCTCCCTCACCTTGTAGCTTCTATGGTTTGTGTGATTCCCCTCCATTAATGAGAATTACTTTGTTTTCTTACACTGAAGTGATGATTGAACTACGAAATCAGGAATTTAGGATTCATATTAGTTAGATAATTTTTTTGATGAATCTCATTGAAATTTGCTGACCTTTTGATCGTTATTACGTTGTTTTCTGTATTGTTTCAGGAGGAAGTTGAGGAGACTTACATTATGGTGAAACCTGATGGCATACAACGAGGCCTTGTAAGCGTTTTTGCTTCTCGTTTCTCTGGTTTTTGAAGTTGGAGCTTTGAATGTGATTGGCTGATTGCATTACACTATCTTACATTGAAGTAATGATTCATTTGATGTTCTTAGGTAGGAGAAATCATCTCTCGCTTTGAGAAGAAGGGATTTAAATTGATTGGGCTCAAGATGTTTCAGTGTCCAAAAGATTTGGCTGAGGTTTGACACTCACTCATAACAACAGTAGTTTGATAGCGTTAGATTGCTTCTTTAGGTGATGTAACTAAATCATTGACAAGTATTTAGAATTTGAAGCCTAATCATGACTTTTATTTCACTTGTTTACTACATGACACTGTCTAAGTTTTTTTTATTTGATTGACATAATTATTGTGTTTATCTTAATTGCCAGGAGCATTACAAGGATCTTAGTGCTAAATCATTCTTTCCTAACCTGATTGAGTACATCACTTCAGGCCCAGTTGTGTGTATGGTATGGCTATTACTATGCTCGTATTTGATTTTCCCTGATTTTCAACTTGTAGTTAGATGAGTTAATTGTTTGTGACTCTTTTAAATCTTGTAAAGGCTTGGGAAGGTGTTGGTGTTGTTGCTTCAGCCAGGAAGCTAATAGGGAAAACAGATCCTCTTCAAGCTGAACCTGGTACTATAAGAGGAGATCTCGCTGTGCAAACCGGAAGGTTGGCCTTTTATCACCTTTTAAAATTTTTAGAAGTAAGCACTTACTATAATTCTCATGGTTTGATATTTTTAAATTATGCAATTTGCAGGAACATTGTGCATGGTAGTGATAGTCCTGAAAACGGCAAGCGTGAGATTGGTGAGATTTCTTGTTTCTTAAAAAATCATTCATCCATCTTTCATCATAGATAGAGGCATTGACTATGTCCAACTTGGTTGCATTACTGGAATTTTTGTAGAATGCAAATCAATGTTGGTTCAAATTCCTTTTTCAATCAAACTTGAACACATAAGTAGATTAGATTATACTTGATTACTCAATTTCTTAGGTTCAATATATCTGTTTGGATTGGTTAAATCATTTAAATGATTACTATCGCTTCTTCATTTACTTAAATTGACCAAGGATTCTCATTCCTTAGTTTGCTAAACTTTTGGTTTTCATCTACTGACATTTTGGCTCTTGTGGTTGTGGCATAGGTCTGTGGTTCAAAGAAGGCGAACTATGCGAGTGGAATTCGGCTCTGGCTACATGGCTAAGGGAGTGATCATTGAAAAGACCTTTTCAATTATAATGGACTTCTTACTTGTTTTCTTGTTACTGATGATGAGCTTTGGTGTTTAGTTCCTGATTTTGGCGGTAATATAAAAACTGCCAATTTATGGCTTGATTCTTCTCATATCTTTAACACTTTTCATGTAATCAAAACTAGTTATAGAATTCAATTGCATTTGGTTCTACGTTACAAAAACATCTCCATAATCATTCATCTTCACTCTACACTAATGAAACTTTTCTAACGACTCAAGCTAAGAACATCAAGGGAACTCTAATGTGCAGGGAGAGATACAAAAGAGTGGCTTTACAAAATGCAGATGCGTGATTGAGATTGTTCACATCAGTGTACTGGAATGATATTCCGGTTTACTTCTAAGACCGGTTTGTATACGGAATCTCAATGTCCTCAGGAGGAAGTTCCCAGTGGTCTTCTTCTTCGTCTTCTCTGGATACATTTCTGTTCTTGCGGATCTCTGAAGTTGATTGCGGCTTTGGTTTAGGGTTTGGTCTCCTGTAAAATCAAAATCTATTGACTCAACTTCTTCAAGGTGTTTCGAGAGAGAGAGAGAAGAAAAAGTGAAAAAAATCAGACCTTTTCCGATACTTCTTAGCAGCTTCTTTGGTCTTCCGTATCCTTTTCTCCTGAGAGCTCTCGAAGAATCGTCGTCTTCGAGATTCCTGCAACACACCGGCTCTGAAACACGACCTCTTGAAATCGTTCAACAGCTGCTCCTCCGATTCGCCTTCTTTAGGCACCACCTCGACGTTGTAGTAACCGGACTTGAAGAAGACGAGACTCGCGTTCGCCAGCGAAGGATACGCCACTCGATTGATGACGTCCTCGTGCTCGGCCGTTAAAATCTTCGTCGTCGTTGTCATCGACAAATGCTGTGACGATCTTGCGGATACGGAAGACGGAAGCGTGATAGGTTTCAGACTCGACGGAGACGGCGGTTTCGACGAGAGAAGGGAAGAGAGAAGCTCCGAGAGAGAAACTATCGATTCTAGCGCCATTTTTTTCCGTCTGAATAAGTGAATATTCATTTCATTCTTATTACATTTATTAATTGTAACTAGTGTGCTAATTAGAGTGGTTAAGTCTTAAGTGAGTCTACTAATCTGGTTTAAAACGACGACGTTGTAAGCATATAAACGAGACCAGTGAACTTTGATCTTTGAAAGCTTCTCTCTTCTTCTCTGTCTCTCTTTCTTTTTCTGTCATTTTGTTTTTGGTAATTATGCTGAAAACAACGATTTCTCCAATTTTCTCATCGTTTACGTGTAAACCCAAGACTTCGAGGTTGATTTTTCAAGCTTTTAGTAAGGTTGTTCTTCAAGATACTCCACCAAGTGCTCGACGAAATGCGTCAACCAATCTGACTACGTTACATCAAGGTCCACCAACCTCGGCTTACGTTCATCTTCCGTTTTGTCGCAAACGCTGCCATTATTGCGACTTCCCAATCTTAGCTCTAGGCACGTCTTCTTCTTCTTTAACCAGTCCGTCTAATGTCTACGAGGAAGGAAAAGAAGATGACCCGAGAATCACAAACTATGTGAATCTGCTTGTTAGAGAGATAAAGGCGACAAGAATGGATTTTGATACGAACCCGAATCTAGAGACGGTGTTTTTCGGGGGTGGGACGCCTTCTCTTGTTCCTCCAAAGCTTGTTTCTTTGATCCTGGAAACATTGAGTTTGAATTTCGGGTTGAGTCCAGATGCTGAGATATCAATGGAGATGGATCCAGGCACGTTTGATGGTCAGAAACTGAAGGAGTTGATGAAATTGGGAGTGAACAGAGTGTCTTTAGGAGTTCAAGCATTTCAAGATGAGCTTTTGAAAGCTTGTGGAAGAGCTCATGGTGTCTCTCAAGTGTATGAAGCAATAGAGTTTGTTAAAGAATGTGGAGTTGAGAATTGGAGTATGGATCTTATATCTTCACTGCCTCACCAGACATTGGAGATGTGGGAAGAGAGTTTGAGATTAGCTATCGAATCACAGCCCAATCATGTTTCTGTATATGATCTGCAAGTCGAACAAGGCACAAAGTTTGGAAACTTGTAAGTACATAGTCCATGTTTGCTGCTTTAGATTTTCAATGTATTCTGACGAACTGGGTTTATGAACTTGTGTAGGTACACTCCAGGACAATCCCCTCTTCCTTCAGAAACACAATCTGCAGAGTTTTATAAAACAGCATCATCAATGCTCCGTGGAGCGGGTTATGAGCATTATGAAGTCAGCAGTTACTCGAAAGATGGGTTCAAGTGCAAACACAACTTGATATACTGGAAGAACAAGCCATTCTATGCTTTCGGTTTAGGTTCGGCGAGTTATGTTGGAGGGTTGAGGTTTTCAAGGCCAAGGAGGCTAAAGGAATACACAAACTACGTCGCTGACTTGGAGAATGGCGCAGCAAACTGGTGTGGAAATGGTGATGTTGATCTCAAGGATGTCGCGACAGACATCGTAATGCTATCTTTCAGAACATCAAAAGGGCTTGAACTTAAGGAGTTTGGAGAAGCTTTTGGCAGCGAGGTAGTGAAATCGATCTGTAAAGTATATGAGCCTTATGTGGAGAGTGGGCACATTGTTTGTTTGGATGATATGAGAAGCGAAGTGATGAGTGATGAATTCAAAACCTTAGTTGCAAATGATGAAGTGAAGATTGAGGATCATGTGAGGTACCTTAAACTGAAAGATCCAGATGGTTTCCTCCTTTCTAATGAGTTGATATCTCTAGCGTTTGGCGTGGTAGCTCCTTAAACCTTAAAGCTACTAACAAACAAAGGTTGTTTTTATACATCCATACTGTTATAGATTGTGTTTCAAACTGGATGTTATCATTGATGTGTATGAAGATTCGATAAAATTACAGAGAAAAATCTAATCACTATTCCTATATTGTGGAAGGAATCATCTGTTTCTACAAGCTTACAGAGAAATCATTTGTCTATGTAATCCATCTGATATCCATAGCAACTAGCTTCATAACCCCAACGAAACACTCTCTTTTGGGAATCATAAGTATCTGGTTCGAGAAGGAGAAGTAATGTGAGAGACTTGTGATTCACACCAAACCAATATCGAATTTGAACACCTTTTGCTCTCTCATGAACAGTCTGAAGCTCACCTGTACAACATGTTAAGAGAAAGGGTAGACTTTAGGAACTGAAAACGATTCGATATACGACAGCGAGATTCTCAGGCTGTCTAGGGAATGAAGTTTGTACATCTTTAATAAAGCCAATGCTTGAGAGGATTACCATATTATGAAGGTTTTGGTTTTTTTCCAGTTTTTCTAATCCGACGCAACTCTTGTGTTCCGCTTCTCTTTTCTCTGTAAAAGACAATAGAAACAACAAAATGACCAAAGACTTCTGTAGAATAAAACAATGATGGAAAAAAAGAAGAAGTAACACCATACTGTACCTTTGATATAAGAAGACTAGAAGATAAAAGAGTGGGAGTAGCATCAAGGTCAATATTGAAATGGCGAGGTAGAAGACACCCGATTTCTTCTGCACGAATTAGCATAGACTAAGATTTTAACAGAAAACTGATATATTCCTTTATACTGGTTTCCACAAGAAACAGATAGCATAAAAGAAGCAAATGAAAACAGATTTGCTTTAAAACATAATTAACAACCTCATTTAGCACACATAAGTAACTGCGACGGTTTAACAGATCATACCTTGCCTCCTCTAGGAAACGGTTTATCTTTTCCAGTGCAGGTATGAGCATCACAGAATTGGCGTAAAAAGTGTTCTTCAATCATAAAAAGTAAAAATCAAATAGAGTGATTCGGGCACACTTCAAAAAACTGTTTGACAAACATCATCTAGTATTCAATGAGAAAATATTCACTTGGAAGGCTTCTTAGTAAGGAATCATACCATGGAGACGGCTAGCTGAGGGACCTTGACTCACTGGGAAACAACTATTGGCAACGCTCTAAATAATCAAGAAAGGAAATAAACAAGTATGTAATAAGAAAGAAGTCATAGATCCATAGCGGAAAAAGCAAAGAAAAATGAAAGAGAATCCAAGAAAGAAACCTCGCAGAGATGACGGTTTTTGGCAACAGCAGCAGGGTTGCACTTGCTCTTTGGTTTCTTAGAGCTCAATACAAAGTCGCAATGCAATGCACCACACAGGTCGGCCAAACACTTTGTATCAGTCTGAGGCATTCAAATAAGTTTCTAGAATCAGCTTTCGAAACACATAACCAGAGTAATCTCAAAATCTAGCAATATATGACCGAAACCACCACGGTAACAAAATCCACATACCGTATTCAAAAGATTATAATGTCTAGTGCTGAAATGCTTGTCAAGAAATTTCTCATCATTGAAACTTTTCTTGCAGTAACCACATTTCCATTCGAAGACATCAACATGAATCTTATGCTGCTCCTGATCTCTGTATAAATCATTATCAGGATGAAGCCTACAATTCTTTGGAATTTCATATCTTTCCCGTTCCACAAACGGCGTCAAATACTGCAAAAAATCCATATTATAAAAACAATCAAAAATCTATATAAAATCAACCAAATTCAGAAATAAAAGAAGAAATATTCAATTTTGAATTGTATACTTACATCTTGTATAATCTGCCAAGCTGCTCGACTTCTTTCTCTGGAACAATGTAATTCTGGAGCATTATTAACTTCTACTTCTTCGTTAACCAATCTAAATTTCATGACAAGACAAATCAATATAATCAGACATTGAGAGCTACATCTTTGTCCGAAATTGGAAATAATCTTACACAAACTAATAAACAGTAGTTGAAAGTTTTTGTTTTTATATAGAGAGACAAGAGTTAAATCAAGTGGAGTTGCTAGAGATTCACCTATTAGATTCAGATTCTTCAAAACCCTATGGAGAGGGTAAAAACATGAAAAATTCATTGATTTATAGATCAGAATCAGAATAATGAATCGCTAAATCATGAATATATAGGTGATGTTCAAATACCTGAGACAGTGATTGATGAAGAAGAAGAAGAGCAAACAGTAGAAGAATCACGGGCAGTGATTCACAAAGTCTTCCCATCGAGCTGTGAGATTTTAGCGACAAGAATTTGATTTCTGCAAAATTTCTATTTTTTGTGAATGTTTTGGGTTTAGGCCATTGGGAATGGAGTTATCACTGCATCCAAACAGATGGATTTCGAGACATTCTAGGACCAACTCTCTCTATTACATAACTTTCTTGTGCTGGGCTAGGCCCAAATCTCTCTAGTTACGAAACTTTCTTGGGCTGGTCTAGGCCCAATTTTCCAGAGTAAACTACAGAACTTAGTGATGGAATATTCTCATATTCTTGTGCTCTAGCTTGTACTAAGTGTCTCAAATTTAGTTTCCACTGTTTTGGGATTGATAAATTATTGGATACATGTAATCGAGGTATGTAAATACAATGATTTGTACTACAGTATGTGATTGTTATACAATCATGTGTCCTATGCTATAATACAATACGGTAATGTAGATTTAAATTTGGTAGTGTGCGTGTGTGAGTTGTACACGATAAAATAAAATTTTAAAATATATCTGTTTTTCATAAGAATTTTTCGATTGATAAATAAATAAAACTAAGAAAGAGGCTGAAAAATTAGAATAAAACAATATGGCAAGATATTATTGGTAATTTTGTGATATATTTATCTCCATCAACCTTTTAATTTAGTGATTGATTTTTCATATTGAGGTTGAAGTGCTTATACTTTTTTTAACATTTTTAAGTTAAACGATTGTGTTTATCTTTAAAAAGCCGTTCATATACAAGCCCCACTACACATATCTATTAAGTGTCGTGACTTGTGGGATGAAGGATATGGTGAAGATGATCTATTTGAGAGAGTGTATGATTTGTCTGACTCAGTTTTGGTTTAACAAATGTTGGGTCGCGCTATTAGTGGAACACTCCCTCACAACATTTTGTTAATTACGACCGATCGTGATTTTAACCTTGCTTTACATTACTTAGCTACCGACGGTTATTCGGTGTTTCAAGCGAAGTTACCAAATCCTGATAATGGTTTTGTTCGTACCCATCTACGTGCAATTCGTACATGGTCCTGGTTAAATTTACATTGTTAGAGAAATTGTCGATCAGTACGATGAATGTTCGAAAAAATGTCGATCAGTTCGACGAATCGTCGAAAAATCGTCGATTCGTACGTAAAATATCTGAGAATATGAAGACTGGCCACGATCATTGTAGTGCGAAAATGGCATTAACTATAGTACACGAGTTATAGTTGAAAAAAACGATGTCAAATTAAGAAGATGCACCGAACACAAGAAAAACAAAAAAATAGAAACAAAAGCTTTTTAGCAAGTTAAAAATCATTCTAATTAAAAATTAAAATAATATAATCTAGCAGGATATTATTGGTAATTTTGGGATATATATGTCTCCATATTAACCTTTTGATTTTTTCATATTGAAGTTGAAGTGCTTATACTTTTGTTAAGTATTGTGTTTTATCTTTAAAAAAAAACATTAACATTTTACTATTTTTACCAAACACTTCTTGTAAATCTTAATAAAACAGTTTTGCCTTTTGAAAATATGGAAAAATAATTGGCCTTAATTAGCCTTAATAAGCAAATCTGCTTTAAAAAAATAAACAAATCTGCTTTAAAAGACTTTCTCAATACCACGTTTATAACGCACGTTCTAGAGGAAAATGTATTAAGGGATGCTTGACACTTTTTTTAATCATGTTTTGTTAATTTTTGTTTGAAAATGATTTGTTTAGGTAGTACGGTTAGGGATTTACGCGGGAAAGAAGAAGAGGTGTAATAATGTTGTGTAATGTAAACAACAACAACAACAACAAAAAAAAAAAGGTTTGATTTGGTTAATGCTGTTGTCAACGACGACGACGTGTTTCCCTCTAATGTTTCTCCTTCCTCTCTCTATATTACAACTGCATTTCTCTTCTCTCTCCTCCCAACTCTCTCTTTCTCTCAATAGGTCTTGATATTTCCTTTTGCTTTGATCTCAACAATGGCGGTAAGAACAAACAACCTCTTCAAATCTCTCTTCTTTGATCATCATGATGATCATTGTCTAGCTTTCTTGATGTCTAATGAATCCTCTGTTTCTTGGTACAGGGAAACAAAGGGAAGCCATTGCCAAAGTTTGGGGAATGGGATGTGAACAATCCCGCATCAGCCGAAGGATTCACAGTCATTTTCAGCAAAGCTAGTGATGAGAAGAAGACCAAGAAAGCATCCGGCGCTGGCCCTAATAGTCTGGTTTCACCTCAGAGAAACCAAAACTCCGATCAAAACAATCACCATGATTCCCAAAACCCAAAAGCTAAGGTAGTTTACTTTTTTCTCATTGCATTCAACTCTTTAACTCTTTATCCAAGAACACAGATTGCTTACCTGATTTATGTTTTCTGCGCAGAACAAATGGTTTTGCTTCCGTTAATTCCTGCGATCTTCTGAAGAACCCGAGGGGTAGGGAAGCTGAAGCAGTTTTGCAGAGAGATCTCAAACAAAGTGAAACAAAAGGGTTAAGGGTTAAACACCCAATACATCTCAGCTTTCTTCATCTCTCTTCTGCTGATATTATACTTGTTCAGTAAACTTTTTGTTCCTTTCTTTTTGTTTGCCAATGTTTTGCCCACAATGGATATAAATTGTATCTTTTGACTCCATCTAAGAACTATGGAAATAAGATTTTGAGAGATAGTCCTTTGCAGACATAATGCTATTAGCTATTATTCATATCGATGAAACAAGATCATAACATGGCTTCTGTACATCCTTCCAATAGCTTCAACCTCTCTAAAACCCTAACAAAATTAACATTCGATTTTACTGAGAGGAAGTCGCGAGCTTTAACTCTATAAGGTTATATTGCCGTTTCAGAGCTGACACCTGAAGAAGAATCTGCCGTCAAAAGATGCTGAAACAGAGTCTGCTTAAACTGGGATCACAAGATTTGATCCCACCATCTATCTAAAAAAACCCGAGGCCATGTTTACGGCTTCGGTTTCAGAAAATTGAACCCCTCTTAAGAGGCTAACAACACAGCACCAGAAAATCATAGCAGAAACATGTGTCCTGACATAGAAGTAAGCAAAACAATCTATGTACATATATAATGTCGTTGTTTGGTTCTCCGTTCTAGCAATTGTTGTGAGATTCAGATATGAACAAAACCAGGCAGATATCCAGGAAAATTATTTCAGAGGAGAGCCACCAACGGAAGAAGAACAAATCATAAACAGAACATGCTTCCATTAGACTGAACCTTAGTGAAAGAGTAGATAGTTACAGTTAAAGCGGGAGAGAAAAGTTATTGGGTGAGAATTCTGTAAACAAGCATCGACTTGCCAGATAGATGTAGTTTGGAGACTATAATTTACCTAAATGTTTTTATAAACTTCAAAGCCAAAAGAAGAGTTTGATCCTAAGAACTGAAAAGCCTATGATGGTAAAGAAAAAAAGTATCCCTTACGCAGGCTTCTGAACATGTGATGTCAATGCCAGCTGATATCTTCATTTCCGTTAGCGCCAACTTGAGGAGCTTCTACGGTTTGGGAGCTGCTGGGCGAGAATGTAGGCGGTATGGAATGATCAAATCTACACGCTGGACCAAATTTGCAGATGCCATATCGGCTGTAGTGTGTGCACATACTCTGATCCTGTAAGTGTAGGGAAATCAAGGAAAAAGAGTTTAAAGTGTGAATAAGTGATCGATCATAATTCTTGTCCTGAATCAAATTCACCAGGAAGATCAAGTTCTATAGCATCAGAAAGAAGGAAAGAAATTCATTTTTACGAACAACATTTCTCAAGTGGCTTCCTAATACTAGCTCAAAAGAACATCATGGGCGGGAAAAAAACACTCACAGGTCTTAGGGGCAAGCCCTTGTCATTGAAAGAGAATGGAGCTTGCTTTGGCAATCTATTTTTCGGATGATGGTATTTGCATTTATATTTGAACTTACAGTCTCCAGTTTTAAGATAATAAGTGCACTCTGGTTGATCCGGGCGTTCTGGGAATTCCTCACCAGGCATCTGGTGTTGGTATTGTGAGAATGAACTAGTTTCAGCCAATGAATTGTTCACCGGGTATGTGGAAGGAGCAAGCACACTCCTTTCTGGTGGATAGGCAGAAGACGCCTACACCAATAAAAATGAGAAACTTCAAAAGTAAAGTACTATAGTTTTATCAACATAAAAGAAAAAATGCAACAAAGTTAGTAATGCAGAGGCAGAGCTGAAGTTAACTACCTGATACCCATTCCACTCTGAAGCTTGAGGTGAAACTCCACGATTATGGGGGAACATGGCTGGAATAAAAGGAGCAGTACCAGTACCATTCATATGTCTCGTTGAAGACCAAGAAGTTGAACTTGCTTGGGATGGGGCCTTTGGGGAAAAGGGTCCACCGTTATTACCACGGAACAAGGGAGAATCAACTCCTCCGATAGCCGTAGGGTCAGGATGATTAAATTTGCAGTCAGATCCAAACTTGCAGGAGCCATTGCGCATGTAGAAAGGGCATTCTTTCTCTCCCTGTCAATAGCTTATACTATTATAGCTTTTCCATAAGGCTGTTGGAAACAGAATGTTAGAACTGTATAAACCGATTAATGGAATACCGGTCTGATAGGAAGGCCAAGGAAGTTAAGCTCTGGTCCTGAGGCCAGAGAAGTATGTTCTTTCGTGTGGCTGAATCTACAAGACTCTCCATATTTGCACCCTCCAGTCCTGAAGTAGTACTGCAAACCTCGGAATTAGGAGCAGGATATCAGTAGACAGACTTTCAAAAGAAAAAGCGGAATAACAGAAGAGAACAAACACATACAACACAAAAAGAAGAGGGAGAATGATATGACTATGTCTGTAAGCCGTGATATAGTGCACTTCCCATAGAAAACTAGAGAATGATATGTCTATATCGGTAAGCCGTGATAAATTAATTCGATTCAAGATAACAGCAATATTCAGACATGGAAAAGGCGACCACATATCATCCGCCTTTTACAAACCAAGCACCTAAAAAATCAAGCATAAATTCAGCAAAACTAAAACCTAATCACAGCCTAAGCCAATAACATGACCAGACTTGCATACAAGTGTTGGATGCTTGAACGAACTGTGAGAAATATAACATAAGGGAAGGTACACGGAAAGAAAATAATGTAATCTTGCTAAGCCAATACAGAGGAAAGGAAGAACATTTAACCTTACACTCCATCAGCTTAGGATTCTCCACATCCTCGTCTCTTTCCCTTACTTTCTCCCTACCAATCTTCCAAATAACAAAACATTAGAATAGCAAAAAAAAGACACAAAAAGATCATTTTCGTTTAAATTAACATAGTCCTTTTCCCTTTCTCGTTCTTATACTCCCTAAAAACTTCAAATCCTAAACCAAAACAGCAGAGCAATAGAAAAACGAAGCAAACTCAAAACTTAAAACATAAATTCTAAATCAAGCTTTCCCCTTTTGGTTCAATAGACAAACCCCAATTAAGAATCAACATCAATGTTCAGGAGAGCAAAAAAAACTAAAACTTTCGGTGACAAATTGAGAATTAAAACATGCAAAGATGATTGAAGAGGTAAAAGAAAAGTACTTGAAGTTTCTTTCGAAGAGGGTGATTGAACTTGCAACTTGATCCGTATTTGCAGCTTCCTGTTCTCATATAAAACGAACAATCCTCTGCATCAGGTCTCACTGGATACACCACCATCATTCTCTTCTCAATCATACTCTCACGCTCTTCTTCCTCCTTTCGATCGCTCCCTATTGCCCTCGAATCCGTTTCTACATTGACACTAATCGGAACACTCAGCTCTTTCTCAGAATCATCCAAACCCACATTCCTGAATTGATCACTAAGCTCCTCAGAAACGTGATTGAGATCAGACGGAGCCTGATCGGCGACGGTGACGGTGACCTCATCGGAGGAAGATCGAGACGGATCGGGTCCGGTTGGATTCGGGTCGGAAATATCTTCGGGCTTGGTCATGATTTACTCAAAATCACATTACAATTTTACAGAAATCCCTAATTTCAACCGAGAAGAGAAGATCAAAATCAAAGAGGGTAAAGAAAAAAGGAAGAACCAAAGAAGAAGAAGAAAATCAATTCGCGTTTTTTGGTTTGATGGGTAGTTTTGTCCTTTTTGTAAAGCGACATAATGTGAGAATCAGACAGAAACTGTGTCTCGAAAGTGTAATAATTGATAGTTTAGTTTCGAAAGCAAGATATTTATATAAATTGCAATCAAGACCCTGAAGTTGTCTCCTCATTCGCGTCTCTTCACTACATAGTATAGTAGAATTTTGACCGTGGGTAAATATCATACCAGAAACAACGAGCGGAATTAAACAATCATATATTAGGAAATAAGTAAATTTGATTCCTTTTTTTTCAAATAAGAAAATGTAGTTCTTAGAAAAAATTTATTAGTTAGAATTTGATTCATTAGCAACAACATATATTAAAACAACGAATTTTCAGCTGCAATGGATTTGGTAAAACATTTAGAGGGACCAAATTAAGGGTTTTAAGACTCTCGATTCTTCTCTTGTGTTCAAACTTCAAATCTTTTGGATTTTGAACCATGTATAAGAAGCTAAAATCTATCAGAATTTTGTTTATGATTTTCCGACTAATTCTTAACGAAAATTCCAGTGGATATAATTCATCAAAAATTGGTCGAAAAGTCATCGAAATAATAGTGTTGATGTGTCAACAACAATTATCATGTTTCCCATTATATCAAGATAAGATCCTATTTATAAAATAACATAGGGTCTGATTGGTAACAAGCTGTTAGCTGTTAGCTGGAGCGGTTAGCTGGAGCTGTTAGCTGTTAGGGAATAGTGCAAAGCTGTACAAAAGAATAAAACACGAAAGCTGTACAAAAAAATATCGCAGAACAAATTTTAAAAATATATTCTGATTGGAAACATCATAGCGGTACACATAATAAATAATATTAAGAATTTAGAAAGAAAAAAAAAATTATATAGAAATGTACTTTAGTATATAATTACATATGAAAATTAAGATTATATAGAATGAACAATATTTTATTGTTAGAATAATAATATGAATTTACTAGTCCTATAATAAATAAAATTTTCTTTATTTTGAGCAATATAACATTCCAAAATAATTGTTTGAGAAAAAAACCATTATTTCTAATGAGATTTTTTCATAGGCTGTATTATTTACTTTTTCGGAAATCTTTATCTGAACATTCGAGACTTTTTTTTTTGCATTATACATAGTTACAATTATATTTTATAAAGTTTAATTATGCGGTTAATAATACGGTTAACCGTGCGGCTAATCGTACTGTTAAATAACGGTTTTGCTACGTTTCCGGTATATTGACGGTTACGGTTAGTATATTTTTTTTAACCGTAACTAATCTAGTTTTACGGTGAATGGTTATGGTTTTTAACCGTTTTATACAGTTACTGTTGAAAAACGGTCCAGTTACGATCCAAAATACGGTTATGGTTAGCTTTTGGTCATGCTAGTAAGCATGACCAAAAGCTAACCGTAACTATATGTTGTACCGTAACCGGACCGTTTCTCAACCGTAACCGTATAAAACGGTTAAAAAACCGTAACCGTAAAAAATAATTAGTTACAGTTAAAAAATATATTAACCGTAACCGTTAATTAACGGTAAACATATGAAAACCGTTATTTAACCATATGGTTAACCGTATAGTTAAAACTTTTAAAATATAATTGTAACTCCATATAATGCAAAAAAAATTATCGAATATTCAGATTAAGATTTTCAAAAAAGTAAATGATACCGCATATGAAAAAATCTACGTTATAAAAAATGGTCTTTTTCTCAAACAAATATGTTATATTGTTATTTTGCTCGAAATGAAGAAAATTTGGTTTGAAACATACTTTTTGATTTTATGAAAAGTATTATAATAAGTTAGGTAACTCGTAAGATTTCGCCTCCGATATTAACCGTATTGTAGTCATCAAATAACTATAACCGTAATTATCCGTAACCGTTGTAACCGTAACCGTATTTAACCGTAACCGTTATAACCGTATTTAACCGAACCGTTATAACCGTATTTAATCGTAACCGTATTTAACCGTAACCGTTTTAATTTATTTTTGTTTTTGTCCAAAAAAACAGTTTTTTTTTTTTTTAATAGTGTATCGCTTTTCATAAAGTTTTTGTGATTGGTAACTGTCAAAGCTGTACAAAGCTGTACAGCTTTAAAATTGGTTACCAATCATAGCCATAAAAAAGGTCAGATTTCATAAATGGTTCATTAAACTCTATTAGATTTTAATCTACCTTTCAGATTTTTTATTTATAATACATAAAACAAAATAAAAATGAAATTTTAATAATAGATATTTTTACAAAACCTTTTCCCTTTCTTTTTTTGCCTTTATCACTGTTTGACATAGTATATATAAACACAAGCACATAACCAGAATATGTACTCTTGAACAAATATCAATCAAAACACCCACCATATACAAGCAATAATGGTCACAAAAACAAAAACAATGTCTCTATCATTGACACTCCTCCTCTTCATCCTTGTATCTACCTTCTCCGTAACCTCAACACTAAGAAACCTCTCTCCAGCGGCTGAAAACAAAGGAGTATGGTGCATAGCGAATAATAAAGCGACAGATGAGCAGCTACAAGCGAATATAGACTGGTGTTGCAGCTACGAAGGAGGATTCCGTGATTGTACACCGATCAATCCTGGTGGAGTTTGCTATGAACCAAATACTCTAAGAGACCATGCATCGTACGTAATGAACTTGTATTACCAGAATCTTGGTTCCACCAAAGCCCAATGCACTTTCAACGGTACTGGCACCCAAGTTCGTAAAGACCCAAGCCATGGCGCTTGTATTTTCATATCTTATTAATATATACATGTGGTAAATTATTAAGCCGAATCTTCGAATAAGTTGAAAATACTATGTATGCACCAAATTTCTCTAATCTCTATATAAGTTAATATGTAACTATTGGAGTATATTAATTCTCAACTTATAGAATATCTTCATATTTCTCAAATGTTGTTGATGAATCATTTTAAGTACATCTCGATCGATACTTGTATTAATGGCTAAGAACTTCATAAACGCAACTCATGAGATGAACCTACATATATCTTGAAAGAGCTTTTCAAAGAGGTGATTATACATATTAAACATGATACAAATAGGAAAGATTATTCTTCTTGCTGGACTCTGACAAAAAAAACAGAGGCTAAAATTTCGATTAATCCTATGAAAAATAAGTTGTGGAATCTTCAAACTAGCACGAGGACCAGAGTATTCCCTTGGAAAGGAGCACACGTTGTGGCTTATCTATTAGAGATAAGTGGACTGAAAGTTGAATTACATTGCAGTTACGTTGATGTGACAAAAAAAATGTCTAGAAAGTTGAATTGCATTGTCAGTTACGTGGATGTGACAAAAAAAGAGTCAAGAAAGTTGAAAATTAGTACATTGTCAGTTACATTGCTAGAAAATGTGATTTCTTAAATGATGCATTAAACGATATTGGATTTTCTTCTATATATATATGATCACACTACAAGGAAAAACAAACAAATGAGAGAATATTACATGTTTTTGCATTAATTATTACAAAACCTTATTTTCTTCTTATCACAGTTTCATTTATTGTATATATAGACACAAACACATAAAATGTTTACTCTATAAACAAATTAAATATCAATCTATAAGCAATAATGGTCACAAAAACGATATCTCTACCATTGACGCTCTTCTTCTTCCTCCTCGTATCCACCGTACATGTGAACGCCACACTAAGAAACCTCTCGCGGGCGGCTGAAAACAAAGGAGTATGGTGCATAGCGAATGACAAAGGGACAGACAAGCAACTACAAGCGAATATAGATTGGGTTTGCAGCGACGAAGGAGGATTCCGTGACTGTGGAGCGATCAAAACTGGTGGACCTTGCTTTGAACCAAACACGGTAAGAGACCACGCGTCGTTCGCAATGAACTTGTATTACCAGAACCTTGGTGCCACCAAGGCACAGTGCAATTTCCATAACACTGGCATTGAAGTTTATACCGACCCAAGCCATGGCTCGTGTGTTTTCGTATCTTATTAGCATTTTAATTTCCGGTTAACATGTATGTGTGGTTTGGCCGAAACTCCAGTTAAATAAGTTGAAAAAAAAATGTATCCATCAGTTTTCTCTAATTAATCTCTATATATAAATTAATTTCATTATACAAGTGTCTAATTTTGTCATCGAGCCGGCCATAAGGCCAAGCCGGCAAAAGCATAGGCTTGCAGCCGCTAATAGTATCGTTTAGTTTCGGCCAAATTAAAGAAAAGTTCTTGTGCTATTCAATGGTTGTATCACCTGTATATGAATTTGAACTTTGAGAATGGCGTAGACAATTTGTTTTTTTTAACAACAAAATCATTAAATAGGTAAAAGTTATGTAGCCCATTTTATTCATTCGCTTGTATAGCTTTGTGAAACTCTGGACCGGCTTTGTTTGTCATTATGTCAGTTTGAACATAGTGAGGTTACAAACGTCCAATCAAAGAGATTATATGATGACGAAAACAATTAATGTCTTAATGTTTTGGTGAAAATATTTACAATTTTCTATGTGATAGGTAGGCTAGCACTATGAGATAGTATAACAATGCTTTAACAACTCTAATTCAAAGACAAAAACATCGCTCAAGAGTACCTAATCAGCGTCAAACCTCCTCATCTCTGTAGATTAGGGGTCGCAAAATTAATTATATAGGTAGGATAGCAATATAAGATGGTATAACAATGCTTTAACAATTCTAATTAAAAGACAAAAACATCGCTCAAGAATACTTAATCAGCGCCAAACCTCCTTATCTCTATAAATTAGGGGTCTCAATATTACATATAGACTTTTCATCAAGAATTCAGCATCAATCTCATTCACATTTAAACTAGGACTTTGGTCTTTGTGTAAGCACCAAAGCGTCTTTCATCATCATTGAACCTCCTCTACTTTGAAATCGGAGCTTTATCTCAACACATGTCTACTTAGGGGCATTGTCAATGACTTCGCTTAATGTTTGGAGGCCCATGGGAATTTGCAGTGATCAACTTTCGAAACTCCTACTTCTTATGTTGTTCCATGTCTTAGTTGTAACCGGGGGATAGTAAAATTATTTTTGTCAACAATCTTATTTTTTGGTGAACTTAGCAAATATCGTTTTGATATAAAATTTTAAATTGCATGACGCGCTTTCACTTTAAGTCATATATTCGTATGTAATGTTCACTAAATGTAACTCACTTAAAAAAAAAAAAAAATGTAACTCACTTAATATTTTCATAGGTGTCTTTTTTTTCAAAAAAAATTATAGGTTTCATAGAGGCATACATTACATTTTTAACCAAACAATGCCTACCCCACCAATTCAATCTTGTTCAAATCCGTAACTAAAATGTTTTAAAGTAGCTTATAAATGTTTATTTTTTCATTAAAATAAATATTTGAGTTAGTTGTATATAGTTATTTATAACTCATCAATTTAAAAAAATTATATCCATAACTGAAAGATATCTAGTTAAATATAATATGATATATCAAAAGATCTACAAAATAATTATGATAAGAAATATATCATAATATTTTTAATGGAATAATCTTTAGAGAGTATTTTTTTAATGTATTACTTCTTCTAATTATCTCTCCCTAGTATATATATACATGCCCTTGCACGAAAAGATAACACATAAAAACTATTGAATCCTTTACCATTTCCAATGTCGTCGTTGCAACTTTTAACACTTGTTCTTCTCGTATCAACTGTCGCTATCCCCGTCGTGACTTGCAGACAATGGTGCATGGCGATGCCTGGTACCTCAGATGAGCAGTTACAAGCCAACATTGATTTTGGTTGCAGCAACGGCGTCGATTGTACACCGATCCAACCTGGTGGAACTTGCTATGTCCCTAACACGTTATTCGACCATGCGTCGTATGTCATGAACGCTTATTATCAAAGCCATGGGCGTATCGAAGATGCTTGTAGGTTCGGCCGTACTGGCTGTTTTACTTTTGCCGATCCAAGTAATGGCTCGTGTATCTACTACACTTAAAAAAAATAAAACTCTTTGTGAGTGTATAAAGATTGTGCTATTGACTGTTTATTTTGAATATGTATTTTATTTTGGGTTGTTGTATACCCAAACTATATTATAAATTAAAAAAAAAAAATTGCATATGAAAATTGCGATTTTAATGGAATAATTTATAGAGAGTTATTTTATTGATTTATTAAATCTTCTAGTTCTCTCTCGTTAAGTCCTTTCCCAAATAAGTACAAAAGTAGCGAGAGAGAATCAGTCTTGTTTGGAAAAGTCTTTTTGTATATTTTCCATGTAACTGCAATAACGTAAGCAACAAATTAAAGGAAACTTTCTCAATACGTAATTTCCATGACATCGTGATTCCATAATCACAGCCCTTGAAATCTTTGGTCGTAACTCTAGATGATTCTCCATTGTATCTCTATATAAGAAACCTTGTAATCACATTGAACGATAAACATAACATTCTTACAAAATACATAGTAACATTTCTTTATTTCTCATTCAATGTCTTCGCAGCTTCTAACTCTCTTTCTTCTTCTATCTGCTGTTGCGATCCCTGTCGTGACTAGCAGACAATGGTGCATGGCCATGCCGACTGCAACAAACGAACAATTACAAGCTAATATTGATTTTTCTTGTAGCCAGAATGTTGACTGTACACCGATCCAACCTGGTGGAACTTGCTATGACCCTAACACGTTATTAGACCATGCGTCGTTTGCCATGAACGCTTATTATCAAAGCCATGGTCGTACGGAAGATGCTTGTAGGTTCGACCGTACTGGTTGTTTTATTTTTGTCGACCCAAGTAAGGGCTCATGCATCTACTATACTTAAAAAAGTTTTTTTCTACCGGATTGCGTTACGTACATGATTATTGATTTCCGTATAGTTTTTTTTTTTTTTAGTTTTTTATTTTCGGAATGTTGTATTCCCAAACTAAAGAATGGATGTTCTGTTTACGCTTCAATGTTCGTAGTGATTTTTTTTTTTTTTTTGGTAATGTGGTTAAGACATGAGAATATGAGATGGTGGTGGGATAATGTCAATTATTGTTGAAACATGTCATTATGATGTCAAGCATGACAAACAAATACCAGGGAATAGATAAATTGACGGCAAAAAGAAATTGGATTCGTACAAAATTCACATGGTTTCATCTATGATATCTAAACTTTTCTCTAACGATCTTTGATCTATACAAGAAATTGTCTCATATCTTTGGTCTAATGGTCTACAAAACAAACTTATTTGTAAACTTCCTATATTGACAAGAAATTTTATAATTTGGCTATACAATCTGGCATTAAGTTACTAGATCAACTTTTTTTTTTGTTATTACGCCAACATGCAACGAATTACTAGATCACATTTTAGTAGATTAATATGAATATATTAAACTGGAACAACATATATACTAGTTTCCTATGACTTGAACTGGCTAGTAAAAAAAAAACTATTGTTAATTGAACAATTTATACAAAACTCATCAAACAAATTGGAACTTAAAAAATGAACAAATGGGTAAACTTTTTTTTTTTTTTGGTTGGCATCAACTTTTGCTTTAAGATATGTAAATAACTAAAGAAATTCCATAAATTTGAAATTGAATATTTGAATTTTCTGTTTTCCTTTGACCAACAAAAAAAAAAAAAATCTGTTTCCCTTTTTTAACTTAAATTTGGGTGAATTTCTATTTTTTTTATTAAATTAGGGTAAATCTGCAAGACGCACGAAGCTGACAAAATTTCTGTTTAGTTTCCGTACTTGGGGATAATTTATCAATCTTCTGCAAAAATTAACAAACATATAGGTTTGAAGAAGAAAACATCAAAACATTGAGATCCATGTCGAGAGAGAGGATCAAACGTGAATTACCTCCCGTTCAAGAGGTACTTCTACTCGCATCTGCTTTCCTTCTTCTTTCTCTCAAATTTGGTTAATTTCACTCGATAAGAGATAACACAGATCCTTATCTTTTTGATAAATTCTTAAAGCATATTGATAAATTGCGGAAAGTGGTAGAGGAAGGCAATTACTATGGAGCTTTGCAGATGTATAAATCTATCAGTGCAAGGTTCGTTAGCTCCATTCCTTTTGCTTATTGCTTGATTCTTCATTGATCCTTTTTTCAATTCTGGTAATTTGGTTGAAACAATTGGATTTTTCATTATGAATTGTCAGATTATTTGTTTCTTCTTATTTGGTTCATACATATGTTTGGATTGATAAAGGATTAGCCTTTTTGGTTTTGCAGATATGTCACGGCTCAGAGATTCTCTGAAGCTCTTGATATCCTCTTTTCAGGGGCTTGCATTGAACTAGAACACGGCCTGGTTTGTTCGCTTTCCTTCTTTCTTATTCTATATCTATTTGTACTTGGAACCTGGAGGGACTTGTAATCACATATTTTAACAAGAAAAAATCTTTATCGTCTTGTGCACTTTTGCTCAGTTTTTAGTAGAGGTAAGAATTTCTTATTAAAACGGAAAATTTGCAGGTGAATTGTGGGGCGGACCTTGCTATTTTGTTTGTCGATACACTAGTTAAAGCCAAGTCTCCTTGCAACGATGAGGCTCTTGGTTAGTTCGAATTCACAAATAATCGCTTTGACCTATTGCAGTTTTCGGTTTATACTGAAATATTTCCGTCAGATCGTATCAGGTTTATTTTCAAATTGTTTCCTCGGGTTCCTGTACCACCTCATTTGGTAGATGTGAGTGACGATGAAGATGTCCAAAATCTTCAAGAATCTCTTGGGGAAGCCAGGTCACGAGTAGAAAACTTGACATCTTTCTTGAGAGCTGCTATAAAGTAAGCCAGAGCATGTGTATTATTTCACTTATTCAACTGATATTGTCCATGGTTTTCATAGTGCTGTTTCTTCTTTCTTTTAGATGGTCTGCAGAGTTTGGAGGCCCACGTACTGGCTATCCTGAGTTGCATGCTATGCTGGGTGATTACCTCTACACCGAGTGTCCTGAACTTGTAATCCTCTTGTAGCCCTTTTTGATTATAAAGTTATACTTATACATTTCATCTTTCTTCATTTAATCGGTTTTTAATATATTTCTCGCAGGATATGGTCCGGATATCCCGACATTTTGTTAGAGCTGAGGACCCCGAGAAGTTTGCATCTATGCTGGTCAACTTTATGGGAAGGGTCAGTCTCTTCGTTTCTAGTTGTCTCATCTCTTGATTTCTATATTAGTCTTTAGTTTCAGTGTAGAGTAATTTTTGCACTGGGATAGAAATTCAAGAAATGTCTGGATTTCAATGTAACCTCTCGTGGCCAAAAATATGTGTTTTCTTACTTGAATACTACTTTACAGTGTTATCCCGGAGAAGATGACCTCGCAATTGCAAGAGCAGTTCTCATGTAAGTTCATGCTTTATAATTGGATACAGAGATAGCAGAGTTTGAAAGGAACTAAAGAGATTGATTTTTCTTTTTTTGCATGATAGGTACTTATCTATGGGTAACATGAAAGATGCAAACTTTATGATGGATGAGATTAAGAAACAAGCGGAGACAAAAAATCCCGAGCTTTCAGAATCAGACCTTATCCAATTTATCTCATATCTTCTGGAAACGTTTGTTACCTACTTAGAGCTTCTTCTTCCTTTAGTCTTTTCTGCTCGTTATTGTGTACTTAAGGAAATTTTTTACCCAATACAGGTTGCAGAGGGATGCATTGCCTCTCTTCAATATGTTAAGAGTAAAATATAAGTCAAGCATAGATAGAGATCAGCTGCTTAACGAGGTATACAGTTGTTAGTTACTGGTCCCTCGTTTCTTCAACAATATGCAACCTTTTTGTTTGGTCTCTGCATGTTTTGATCCTTTTTTATTCAATATGTTTCTCTTTCACTTCTGATGAAAACCCGGAAAATGTGTTTATATTTTGAAGTTACTGGACGAGATTGCAGAGAGGTTTTACGGTGTGCAGCGTAAGAATCCTTTGCAAGGAATGTTTGGAGACATCTTCAAGGTAAATTAGATCGCTATATATATATATATATGATCTGCATATATATCATTTCTTGAAGTAACCGTTGAAACTCTCTTTGTAGATGATGGGCTGAGGAAGGAGTTTTAAGAGGCAAGAATACTCTCCCTTTTTTGTTTTCCTTTCTGATTTGTATTTGGCAATGTACTAATAATGGATAGCTCTGGAGAAAGCTCCAGTTCATAAGTTATTTCTCTTTTCCTTGAGTGGGTGAAAGAGTTTTGTTCTTTGTAACATTTTACATTTGTTTGTCTTTACTATATTACTTCAGGATATATAAAATTAAACTTCAATTTACATTACTGTCAAACGAAACCTCAGACACTTTTTGTTGGGGAAGAATAGCAAATGTTTCTCTAGATTCAAAGCCACTCGCGATTTTTAGTGTTGTTGTACTTGAGACATAATGTGAGAGTTGTGCACCCACGATACGAAACAAGAAGTATTACAAAGCATCAGGAATCTCGAACAACATATGAAGAAGAGAAGCAAGTACAGAGCCTTGACATGGTTGTGGCTTTAAGCAAGTTAGACTGTGCTGCATCTAGCAATGAATCAGCTTCAAGTGATTTCTCGAAACAGGACTTAGCTTCTTCCCATCTGCGTTCAGCCACAAACACAAGTCCAAGGTTGTTGTATGCAGGTGCATAACCCGGTTTGAGCTCCAACGCCTTTGAGAACATTGCCTTGGAGACTTCGTACTGCTTTTTCTGTCTGTAGAGGTTCCCGAGGTTAGAGAATACCGTGTGAGCTTGATCCTCTGTTGACACGGCCAAGGCTCGTTTGTATACTTCCTCGGCTTCTGAATGTTCATCTGATAACTGCAGCGAGATACCTAAAAGCCAACACATGAAATTAACATAAGAATTATGCAACGAACTTAAGATTGAGGACCCCATCGATCTCCTAATGCTTAGAGCAATGTGATTAATCTGCAAGCATTGATTTGAAGGTGGTGTTACCGAGATTTGACCATGCATAGCTACATTCTCTAGAACGACCAACCGCTGCCTTGAGGTATTTTTGTGAGAGTTTATATTGTTGAGAACAGAGACTATGAAGACCGAGCTGATGCCACCGGACAGCATCTTCAGGATCCTCTGTTACTGCCTAATGTGAACAAAAGAGAATAATAAGATGAAAAGATTTTTGATGTGGCAATATCTCTCCATTATCTATTTGTGTAACCAAACCAGAAGAAGTGCCAATGACTTATTGACTTATTTCAGGATATCAGTCTTTCATCTAATATTAGTCAAATCTCTTCAGTTTTCCTCCTATTATACCCAATTAGTTATTATTTGAATACAACATCTGAAACTAACTTCTTAAGCATCGAATCGCAGAAACGGCATACCTGCTTTAAGCTGTACACTGCCCGCTCTTCCATCTCTGTCAATTCATTTCGGTCAGCAACAAAGGCAGCTGCAATTTCATGCTGTGCCTTGTGAGCCATGGCAAGCCCTGCCCAAGCAATGGGAGGGTCAATTGGAACAGATTCCCCTTCTCTTATCACTGAAGCCATCTCGTTGCCAGCCCATGAAAGCTGGTCGCTTGCATCCTGAGACCTTTCTGCATCTTTGATTCGTTGAACAGCAACAGCAAATCTAGTAGCCATACAGTTGGGATCAAGCTTGGCTGCCTGAATAAAAAAAGGTCAAGTGAGTCAACCATAACCAAGACTGCAGTGTAAGCCAAAGAGTTTACAGCCAGAATCTTATTATCACACAACCCGGGTTATATTTTGAACAGCCACCATCAAGGTCGAATGGATCATTTGGACAGGGTATAATTAAGCTACACAAGTCTGTTTCTCCTATGCATTTTTAGTTGAATCAATGCCTATTGCAATAGAGACTGAAACATGGACACAAAACCACAAGTAAAATGTTTGGTAAAACGAGAATATTCAGACCAAGGTTTTTTTCTAATTTATGATAAGAGGTTGATATCCCCAACCCATTTAGAGGAACAGCGTCCATCCTAATCCTCCCAAGTTAACATATGAAGAATGGGTAGGATATGCAGGACTCCTGATACTTATTGTGCATTACTTTCACCAAGTATCAAATAAGCCTCAAGAAAAGGTGAAAAGGAAATCAAGTAAAAGAAACCCTTCTGTCTAAGATAAGGAAAACAATGAACAACCTCAAAACAAAGAAGTGAGCCAAGAGCACCTTCTCCAAACATTTGCTAGAGCTTCTGTGATCACCCATCATATAATATGAGTTAGCAAGATTCACCCACGCATGGGCAGACTTAGGATCTGATCTTAGAGCAGCCAAGAGACATTCCTTTGCGACATTCATAGGTGCCTTCTGATCTTCAGAAGCATCAGCACCACCATTAGCCCCGGCACCTGACATCAATTGAAAACACATTCACAGGTTACAAGTGAAAATACAGTTTACATAAGACAGATTTCCCTCTACTTGTTCATGTATACTTGTGTACTTTGCTTAGGAAAATTGAGAGGAGAAAACAATTTAGAGGTTCTTTGATATGAAACAAACCAGCGACAGTTGAACTGTGTTTGCAGAGAAGCTCGGCAGCATAATTTATCAAAGCGGCAGGATGGTTATGGTCTTTCAGTACCAAATCTTGAAAACATTTTTCTGAAAGCTCCATATCGCCACTGGAAAACTTGTTCATTAGAGAGAAGTATCAAGATAATAGTTAGACAATTGAGGGGAAGAAAACTCCTCACCTTTGAAGATAAGCAACTCCAAGGTTTGCAAGGCAATCATAATTGTCAGGAACAAGAGCCAACAAAGATGACAAAACTGATACGGCACTCTACAAATTAACAAAGCAAAACTATATCACAAAAGGAATCACATTGGTAATCAACCAACATGGTGAAGAATTTTACCATCAAACAACCAGCTTTGAGAAGCATTAAGCCAAGGGTATTCCACACGGCTGCCTGTCTAACATCTAACTTTATAGAATCCTTTAACTTTGAAAGAATTTCTTCAAGCTCTTCTCCCTCAAGCTCTTTAACAGAGTCAGTATCCCCAAAACCATCCAAAAGAAGACACTACAATGTTTCAAGTGTACAATGTTAAAACCTTCGTGTGAATTTTCAATAAAATAAGGAGCTCTCGAATACAAGACTTCAATATGAAATTTGGTTCAGACACAAAGATCATCACCTGTCCATGGTGAATTTGAACTAACAAGAGAAGTTCTGGCCGAGCAATTTCTGGCTCACAACCCAGTAAGATCTCTTCAGCCTTCTCATATTCTGGTATCGCCTAAAACCTTCTAGCAGTTAGAATCAATAAGATGATAGTTATTTTAAGACATATCAGGGTAGCCTCAGCTCAAGCCTACCTTTTGAGGTTGGCCCAATCGTTGGAACATTAGACCAAGAATAAAATGGGCATGAGCATTTTTAGGCATCTTCCTTGCAACATGAATCAAACCCTATAAGCAGAGAAGGGTGATCAGAATTAATATCGAGCATCATCATCATAAAACATTAGACCAATAATCAAATGGGGTTAGCATTATGAAATTAAGAGTAACATCATCATTCTTTCTCCAAATGTTTAATGAAGAAAGCAATGTTCTTGGCAACTTTGTGAGATCCTAGTCCCCATCTAAGTCTTAAATGTTGGTTACCTCAATATGACTTTAATAATCGGCTTATTTCTGGAAAGGGATTGAACTTTTTGGCGTAAGAAAAACCATGTTCAATTAAAAATGATACCAAGGGTATTTTGATCAGGTCATCCACAAAAAAAGACCAAGCTTACTTTGTACCATAACTATGAGTCAATAAACTCACCATTTTGAGGTTACTGATTTTTTCTTCCCGGGATGCAGGGACCCCTTGATTAACCTGATCACCATCTGCATCAACACCACAATCAGAGGAAGCCTCAATCTTACTTCTCGAGCGGCATTTTCCCACTTTGCTGATCTTTTTGGCTTCTACTTCTCCTGGTTCCACATCCTTGCACGTTAATGTACCTCCCTCTTGATGAATTTCCTCGTTAGTCAACCTACAAACACACAAATGTATTCATCGGTGTTAAAACCCTTTTGGGCATATGAACCCAAACAAAACTACACAAACTGAACGTTCCAACTCTTATCAGTTATCAGCTGGTGGACCATTTCAATCAATAGACTTTAGTTTGCCACATCTTTTATATATCTCAAGCTCCGCCCAACTTGACATGATTGTACAAAAACTCAAGAACCACAAAGAATTAATCTTTCAAGATAACCACTCTGAGCTCTCCTACTCAAAGCAATAAGAATCAAAACCATACTAATAAAAAAAAAAACCATTTCTAGAGACTCTTACTCAACGATATCCAAAGTCTCGATTTTTAGATTTACGGCATAAAAAGAAAACAATTTCTTAACCCCGTAACAAAAAAATGTCACTCAATTTTAAAGTTTTCTTCCGAACAGAGGAAAAAAATCTCAGCTAAACAAAGTTAGTCGAAAGCAATAGAAAGAAGAAAGTAAACACACACAACTCTGTAGAAGCAGAAATGGATACCTAGTGATGGGAGGAGCAGGAATTTCAATGGATGAGTCAAGATCGTCATTCTCAGGAGGATTGAAGTTGAGGTCAGCTAAAACTACAAGCTTTGGAGGTCGAGCAGGAGGCCTATCAATGGTAGGAGAGTCAGCGGTCATGGGTTCGTATTTGACGGCGATCGTCTCCGGCCGGTCCATCGATGGTTCTGAGAGCGCCGGAAAGTAAAGTTGAGCAGAAGAAAAATTAAAACAAAAATAAATGAAGAGACTGTTTGGCAACGAGGATTGGTCTGTCCTTTGGTTGCTCTACACTAATCAACCGGAGCCGGAGTCATAATAATATCTCACCGACCGAACAAAGATGTTTTTATTTATTTTTAAATCTATTTAATAAGCAATTTATTTTGTAACTTTAGTCGATTTGTTATCCATATTTTCTATTTATATGAACAATATTCATTATAAATTTTTTAAGAATATTCACAAGAGTAATATGGTTATAAGTTGAAAAAAAAATTTAACTATTTTTGTCGATGTCAATTTCCTTATTACCAATAACAAAGACCAACGAGAGACTTTTACATTGTAACGAAAATCCATCAGAAAATTAGAACACACTAAAAGATATCAGTACAGAGACAAAACACAATAACAAAAGAAACACATGAAATTATAAACATCTCATGTTTATCTACCAACCAAATCCATACATATATAAGATATATAAAGTGAGGAAACCATCGTATGCTTACACAAACATAAGAAACTGATAAGAGAATCAGTCATCATTCACTCTCACTCACTCATCACCCAGTCGCAGAAATCCCAAACTCAGGAAGGATCCAACCATTGTCCATGGCATGACTAGCATACAACTCAAACTTCTCTTTCGCGTTTGGTATATCAAGCGACAAGTCATCGAGGCTGTCTTTAACACGACCAAACCCTTTTGTCATTTGGTTAGTTGTAATCAATCCTTCACCAAAACACTCCTCAAGTAGATTCAGTAACCGATCATTCTGCTTTTCCATTGCCATCACCAAAGCTTTCTTCACTACCTCGTGGTTGAAAAACGGCATCCCTAGATCGCGGATACATTGACAAGCTTCTGATGTTACTCCTCCTGTTTCGTATTCTTCTAAAAGTTTCGAGATTTTGTCCTTTGCATCTTCCACTATCCAGCCGGTTCCACCGCCCCAGCTTCTCAGGAGTCTCTCTCCTGCGTGTCTGGCAGAGATAAGAGACCTAGCTGAGCGGACTGTTTCGGTTCCGGTTGACTTTGGAGGTAGCTTGGTTGAGATCTCTTCAAGGTTAAGTGGAGCTAAGACGTCGTCAATCACAGCTCTAGCTAAAAACAGAGCAAGTTCGTTTGATGCGTCCATGATGTCTAAAGCTGTGTCTTCTGCGGATTCCAGGAGCATAATGAAGCCGTTTATGAAATCTTCGGTTGAGAATAACTCCATGTGTAGAGCAGAAAGAAGAACCGAAGCCATTTCCTTTTCTCTGTTTTTCCTATCTAGAGCAAGAGTTATGAGCCTCTTCAGAAACACCGGGTTATATTCAGGTGTCCCTAAATCTTGAAGACTGCGGATTAGCTCAGGAATGTCATCTGATAAGAAATATTCCTGAATTATGTTCACTGTATCCTTCTTGTACTGTCTTAGCTTTCCGTCTTGACTCGATTTCCCTCCATCTTGATCAGGGGTAACCTTAAATGAATCATCGAGCCAGCCTCCAGAAATAGCCTTTGGAACTATCGAATCAAACAGCTTTTTGGCAGATGGGATATCTAGAGCAAGGTCATCGAGACTCTCTGCTACTCGGAAGAATCCCTTCACCATTTGACTCGAACTGATCAGACCTTCTTCAGCAGCTTCGTTCAACAGCTTTAGTATAAGTGACTCAGCGGGTTGAGATTCCATAGCCAGAACCAAAGCCCTCTTCACGACCTCGTGATGGAAAAACGAGACACCTAATTCCCTGATGCATCTACAAGCTTCGTAAGTGTCTCCGTTTTCAACGTATTCCTTCAAGATTTCAGATATCTTTTTCTTTGTTTCTTCTACTGTAGTGTGAGTGCTACCTCCCCATTTCTTCTCCACTAATTCTGCATGGTGAGGAGCTGAGAGATAGCTCTTTTCTGCAGTTACAATTACCTGAAACCCTTTGGAAGATTCTGGAAGTATCTTCTTAGATCTAGCCAGGAAAATCGGAGGGAGAATTTCGTCAACGATGGCCCGTGCAATAAACAATGCAAGGACATTAACAGCATCAAGGATGTCCACAGCAAGGTCATCAACAGATCTGAGAAGTCTAATAAATCCATCCCTAATTTGATCAGGTAAAATGACATCAGCATACAATGCAGAGAGTAGCACCGAAGCCATTTCCTTCTCCTTATCGTGCCTGTCCATGGCCATAGAAACAAGTCGCTTGGTGAAGTAAGGATGATATTCACTTGAACCAAGTTCCCTGAGGTCAGATGCCGCCACTTTCACATCCCCAGTGCTAAAGTATTCCTCAATGATGGAAACTACAGCCTTTTTGTAATCATCCAACGGGTCTGATACAGGTGAATCAACAAGTCCATCATATGCGTCCTGTTCAATTGAGTATATGAATCACAAACGCATAAATCAAACTACTAGTAAAGGAAAGAATCAGCTGATGCTAGATACAATTCCTAAGAAATTAAGAAAAGTATCAGACACAAACAAAAGGTGCAAATACCTCTCCACTATCGTAATTGGGATCATTCTTGTCAATGCAGGAGTCACCCTCATCAGTGTCAAGAAGCTTTCCCCAAGTTCCTTTTCCACCAGCACCATCTGCAGATATCATTGCCACATAAGTAAACCTGAACCCTTTTACTGAAAACTAAAGTCTAGAAACTGCTTTCATTCAAGTAAATTTGAAAGGGAACTGATAAATAGTCATATCACTCACTACAAAGGATATGTTTGCTACAAGGAAACAAGCAAAAAAGGTTGAAGAAAGTTTAATACCCTTCTTTACACGGATATGCTTCCCTGAGTGAGTCCGTCGCACATGCCTATTAGGAAACCCAGCTACTGGTCCTTTGCCACCAGTGGGAGACTTAATGTTCAAATCAGCAAACAGAGTATGAGATTTCGGAGATGATGACAAACTTCCAGAATTCTGAGTTGCTATTTCAAGCTTTTTCCACTGTCCATCAGTCAAAATTCCCTCACCCGATGCCATCTATAACAATAAAACAATCACTAACTCATAAATCAAATATAGAAAGAACCTCATAATCACTGAAGCCAACAAACAAACAAACAAAAAACCCTTCCTTTTCCCCCAAACCCCTATTAATGATCAGTGAGAACATGAGAAATTTGTATCCCAACGAAAGTTCTTACCTTTCGTAGTAAATTAGAAACCCATAAACACTGTGAATCACAAGAACACACAAGTGATATTTTCTACACGAGAGACCTTAAAACACTCCAAAATCGATTAAGTAAACAGAACAACACAAAGAACAACTCTATATAAACAAATATATAATCTTTGAGACCTGTGATCGCAAGAATCCAATTCCAAATCGTGAAACAAAGTCGTCTTCTTTACTGCTTGGCTCGGATCTCGAGCCAAGACAGGAAAGATAAGGAATCGGATCTCCAGCACCGGAAAAAAACGACCGGAAAGTATCAACGTCGAGTGAACAACGATTGTAGATAACTATCAAGAGAGTCGCAAAGATTCAAAAAGTCACCGATTCCCAGACAACGACGAGAGAGGAAATGGATGAGGATCGCCAATAAAGAAAAAAACACAACAATAAAATAAAGTTTAGTGGATTGTTTATATATGATGGTACACGTCATCAACGAAATACGTGGAGGGTTTAGATATTTCCTTCTTTTTAATTTAGCCTCCGATTTTTTAAAGATTTTGGTCCATAACAATTGGGCTGTATTGGGTGGTTCGGCCCATTTAATTATATATTTTGGGCTGGGTAAATTAAAAGTTTTAAGCTTCATGGAATCATTAGATCATGGCATCATGTTTATTTAGTTTTAATACAGATATGGATATTGTATTTTATGTATTTAAAAAAGTAACTTATGCGATTTGAAGATTATGATTTAATTAAATCAAGATTAATTTAATATTGTTATTTAAGTGAGTGTACAATGTGTATGGAATTATTAATTTTGAGAACACTGATAATGAGTAGAGAAGTTGGCAAGTAGTTTTCAAGCAAAACCGGTCACATGCCTTTTGTCTCTATTTTCTGATCCGACGGTTCTCTTTATATCTACCACCTTAAATCTAATCCAACGACTCTAATCTTTTTATAGAAAGGTCAATTCTCTCATTTGTCAAAGTTGAATACTTGAATTGATTTCGTATGGAAAAAAAAACTTGTAATGGTGAGCATTTGTTTAAAACAGTAATTTGTTTAGCCTGATTATCCAAATGATCAAGTTTCAGTTTGATAAGCCAATATAGTTAATAATTAAAATGTTGAATTAGATATTATCATACTCTATGATTACTTACTTGCTTAGTCAAATGCGGTCAATTTTTTTTCTGTATTCTATGAATCATTTCAGAAAGTTAGTGAAAAATGTATAGATTATACTATATAGTTTAGCTTTTCAGCGTTGAGAATATTCTGAAGAAATAAACATTAATGTCGGTTCTTCACGTACGAGAACAGAATCATTTACTACTAATCGAATGAATGTCCAAAAGTGTCTAAAATGTAGTAAGAAAATTGTCATTAATTGTTTTCTGCAGTTCAAAATACACAAATTGCTAGTTAAATTTATAAAATGATTTGTTACAAGTCAAAAAGTAATAAAAATCACTAGACTAAAACTCATGATCCATATTTTGGCCGTAGTTAAAATTCATCAACAGAAATGGCTCTAGCAAAATAAAAATGTCGGCGAGACTAGTAATCGAATAGTTTGATAAAGTTTTTAAAGACATTGTTCTTTTTAAAGTGTGGAGGAGGATATATAGCGATGCAAATACTTCCCAATTCCCATGTGCATTGATTGTCAACACATTTTGTACCAGCCAAAATTTCAACATAGGGTCTGAATATCTGATTGTTAGATATGAATATACTACTATTCTTTTAAAAAGCTATATGAATTTATGAAAATTGTCAAGTGTAAAATTTATTAAAAGATTGGACTTGAGCACATGGTTCGATGGTCCCAAAATCAAACCTCTATGGGCCAGTGTCGGCTCAGTTCTCATATTCTATTGTTTTGGTGGGTCTCTTCTCTTATTCTTTTCCCTTTCCCTGCAAACAACTATATTTATGAGACACCAAAAGAAAATCATTTTGTAAGAAGATAATAATAACTAACACTCTAAAACTAAAATTATCAAATAATCAAAGTGTATAAATATCATATTGTTACTTTTAGTTATTGAAATATGGTTTGTAGAAAGCAGAAACACTAAAGTCTTGAAACGTAATACTACTATATGAGCTTTAACAAAAAAGAAAAAGAAAAAATCAGTCAAATTGAGTTAACTGTTAGGCTATTGATAATAATCAACCGTTAAAACGTAAAAGTAATAATAAAGGTAGTACAAAATTAAACCGCAGTATTAAATATTACTAGTACTAAAGTACATTACTAACACAGACAGTGTTGACTTTTGGTGCACCGTACTTAGACCATCTGCATTGGGGGATCACCCCCCCTGATCTAAGCATTATTTAAATCCAAAAAAATGGGTTAGTGGGCTTAAGATCAGGAACTGGGCTCTTGACCTGGATCTGTTCTTGTGGGTGTTGCGGGGTGACGTGGCATTTGGGCATTGGTTGGAATATTCAACATATTTGGAATAAATTTGGATAATAAACTATGTATTAATTAGATAAAATGTTTTTGTGCTTTTATTAAGTAATATGTTTGTTTGTTTATTGTTATTTATATTTTTAATGTTTTTTTCATAAATATTTAGTATTGTATTTTCACTTTTATTTTCAGTTTTTCATAAATTTGGCATTTGCAATTTATATGTATTTTTAAAATGTTTTAATAATTGTAAAATCTATTTAATTTAGATTATTATATTATTAAGTCTTAAGATCTTACACATGTTCTCCCACTAATCAACTTTTAAACAAAAGATCTAAACACATGATCTTACATTATTTTAACATTATATTCTCTATAAGAACACCCTCACATGATCCCCCATTGATGATGCCCTTAGTGTTTCACCAACATTCATCTTTAAGTTCGTTGAGATTTTAATTACGAGTTCTGTGTTTTTTTCTTTAAGCCACGTGACTCATTCCTAAGCGTTACCTGAATGTTGAATACTGTATTAATGGCTATCGGTTTGATCTTTAAATATTAAGAACTGTTGAGCCAATTATATTTGTAATGATGACTTATATACTACTCCTTCCGTTTTAAAAGTTTGGTGATTTTTACATTTCCAAAAAATATTTTTAATTTCATTTCATTAAGATTTACATGATATTATGTTATTAATATGATTATATCAGAAAATGATATATTCATTTTTGTAAAAAAAAAAAAAATCTTAAAACGGAGAGGAAACAAATGTTGAATGCATACGAGAGTGAAGGTTTGACTTTCGGTATTGAAATCGTGAAACTTTAGTCATTTCAAAATAACTACTTCAGAAGCAAGGATTAGTTAATTTGAATGGAAATGTCTAAATTTATTTTCTGGTTTGGTTATGGTTCATTTTTGTATGCTTTGTTTATGATATCTAGCATGCATAACTCGTTACGTTTAGCTCGATCTGGATATAATTTCTTAACACATTTTTTTCACTATTTCTAAATGGCTTAGGTTGATTCCATTGATCCATTCTCAGTTTCTCACACCAAAATTATTTTCATAAGAAGAGGAAAAAGGTAAAGCAACGTGGGTCCAATTAACGTCAAGTTGCATGCGCAATAAATCACCCGAAGTGTTCATATGCTATATAGCCTCTAGCTTTGCTTTGTCTTTCTCCCTTCACTCATATGTTTCTTCCTAATTCTCCTATTATACCTTAAATTTTATCAACAACAAAAAGCCAAAGAAACACAATGCTAAATTCTTCGTATCTATCCTTCACACTTATCTTTTTCTGCTGCATTTTATTCTCCATTCTCACTTCGTCTTTGCCCGTTTCCGATCCTGAGCTCGTTGTCGAGGAAGTACACAGGTATAGAAACAAAAAATGTAAAACATTTGTATACACTCAAATAATTCCTTAAATTATTGTTTCCAAGTTCTTTCTATTCAAGGCTAATTTCGATCTTGATCACAAACTCACTTGTTACTATATTGCTGCATTAATAGCTATTACCTGTGTGAGTACACCTAATTACGTTTACGTACGTCAAGAATAATAAATGCTAATATATTGTTTGTTGATTAATGCTTTAGGAAAATAAACGAGTCTATATCAAGAAGGAAGCTAGGTTTCTTCTCGTGCGGGACTGGTAATCCAATCGATGATTGTTGGCGATGCGAGAAGGATTGGGAGAACAACCGAAAACGGCTAGCCGATTGCGGAATCGGTTTTGGCAAAAACGCTATTGGTGGTCGTGATGGTGAAATCTACGTGGTCACGGATCCAGGAAACGACGATCCAGTCAATCCTAAACCCGGAACACTAAGATACGCGGTAATTCAAAATGAACCGCTATGGATCATTTTTAAGCGAGACATGACGATCCAACTAAAAGAAGAACTCATCATGAATTCTTTCAAAACCCTAGACGGACGAGGAGCCTCCGTACATATCTCCGGTGGACCATGTATAACCATACAATATGTAACCAACATCATCATCCATGGTTTACACATACATGATTGCAAGCAAGGTGGAAATACTTACGTACGTGACTCACCAGAGCATTACGGATATAGAACGGTATCGGACGGTGACGGTGTGTCTATTTTCGGTGGGAGCCACGTGTGGGTTGATCATTGCTCGCTCTCGAATTGCAACGATGGGTTGATCGATGCGATTCGTGGATCAACGGCTATAACGATCTCTAACAATTATTTGACGCATCATAATAAGGTTATGTTATTGGGACACAGTGATACGTACGAACAAGACAAGAACATGCAAGTCACTATCGCTTTTAACCATTTTGGAGAGGGCCTCGTCCAAAGAATGCCAAGGTATTTTATCAAAACAGAATTTTTTTATTTAGTATACCTATATTTGTGGATATGTGTGTCACCAACTATATATAAAAGTCAAGTATATATATTGTCGGTTGGACATACGCTTAAAAGAAAATAAGAAATCCAAAATACAACTACTGCTCTAAACTTTATTAATTTTTGTTCTTTTACTAAATCTAAGATGGATCAACCGAAATAAGTATGCTGTCTAAATCAACTGAAATATAGTTGGGTTAGTTGAGCTAACATTTTGCAATTATCTTACTCTTAAATGGTGATCAATTGAGAGAGATAAAATTCTATAAGTTCTATTAATAGAACATGAAAATTGATTTTAACAACCTAATGAAAAGTTATGTAAATAGGTGTAGACATGGATATTTCCATGTGGTGAACAATGACTATACACATTGGGAAATGTATGCAATTGGAGGAAGTGCTAATCCTACCATCAACTCTCAAGGCAACCGTTTTCTTGCCCCTGATGACTCATCTAGCAAAGAGGTTCACCAATTTTTATTTTTTTCTTTAATTTTAACCAAGTGCTATGTATCAAATTATGTCACTTGATTTTATTCAAAGTTCTAAGATTGTATGCTTATATTTTGTGGGGTGGAGAATAGGTAACAAAGCACGAGGATGCGCCCGAAAACGAATGGAGAAATTGGAATTGGAGATCCGAAGGAGATCTAATGCTTAATGGTGCATTCTTCACCTATTCTGGCGCTGGACCAACTAAATCATCAAGCTATTCAAAAGCTTCGAGCCTAGCCGCGAGACCGTCCTCTCATGTTGGTGAGATAACTATAGCCTCGGGTGCACTCAGCTGCAAAAGGGGTTCCCATTGTTGACCATACCCCACCAACGTGTATGTGTCGCATGTGTGTATATACGTATAATATAATGAAACCAGCACTTGAAAGCTAATTATGTAATAATCTTGATGGCAAAGTGAAGAAGTGTTTATTACACATTTTATCTGGCCGTTGTGTCGGCAGAACTATTTCACTTGGTAAAACTTACTACTATAACTCTAAAAATTATACTTTTTTCCCTTAATGTACTATTGAGATAATAGTATACTATTGTGATATATATATATATATTAATTAGCAAGTCGTTTGAAATACTTCATACGTCTTAGACAAAGTGTCATTTTAATTCATTGTACACATGTACATCTCTCCGGCCGTTGCAAAAAGAATGTTGTTTTTTTTTTTTTGAACAAATAAGAATGTTGTTTTTGAGTTGTTTTTAGCATTAAAGTATTAAACCGAACTAGTAATCTTTCAAACACAGCTAATAGTTAACAGAATAACATAATCCTATAGAAAAATACAAAATGGGTGATAAAAACCTAGCCAATGGATAAATTCGATTCGATGGGCCTCTTAAAAATAGTTATTTAGTAACAGCAAGTACTAACCATAACAGGTATGGTTCGTTGATAAGTTGTCGGGTCTATAAATAATTAAGCACCTTTAATCTCCTTCACATCATGACAATCCTCTTATGGTAAAATAGATCGAACTGAGTGAAAAACGAATATATCAATGCATTTTGAAATGAATTCTCTAGCTACAATAGTACTATTAGTTTCTGTTATATCAGTTTCTATCGTTCATGCCGGAAACATTCCCGCGGTTATTGCGTTCGGAGATTCGATACTCGATACAGGCAACAACAATTATCTCATGACTCTAACTAAGGTTAATTTCTATCCGTATGGAAGAGATTTTGTAACTCGAAGAGCCACGGGAAGATTTGGCAATGGAAGAATTCCTACAGATTTGATTGGTAATTTCTTCTAAGAGTTAAAAATTAATGTGCACCAATTTTTGGTTATTAAAAAGTGAATTCATCATTTATTTTTTGTGGGGTGAAATGTGAATACAGCCGAAGGTTTGGGAATAAAGAATATTGTACCAGCTTATCGTAGTCCATTCCTTCAACCCAATGATATCTTAACCGGTGTTAGTTTTGCTTCTGGTGGTTCCGGTTTAGATCCTATGACCGCCAGAATTCAGGTAATTAAACTTAAGATAATGTGATTTGAATTTTTTTCATCTAACTATTATAATGACTAATATTTTGATATTTATTACAAAAAAGGGAGTTATTTGGGTACCAGACCAGTTAAACGACTTCAAAGCTTACATAGCAAAGCTAAACAGCATTACAGGAGATGAAGAGAAAACAAGATCAATCATATCGAATGCAGTTTTTGTCATTTCCGCTGGAAATAACGATATTGCCATCACATATTTCACAAATCCAGCGAGAAACACTCGATACACTATCTTCTCATACACTGACATGATGGTTTCATGGACTCAATCATTCATAAAGGTATAATACTTTGGAAAGTTCATTCCAAATTTACATACTTTGACTTAAAATTTTATTTTGATTATGGACAAAACAATATTGATATAGGAATTATATAATTTGGGAGCGAGAAAATTCGCGATTATGGGAACATTACCATTGGGTTGCTTACCAGGAGCAAGCAACGCTCTTGGAGGGTTATGTCTAGAACCCGCAAATGTAGTGGCTAGACTCTTTAACCGGAAGCTAGCGAACGAAGTCAACAACCTCAACTCGATGCTGCCAGGTTCTCGTTCGATATACGTCGACATGTATAATCCTCTTCTTGAACTCGTCAAAAATCCTCTAAGATCAGGTAGACTCTAAACCACCAAAATCTTTATTGTTTTAAAATTTTCATTGTAGGCAATCAATTCCTATGAATCAATTTTTCACAATCATACTTTCGGTTTCTTTTAGGATTTACCTCGCCAACTAGACCTTGTTGTTGTGCTCCGGCGGCTCCGATACCGTGCTTGGATGCATCTCGTTATGTCTTTTGGGACATTGGACATCCATCGGAGAAAGCTTATCAGACTATTATTCCTCCGATTATCCAACAAATCCAACAAAGCTTCGCTTGATTTGGGTGTTTTCGTCTACTCAACAATTATTCTATTTTTTTGTCAACATTCAACAACAATTATTCTGTTTACTGTGTGTGTATATAAAAGATTTACCCTTCTTGTAAGTGTTAAATGTTGCTTATCTTATCTATGAATAATACATCTTAACTATTTATATATTAAAACACCTCTATGTACATACAATCGTTGTTTCCAAGTCGTACTACTCCACGCCCTTAAATATTTTCTTCAATTTTTGGGCCCTTTTGAAAGGTTTAGACCCAATTTTCCCTGATCTCACTTAAAAACTGCACACAGCTTCTACGAAATCAAAATGTTATCTAATCCTGAAGCCCACAAATTTGTTTTTAGTTTGACCAAGCTCAAAGATTATTTTAAAAGGCTAGCCTTAGCAGTTAGCACCAAAACAAACTACCAGCCACGCCACATTGAGAATTTGTGAGCCACACGACGATGTGATTTAGTTTATTCTATTTCAATTTATATATTTTGCTGTGTTCCAATTAATAAAATACAAAATTATCCAATCATAAAAGTGTAAAAATCCATTAAAAATGTTTACAAAAAAAGGAAAAAAATTATGATAAGTTTCCAATTATAAAGGAGTCAGCGTCTCGTCGACGTGGTTGCCTGGTTGGCTCCGAAGACCAAGGGAGGCTTCAGGTCAACGGTCATCCCTTTTTGAGATGATCAACCATTTTATGTAAACTTAAATTTTGAATTTGGGCAATATATTTAAATTTGATGTGTTAAGATTTTTTTTTTTTGGTGTTAGACTATTTTTTCAAACAATTAAAAATTATGGATTGGAGAATATGGAAATACACACATTTTGTAGATTTCTACTGTTTTTATAAGTACATCATGATTCATGATACTTTGCAAATATAAATATCCAAAAAGTCCAAACCCTAAGGATAAGATCGGAGTATAACATACACATCAATGTTCAGTACTTCAAGAGTTCAAGTGGAATATAAACAGTTTAGAATAGAAAGTGTTCTGTAATATTTTAGTTCCTAAATCCTAAAATGTGTTGGGAAGAATCTTACATGAAATCATCAAATCCATTAGTTTATTAACACTTTTCACTTTTCTCTTCCGTCGAAACTTATCCACAAATTTTGGATTTTGATGTTTCGTTTTCTTAAAGAGCCATTTGTGAATACTTAAAGTTATAACTACAACATGATTAATTTATCGAATATACATATACTTTGTACTTTGTAGAGTTAATGAAAGGAAAACACCCCCAACATCTTATAATAAAAAATGTAAAATATTATAAAACTAAAAAGTGTACATAACTCTTAAACCATAAAACATTAATTTCCCAATAGTTAGATTAATAGTTATTATGGCCTAATGAGATGTCTACACTAGTAGTTAAATGTCAACACGGATACTGAAATTTCTTGGAACATTTTTTTTTTTTTTGGAACATTTATATGCTATATGGTTTTGAATCCGAATTCATTTGAAGTATTTCAGATTCATATTTGTCCATCTCTGATATTCAGAATTAGATGTCTGAATTTCTTCAAAGATATATAATAATATATGTATGCGCAACATAAAGTTCTTCTTTGACTACGTGTCATGATGTCATTGGTTAAGCTTGACTGCCATGATTGGCCTAGACTATAAGATTTGCCACGTGGTAATGCGGCGAAATTTATTTCCACTGATGTTAAATTTTTTTGTGCTAATTTAATTTTATAAACCACAATTAACAAAAGCCAGTGGTATAAATGGATAAATCAAAGATTGACAAGTGGATAGACAAGAGGGCTTGAGAGTGGATGAGGATCAAACCAGCCACGTAGACGAGGAGGTGGCTCTTGGGAAGAGGCAAGGGTCGGTTTACTTCAATAACCGGCCTTTCTCAAACTTTGAATAATAATATTATCAACACTTTTTCTACATTACAAGGCAAATTTCTTGACCGGTTTGATCACTTTTCCCACGTAGGATCAATAAAAAACATAAACATTCGTGGCTTCATGAATCATGGGGACAAACATCCTACATGGTACCAAAAGTAATAATACATTACTCGTTTTATTGTCATCCCAAACATTACAAAAGCAATATTATTTCTAGGTACTTTTAGTGGAAAGTAAAAATAATAATATATGGGTGTAATGTTGGGAATATAATATAGTCGACATTGATGTATCGAAAGGCCCAATTAAAAACATAATATATTGTTAATGATCTATAGGTTAGATCCTGTTGGTATATCAGGTTGGGAATAAGAAAATATTTGTTATACGATGTATTTTAATATGTTAATGTTAGGGGGCACTGCGGCTATTTGACATTGTTTGAGGCATATTAATGCTATTGAAGTTTACAATAATGCAATACAAAAAACTCTTCATGCATAGTAAGATGAATGTAACTGATCAAGGACTTTAGATATGTCATAATTCGGGTCCAAAAAAGATATATATGCAGACTTAAATTTTCAAACTTTGCAGACTAGGAAAATAAAATGGAACTTATCTTCTGGACAATTTTTTTTTTTATTTTGTGCTTTGTATATTTATTATTAGTCAAATAATAAACATACAATGACATAAGTTCACATGGGCTTTTTGTTGTTGGGTTTGTTCACATTAATTAGTTCTTTTTTCTGTCAAACACTAGTCTATTTTCAGTTTTTCTGCTTCAAATTTTTAAAGCGAGAGAGGAAAAAGTTGTTCTGTTTCATTCTAGTTTATAGGTTTTTCTAAAATGTAACAACATAACTATATGCTTTAAAGTAATTGTAAACTCAAATAATGGGTTGTATCTGTGTTTACAATAAGATTCAACTAATTTTATGTGTTGTATATATATGATTATCAACTTATTAAAACGAAAAAAACCATATCCAATTACTCGAATTTGGGTTTGTGTTAAAGACAACCGCAAATTATATATCAATGACTCATGACTTATCTAAGAAATACAGATCTGAGACCCCAAAACACCTGAATATACAGTTCACTACTTTTTTTTCTCCAATTATTCTGGTTACAAAAAAAACAGAGATTCATTTCAATGCACGCGTCTACAAATGCGCGTGGGGTAAAAGAGAAACAAAAATATATTTATAATAAGAAAATGCCACGTGGTATTAACAAGTAATCAAAAAGGACCAGGCTTCGTTGAGCTGTCTATAAAATCCAGAGATGCATTGCCCTCAAGCTTCTCCATCATCAATTAAAACCTCCCCAGCCACCAACAAATTCTTTTACCAACACTCTCTCTTCCTCTTTCTCTTTCTCTCTGAAATTTAAACGATGGCTATAACCGCCACTCAAAACGACGGCGTTTCTCTAATCGCCGATAAGTTTTCATATGATCTTGTGGAAACTGATGTTGAGATCATCACCTCCGGTCGCCGTCGTATTCCGGCACACTCCGGCATCCTCGTAAGTTTTTTTTCTTTCTTATATATCCGATGAGCTTCGTACTTTCTTTGAATGATCGAACATTTTTTATTTTGGTGTTTATTTTTTGTTTGTTTAAATTGTTAAATGCAGGCTTCGGGCTCACCGGTACTGACAAACATCATCGAGAAGCCGAGGAAAATCCACGGCCGATCATCAAAGAGAGTTATTAAGATTCTCGGTGTTCCATGCGACGCCGTTTCAGTCTTCGTCAGATTCCTCTATTCTCCGAGGTTCGTCCTTCTCTTTGTTTTCTTATCTTCTTCATCGTCAGATTTTTGTTTTAAATCCGTATGATTTATTACTTCAAAAATCATGTTAAAAAGAATGCTTGATTAAATGCGTCCTCTTAAAGATCTTTACCAAACTCGACTTTTCCAACGTTTTAATCATAAATTAATATCACCACAACCAGATTGTGATTGATTTAGACTTGCTTCATATTCAGAAACGTGTGAAACACAACACAAGGAACACGAAACAACTACCAACATCAAATTTGAATAAATCAACGGCAGATTTTACCCTAAAGAAATTTAGAATTAGTATACAAAATGACTAAAATACACCTATATGTATTTTTGTTTAGTCTCACGGAGAAAGAGATGGAAACATACGGAATCCATCTACTGGCTTTATCACACGTGTATATGGTGACTCAGTTAAAGCAACGGTGCACAAAAGGCGTCGGTGAAAGAGTAACCGCCGAAAACGTCGTCGATATTCTCCAGCTGGCTCGTCTCTGCGACGCACCTGACCTCTGTCTCAAGTGTATGCGTTTCATTCATTACAAGTTCAAGACCGTTGAACAGACCGAGGGATGGAAGTTTCTTCAAGAACACGATCCTTTTCTTGAACTTGACATTCTCCAATTCATCGACGAGGCTGAATCGGTAATTTACTCAAAACACCTTATTTTTTTGGGTTCTTTAAGAAAACTCTGTTTTATTGTTTGATCCTCACGGTACTAATCATTTTTTGGATGAATTTCTTGCAGAGGAAGAAAAGAAGACGAAGACATAAACGAGAACAAAATTTGTATGTGCAGCTGAGTGAAGCCATGGAATGTATAGAACACATATGCACCGAAGGTTGCACATTGGTCGGACCTTCGTCCAATTTAGACAACAAGTCAACATGTCAAGTAAAAACCGGTCCGTGCAGTGCCTTCTCGACTTGTTACGGACTCCAACTTCTGATACGTCACTTTGCGGTATGCAAGAAACGAGTCGATGGCAAAGGTTGTGTCCGTTGCAAGAGAATGATTCAACTCCTTAGACTCCATTCTTCGATCTGCGACCAATCTGAATCTTGCCGTGTCCCCCTTTGCAGGTAAAAGAACCGACATTTTAGAATCATCAAACCCACATTTTAAATGTTTCTAATCATAAAAGTTTTTAACTTTTCGATAGTAGATCTCATTTGATTTTATTTTAACTTTCGGCGCCAATAATTACATCTTTTGTGGTGGTAACCTACTTATTAGATGATGAGTCGTGATCGGACGGCTGGAAATATTTTGTTATGTTGAATTATTAAAAGATATTTTGAGAAATGCGAATCTGATTTCGTTGTCAACTTTTCATTTGGTGATTGGAGTAGGCAATATAAGAATAGAGGCGAAAAGGACAAGAAAATGGTTGAGGACACAAAGTGGAAGGTTCTGGTGAGAAGAGTTGCGTCTGCGAAAGCCATGTCTTCGTTGTCTCAATCAAAGAAGAAAAAAAGTGAAGTGTTATTAAAAGAAGAAGCAGAAGATTTCATCAGAATCCGGAACAAATTAAGATGAATATTCAAAATATGTGTTTTTATTAGATTATATAGTGAGTGTTTGTTAGAAGCCATTAGTAGAGTCGGAAGTTTTATTTGTTTGTGATTTGTCTCTCGGACCGGTTGATTGGGTTAAATTTGTCGATGAGTAACCCTTTAAATCTGTCGATTTGTTTGGTCGGTCGAATTATATATAAAAGTGTTATTGGTTATAAAATGGTATTAGGTTTTTGCAGACTTTGTGGTAAAAAGTATACATATTGATCCGGTTTAAACTCGCTAACATAAAAACTCAAAAAGGATAACTGAATCTAAATAATTTCAGTTTTGACAAGATGGAAACAAATTCTCTTTGTCGTTTGATTGGTCCTGCCAAATTATATGACTAGACCTGATTGCATATGAATCACAAAAAAAATCTAAATGATTTATTCAAGTTGGATCGGTGTCTAATCAATCACAATAGTTTCAACTATGCATGATACAGTTTTGGATGGAAATAATAGAAATTCAATACTATTGGAGATCAAAATTGACCAACCGGTCACAGTCACTGGTATAGTGGAAGGTTGATCATGATCGAGGATTCAAAAGCGAACAAGGCAAATTATTAGAAAAAAACATGTGCTTATAAGTTAAAACAGATATTTTATTAAATTATTCATTTCAGTCTTGGGTTCGATTGGAAAAGAGAAAGACGCGTGGGGAACAGATGAACCACGCAATGTGGTTTCGTGTCGGATGTCTTTACTCTTACATTTCAATTCATACTTCTTAACTACCAGGTGAATGCACTTAATTATAAAAAGTTTCAATAATTTGTTCTTTTTAAAAATGGAAATGATTATTTTCATGTTATAACAATAGTTTTGACATAAAAAGGTTAAACAAATCGAGCAAGTTTATTAACTAAAGTTTGCTCTATATTCTATTTCAGTAACAGCCTTAAACTGATAACATCAATCAAGGCTTTAATACATCGTAATTATTCATGTTTTAGAAAGATAAAAAAAAAACAAGATAACAATTCCATGTGATAAGTGACAACCCGTCCGTCAAGCTTTCGAGTAGTGGAGCAATGCAGCCACCGATGTTTTAATACTAACGACAACAATGATTCTTATCATGACGATAGAAGGGTCTAAAGATTCAACCACGTATGAATTAAAGAGAAAACTAAACAAAAATAAAAGAAATGTTTTCACGAACGACAAAAATGATTCTTATCATGTGACTAGAAGTGACTAAAGAGATACAACCACGTATGAATTAAAGAAAAAAAACTAAACAAAAAGAAAAGAAACATCTCTGATTTAAAATCTTTGTGTATGACATTTGAGTTGTTTGTTAATATCTGATTTATAAACTTTAATTGCATTGATGACATTCTCGTTTGTCATGACTCATGAGAGTTAAAAACACAAAACTTAAACATGAGAGTCACATTTTAAAACACATGAAACTTAAATATTTGATACGTTTCTTATTGACTTAAAACAAAACTCATATTTCTATCTCTAACCCTATATATTTCAACTTTCTTCCAATTCCTAAACTATCCACGCAGAAGAAACGTATGTGCTGCTGTTTTGATCACACCGGGAGTAGCTCAAACGCAGCCAATAGTTCCGAGTATATTCCCATTGATCCGATAAAGTGTTGGTCATCTCTCTTCAATATTCAAGGAGGTGATGGAAGATGTTCCCATCAAATCCATTCTTCCATCACCTCCTTAAGGAGAGCTGTGCGTGCATTGTGCCTAATTCTCCCGGACACAATTGAAGAAGAGAATGAAGTTTATAACTGCTTCAGTTTTAGGTGTTAGCACTGAAGTCTAAGAAAAAAAACAGAGTAATAGGGTTTGAATGTTGATAGACATGAATCACTAACGTCGTCAAACAAACATGAACCAATCATATACATCCTTTAAGCTACATAAACTCCATCACCTTGGACCGAAAAGAGGAAAATGCTCTGTTTCATTGAGAAAGAACATATATGATCCAAAAGCAATGAACAGTCCCTAGTAGATTCAAGATCATAACCCATTATTCTCTAAGGTTACAGCCTTGGCAAATGAAAGATTCACGGCAAACAAGAATGCAATTAAATTTCAGAGTTGGAACAACAAAGCTATTGAAGCAGGGAAGGAAGAGAACAAAATCTCTTAAAACTAGAATTCAAACTTGGAAAAGGTTAATGTCATTCTTCTGGTCTAGATTACTATAAGTTGCCAGTGCAAGTCTTTGAATGCCAACACAGAGAGATTACTATGACTCACACTAGCTATGTCTGCAAATTCTGCATTTTTGAGTTTTGATAAAGTTTAAACCCATTTCTAGCTTTACAACTAAAGTAGAAAATCAGTATCCTCTTTATCTAACTCAAGACATCAAAGGTGGTAGAAAAGTCGAAAATCCATCAGTTTCTCCACCAGTTTAGCGAACAAACAATCTAAAGATACCAACCATCCGCAATAAACATTGAGTTTCTAAAAAAACAATGGAAAATCACTACCTGGATGACAATGGGACTTTTAGCCTAAGATATCATCTAAGGTTCCATGTGATCCAGAGTACGCCGGTTAGAGCTTAAAGAAGAAATCTCATCTTAACACCTAGCGCTAGAATCAAACCGGGTTAACTATCCTTAGCGGGTCTCCAAGCAAATGACACATTAAAAGTTCACACTAACATCAAAGCTTATGAATTGATAATGAAATCAAGAAATCATGCCGGCACAGTGCAATAGAGGAAAAACACAAACTTGGAACATCCAACTAGCAAGAAAACTCAAGACAGCAAATTGCAAATCCTAAAGAATTCAAACAGTTGAAGTTATCATAAAGACATAACACTGCACCATGTGATAGCTTTATTAGAAATGTGTTGGCAAAACAAACGATGAACACAGAGTAATAACAATGCAATGGAATTTAGAAACTTTTGGTTCTAATTCAAGAAAAAAGGTTCATCCTTTGAATCCCAGTCATTCAGAAGACATGAAAGGAGCAAACTTCTCACCGGAATAGTAAAAAAATGGATAAAGCAGCAGCAAATTCTACGACTTGCGACCAAGCTGTTTCCTGAGTTTCCTATACTTGTGCTTGTTCATCTTCTTCTTCCTCTTCTTCTTCACACTATCAGCGTAAATCACAATCTCCTTCGCATCCTCTTCCTCCACCAACGACGTTGTTTCAGCTAGATCCAGACCTTGAATCATTTTGGGATTTAAGCATAAACCCATGGAGAAACTAGGGTAAAACCGCATTGGTTGATTGAATTCATTCCCGGAGAGTGTAATCAAAGGATTAGCAAAAGAAACTGGATCGGGTTTCTCAATAACAGATTCGATGTTGTTGTTGTTGATGAAGGGCTTCTGGTATGTGAAGAGAGAAGGAGTAGTAGTAAGCCTTTGGATTGAATTGAAGCAAGACTTGTTCTTGAAGAATCTATGCATTAGATTCGCCATTGCAGAGATCAAAACCCTAAGAAACCAAAAGCTCGTCAAACACAAGAGTGACGACGGGTGAAGATGACGACGTCAGGTTTTGAAACCTATTAAACGTCGTCGTTTCTCGATGTAATGGCCTGACGGGAATGAAAAAAGCCAAAAAAAATAACCAAAAAGTGCCCACACGCAGGATCGAACTACGGACCTTCAGTTTACAAGACTGACGCTCTACCACTGAGCTATACGGGCTACTTGATTAGTGTTTCTCGTTTAACTTATATAACCAAAGAATTATCAAACAAACCGTAAAAAGAAAACCAGAATATTTTAACCAAAACCAAATCTTGTTTTGTTTATAAACTGTTTAGGTTTTATTGTACAACAGTACAACACCAAAATCAAACTTTCATGTTACCAAACTTTATTAAAACTTGCAGAAAACTTCGAAAGTATTATATCGGATTGGTAACACAAAATGGTAAGAGTGTTTAAGCGGTAAAAAACAGTGAACGATTAATAACGTTTAAAGAACAGTTAAAATATGCCTGATCTTGTAGCTCATTTGGTTTCAAGTCATGACAGAGAAGAAGAAGAAAGAAAGAACAGTAAAAATATAATATCACTCAAATCACAAATGTATTTAAAAGTTAGTTTTTTTGCATTAAACCAAACAAAATTACATCACATGGAACTTAAACTAACTCAATGATAAACGGTTTTACTTGGTTTTTGATTCTGTAAAACAGAAAACCAAAAAAACAGAACATCTGGTAGACAGATCAAAACATAACAACACATGAACTCAATATCAACGAACAACTAATTTGTTTGCAGAACTCTTCCAAAGAACTTGAGAATCAACAACAGAGAGATGCTTATCATCAAGCCTCTTCCATGTCTTGATCGATTTCACATCTCCCCATTTTCCTTTTCTCTTCTTATTCAAATCAACAACCACAACTCTAGCTCTTCTCGCCCATCCAGCTTTACCATAAGCATGGTACCCAAATCCACCACCATAACATAGATTCAAACCTTTGAGATTACCACAAAAGTCGTTGACATGGTCGTGACCCACAAACACAGATTTCACATCTCCTCTAGCTACCAATGTTGTGAAGAAACCCGAGTTTGTAGAAGCCGCGGATGTGCCTTCTTGTCTCACTCCTTTTGTAGCATTCTTTGAGTCGAAACTCCAAAACTCCGGTAATGGAATGTGGAAGTAAGCTAGTCCCGGAGCTATACCTTCTTGAGGATTAGGCTTTTCCTTGTACTCCCTCTGCAATATCATCAAAACCAGAGTCAAAACAACAATGTATAGATAAAAAAGCAAGATTGTTTCATCATTGATATACCTGAAGACGTTTTGAAGTGCGGTCAAACCAAAATTGCTGAGAAGTTTTGATCCAATCATAACCTTCCATGTAAGGAACACTAGAGTAATCTCCACTATCGAGAAAATAAAGATTAAGAACAGATTTGTTCTGTAGTTTAGAATCAGCAGCTCCATGGATTTGGAGATTGTAATTACCAAACCCATCAATGTAATGAGCAGCTTCAGGAGGATTCACTTGAGATAAAGTGTTGGGAAGCTTCACAATATGATTCATGACTTCTTGTCGAGTAAATGTAGATTCTTGATCATGGTTTCCCAAAATAGCAACCCATGGGATTTTAGACGCAATCGCCGGAGCAAACGCAGCGTTTAGAGATTTCACAGCGTCTTTAACATCAAACCCAAATATGTTATCACCTAATTCGAAATTTCAAGATTAGGGTTTATATCAACAACCTGAAAGTTTAGCTTTTTCAAATCGAGGGGAGAAAAGTTAGGGTTTTGTTCAATTTGGGGTTTTTACCAGTGAAGACGATGAGATCAGGCTTCTCGGCGGCGATGACTCGGGACATGAAGATGGTGGTGTTGAGGTCGGAGCAGTGAGCTTTCTGGCTAGGAAGAACATTTTGACACCGCGTCGTAGCGCCGTTAGCAAAATGCATATCCGCAACTTGTAGTATTTTGAACTCGCCGTTCACACCGAACCTTAGTTTCCGACGATGAGCCGCCGCCGGAACCGGAGCTAAACAGAGACATGCCAGAAACACGGATAAAAGGAAGGATACGAATACGATTCTTCTTCTTCGATAGTCCGCCATTGTTTATGTGACAAAGAAACACGATAAGTGGATTTGTCCTAGTGTCAGAGATGAGACATGTGAGCAAGTGTGTAGGAAGAAGCCAAAGAAAACAACTTTGACATGGAAGCTTTTAAATTTTGTTTATTTTTTTTATTAAAGAGGTTTTATTTTTAAGCATCTAATTAATTATTTTTGGCGTGATTATAATCAGGATTTATGACACACAACTACCAATTACCAACCATATTTTTTCTTTGAACTCAGCATAACTTCATGCAAACTCATAATGGCAATAACATTTAAGGCTTATCAGTCTCCACATGAGACAGTGATTAATTAATTGGTCCAAATATATAGTTGGAGACAGAAATTCTTTGTTTTCGTTTGTAATTAAGCACATACTCCCTCCGTATTTTAATAATTGTCGTTTTAGAAATTTTATTTTTTTGAATTGGATGTCGTTTTCAAATTTCTATGCAAAATTTATTACTTTTTAATGTTTTAAGACATCATAAAACATTAAAAAGTAAGAAATTTTGCATTGAAATTTGAAAACGACATCTAATTCAAAAAAATAAAAATTCTAAAACGACAATTATTAAAATACGGAGGGAGTATGAGTTTTATTGGTTAGTTGCGGTTGCGGACGTAAAGAAAATTTCCAATTAATCAATAGAAACAAAGCAATCCTTTCAAAATAAAAGTCGTTTATTAACTTTAGAATTATTAGTTCTACGATACATTACATGAGAAAAATACATACGTAAGTGATTAAAACATCGAATACCAACTTGAACAACTTTAAATTTAATACGATATAATAAGATTAAACATGAAATGGATCGGACCAGGAATGCTTATTCCCCATTTAGCGTCATCAGTGGAATCGAGGACCTCAAGTTGACTTAGCCAGGACAATAGCTTCCAATTCCATCATCATCATCATCAACAACAACAATCTCATCGCGATAAACCAAGATTAAGAACACAAGTTCCTGGCGAAGAACTGAAGTAAGAATCATGGCTTGTATAATTTCAAATGTAGATCGATATCAAGCTATATATATTGCAATGTAGATAGATACACAAATTCAGAGACTTGTATAATACATAATGTGTGAGAGTCTTGTAAAGAGAGGTTTTGTGTCGTTGTATTGAGAAGCAAAGCCGTATTGTTATATTCCCGCATGCAAAGTTTCTTTCTCACAGGAAATGGGTGTGGGGAAAAAAGTTATAAAGAGTTAACTTTTTAAAGGTGTGTTTGGCCTTTTTAAAATAACAATGCGATGCTTTTTCATTTTACCCTAAGTTTTTTACGCAATGTACAGCCTTAACAACTATTCACACCATAAAAATTTGCAAAATTGATAGTCAATATTTCATCTATTATTGGCTTCCTTGGGTTAGAGAGTGTATATAAACAGCAATGGCATGCAAGTTAAATAGTGGAATAAAACATAACAAACATTACAATTAAGTATGTTCATTAGGAAAATTGAAACGTGAAATATAAGAAAATTATTGGAGTTGATTAATTGTTTGAAGTTCTTTAGTGTCCTTTAACATGAACAAATGTATGATGGAGTTTATTTCGAAAATGTAAACAAGATGTAAATACTATAAATGATATTTCCGACCAAAAAATAAATAAATGATATACAAAAATGTTAATATTGCTTTTAAAGGGAAAAAAGTGATATGTATTCGCAAGATTCGATGTTTTATGGGTAATCAAATAGTTGTATTTTACTAGTCATCAATATAAAGACCAGATGCGTATTTACTGTTTTGTTAAAAAGAATTTTACTAATTTTTAAGACGGTGTTAGTTTCGAAATAGGTCACGCGCCGAAGGTAGGGAGTGACCCAATGGGCCTTCGCGTAAGAAACAATTCTTCTACAGTAGGGGCCCACTAGATATTGCACTAAATGCTGTAACTTTTGTTCTCTTTGTTTTTCCTCCATTTCGAAAAAAAAAACACAATTTTTCTTTAGAGAGAATATGATGTTAATTGGCCAATCTTAACCCTTTAATTTAATGTGATTAGAGCTGATTTTGAGTGAGAATCATAATTTAATTTGATAAACTTCTGGGCTTTTGTCAACATTGGGTTATTTTGTCCCACATCGGAAAGAACACATTCTGCAGAAACTACAAGCTAGTTGTTATTTTGTCCCATACAATCCTGTATTTCCTACCAGGCTACAACTGTTGAACAAAAGAATAAAACATGGAAATGTTCATTATTGAACCCAAAAACAATGGGCTAAACAGATCAAAGCCCAATAATAAATACGCAGTGTTTTAATAAACCTGGTCTTTTATTTACTTTTCCTCCATTATTTTTCGTTAGAGAGAAAAAAAAAAAAAAAGGAGAGAAGAATGTTACAGTTTCCGACGTTGATGAGCCAGTTTCCGTCGTCGACGAAGACGATTCCGGCATCGTATTTGCTTCCTTTACAGTGGCCTCAGCCGCAGAACGAGGAGATTCTTCTCGCCATGGAAGAAGCTGAGTTCGAAGAAAAGGTAGCTTCCTTTTTTATTTCTGTATTCGGAATCTGCTGATACGAAATTTTTAATTTTCGAGTGTCACTAAAGCATAAAAAGGTCAATCTTAGCTCTTTAATTTCATGTAATTCGATCTGATTTTGAGTGAGATTTATTGATTGGGTTTGAGATTATAAGTCGTTTATACTTAATGTGATGATAACCGGAGAGTATAAATGACCAATCTTTTTCGATCCGTGGTGATGATTCTGCTTTTAGGCAGCTCTTTTTCTTCTCTACTTCACATTGATACGATGAATTAGAGCTTTTGAATCTTTCTTCTTTGGAACATTTTTGGATCTTATTTTCGAGTTTAAGTTAGTAAAACCAAAAAGTTCGAATTTTAGTGGATTCCAATGCTACCTTGTGATTCTAGTGTAGTGCTTTTTCAGGGTAGACTCCAAGGATATAGGCATTTTTTCATTGGAGGATCATCTTATAGCTTTAAACCCGTAAAAATGTTTTGTAGACGAGAAGACTTCAATAGGGCTAATTGTCAGTTTCAGTGTTGTTCTTATGAATGTTTTAAGACAAGTTTTAAGTAGATTCTTGTCGTTTTGGTATGGTGCAGTGCAACGAGATCAGAAAGATGAGTCCTGCTTTACCGGTAATTGGAAAACCAGTCGTTGACAACCAACAAGAAGAGGACGATAATGAAGCAGAGGATGATGATGCAGACAATGCAGAGGAATCAGATGGTGAAGAGTTTGAGCAAGAAACCGGATAAATATCTTGAGGCTGGAAAACACACACGGATTATTGCTGGAGTTGGCTTGAAATTTGAGTACACTTATCTAAAATCTTCTTGTGATAAAACGACTGTCATTCTGACTTCGTAAGCCATTTTTTTTCTTTCTTCGGAACAAGTTGAAATGTTATCACTTTTGGGCCTAGATTAGTCGGTGGATTATTCGTAATTCATTGTCTCAGTCTCATGGTGTTTAAGTAACATTCAAAAGGCTAAAAGCTGTGGATTGGTTTATGTTTGTGTATTGACATTGGATTTTATGGTTTATAGATTGTAGTGATTTGATGATGACATTTTCCAAAGCTTAGACCGAACTATATGCCAATTACGGGTAAGAAGATATTTGACCAAAAATGATGATTTTAGCGAAAAACTTATATTCTGTTTTGATGAATAAATTTGCTTTGGCAAAAAGAGGGGAAAAAAAAATGTTTTGTTTGTATATGTTATATGTATTAAAAATTTGAGATTCTTCTTTGACTTTAAACTAAAAAATGCTGAAGAGCCAAGTTTTATGAATGTGTCTGCTGGTTGATATTTTAACAAAAAATGCTGAAAAACAAAATGTGTGTGGTACTACTACTGGTGCTTCAAAAGTTATTTATGATTGACAACTTCTAAATATTTTTTGTGGAGTTCCAAGTTTTGAAGTTAAGATGGGACAAGTTGCTCACCTAATATTTCATTCTTTAGTCCTCTTCCTCGGTCTGTCCCATTCACAAGTTGCGAAAATTTTGGAAGTCAACTAAAATACGCCGACTAACTTTTTTTTTTGTTTTCTGTTTTCAATAAATTTTCTGATTGATTAATATATTTGATGTTGATGGTCCTTTTTCCTTTTTTTCTTTTCTCAAGTGGGGAAAATTTTGAATCGAATAAACAAAGGAACTCCGTGTGAGACTCTGAGTAATCTCATGTCCTTCTCTAATCCTGATGAGACAAAAAAAAAAGAATCGAATGTTAACAAACTTAAGAAACAATTAAAAAATTACTTATCAAACAAGTAAAATAAACAAAGAACCTCGTAAGCAACACAAACTCCAAAGATACGAAGGGTTGACACGTGTGACGTAACTAATCCACGGACAACACACGTGTTCACATCTCTGATATTGACACGCGATGATCTCTCAGTATTCGCCACGTTTCACGTATAACAAATACAAACGTCGTACGTGCGAACACGTCGTAACGGCAGCTCTAACGGTTAGTAACGGCCACTAACGTCTGCTATATTCTCCGTCTAAATTAATTTCTCCGCCGGTTACGTCTCCAACCGGAAATTGTATAGAAAATTTTAATTCTTCTCTTCGCAAAAAATCAACACATCGAAAAATTTCACAAAACCTAAATTAAATCCCAATTTTGTTTTTTTAATTGCTTCTTCTTCGTCATTATCATCGTATTCGTATCCGTATCTATGGCGTATATTCGATTTTTTTTCCAATCTCCGTCAATGCCAGATGAGCCTAGAGTCTTTGTGTACACGACACGTATAGCAGCAATGAGATTCTTCCGATCTATGATTGTATCTTCTCGGAACAAGATCCGTCGGACAATACCGAGATTGTAGATATCTTCCGTATGCCGGCGAAGGCGAATTCGGTGGAGAAGGCGTGACGGAGAACGGAGATTTCGGAGATCGATCGCCGCTTGAAGACGGCGACGATTCGGTCTTATGCGAAGATCTGGGAGGTGATAGAACGGCTCTGATCTTAGCTCCGGAGATGCGATCGTACTCTTCGACGATGTTCGTTAGTTCTTCTTCTGATTTGACGGAGATTAGAGTCTCCAGATCTCCGTTTGGTAATTGACATCGTAGATCAACGGAGTATCCACATAATTCATAGAGTTTCTTCATCAGCTCTGGAGAGAAAAAATTAAAAATCAATCTCAGATTCGGCAAAATCGGAAGTGGAATCGATTTCAATACGAAATTGAAGTGGAGACGAACCTGAGAAAGAGATAGAACGATCAACGGAAAGGACTCTGGTGTGACCTCCGACGTAACGGAGCTTGCCATCGGTGGAACGAGGGAAGATTCTGCCACCGTAACTGCATAGAAACTTGAGACTGCTTCCACTATTCTTCTCGGTATAATCAACGGCCACCATTGTTGTTAGGGATTTTTTTGAAATTTTGAAGATTTGGGAGAGAAGAGGGAAGTTTTTATTTGTGAGTGTTTGTTTTTGATGTCTTAAACCAAGAAGAATGGTTGCAGGTGTATGGGTTTTATAGGGAAGGAGTGATGTCATGGTGGGGTCTTACGCGTATGGTGCAAATGGAAAATTCGTTGGATCTTCTATGGGCATTTTGGACAATTCTGTTATTCCAAGAACGGAATATTCTTTTATTTAATTGATTCCATTTAAGAAGAAATCTTCTTTCTATAAAGTGGGTCATCATTATAGACATTGATCATCAAAGAAAATTAGTCATAATTTTTTTATTCAATGAAATACAATAGAAATAATCAAATATTGAATGCTGACTCGTACCTTCTTAGCAGTCTCTTGTTTATATGATATGAATATTGATTGATTATTGGCTTTGAACATGAACTTATTTTAAATCTATTATGTTTTTTGCTAAAAGGTCATTATTATGTTTGAAATTATAAATTTGTCAAGTATGAGTGTATGACCTTTTAGGCCATATTATGGGTCAAGTCAAATATACACTTTTTTCACTTGTTAGAAAAAAGCGCACAGTATATGGTAATATCCGGTAATATTCCAAAAAAATGTGTATGATGACTAGGATTGGTGTAGTCATGACTCTTTTTTTTTTTTTTTTTATCAGTCATGACTCATGAGATGGTATGTATGTCTAATGTTTGAAAAATCCCATCGTAACTATTTTACAAAATTTGATTCGAAACTGTCGGCAAGTATTTTTTTCCAGACTTCTCACTCTTCAGCAATTATTTGGGTCCAATTATTAGCCCATTAGGAGGTTACTCATGGCCCATCTCTGCTTACCAACAAAATAAAAGGAAATTAAATTCGCGCAATAAAAAGAACAAAAAAATAAGGTGGGACAAATTAGGGTTACTAATTTGGGAATTTTACTGTCCAAAACGAATAATAAAATATCTAAGCTTTTTGTTCCTTTTGCGGCTTGTCGTCGTCTTCCTTGCACTATCTTCCTTCTCTAGCATCAATTCGATTGTAAGGTTACGTAGTAGAATTTAAGCGAGAGACAAGATCAAAAACTCTAACAAAGTTACGATGAGCTCGTATGATCGTAGATTTGCTGATCCGAATTCGTATCGCCAACGCTCTGGGTAAGTGAAACCAATCGACCAATTTCTTCTTTCTGTTTCCTTCGATCTGTAACTATTATCTTATCTGTGTTACTTTAGCGCCCCAGTTGGTTCGTCGCAGCCGATGGATCCTTCAGCTGCACCATACAACCCACGGTACAGTGGTGGTGGTGGAGGATATGGACCGTCTCCTGTAATGGCCGGTGATAATTCCGGCTATAATCGGTACCCATCTTTCCAGCCACCTACTGGTGGTTTCTCTGTTGGTCGCGGTGGTGGAAGAGGTGGATACGGTCATTACGGGGATAGAAACGGTGGAGGGAATTGGGGAGGAGGAGGAGGACGTGGTGGATCGAGTAAAAGAGAGTTAGATAGTGTTTCTCTTCCGAAGCAGAATTTTGGGAATCTTGTACATTTCGAGAAGAATTTCTACGTGGAGAGTCCCTCTGTGCAGGCTATGACAGAGCAGGATGTTGCTATGTACAGAACCGAGAGGGATATATCTGTTGAAGGTCATGATGTTCCTAAGCCGGTTAAGTTGTTCCAAGATGCTAATTTTCCAGGTATTTTGATTGGAATTGGTCAAAGTGTTTTTTAGTTATGATTAGTTGTTCTTAAATTGAGGGAATGTTGCTTTATTATCTCTGTTAGATAATATTCTCGAAGCAATTGCTAAATTGGGATTTACTGAGCCAACACCTATACAAGCTCAAGGATGGCCAATGGCGTTGAAGGGTAGGGATTTGATTGGTATTGCTGAGACTGGCTCTGGTAAGACATTGGCTTACTTGTTACCAGCGTTGGTTCACGTTAGTGCGCAGCCTCGATTAGGTGAGTATTACAACTCTATGGTAATAATCTGATTTAGCTGCATTCATTTTTTTTGCAAGTTTTTATGTGTATCGTTGGGGTGTATTAGGTCAAGATGATGGCCCCATCGTGTTAATTCTAGCGCCCACGAGAGAACTAGCTGTTCAGATTCAAGAGGAGTCAAGGAAATTTGGGTTGCGATCTGGTGTTAGAAGTACTTGTATCTATGGTGGTGCTCCTAAAGGACCTCAGATTCGCGATCTTAGAAGAGGTACTTTATTTTCATTTCAATATTGTAGTTTTTCATGTCTGGTTCTTGGATGGAACATAAAAGTTTTATGAATCATGATTGGCTTGTCAGGTGTTGAGATTGTAATTGCTACACCTGGTCGTTTGATCGATATGTTGGAGTGTCAACACACTAATTTGAAGAGAGTGACTTACCTTGTACTGGATGAGGCTGACAGAATGTTAGACATGGGATTTGAACCCCAAATTAGAAAGATTGTATCTCAGGTATGTTTGTACTCCCTCCAAAGCTATCATGTAGTGTCATTAAGGAGAAATGGTGTTTGACCAACAGGATTCAGTCGATAAACTTTCTCTTCTCAATTTATTGTTCCGTTGTGAAATAAGAACCATTACGGCTTTTGTTGAGATTGTTCCTTCTTTTTCACAGATCCGACCTGATAGACAAACACTTCTTTGGAGTGCAACATGGCCACGAGAGGTTGAGTCTCTTGCCAGGCAGTTTCTACGAGATCCATATAAGGTTTACTTGATATTTAGTTGAAGTTATTACTTGTCAGGATTGGGTATACTGTTGTTGAATAAAGCAGGGGATGTTTTATGTTGTGCACTGAAACAGCTGTTATTTTGTAGGCCATTATTGGATCAACAGATCTAAAAGCTAACCAGTCTATTAACCAAGTAATCGAGATTGTACCGACACCAGAGAAATACAACAGGTTCTTAATTTTTCTGTAATTAGATAAGAAACGGTTTATATATATATATAGTTTATATATATATATATATATATATATATATATATATATATATTTTTTTTTTTCTTTGCCTTCTTTTATGATATGATGCTTATGCTTTTTTCTCGTTTGATAGGCTCCTTACACTGCTTAAACAGTTAATGGATGGGAGTAAAATCCTAATATTTGTGGAGACAAAGAGAGGGTGTGATCAAGTAACTAGACAATTGAGAATGGATGGATGGCCAGCTCTTGCCATACATGGTGACAAGACCCAATCGGAAAGGGACCGAGTCTTGGCAGAATTTAAGAGTGGACGAAGCCCGATAATGACTGCCACTGATGTAGCAGCAAGGGGACTTGGTAGGATTAACTGTGATACACAATAGGAGAGGATTAGACTTAGACCATTTTGCTTTCTTGGGGTTAAAAGATAAAAACAAAAGTCGCCTGGCTGCCGCTTTCCACAGTTTCCTCTGGTATTAGGAAAAAAAGCACATAGAAAGAAAAGGAAGCTTCTTTGAAGAATCTGTTTCCTGCATCCATCTCCCGGGCATGGAGCTGATTGGTTTTTGAGCAGCCTGGGCGACTGACACCCGCTTGCATTAATAGTGTTTTAACGCCGTCCCACACACTCCTTATCCCTGCAAGTTAAGGTGGGCACATTTACTTGGAAAAATGTGTTGCTCTTAGTTTCTTGATCTTTTCAGATCTGCAGTTGTAGGGATAAGGGGTACTTGTTCTGTCTCCTCTCCTTCCTCTAGGCCTTAAACACCAAACTCATTTACACAAATAATTTTCTGTTCTTCTTCCTGCATTTCATATCAGTCTATAATTTACTTCTCAACTTTTTGTTTCTTCTTTTGCTTTGTTTTGCAGATGTGAAGGACATAAAATGTGTGGTCAATTATGATTTCCCAAATACTTTGGAGGATTACATCCATAGGATTGGTCGAACCGGGCGTGCAGGAGCTAAAGGAATGGCCTTTACATTCTTCACACATGACAATGCTAAGTTTGCAAGAGAGCTTATCAAGATCCTTCAAGAAGCTGGTCAAGTTGTACCTCCTACTCTCTCCGCACTAGTCCGGTCATCTGGTTCGGGTTATGGAGGTGAAACCTCATTTCTCTTCTCTCATTTGATGAGATTTAACCAATCTTGCTTATTTTTTGTGTGATGATCTGATTCAATTTTGTTGACTTGTTCAGGTTCTGGTGGTGGAAGAAACTTCCGGCCAAGAGGAGGAGGACGTGGTGGTGGGTTTGGAGATAAACGGTCAAGATCGACTTCAAACTTCGTACCTCACGGTGGAAAGAGGACTTGGTAGAGAGAATATCATCATTTTGTCCTTAGAAAAACTTTAATTATGATGATGATACTTGATGATCAGCGTTTGGTTTCGAGTTGAAGTTCTCTGTCGTAGAGAACAAACTTTTACTATTTAACTATAACCTGATTTCGCTTCTTCTTCTTCATGATATTATTTTAACATTTTTCCTTTTTCTTAATTCTGTCTACTAAAAGAAAATACACTTTGGTACTTTACTCTCTCTAGTCAACCGTAACACTGTTCAAAGCCTTCTTGTTTAAATTTCGTTTGTGGATTAGTTTAGGAGATTCAAGTAATGCGAATAGAATTTAGACCAAATGTAAGCATCCAAAACTAGTTGTTAATTACATCTAGAACATGTTTTCTTCTGCTTTTTTCCAACAAAATCTAGAAGATGTCTTAGTTACGTATGCTTAAGGTAAAATTTATAAATTCACCCCAAATTCATGTGTATTTAGGTAAAGAATCTCTTTACATTAATTTGTCTGACATTGTCTACCGGCTATCATTAGGAAAATTCAGTAATTATTAAAATTTGCTAATTTGGAATTGAATGTGGAATTATATAATCGATCGTTTGTTTAAAATTCAGTAATTATTAAAATTAAATTTTTATTGCAAGATAATATTGTAATTAATAATGTGCGTTTATATAACAACAACTAGTAAACTTTCTCAGGCATAGTATTAGTAGACACAAATTTTGCTCGGAGTAAAAACTTGGGAATAGAGCGAGACAGAGACTCTGAGTGAGAGAGAGAGACGAAGATGGAGGCAGACGAAAGCGGCATCTCTCTGCCGTCGGGACCCGACGGACGTAAGCGGCGAGTCAGTTACTTCTACGAGCCGACGATCGGAGACCACTACTACGGTCAAGGACATCCGATGAAACCTCACCGGATCCGTATGGCTCATAGCCTAATCATTCACTATCACCTCCACCGTCGCTTAGAAATCAGTCGCCCTAACCTCGCTGACGCCTCCGATATCGGCCGGTTTCATTCGCCGGAGTATGTCGATTTCCTCGCTTCCGTATCGCCGGAATCTATGGGCGATCCTTCCTCTGCACGAAACCTAAGGCGATTCAATGTCGGTGAGGATTGTCCAGTCTTCGAGGGGCTTTTTGATTTTTGCCGTGCTTCCGCCGGAGGTTCTATTGGTGCTGCCGTCAAATTAAACAGACAGGACGCTGATATCGCTATCAATTGGGGCGGTGGCCTTCACCATGCTAAGAAAAGCGAGGCCTCTGGGTTTTGCTATGTAAATGACATCGTTCTAGGGATTCTGGAGTTGCTTAAGATGTTTAAGGTAAAAGCTTCGATTCCTTCTTATGATCTCATCTATTAGCTGTTCATAGAGAACTTCGTGTTGTTCTTCTGAAAATTTTAGGGTTTAAGCTTATCTTATTGAGTGGTTTTTCTAAAATTTACCTGAAACCTTGAAGCTTTGTGTGATTATCGAATGAAGCTTTCATTATTATGTTAGGTCAAATGCATCAGGTGTTTCTGAGAAACGCAGCTGCAACTTATAATCTGTGTTGTTTATTAGAAATTCTGATAAGGATTTTGATTTGTTTGAGAATGGTTTTCCATTGCTTACGTCTTAATGCTTTCATCAAATTTTGTTTGCAGCGGGTTCTCTACATAGATATCGATGTCCACCATGGAGATGGAGTGGAAGAAGCGTTTTACACCACTGATAGAGTTATGACTGTTTCGTTCCACAAATTTGGGGACTTTTTCCCTGGAACTGGTCACATAAGAGATGTTGGCGCAGAAAAAGGGAAATACTATGCTCTAAATGTTCCGCTAAACGATGGTATGGATGATGAAAGTTTCCGCAGCTTGTTTAGACCTCTTATCCAGAAGGTTATGGAAGTGTATCAGCCAGAGGCAGTTGTTCTTCAATGTGGGGCTGACTCGTTAAGTGGTGATCGGTTGGGTTGCTTCAACTTATCAGTCAAGGGTCACGCTGATTGCCTTCGGTTCTTAAGATCGTACAACGTTCCTCTCATGGTCTTGGGTGGTGGAGGGTATACTATTCGAAATGTTGCTCGTTGCTGGTGTTATGAGGTCTCTTCCATCTCTTTTGCAGTTCTTCTATACTTTTTGATAATCATATAGGTTTTTGTTCTTGAAAGTGTTTGTTTCTGTTGCCTCGTCACAGACTGCAGTTGCTGTTGGAGTAGAGCCAGACAACAAACTCCCTTACAATGAGTATTTTGAGTATTTTGGCCCAGATTATACGCTTCATGTTGACCCAAGTCCAATGGAGAATTTAAATACGCCAAAAGATATGGAGAAGATAAGGTAATATCTCCTACTTTCCCTTTTTATGGTCTTTGTACTTGGGCTGCCACTGAACTTCTACCTAGTCCACTCTAATTTTAAGATGCTAATGATGCTCAAGATTGTAATTCTATATGTAACATATGAATTTTTCTTTGTGCCAGTTCCAAATAGTTAACGAAAGCTTTTCATGGTTGAGCTTTTAGCTACTGAGCCTCCTTGGCCTTGTCAATGGGATACTTTGAACTTAGAGAAAGTTACTTTTTGAAATTTCAGGAACACATTGCTGGAACAACTTTCGGGACTAATACACGCTCCTAGCGTCCAGTTTCAGCACACACCACCAGTCAATCGAGTTTTGGACGAGGTAATTTTTTGACTCATTCAATGCGGTACATCTCTCACTTTACTGTTTTTAGTTGCGTTATGTCTTATTGAAAACCAACTCAGTAGATCTGTTATCTTAAATCCTTAGCCGGAAGAAGACATGGAGCAAAGACCAAAGCCTCGCATTTGGAGTGGAACTGTGACTTATGAATCAGACAGTGACGATGATGATAAACCTCTTCATGGTTACTCAGGTCGTGGTGGCGCAATTATGGACAGGTAATAAAAACTCTTCAGGGATTAAATTGATCCTCATTTTTTAAATTCTTAACAGGAGATTAAGAAATGAATTGATGATATCTCTTAAAATCTACAGGGACTCTACAGGTGAAGATGAAATGGAAGACGATAACCCAGAGCCAGACGTGAATCCCCCATCGTCTTAAACCAGCTTGATGGTTGGTGGGTCTTTTGCCATATGGGTAATCGGCAGATTTAAGACACAAGTTAGGGGAATGATGATTCTTTCATGTTTTTTCAGCAACCCTTTTGAGTTCTGTGAAAACGCTGCATTGATAGAACGGTGACAACTGACTAGTATTTTGGCCCAAAGTTAGAAAATCAGAATATGTGAAAAATGCAAAGAACGTTTTTTTTTTTTTTTTACTATGGCTTAATTTATTTTGTTCTCCGAAATTGTTACCATTGAAGTTAAAAAAAAACCATTGAAGTCTGAAATCATTCATCGAAAATGTTAAAATTGCACAATAATTAAGAGCAGCCATGGCCAGGGAGCTTGTGTCTCTCCAATATTTCCGACCACCGCTTCACATATCTCGACATTTCCTCAACCTCTCTCCTCCTCCTTCAACTCTCAATCTCCGGCCAAAACCTCCGCAAATCCCAATCCTTCTCCGAACCCACTCTCGCCGCACCAAAACTTCCGCCGACGACGACGGAATCCCAGCAGACGACGTCAAAACCATCGCCAAATTCAAATCCCGTCACAATTACATTAGAGTCATTGAAGTTTCCCGAAAGACCAATCACCCACTCGCTGGTTCTCGTCTCCTCCTTCTCGATAATCCCGGTAACATCCATAGCATCTCTTTCCTTCTTAAAACCTTAACCGATAGCTACTTCGACGTTTTCGCTACTCTGCCTCCGATTATACCTCCCGGACCAATCGGTATTCTCGGATTCGGAGCTGGTTCAACAGCTCGATTGATTCTCGAGCTTTACCCTCCTGAAATCGCTATCCATGGATGGGAACTTGACCCTTCTGTGATTGACGTTGGTAGAGAGTTCTTTGGCCTCTCTAAGCTCGAAAGAGCTCATAAAGATAGGATTTTTATCAACATTGGCGATGCTTTGAACGCTAGTGTTAAAACCGGGTTTTCGGGTATTTTAGTGGATTTGTTTAGTAAAGGGAGTGTGATCAAAGAGCTTCAAGATCCTCAAGTGTGGGAGGATTTGAAATGTAGGTTGAGGAATAGAGGGAGGATTATGGTGAATGTTGGAGGTAAATGTGTGGAAGCTGAGGATTCTGAGAGAGATGGAGGTTTGGTTATGGAGGAAACGTTGAAAGCTATGAGTCAGGTTTTTGGAGATAAGGTCTTTGTTCTAACGCTTGGGAATGGGAATGATAGCTCGGTGGCTCTCACGGGCGATTTACCGGATCTTGATGCGTGGAAGAAGAGATTACCGCGTAGTGAATTGAGAAGTTATGTTGATATGTGGATACCTTATAGAGAATTCAGCTCGAGATATTAGCCTTAGATGATATTGGTTGGTAATTAGTTTTTGTGATGGATGCTGCAATGTGTTTGGAATTTCAAGCTATGATGAAACTTGATTAGCTAATACACAAAACTTGTTCTGTCTCAGAGAGTGTTACAAGTGTACAAATTATTGCTTGACCATTGTGTCTTTATTGTTGATGAATCTTAAGGTTGTCTATTTCTGTCACGGGGATTGAGATTACTCATTACTGTTATGTATGATTTGTTCTGGTATTTTGAACCTAAATTCGACAATGATCTTTGTATCTGTTTAAATGAAATCAAAGGTATGGGCAGTTCATACTCTGAAGGAGAAGATATAGACAGTGGTTAGGTTAAAAGCCATTGAGGTTTTATCACAAGGCAAAAGCATTACAGTCACATGATCTTTCTTCGACATCATCATTCAGCTCTTGATTGTTTCGAACGCAACATGTAAAAAAAAAAAAAAATGTTTGTGTTTACACATAACAGATGGTTTTTATTTATGAAGATGATTAATGATTCATTTGAATAATTATTTAGTAAAAGCACACGTAAGAAACAATCAAGATTTTAAGTTTTTTTTTTTTTTTTTAAGTTCATCATTTATCATCTCAGACTGTAGACATCTAAGCGCAAGTTACTTGATAATCAATATTTTACGTCTTTAAGATATAGACTATATATAGTCCCTAAATTACCATTAAACGTGCTAATAAAAGGTGTATAGTTATAGAGATATTAAATCAAACGCATGCTTATTGCTTAACGTAGGCTTTTGCCCATAGGATACAAATACCAATTAGTTGCATAGTATATTTCACTAGAGTTTATAAAAACACCACAGGTTTAATTTCTAGTTGTCTTTTCACTATTTAAAATTGTACAGTAGATAGAGAATATATAGACTCATGAAGTCATGAAAGTTATAAAAAAAATCTCTACATTCCAAAGCCTATTTGATCTATCACTCTTATAATACTTGACAGGGCAACTATTTGAAATCTATTTAAACTTAAAAACCATCGCTAATTGATTCGTCTTTAAGTAAAAATTTAATTATTTAATTCTAAGAAAACTTTTATCGCTAACATGAAATTACAAAAGTTTGATATTGAAAATTTGTCAAGATAAATTGAGTATATATATTTTAGATAAGTTATACCAATTGAACATTAGAGACCGTCAAAACAGTGCCACCATGTCGGGCCGCTGGACTGTCGATAAGCTGTGAAATAAATTGGATAGGCCATGAATATATTTTAGCATAGATACAACATTTTCACGATCGTATTCATATATAGTAAACGAAATTTATAATTACTGTAAGGGTGGTTGACTTTATTTGACTCAACACGTGGTTACGCAGCAATAAGCAATCCCGAGGGAGAATAAAATCTCTATCCATTTCTATTTAATTAATTGATTTTTATTTTATATATATAGACGAATACTAAACTTCCATATTAGAATTTTTAGTTTAAATTCTACCTCTCCTAATTTTTCCTTTGCTATATGTGTTTCATTTTCATGATTGTTGTCTATTTTTTATTCGATTCTGCATATATAAAAACAAACAAGAAAACAAAAGGACATATTCACAAAACTATTCCTCCAAGTTGCATCATTGACCTCTCATATATACCTCTAACTTTACCTTCCATAATCAGCACATGCATGTTCATTAATTCAACATTATCTCTTATGTGTGTGTTGTTTCAAATGAGACCATATATATAAAATGTGGTTTCTAGAGATTCTTAGAGTCACATGGATTTAAATTAATTACAAGAAGAAAAATAAAATTCGAGGGACAAAGTAGTACTAGTCTAGTTTTAGTAGATCATATGTGCGAGGAGGACCCATATTCCCTCTCTCTCTTTCTCTCTGCAAACCCTTTATAACACTTCATACCCCCACCTCTCTATTGTATCATTTTATATGCAACCTCTCTATATATATTGAAGGGCTATATATAGATCAATACCCACTCTAATGGATTACTTAATCTTTTGGTGGTGAAATTTGTTGTTAATGCTTCTCTAAGATATAGGCTTAGTGAGGAATTTACAAGGTATACTAATTAATGGCTTGATATTCATAGAAAAATAATGATGTACATGTTATACTTTTTTTTTTTGCAAGACCCATGTCGGAATTAATAAACAAATAAACCATATCATAGTACTCCAAACAACTTTCAACTTACTCGATATAGTTACTTATTTAGCTATCAGAATGCCCAAATCAATGACATTGAAAACTATAAATAATCAACCAATTTTTTGTATCATAATGAGAGAGGAGCTCTACTTTCCAAGTACGAGACTAGTTTCCTCTTTTAGAAAAGAATAGGACCTCTATTTTCGAACCCTAATCCCGATATTAGTCACAAAATTAAATCTTTTAAGAAAATATGAAGACATTAGTTTGGTGATAAAGCCTAGATGCTTCACTTTAGTAAATTACTTAATTCCCACCACTAACCACCATCATAACTTGGACCAAAACATAATAATCTAAGGGATCTTGAAAGCATTCCAAAGGTTAATTACCACAACATACAATTTTCTTATAGTAATAATACAATTATCTCCTTTACTTTTCAGTTAGGTAACTATTTATCATTTACAATTGTAAGTTGTAATTTTACCAGTCTAATATATGTTCATTATTGACAGCAATCCAAGAGAGTTAGCTCCAATTAGTAGCCAAAATTAAGAAACTCTACATTTAGTCTGATTAATTTATATTCAAATCGAACCATTTGAAATTCTACACTAGACCAAGAATTTATTTACGGCAGAATTTAATCGAAAAAACAGTTAATAGGAACAAGAATAAACTCTTGAGATCTCAAAATAGCTACGTAGAGACAGGAAATCAGTAAAAGTCAAGCGATTTCATGTGAACGATCAAGTCAAGTTTAAATAGGTTTTGTAAAATCAGAACTTTTGTAATGGAAAATAAACTATGAGGGGGTCCAAAGATTTGTGAAGCTATAGCTAGCTAGGGTTAGTATCATACCAACAGTTACTTGTGGAGTATTATATATTGGAAGTGACAACCGATTGAGACATTTTTCAAATGTCTTCTTCTTAAATAGAGAAAAATAATTTTAGCCGGAATTCAAATTTATTGACAGAATCAACTTCCGATTATAGAGAAGATTTCTATTACTTTGAGGCCTCACGAGTTTATTCTTGTTCATATTAATTGTTTTGAGAAGATTTCTATTACTTTAAGGCCTCAAGGGTTTGTTGTGATATTCAATTAAAGTCGAGACTGATAGAGATGTTTAGGGTTTCTTGAGGTTCCAAGTTTTGGCCATCAGCGTGACAGGGTATATATAGAGAGATCATAGTGATATTTATATACACACAATGATGATAGATTAGGTAGCTTAGGGTTGATTTCGGGACTGTTAGGGAATATTGTTATTATTGAATGCATGAAGAAAAATTCACAAAAGCTAAAGTTAAACAAATTAATCTAATGGGAGACAAAAGTGAGCACAGTGAAATGATATTACTATTATTCTTGAGATGAAATGTCATAGTCATTCTTTAAGGGACATACCCTCTCCTCCTCTTCCTGTTTATTAATTGTTCATTTGTTATTATTACACTTTGTCTTTTGCTCTTTCTCCTTCCTCTCCACTAAAATTTTCCTCTATTTTTTTCCCTTTTTATTTGTTTGTTTGGTTTCTTTAAATTCTCAGCTTCTATACAAATCTTTCTCAATTCTTCTTGAAATTAGGGTTTCCTCTTTCTTTGAGAGGGCTAAAACCCTAATATATCCTTCTCATTGACTAAAGAGTTAAGCCTACTCTATCTACTTTGGAAGCGATATTCAAAGGGTAAGGAAAAAGCCCTTGAAAGAGGAAGAAAGATACAAGATCCACAAAGAACCTAAAGATCTAAAGGCAGGTATATATATAACACTCAGTATATATATGATTTGATGTATGTATCTTAATAAATCCCTGGATTTATGCATTTCTCCCGATCATCAAAGACAGCCGTTTTCTAATCTATGTTTTTTCTCTGCTCTATGTTCTATATACAGTATGTTCTATGTTTCTCAACACATATTCACTTTGATTATACACACATATTCACTTCGATCCTTCTGTCACTTTCCTTTCAATTTCTACTATAAGAAAGACTTAAAAGGTTATTTAATATTGTAGCATATGAGACATGGATATAAGTAAACACATGTGTAATTAAACTTTCATGATCTCTTTGAGTTGACAGAATTAAGGTCAGATCTAAAGTTTATATACATATACAAATTAGTCTAGACTTGAGGTCAATGGAATTGTTTCATCTCCGCGAGGGCAAAGAGGGAGAAAAAAGATAGAAAGAGAGGGATAGAGAGTTTATCTAACTGATTTACTATAAAGACAAATTTTGAAATTTCTTTGACCAAGTTTAGTTTTGAGGCATACAAAGTTAGGGTTGACGAGAGAGAGAGGAAGATGAAGAGATAGTAAAGCACATAAGTGCACAATTGAATTACAAAGAAATTTTTTTTGATGGTAAATATGTATCGAAGTATATATATATGTAGTATTTTTATATGTAATATATTGATATATATGAATACAGAGGGATACACAAACTCATCTGACATAAAAACCAAATTTGACTTTCCCTTTTTTTTCTCCAGGGAGTTTGTACAAACACTCGTATAGGTTGAATTAAGTCTTTGATCCAAATGTATGACATCATATATTAGAATTAAATTGTGTGTGTGGGTATACTTTTTTTTTTGTTTTGAACGAAAGGTATGTGGGTATACTCTGTTAACAAAATCCTGAGAAATTAATTAAATATCTATCTCGAGGGAAATTAAGAAGGTGATAATTAGGGATTAAATTTGTGGCTAAGTGATGTTTGTCTACTTGAAAAACTAGCTCTTTTAAGTGTATACATATTGAAAAACCATAACAAATTTATGTTAACGATGTTTATTAAGAAAATTTAGAGGCTATACTTTCAAATTAAATTTTTTAAATGATAGATTAGCTAATTGAGAAAGAAAAACATTATGTGAAACCAAATTAAGTGATAGTTTCCAGCGCGTCCTGGATAACCTCTGTGTTCCGAACGTGTTCATCTAATCTATCTAAAGACCTTTAGGTTTTGTAAATAGTATGTTTTCCCTTTCATTAGATTGGATGTTGGACATTTTATATATTTTTTTTTGGTAGGAGGACATTTTATATATATAATCATAGAGACACAAACGTATACACATGCATATATGCTATATATACATCAAGAAAAACGTAGAAAGAGAAAATCAATGAGAAAATAAGTAGGAATTCAATAAAAGAAGAAAATAACGAATCCAATATAAAATTTTCAAAAAAGTTGCAATATAGAAAGAAAAATAACTTCTAAAAGAAACCTAGGAGTTTCATCATTCCTAGCAATTCAAATTATATATATCTATGTATAAACATACTATATATGTGTGTGTGTGTGTTTCACTTTTTTTTGTTTTTTTATGTTATTTAATTTAATTTGTTCTTAAAACTTAATATTAGGTTGTAAGAAACCAAAAAAGAAAGAAAATGGCGTCGTCATCAAACTCATACAACTCACCATGCGCGGCGTGCAAGTTTCTTCGCCGGAAATGCATGCCGGGATGCATATTCGCGCCATATTTTCCACCGGAGGAGCCACACAAATTCGCCAACGTCCACAAAATCTTTGGAGCAAGCAACGTCACGAAGCTCCTCAATGAGCTCCTCCCTCACCAACGTGAAGACGCAGTCAACTCCTTAGCCTATGAGGCCGAGGCACGTGTCCGTGACCCCGTCTATGGCTGCGTCGGAGCCATCTCTTATCTCCAGAGACAAGTCCATAGGCTTCAGAAGGAGCTCGACGCAGCTAACGCTGACTTGGCACATTATGGTTTGTCCACATCAGCCGCCGGAACACCTGGCAACGTCGTGGACTTGGTTTTCCAGCCTCAGCCGCTTCCGCCGCAGCAACCACCTCCGTTGAATCCGGTTTATAGGCTTTCGGGGGCGAATCCGGTGATGAATCAGATGCCACGTGGCACCGGAGGGTCGTATGGGACTTTTCTTCCTTGGAACAATGGTCATGATCAGTAAGGTAACATGTGAGATTTTATAAATTATATGTACTCATTCTCTCATCTCTCTCTTTCTATATTTATGCGTGTGTGTGGTACGAATACGATATTATTTGTTTAATGCATGGACTGTGTGTGGGATATTATTTCCTAGCGAATTATAAATGCATAAACTGTTCTTATTTATTTATGATGAGGTATATATATATTATGGTTTTTGATTATTCGTTTGTGTGTTACATGACCTAAGCTAGGATACAGTTATGACTTATCACTTATGTGTTATGTTTACGAGTTTGGAGTTTAAACGAGTCGTTTAGGTAATTAACAACAAACAAGATAACTCTTGAATAACACAAACAGAATAATTATTTTATTGTGATATTGTTTTGTAAAGTTAATTAGGTACCTAACATGGTATTTTATCCGTTTCATTATAATTATTTTTAATGATTTTCAATAACAAAAATATTTTATTTTGTTATTTAATGTAATATAACTGAATATTTAGAATCTTAGACAAGATAGATTCATTCTTATGAAACGGAAAAAGTGTTTTTCTAGTGGCATTGGTGAATTTTGTTATTTTAAAAACATTTATAATGAGATATATAATAATATGGTTGTGATTGTTATTGGCTTGGTGGGTTCAATACCTACACTAGGATTGTAGTTATGCGTGGATGCATGTTTCAGAGAAGTTAAGGGTGCTAATAATTGAAGGTCTCTGTTTTATTATTAGTTTTAACTTATTTAACTATATAGTTTTTATTTATTTATTTGTGACATATGGAAGTGGCGTTCATCGGTTCATGGTATGATTATAAATTTATAATTCTATTGAGTTATCATATTATTATTAATTTTGCATTTGTTGAGTAAACTTGTAGAGCGACGGCTAGGCATGTGGATTATGAAGTTTCCTTTTCCTTTTTTAAAATAAAAGTTCTGGCTATTAGTATACTATGGTGTGTGCAGCCTTTCAGCTATAGAATATGATCGTCAGAAGTGTTAATGCATTTAATTATTAATGGAAATTACTATTAAATTCTTCTTTTTTGTCCGATTATGGAGTTATCATTAGGTGTGGAAATTTTATAATATACCAAATATAGACCAAGTCATGAGTAGTGAAATCGAAGTAGCAATACAAAAAAATAGACAATTTTGGGATTAAAATGCCGTACAAAAACAAAAAGTATATTTGTCACAAAGTCTCTTTTAAATTAATTAAAAATGGTAGTTTTTTCTTTTCTTTTTGCAATTCAAGAAAGTGAGCATTTTGGAACTAAAGGGATGTTATGTAACTAAAATCATGGTGGTGATTAATTACGTCATATACATTCAACTTGTTTCGTAGATGCTTAATTGTTTGGTCCATACATGATACATAAGGCAAACGTTATATAAAAATTAGGCTCGACAAATTGGAACGTATATCAAATCTTGTGAATTGCAATAATGAACGCTTTGTTATATAAGTTTCGTAATTTGTCAAAAGACATAATTAGTAACACAGTTAACCTTCTTCTTTTTTTTTTTTCTTTTTTTTTGTCCAAATCAAGTTAATTTGACATGCGTAGTTAAACATGTAATTCAATATTTAAGCCCATAATTAGTTTGCACTAATTTTATCTATCTAAGCCCAAACATAGATTCATCATAGCCAAAAATTAAAACAACTCTGCCATTTGTATAATCCTTTTAAGTTTTCATCATAGTATCCAATGACACAATTAACTTTAGTTTGAATTCACCATATGCGAATTTAAGGCATACAGTCTTGAAATACTTGTTCAACATCTAACAATTATATATGTTAAATTTTGTTGAATATGACTATTAAAAACAAAGATAGCTGTTACAGATATGATCGTAGTTAATTACTATAAGATAACAAATACTGTGTTTTATAATTCTAAGACCTCCATCTTTCTCGACTACTATATGATAAGTGATCTTATAAGATACTTATACTAAAAATTAAATGGTAAAACTATGTATCCATATATAATTAAAAAAAGAAAAAAGAATAACATAGCCCATGGGAAAGAAATGAATTAAAGCTGCTACTAAGAAACTTTGGTCTTTGTATCATCAAAATAAAGGTACATGCTCTTATATTTGGACAAAAGATAATTGATAAAAAGGTTCAATTAAATTTTTTATCATACTATGGGGAAACAATGCATCTGTTCATGCATGTATCATAAAATTATGCCGACTGATATATATTGTATATATAATTTAAATATTGGAAAAAACTTTGGATATTGTCGCGGAGAAAATAATAGGAAGTCATCGAGAATCCATCAAACCCATCAATCAATCGATGTCTTTAAAGACGTGAAAAGGAAGCAAACTCTGAGTTTCTGCCTTTGAGCTAAACTACAAACCCAACAAGACAATTTCTCTTTACATTGTGATTGCGGGTCCTTTGCTACTTTTTACGATTATAAATCAGCAAAAACTAGAAAAAAAAAAGAAAAACGTATATCTAAAAGCAAAGAGAATTGTAGGTGCAATTAGAGTCAAAATTCGAAGTCCGAGGAAGGATTAAGCCAGTCTTTTCATACCCAATGGTTTTCAGATTAGTCTTACTTGGCTTTGTACCGGACCTCGTTATTGTTAGTTTAATATTTTTAGTCATCATCTGAAATGTTGGATCATGATTGGACGAATTTTAGGTTGTTTTAAGTGGGAGTTAAAGTAAAATATTAATAGAAAATTATATGTGGACAATATTAATGTCAAGCAGAAAGGTACATTTTTTGGTCCGAACGGATTCGAGTTCGAGTTAGATTGTTCTAATTAGTATTTACAAAATCAAATAATTATAAACTATGAAAATTAAAGAGTTGTATAAATTTCAAAAAGATATCATATGTGATATGTACATAGATGCGCCTCCATATTTTATAGGTTGTATTTGTAATAGTTGGTGCATTTGATAATATATGATCTTTTTTTGTTTTTTTTTTATAAAGGATTTAATATATGATCTTTAGTCTTCCAATCATTGATTTGCAAGAATATTAGGATTCAATAATGATTGAATAAATTAATAGCGTTATAACCGCCGACCATTGTCTCGATAGATTCTAATAATAGTGGGTTGAGATTTGGAATTGGATTATGTTTCTTTTTTAGTTCCATATTATAATTTTCTCACAATGATAATTTATTACTGGATTTGAAACTGACTCCACAAAATGTTCACAGCAATATATAAAAGATCATCGTTTAGTAGGAAAATTTTATTTTCTCTAAACAAATTGTTTTTTTTTTTGTTGAAAAACGGTATTTTCTCTATTCCATACTGATTTCTGGTCGATAAAAGAAAGACTAGACTATTTGGTTTATTATAGATTTCATACTCAATAGTGGATGTCAGATCAGTAAGTTTTTTTAAATTAAAGTTTTGTATGAGAATTTGACAAAACTATGGTGATATATAAGAATGTAAAGGGATAATCCTACTATAAAGTATGTGGAGCACCAAATATTTTGCAATTTAAAACATCTAGAGTAACATAAAATCGTAGACTAGTGACATAACGCAAATTGATCTACTCTCTTCCAATCCATAATTTTCAACAACTGAAAAATCGATATAAAAATGTTTTGAATGCTTAAATAGTTATGAAAGGATTCATACATATCAAACAAAAGTCAGTATAAGAAACTGCTAATTATAACTAACATGGTGCCTGAAAAAGTTAAAATATAAGTTCTTAATTAATTAGTCATGTAGATCAACTACTTCCTTATTCATTATTGGTATATTAAAAAAACATTGCTCCACTAGTCCACTAATGTATCGTTGTTGTTGTTGCTATTTATATGCATGCCTTTGAAATGAAATCATGGCAGCAATTATTGGGAACTCTTTTGTCAATCATAAGCACTATTCAGGATTCATAAGATCTGAATTCCCAACTATTCCAGCCATCGTGTCATATACCAATAATTATACTAAAATGGAAAATATAATAATAATCATGATTGTTAAAGCCGCATGCATTGAACAAAACCTGAAAAAGGATTGATTGATAGATACATACGAGAATCTCAGGATTTTGAAAGAGGTCCAGTTAGATTTCTAAAAGAATATATGAAGTGAGTTTCCATAATAATTTAAAATTGGATAGCAGTTTCATGAGAAGGGATGATAATGATTAGTGATTAATAGAGTTTTGTTTGTCTAATCTTTTGACTGAATTATAGAGAAAAGGCAAATGCAATTCTCAGTTGAGATGCATTATACTGAATCCAACCGACACACTTGACGAAATCTATATGGGTTTTAGAGCAAATATATTATATTAGGCTGATGTTGATGTAAAGACTTTTATGCCAAAACAAAAACGATTAGAAAAAGGATATGAAATTATTTTGAAATGGTTCTGAAGCATTTAAGAACCAGGCCTAAACTTTTTCAGTTTGTGGGTTTTGGAGAAAAATAATTAAAAGAATGATATCATATGCATGCTCAGTACCATTACATACTTTTGGCAAACTAATCTAAAAGAATAATACTTTTTAAAAAAGGTCTCTAAAATAAATAATTTAATGTTTTAGGTAGATATTTCTTGCGAATTTTAAAATTAATTACTTGTCCCAAAATTTTAAGGAAATTAAATTCTAATTGTATACAATACTGTAAATCAGTGTGAATATAAAAAAGATTAGATGAAACTCAAACAAAAAATTGTTGTCAAAGTATTTATCAACACCTGCTTTCACTTTCATTTTTGAACTCTCTGCGAGTCTCCCTAAACGTAGATGCCTCTATGTTCTCCAACTAGTTCAAATGATTCATTACAAGTTTACAACAAACCATTATTTTGCAAGTCAGTAGATATGACTCTATGTTCTCCATTCTCCAATAGTTGTTCATCCCATTTTTCACATGAATATGAGAAACTTTTTTTATTCATCTTAATATATATTTTCTTAAACATATAGAAAGAACAGGAAACTAAAGATTCCATCATGAAAAATTTAGGAACTGTCTCTATGCTTTCATTCTTCCATCCCTCTAAGTCTCCTTCCTGCATTAAAATTACCATAGAAACCATGTCAATTTCACTACTATATATATACATACATACACATATAGTCATAGAAACACACACACACAAGTATTATATACATACGGTGGAAAGCCGCATTGCCTTCGAACACAGTCTGTGTAGCACTCCGGAAGGGTGCGGAAATCGTGGCCGCCGCGGCAGGCTGATTTACATTTCAGTTCACATTGTGAAATTTGCTCGCCTTGCTTGCATTGCTTTTTTATACAGTCTAAGAAGCATTCCTCGGGGGAACGGCCGCCGCCGCATGAGGCTGATTTACAATTCACTTCACATAATTGATCTACTGCTTCTCCTCCAATGGCAGCCATCACCACTAAAACCAAAATCATCACAACACTCAAGTACTTCTGTACTTGTTCTCCATTTCTCTCTTCTTAATCGGTTTCGTTTGCTTCAAAAGTTTTATGTATATATCCGATGGAAGCTCTCTATTTATATGTGAAAATGACCAAATCTGTTCTCATGTTGTTTCGTTAAATCTTTTGTAATTAATATGATGAGATTTGTTTATGGCAATTCATTAATTATTTGTGAAGCGTTTAAATTTTTTTCTTGCCTTGACTTGGATTCTACAAAAATTCATATGGAAACATAAAATTTATTTTGACTGATAACATTAAATATATTTAAAACTAATATTCTACTTATTCAATTTTTGATTTAAATATTTAAAACAAAATGGAAAACCACGTCTTCTATAACATGGTTATGCGATTTTGGCGGGAAAACGTGGATTTACGGTTTTGGCGGGAAAACACACATTTACGGTTTTGGCGGGAAAATGCGGGTTTACGGTTTTGGCGGAAAAACGCGGGTTTACGGTTTTGGCGGAAAAACGCGGGTTTACGATTTTGGCGGAAAAACGCGGATTTACGGTTTTGGCGGGAAAACGCGGGTTTACGATTTTGGCGGGAAAACGCGGGTTTACGATTTTGGCGGGAAAACGCGGGTTTACGATTTTGGCGGGAAAACGCGAATTTACGGTTTTGGCGGGAGAACGCGAATTTACGGTTTTGGCGGAAAAACGCTATTTTATGGAAAAATAATTTTTGGTGATAAAACGCAATTTTGCGATTTTGGCGGAAAATGACGTTTTCCCGCCAAAACCGTAAATCCGCGTTTTCCCGCCAAAACCGTAAATCCGCGTTTTCCCGTCAAAACCGTAAATCCGCGTTTTATCAATTATATTTAATGAAATAATCTGTAAATTTTAAATAATCAACTAAAATAATTATTTATTATATTATATTGTTTAGAACAAAACAATGTTATATGGGTCTAAATGAGTTTAAATGGGTAAAGGAAATTTAAATGGGTTTAAATGGGGAGGTTAAATGGGGTATAAACTTAAATGGGGTTAAATAGGGTGGGTCTAAATGGGGTGAGTTTTAAATGGGGTGGGTTAGCCCATATTAACATCTCTATTTACAACAAACCACTTGTTTTTCTGTGTTCTTCAAAACACCTTGTTAAAATCATATAATACTTGTTGGTCCAATTTTCGCATGAATATGAGAAACTTTTTTAAAAAAATCTTATTTTATATTTTCTTAAACATGTAGAAAGAAAAGAAAATAAAAGATTCCATCATGAAAATTTGGAAACTATCTCTATGCTTCATTCTTGATCCATTCCGCTATAGTCTTCCTCCTGCATTATCACCATAGAAACCATCTCAATTTCACTATACACATACACACACATATAAATAGAGATAGAGAGTGAGAGAAAGTTACTGCGAATGTAAAGCAGAGTAAAAGGCACTAGTAGGTGGAAGTGGAAAAGCCTTGCATTCTGTTATCACACAAAATATGACGCAAGTAGCCAGTATTCCCTCGTTACTACTCCTCTTGCGGCACACTGATAAACATTTCTTCTCTACTGCGGCGCATGGATCCGCTGCTTGATCCGCTGCTTCTCCACTGATGGCAGCCATCACCACCAAAACCAAAATCATCACAGCACTCCACTTGTTCTCCATATCTCTCTCTCCTTAATCAGTTTCTTTTGCTTCAATTATTTTTATGTATATATTTATTGGGAACTCTAGTCCTTCTCTATTTATAAAGATGAAGTGAGCAAATCTTTGTGAAGTGTTCAAACTTTTCCTGACTTTACTTGGACTCTACAAAATGCATATGGAAATATACAAATTATTTGGACTGATTTTGTTTTATAAAGTGACATATATATACATTATTGAATAAAATAGAAACAAATCAAATAGGATACCAGATTCTCTACCTTTAATAAAACATATTTTTATTTGTCTTTAAAAGAAATAATATATTTTGTATTATCCTAAAAAAATTTCCAGTCTGTTTTAGAGTATATGATTGCACACAATATTTTACTTTATACTAATTATTAATTTGTATTTTGTAATATATACGAATATACAATTTTTTATAAACACAATCCTTTAAATTAACTTACCGGATTATCAGTCACACCTTTTTTTTTTGGTTTAATTATCAGGCATACTTTGCTTTCACTTTCATTAATAACTAGATCACACTGACCAGATTTTGCTAACACAACCGAGATACTTCTCGAGTAAGACTTCATTGAAAAGTGAGCCAGTATAGTGGAACATTTGGACATGAGAGTGAGACCATGTTGCAGCAACCGCAACATCCAAGTCTTCTCCACCGCTTCTTCTCCGACGAATCTGTCACCATCGTGATCGCCGGTTGCAAAATCAAGTATACAGATTAACAGATAACGATAGCTTCAGATAAACATCCGATCAAACTGTAATTCATCCACATACCACATGCAGAAGAACCAGGCTTAGGGAGACTAGAATATCCTTAAAAATTTTGTACATAAACGATTCAAACTTGCATTCAATGATTCAGAAGGAGCAAGTGGACTATTATAAGCAACTTAATATTATTATTAATATTCATCTTATTATAGATTATCTTTTACATGTCGAAGAAAAAAGAAAAAAGTATCCATCACGACAAATTCTTAAAATATCTCTATCCTCTTGTTTCTTCCATCGCTTTAGTCTTCATCCTGCATTATTGATCACCATATAGAAACCATGTCAATTTCACTATTGACACACACACACAAACAAGTACATGCATGCATATATACAATTATACAGGGAGAGAGAGTTTTAAGAAAGAGATTATTTACTGCGACTCTGAAATTGAGTGAAGGGTACTTGTAGATGGAGGATGATGCTGGCATTCAGCCATACACTGTTTGAAGCAAGGTGTAATGAACTCCGGATCGCGGCAAGTGATTTCACATTTGAATGTACATAAATGATCTACTGCTTCTCCTCCATTAATGGCAGCCATCACCACCAAAACGAACATTATCATCACCACACTCCATTTTTTCTCCATTTCTCTTCTTAGTTTACAAAATTTATATGTATATGTATATAATGTAATATATGTTTACTGGAATTTCTCTCTATATATAAAGAAAAAGTCACCAACTCTTGGTCTTCATTGTGTTAAATTTTATGTGATTATTATGAACTCTTTCTACATATGTCAAGTCATTAAAATTTTAAAGTGTTGAAAATTGACTTAGAACTTTGAAAACGCATATGGAAGTGATAATTTTGACTGGCTTTTTCAAAGAGAGATCAGGACACCATAAAAATATTATTGACCATTTGGCATTACATGGTCATGATTTAATATTATTGACCAAAAGACCAACACGTCACCGTTTGAGCTACGCGGATAATATTGGGCCTATAAATGGGCCGTACAATTACAGGACCTTTTAACCTTCCGTGAGTTTCCTTAAACGCAGCGTTTTAAATATTTTGACTAAACGTCGCGTTTAATTTGGGAGTCTCTATGTGAGTTAGAGAGTCTCTTTTGTTCTTCACCTGTCGTTCATCGGCCTGAGCTTTGTATCTGCATCAACTTTACCGGCGACTTTGATCGGAGATTCTCATTCGCAGAAGAAGCAGACCTTTCGAAATACTGATACTGGGGAAACATGGGAATAAATATTGTAGGTCAAATTGAGAGAATCAATGGTAAAGAGTTGAGTTATGGCGATTTTGCAGAGAGATACTTAGCCAAGAACCAGCCAGTGGTCATCTCCGATCTCACTGAAGATTGGCGAGCTATGGAAGATTGGGTCAGTGAGAATGGACGCCCTAATCTCCACTTCTTTGCCACTCACTTCGGAAAATCCAGAGTTCAGGTAGCTTTCATAAGACTATTGTAGCTTTGCTTAGCTTCCATAGCCAAACTGTTGAAGGAAATAATGAAGATTGAGTCTTTTTGGTTTGGGAATGAATTGTTTGTTCATTGATTTGGTGTTTGAATATTTACAGGTTGCAGATTGTGATACAAGAGAATTCACAGATCAGAAAAGATTAGAAATGTCTGTTACTGAATTTGTGGAGCAATGGACTAATAATGATGCTATTGAGGAATCTGTTTTGTATCTGAAAGATTGGCACTTTGTCAAGGTGCATATCTGAGGTTAATTCACACGCTTGTTACTTTCCTTGTCTAAGTGAAGCAAACAGAGAATCAATGCTATTTCTATGTAATCAATCTTAGAGTTGATTGTGCTTAATCCAGGAGTATCCAGACTATACAGCTTATCAAACGCCGCAACTGTTTTCTGATGATTGGCTTAACATATATCTAGACAATTACCAAATGCATGAAGATAAAGATAATTTCCAGAAGTATGATCAAATAAGCTGCTCTGATTATCGCTTTGTTTATATGGGTGGAAAAGGTCTGAGTAAGATTCAAATAAACAGTTTGTGTTGTTGTCTGTTTGAGTGTTTTGGCCTTTGGTAAAAGCTGATAAGTTCTGATCTCTTGGCTGCAGGATCTTGGACACCTCTACATGCTGATGTATTTAGATCTTATAGTTGGTCAGCTAATGTCTGCGGTAAAAAAAGATGGCTTTTTCTTCCTCCTCCTCAAAATCATCTTGTTTATGACAGGCAAGTGTACTTATCCTATATTGGTCATGTAACGTTTCTTTGATTTGTCTCTGATCCATATTTCTTAGCCTTATAGTTTGATGATCTTTTTTCAGGTACATGAAAAATTGCATTTATGACATCTTTGAAGAGGTGAATGAAACTAAATTCCCTGGTTTTAAGAAGGTAAATCAGCTAGTCCTACTATCAATTTCTAAGATAATTCTTTCACCATGTGTTTATGGGCGTTTTATGGTTTGCCTTCAGACCACCTGGCTTGAGTGCATTCAAGAACCCGGTGAAATTATATTTGTTCCGAGTGGATGGCATCATCAAGTATATAACTTGGTATCTCTCTCTTCTAACTCCCTCTCTCTATATATATACAGCAACAATGTTATATTGAATTGAATTATCTCAAATATTTTTTACAGGAAGACACAATATCTATTAACCACAATTGGCTCAACGCATACAACCTATCTTGGGTGGTAATGACATTTTTGACTTGTCTTTCTAATTTTCTATATAGAGTAAATATGCATCTCAACTAAAAATAGGAAGTATTCATGTCTACTCGAGTGCCAGTGGGATCTACTGTGGAAGGACTACAAGGACACTGAAGAGTCAATAGAAGACATAAGAGACATCTGTGATGATTTTGAAGCTATCTGCCAACGTAATCTTGCTGCCAATACAGGTGCATGCATAACTTGTCTCGATTTGATAGATTCATATCTTTCTTTTCCCGATTTATCTCAGCGTTAGTTGAAGCTCTACATTACTTTCTGGTTATTCATCTGAGATCTTATGAGTGAATTTTTTTAATATCTTTGAGGGATTTAATGCGGAGAATGCAACTATCTGTGTGGGATGTTTAGAGAACTCACTGTACATTAGTGAATAACTGAATCTTTTAGTTGGCTGAATGTGTTTTCATGAATGTATAATTGAACAATATATTCAAGAAAATGAATATCTCTATTTTGATCCCTTCTCTTCTCTTCTCTCCTCTACAGGAATGAATTTGAATGACTTCTTCATCTTCATGTCACGGTTCTCTTTGGGGAACATGGTTGTACTGCAATCTTACTCTGACAAACACAAAGCCCTGAATTCGTGTTCATCCGCAATGGCACAAAATCTGTTATTGAATCTCTCAACTATAGGGAAAATCATGATGACGATGATATCTGCAGGCGGTGTAACTTCAGAGGAAGTGTATATGGACTTGCGAGAAACACTGGAGGCTCCACAGTTTCTCAGATTGGTCAGAGACATGGGAAGAACTTATGCAATGATTCACATGGAGGAAGAGGATCAGGTTCTTTCTTCGAAAGAGTTATTACAAAAGCTCAGTGGTTTTACAGATCCAAAGATGCAAATATGTTCTCCAAAGGATCTTGTTGAAATGATAAATCATCACAATACTTTTTTCTCCCATCTCTTAGCATAACATATGTGTTTTTGTTGTTGTTGTTGTTGTTGATCTTCTTAGATTTTCCTTTATATATGAATAGAGAAAAGAAAAGGAAATATCTTTATCATTTATGTTTGTACACATTCCAATGGAAATTATCTCAATACATAGAAATGAAATGACGAATATTTGCTTGTTTCTGTTGATTTCATGAAGTCTTTGCTATGATGTCTAATTTTTGGATATTCCTTGATTTATGGAAAAGATAAAATAACAATAGAGTAATAAAATTTTGACTGATTCTCTTTCTCTCTCTTTGTAATGAAATCAAAAGGTATGTTAACAATTTATAAACCAAAATTGTTATCAAGATTCATTTATTACAATTTAATCATCAAAATTATTAAGATATTGATTCGACTTTAATAAACTACTCCCGTTGTTTTATTATAAGTGTCGTTTAAATTTTTTCACACAATTTTATTATCCAACTATTTTATTGTTTCATTAGTTACGTAACGTAACAATATGTTGTGTTACGTAACGTAAATACCGAAACAACAAAATAGTTGGATAATTGAATTAATAAACCAAACACTTTACCTAAATAGAATTTTTGTAGAATAATCATAAAATATTAAATAGATGTAACTACTACTTTTGATGTGGATCCATAGTCTATAATAATATTACTTACGTGAAAATGTAGAATTTTGATGAATATAACAATTAACAAACCGTAAAAATGAAAGAAATCATTGAAGTGAATATCAAGCAAAATCAAACAAAATTGATCAGGATACTCTTTTCGAAAAGGTTCTTACAGCATATATAACATTAGTTTTTCAATCAAAAGTAGCAGATTTGTTCTTCAAAATACCTTCTTGATATGATATAGATCTAGATCATAGATAATACTTGTTCATCCCATGTATATACAATGAAATTTGATAAACCATTTGGCTATAGCCTTTTTATTGATCTTATTGGATTTCCTTTTACATATATAAAAAGAAAAGAGTTACATCATGATAAGCCTTTAAACATGCCCATTTTTATTTAATCCCTCTTTATATAATCTATATCCCCAAATAACTTGTATTTCGATATTATAAACCTTGTCCAGCTCGCTACATATAGAGATAATAACTTAGAATAACACATAGCCACAATCACGAATATATGTGCGTACACATAGTCAGAGAATGTAAATTTGGTGGTTTCAGGTGGATTGTTGCATTGCTCGACCAGACAACGATTTTGGCAGATCTTTCTGGAGTACCATGAAATGCCGCTGCAGTGGATCACGCAGTTTGATTCACATGATCCGTCTGCTTCAACTTTCATGGCTACCATCACCACCAAAATCATTATCATCACCAGATGCCTCTCCATATCTCTTCTTTATTCTTTTGTCTTGTATATATATATTGAGATATAGAGATGACATGACCAAACCTGTATTGGTTTCTACTGGTATTTATACTACGTATGAAGCATATATATGGCAAGCCATTTGTTTGTGCATCTCTCAAGTTGGACTCGAAATAATACATGTTTATGGCCAAATGGTAAAGACATAAATTAGATTGAATAATGAGTGTTTTTTTTATGGAATGAAAGTAGCTAAGTAATTTTGAAGACATATGGTTCGGAATATTTCATATGCAAACAAATAAACAATCAAAACACCCATTCCGTTTAAATTTAAAGGTCTATAGATGTTTAAGAATTTAATTGAAAAGAATATTTTTATCGTCTTTGAAACAAATAATTTATTTAATTATTATTTCATAATATATATACACAACTGATACATATATAATTTATTTCAGAAAATTACCACAAAGGGTAATTAGGTAGATAGCCAAATTTTAACTCAAAATTGATAAACAAATGAATCAGTGAAAAACTGTAAACAAAGAATGATTTTTCGCGGGTAATTTAAAAAACGGGTAAAAATAGCACGCCATTTAAAAATAAAAGCATTAAATTAACATAACGTAAAAACTAACATAGTTATGTTTCACTATTACCATAACATAACAGTCTAACTAAAAATAAAAATAATAGCACTAAAATTGGTTTTAAGAAAAAGGGTGATTTTTTACAGGAAAAATGAATTTGCGCCAATCATAGTCATGTGGATATTTGTGGACTAAAAATGATATCATTCAAACACTTGTGGATATTTACGCAGAAAAAATTTATAAATCATAGTCATGTTTGCCATTTTGATTTTTCACCAAAATTGTTTTTAGTCATCTAAACACAATTGCAGCATCTTTGGAATCACCGATTTATTGGGCCTTTGCAGCATCTTCAGAATCATCGAATTATTGGGCCCAAACACTTTCGGCCTAAATTGAATGTGTTTACTTTCATTTACAGCAAAGCAAATCCAAATCATGCCCACGAACAAGAGTTATAACCGGATCAGACCGTACTGGATGTAATTCATGCATATGTCCTGTCCGAGTTTTTGTTAAAACTAAATATCCTTTTAATTTAATAATACTAGTGAAATATATATGTTCATATGTTATGAGATAACATGTTTATTAATTGTATCCAATCAAATTCTTTCACATCATATATTTTCTTATTATTCTATTAATATATGAATTTTTTTTTTTTTTTTTGTTTTTTTCATCTATTAATATATGAATTTAAAGATAAGAAAGTAATTAAAAAATCTAGAACTAAATGCTGTTGACAGAAAAAAAATCTACAGTAAATGAAATTATTAATAATAAATATATTTTCTATATTAATTTTTTAAAATTATGCTATGTTAAGAATAAATATCCTAATCTAGTACTATTTGTTATTATCTTGATATGGTTGATGGTAATTGGTAACAGCCATAAATAGATTACAAGATAAGGAACATTAAATAATTGATAATATTTCAAAATATTACATTTACTCGGTCAATCTTTAATATTTTGGTAAATTTCCGATATTTCCGACGATCCTCGAGATTTACGATATTTCCCAACATTTTTTGTATAAATAATGGTGAAGCAAACAAGAATTCTCACAACACCAATCTCTAATGGCATATTTTATCCTTTTGCAGAAAAACTCAAACTCCAACAATGGCGATCAACGAACCAGAGTTTGCCACGGCCGTGGCGGTGGCGACAAAGAAGAGAACATTCAAGAAATTCTCATTCAGAGGATTCAACGTCGATGCTCTTCTCAAAATGTCAAACGTTGATCTCGCTAAGCTCTTCAATGCTCGTGTTCGCAGAAGATTCTACAGAGGATTAAAGAAGAAACCTCTGATTCTGATCAAGAAGCTACGGAGGGCGAAAAAAGAAGCAATTGATGAGAACAAGAAGAAGCCTGAAGTAGTGAAAACACATCTAAGGAACATGATCATTGTCCCCGAGATGATTGGAAGTGTTGTCGGAGTTCACAATGGAAAGAAGTTTAATGAAATCGTGATTAAGCCTGAGATGATTGGTCATTATCTTGCGGAGTTTTCGATGACTTGCAAGAAGGTTAATCACTATAGACCACGTATTTGTGGTTGTGGTTGTTTCCGTCGGTCCACCAGGTTTATTCCTCTCAGGTGATGAAGAAAAAGCTCTGTTTTTTCCAATTCAGAAAGATTTTTATTGTTCTGTTTCTTTTGTTTTGTTTTGGGACCATTTTATTCGTGCTTTGGGATTTCTGTCTTCTCATCTTTAGAATGTCCCTTTAGGCTTTAAATAAAACTCAACTATAAAGAATGCAAGAGATAGTGTGTTAAGATCGATGCAGCATACAATAACATTTGTTGTAGTAGATCTACAAAGCATAACGTTTTATCGAGTCTGCTAACACTATGAGTTATATATATGCTGAGCCATTTATATGTGTAGTGTTGAGCATTGACTCTAGAACTCTAAAATATGCATATGGAAGTGACAAAAAAATCTTTTACAGAGAAAATTGACATTAAAAGAAGAAGAAGAGAATTTAGGTCCGTAAAAACAAAAGTTAAATCAATGACTATGTGGACATAAAAAAAAAAACTTATTATTGTTATTCTTCTTCATCTTATTTAAATCTTCTTTTACATATAGAAAGAAAAGGAAAGGACATATTATATACTATGACAACTCTTCAATTGATCTTTACTGGTTTAATGTAGTGCATACAAAATTTCACATTTAAATCTAATAATTTTCATCCGCATTAACTTATGTAAATTATGAGAAATCAAACTTATTTTGATATTTAAGTTTTGATAATGTAGTAAAGAGAGATCGATTGTGTGAAGACCACTTCAACATACAATACTATTTGAGGCAGATTACGCTTTTTCGAGCCTGAGCAAGTATTTGAGCATCATCACTCTAACAGGTTGATTCCAAATACAATTAATACAAAAATCGTTTGAATTTGATCGAGCAAATGAGAATTTTTGGAAGTTTTTGCCGTCTCATATAATATTTATTTTGGTTTGGTGACATACGAAAATCTTCGACAACCCATATAGAGTGTACGTACGTTGACATAAACCTTTGTGGTGCATAACCTTAGAAAAATGGAATTTCCTTATTCCTTATCATTGTTCACATGATCATTAAAAACTTATAATTATTATTAGTATTCGTTTAAAAGAAAATTTAAAAATATTCCATCATGACAATTGGCAATTTTATAAATTATCTCTACCATCTCTTCTCTTTCAGCCCTCTACTCTTCATCCTGCATGCATTATTTATCCACACCATATAGAATGTCAATTTCACTATGACATACACACAACCACAAGTACATACATATGTAGAGAGAGATTTAGAGAGTTACGGCGAGTGTGAAGTTGAGTGAAAGGTACTAGTAGGTGGAAGATGCTCGCAGCGCTCTCTAATGCACCGTTTGAAGCAAGCTGTAGTTGGGAACGGAGTTTTGCAGTGTATTTCACATTTAAAGCTACATCCAAGACTCGGTTCTCCTTCAATGGCAGCAGCAATCACTACAAAAACGAACACCATCACCACCACACTCCATTGGCTTGAAAATATTATAGGTATATTCAATGAAAACTATCATATCACATAAGATAACTCTATAGAGAAAAAGAGAGATTTACTACGTACTGCGAGTGTGAAGTTGAGTAGGTGGATAACGTCTACAACTTTCCAAACACTTGGTTGAGCATTTTTTAGGGAACATCGAATCTTTGCAGGTGATTGCACATTTCGTTTCACATGAAAGATGATCTTCTGCTTCTCCTCCAATGGCAGCAATCACCACAAAAACGAAGTACACCATCATCACCACACTCCATTTGCTCTCCATTTTTCTTCTTAATCAACTTATTTGGCTTGAAAAAAGTTACAGGTATATATATACACTGAAAACTTTCATATCACATCATATATGATATATCTAATACCAAAATAAGCAATCCTCATTTAGAATGCTACCTCACTAATTTTGATTATTTTCTGATTTATATCAAAATTCGTCTTAATATTCAGTTTTCCGAAATTTTGTACCAAATAAATTAGAGACTATAAATAGGACTAGATTATTAGTTTCTGTCTAAGAAAATATTTTTAACTATTTTTATATGATCCTCCATATCAATCATACTTAAGTAAAAGTATCAATATTTAATATATAAATATCATATAAAAGTAAAAGATTACCAATTTATTCAACATCATTTATATTTCCATAATTCTACAGAACAAAGGAACTACTAAAAATTATTATTCGTTAAAAAAGAAGAAAACCACAAATTTTATAAATTAGGAAAGAAAATCATTTTATCTATGAATATTACAATTTATTTTGTTTAAATTATGACTTTTTCTTTATTTTTAAGAATTTTAAATTTATTTTCAAATTTTATAGTACGGATTAGATATCCGACTGAATATCAAGATGTTAAGGGATATCTGGTTAATTGTTGACCAATGCACATAAAATAATAATGCTTTGTGCGAATAAACGAATCTCAAATACCACAAAAAAAAAATATTCAAGACATCCCCTCCGCATCCACCAATAATTTTTGCATGAGTATGAAAACTTTTTTTATTGATCTTATTATTATATATTTCTTATTCTACATAGAGAAATAAAAGAAAATAAATCAAGCATGAAAAATTCAGAAACTATCTTTATGCTTGCATTTCTTCCATCCCTCTAGTCTTCATCCTGCATTACCACCACAAGAACCATGTCAATTTCACTATATACATATGTTATTTAGAGAGAGAGGGAGAGAATAGAGATTTACGTACGTACCGAGAGTGAAAGGAACTTGTAGGTAGATGATGCTTGCATAGCTTGTTGAAACAGTCATTGTAGCAATTTGGTATTGTGGGGACACTGCGGCAGTGATATAAACACCTCTGTTCACATGAAAGATCTGCTGCTTCTCCTCCAATGGCAGCCATCACCACCAAAACCAAAATCATCACAACACTCAAGTACTTCTGTACTTGTTCTCCATTTCTCTCTTCTTAGTCGATTTCTTTTGCTTCAAAAGTTTTATTATGTATATATTCGATGGAAGCTCTCTCTATCTAATATATAAAGATGAAATGACCAAATCTTTTGTAATTAATATGATGGGGTTTGTTTATGGCAATTCAATTATTTGTGTGAAGCGTTCAAACTTTTTTGTGTTATATATGATCAAAATGACTATAATTCTTTCTATTGCTTCTGTTAAATTTCAATTAATTAATTAGTATGATGACCCTTATTTATGGCAAGCCTTTTATTTTTTTCAAACTTTAATTGGACTCCACAAAATGCATATGGAAATATAATAAGATTATTTTGACTGATTTTTTAATAAAGTGACATTGATTAAATTATTGAATAAAATATAAAGAAATTAAATTAAATACCTAATTTGCTAACTTTAATTTTAACCAAACCAAACAAATCGATTAAAAAAAAAAAACATATAGGTATATAATGTAGATATACCACTCTAGTGTCGGTCTAGTCAATCCAGACGTTGAACCGGGTTTGAAAGAGGATGGATCTGAGACCCTAAACCGGATCCAAACCCAGATAGAGAGACCCGTACCCGTGTGTAAGAGTCTCTATAAAAGGGTGAAGCAAAAACATATGCTTCTCTTTAGCTTCTGTATCTATAAATCGCAAAATGCCAAATTCTGAATTCTTAGCTCTGTGGTGAGCAAAGCCCAGCTTTTGAAATTTCTTTCAAGTTCTGATTCCCTTCATCAATCAAATTTCTGAGAATCAAACTCTAAAGGGTAAATTTCGAATTTTTGTTCCTCAATGTCGATTCGTTTCAGCTCAACCCTCGTTGCTGCTTCAGTCAATTTCAAAAGCTCGAAGAATTTGAACAGTAATCGATCTCGGAACTGCAGATTCTCTGTCCGAAGTTGCGTGTCTGAATCCCATCATGCGCACAAGGTATTTTTCTCTTTTAGCAAAAAGCGAGAGAGAATCATGGAAATTGGATGAATGTTACGATGACGTTACTTGTTTTAATTTCTTACGCAATGGGTTTCTTCTTCGTGTATACTTTTTCTGCTTTTTGTCTGAAGCAAGTTTTCCTCTGTTTTCTTTCCTCCATTGTTGGCATTGGAAGCTCTATTTAAGAAAAATAAAATAAAAACTTAGTCTTTTGCTTATGTGGTCTCAGAATTGGGTTCTCGAGTTCCACAATACTCACTAAAGATTTAACTTCCTTTGGAGTTTTTGGTTTTTGGAAAATGTAATGTTATTGAAGAAATCATGTAGAACATTAAATTGATTGTTTAGACTGTGGAATGTGACTTCTGAGAGGGATTGTGTAATGAAAGTTTGGTTTGTGGTGCAGCTAGTTTTGGAAGTAAAAGAACGGCTTGCCAAAGATTGTACTAGTCTCCCACTTGGCAAATATGGAAGAGATGATGAGGATATGATCCTCTGGTTTTTGAAAGATCGGAGATTTTCTGTTGATGAAGCGATTGGAAAGCTAACTAAAGCTATTGTATCCTCTTCCTTGTGTTTTCTTTTATCTTCAATCAGTTCTTCACTATGATCTTGAAAAGTTGTCACAGAATTCACTTTTATGCAGAACCTGTAGAATCAAATCATATGTTGTTCTTGTTTTGGTAATATTGATAAGCGCAGTATATATGTGATCCTTTACTGAAAAGCTTAGAAATGGCGTCATGAGTTCAAGGTAGATGAGCTTTCTGAAGATTCTATCAAAGCCGCTACTGACACAGGAAAAGCTTATGTCCATGGTTTTCTAGATGTTAAAGGTCGACCAGTGGTTATTGTAGCTCCTGCAAAGCACATCCCCGGGGCAAGTTAGACACCAGTTTTTCTGTTAAATTTCAGCAATGCAGTTTTATAATAGCTGAGGATTTGTGAAATGTCTGATGTTTTGCAGCTGCTTGATCCAATAGAAGATGAAAAGCTATGTGTGTTCTTACTTGAAAAGGCTTTAAGTAAGTTACCAGCAGGACAACACAAGATACTTGGGATATTTGATCTCCGTGGATTCGGATCTCAGAACGCAGATCTTAAGTTCTTGACTTTCCTGGTATTTCTATCTTCTTACATGTGAATGGTTTTTGTATGCTTTTACAGGTGAATGGTCTTTGATTTTATTGTTGTCTTTTCCATCGTTTTGTTTCTGCAGTTTGACGTATTTTACTATTACTATCCAAGCCGATTGGATGAAGTCCTTTTTGTAGATGCTCCATTCATATTCCAACCAATTTGGCAATTCACCAAACCGTTGGTGAAGCAATACGCTTCTCTGGTAACTTCCATACCAACTTACTAAGTTTTAATGCATCATTTCCAATTGCTATCCTCATCTTGCTGCGGGATTAATAGCTTTTTAGTACATAAGGTGGTTATTCGTGGTTAAGCTTGAGTCCTGTTTGATTTACGGGTTTGCTCAGAGGATCTGGACTAGATGGATTCATATAGTTTGCTTTATGTGAAGGTCAAGTTTTGCTCAGCAGAGACCGTGAGAAAGGAGTATTTTACTGAAGAAACATTACCATCAAATTTCCGGAGCTAAAGAGATTATAAGAAACTTTTAAACACTAGTAGTTTCTTCTGTTGTTGTATCTCTAAACATGTCGATATAAATGTGTATAGATAATTTGAAGTATGGAGTAAAAGGATACCCTTAATAGTAAAAGAACTCATTGTAAAACCTCAAAAAAGGTAACAGTATACATGGAGACAACAACATAAACATGAAAAGCCTTCCTAAAATTAAGAATAAAAAAAAAGGTAAACAAAGCACAGAGAGGGATCATAGAGAAGCCCTGAGAATGTCAGAATTTGAGGGGTTCCAAGTTGAAAATCTTCAAATCAGGTTAGCCCTCTTCAGGAATCTGATAGTTCTGCAGTAATAAGGCCAGACAGATTCAACAAAATCCAGGTATCTCTCAATGATCCATTCTTGGAACTGTTTCAGCTTTGTGCGGGTGAGCTCTTTGTAGTCTGTGTTCTTGATGGCCACCACTGGTCTAAACACTAGAGCTTTCACGTCGTCTTTGAGCTTTCCATGGGCAATGTAATGGTATGCTACAAGGTAATACGATGGTAAGTTTTTTATCATTTTGATGGTTTGGTTGAAGCAGAAGGCGTAAAGGGAGCATAGTCCTTGGAACATTTTGATATAAAGGGCGACAATCAAGGGGCCGACCACCCACATAGGGGATAACTCCTTTGTAACTTCAGCTCCATAGATCGCGTTAACAGCTAGGAAAGCTGGAACACTACAAAAAAAGGTCAAGGTGAGAGTATAATCAATACACATGCAAGAAACTTGGGAAAAAAACACTCTTGAATCTTCCTTAGGACAGTTTTCGATCATAAGTTTACACTAGTTGGTTTTCCTCTATTGATAATTAACTCTAGATTACCTCATCAAACAAAAGAAAAAGATGCTTTGGTTCTGATACTTACAATAACAGCAATGGAATCTTGATAGCTGCGTCTAGACTCCAAAACCAGGACCAAACTGTATTTTTGGTACTCTGGAGGCTTTCTGTTTTCCGGATTTCTGTTTCTGTTTCTTGCTTCGTCGCTGGTGGAACCTGTTCTCCTCCTAAAGCCTCGTCAATCACTTGAATAGGTGATTGTGTGCGCAACAATGTTAACCATTTCTTGAATAGTTTCTGAATAGCAGGTTGCCCTGTGATTGAATCCTCTGTTTCCGAGGTATATGAAAACGAAGTGTTTTGTGCCTTTGGAGAGCCGTTCACGTTATTTTCGTCATCATCCGAACGGTAAGATAGTTTGACTGAGTTATTAGTAACTTTCTTCCCACCCTCACTTCCTCCTGATTCATTATTTTTGATGCCACCTTTA